AGTATCTGTCAAAGACCAGGAGAAGGCTGAGCTCGGCTCGTATGGAAAATGGTCAGGTCCAGACTCCGCTGAATCCGGGACTGATCATCGCCCGAGTTCACCATTGGCAACCCCGCAACTTCCGGATGGCGGCATGCCAATCTCACGAAGAGCGTGTGGTGACAATATAATCGATGTCGTATGAGAGCTGCTTGAATTATTCATGCACGCTGCCACAAACCACCATCCCTCAGAAAGGGAAAGAATAGGGAAATGGGACCCTGATAGGTTCCTAGTAAACTCTGAATATGTGAAATTCCTTCCGTTGAGAGCCTCAAAGTTCGACCTTGGAAAGCTGCTGGTCTCGAAGTCTCGAACGCGTCTCTTAAAGCACAGGACAGAGATTTTCCTCTTGGCCACGCCCCATAATTCCTTGCGTTGTGGCTTGTGTAAGCTTGTCTTATCCTAGTCGTTGAGGACCATTAGCTGATCGGTGTTTGACGCAGGGATGGCAAGTGCGCCAGCAAGAGATTGTTCAACGAATCAACGCTCACTGTGCCGTTGAGTCTATACATTGGTTTCGAATTCTATGGGAATGGGGCAACATTGAACATTGGCGAATAGATAGAGTAGCAAACCGACTGCCTCTGACTGCCCACTCGAGACTAGTCATTGACAGTGGCTTTAAGGTTTGGCACTCAGCCATGTATTACAGAAATATGAGAATTTCTTATTGTTTTTGTTGATAATGCATCTCCGAACATGCTGCGTCTTTGACAGTTTCCACCCAAGGACGTTTGAAGTGTTAGTGGGTGAGCGCTGGCGATTGCCCACTTTTCAAACTCCAGTGCTAATGATGGAGATCGTGGGGTGTTTATCAATGCTATACCACAACGAACTCTGTTTTCGGATACGAAGTAACTGCAGCATGAGCAATCCGTATTGTAGGTCGATTAAGACGATATTTATATAGTACAACTATCTCGGTGTCGGATCAATTGCGAGAGTGTGATACCATATTGAAACGAAGTAAGTGGTGCGCATTGCAACGATGGCTGCCATCGGTTAATACGACGTTGCGACACTGCTAATGGTCAGCTCCGTTCAACAGAAGCTTTGATGGTGTTAATATAGGAGGCGTTGCTTTGCAGCCTTGGTGAACAGTCCGCGCCGTGCTAGCGTTGCGACATCACACCACGAAACGCCATCTGCTTGATATATGCCTCAAACCGCGAGATCTTGGGCAAAAATACAACGCACAGCGATTGGTAATGCGATATCGATCATCTAGTCTGCCATTTGTGATGGCGGTAAGACAGACTGTAGTGGAGGGGTCGGTGAACATAGAGTTTGTGTCAAAGTCGTAATGCCTAGACCCTGAAGGTGATAGTGATGTCCTAAAAAAAAAAAAGCCCCCCTCCTTCCTCCCCTCTCCTCCCCCCGGGTCCACGTTCATGCCGATAGGCGTGCAACAAAAAATTGGTGCAACGGCAGAACCTGCCGAACATCCCCGAAGGTTCGACAGATAGAAACATGGTGATGGTTATTCGTACTTGGTAGAATGTTGACGACATTGGAAAGCATTCTTATCGTAACAAGACGATTATTTAACATGGTGTTGCTGAAACCCAGACGACAAAGGCGTGTCAATGAGTCGCGGGCGCCTAAAAGCGTCGGGTTTCAGTGTACATAGTTCCTGGTCGCACCTAAAACCCGATGATGTCCTCAGCTCTGAATGTTCTGAATAAACCAGTATCATGGATGGCCGACTGTGATACTCGTAGCTGCAGAACTTCCCTGGATTGAAGTGGGCTTCGAGCAGCCAGACTAAGAGAAATACAATTACAAGTAGCACAGTAGAGCCTTCGTGCACTAGCTCACAACTCAACGGTCCAAATGCTAATAGAAACCATCTTGATGAAGCTACGTTGACGACAATTGAAATTCATGCGCAGTAGTGCATACTCGGTACAGCGTGCTTGTCCCTAGTCTGGTGGTTGTTATTATAGGGGCTGTCGTTTGTCCAATTGTCCAATGCCCGGAAACTTGGTAACAAAGCCGGCCGCTGAGTGGGCTTGATAATCGGAGAGTTTGTGGTCTGGTCACACAATTGAAAAGAAAGCTACGTCATTCTCTTGTAGTTTTATAGCCTAAGTAGCGAGTAGCGAGTACTTTTGGACACTGTCGCGGTTCGCTAATTCCCCCACGCCACTTCCAAGCACTGGACAACGCCCGAACCTGCTGTTCTCCGCGTAATATGACCCTGTTCGCGGCTCGCTCTCCTCTTGTACCAAGCAAGCGTAGCTATCATTGATTGGGATTGATGAAATGGACAAGTCTTGGGGTTTGCCTGGGAATACTGTGTACTTTGAGAGCCGTCTCTCTCATACTTTGTGGTGCTTCAGCAGAGGGTTAGCAGTGGCAAGCAACCCCACGTGTGCACGAAATATAATTGCTTGAATCGCTGAGAATGTCGCCTGAATTAACTCTGACGAAGGCTTCATCCTGATACACTCAACAACGCCGCTGGTTGATCAGATGGACCTTGGATGAGACTGGCTTGAGCGCGGATGACGTGCTGCAATGTCATGCTCTCATAATCTGGGTGGAAGCCAAGCTTACGCCGCAAACAGTTGCTCATCGCAAGCGAGCCGATAGGATTTTTTGGACGGCCATGTCGTATTCATTTCCTGGTGTATTGTGATGCTTGTATATTTCGATACAATGCCCAGGTCTTTCCACAACCCAGTTGATTAAATTTTATCAAAATTTCCAAGAAATAAACCAGATAAGCTGGAGCAGGACGACGCTGTAGCAGTAGTTGATCTGGTGGATTGCCGAATCGTCGCCAGGCTACCAAAATTACTTTTGCACCAAAGTGGCCGGGAACCCTAGTCCCGTAGGTCATTAGAGCCCAGCGCCAGTGGAAACAGGTAAGCTTCAGTTGAACCCAGCAGGCTCTAGCAATCGTCTGGGCACCGGCCTTCCACTGAACGAGACCGGAGTTGGACAGTGTCGGCTTTGGTGCACAAGCACTGTAATTCAAAATGGATTTAATCTTGCCAGGAGCCAATGCAGTACCTCGACCCCAGCGCGTTTCCAGTGCTTAGCCCCATGTACAGTCTACGTTAGTGCGTCTCCCACTCACGCTTACAGGGGGCATGCCCTGTAACCCCGGTCGCGCTCACCCTACATAGTACATGGGCCTAGTGTAAGTGCGAGACTACCCGCTTCATTGTACAGTAAGAACCCAGTCTGTAGCTTTACTGGAGACTGCAAAGCAAAGTGCAAATGCAAATGCAAGTACTTTGGCTAGGGTAAATACGTTGCATGGGACTAAGTAGGACTAGTTCTGGACTTGATGGGGGGGGATAGTGAACATGAACATGGACATGGACATGGACATTGATCCCGTTGAACATTGGATCCAATTGCGAAAGGGAAAAAAAGGATCCCCCAGCATTCATAACTACACCACCACCCGAGCGCGCCTCCGCCCCAACCATATTAGTCCTTCTACTACCCACCCTCCCGCGCAACAATTCTCCTTCTCACAGTCTGCACACATCCACTGCTGGATTGGATTGGATCGGACTGTAGTTGTTTGCTTCACGGATATTGTCTACCTACTATTGTCCTCCTCCTCCTCATATCCCGCCCGCCTTGCAACTCCCACAAAGCGGTTTGTCCTCACCACTTCTCATCATCGCATCGAGACAGGACTTCGAACACCCCGACCTAGTCACACCGTCGACATACGTCTGTTTGTTTGCTCACTTGGACTTGGACATTAAGCTTGTCCCAGTACCATATTCCGCCGCACTTTTCTCCCCTTGGCAACACACTCCCGGCTTGAGAAGGTTTGAGAGTTGTCGTGGTAATTTGCACAGGTTGGAAGAAAGAGAACGGGCAAAGACGGCCAACAAGGGAACTTATCGGTGCCGCAAGACGTTGAACAAGGGAAACAAGCAAGGACGTCCTGGACTTTCCCAGCCCCCTGCGTCTTTCTATTAGCAACGCCGCTGCCTACTCCAGACTCGATATACTTTGGCTTTACGCTCTGTGTATAACGATTCTTGGCAGCCAAAACGCCAGCTTCTTGTTGTGTCCCTGGCACCCCAGAGGCCACATCATTTCTGATCAACTCCTCCACCAGCTGGTCCGAACGAGGAGTTGTCGCGTTGGCACAACATCTGCACATTCTGTCTTCTCTTTGGCATTGCAGGATTGCTACAACCCTCCCTCCTACCACTTACCTGTCACGACCACGGTAGAGCATTTGCACAGTTGCTGGAATATTGCCTGTGTATTTCTCCCAGTCACGACCTCCGCCGTACTTGCATCAATTATCATCATCTTCTAGTAAGTACCATCTTTCACCGGAACCTGATGTTGCCATTTGCAGTAGCTTTGGGGGAAGCGAAGGGACATGCCTAGCCTTGGCCAACATACCCAGGACGTCGTTGGTCGTTGTAACGGACAATTCTGTAATTTGTCTGCCGGGAGAAAAAACCGGTCCAGGGGTCATTCATGATCACCATTCCACAAGATTGTTACCTGGGACAACGCTACACGCTTTGGGCATGTCTCTGGCCAAACCTCCCCCCTACAAAGTTGTTTAACATTCCACGCCTCATGGTGCCCCGGATTCAGCACATGACATAAATACTTGCTCTCCGCCTCGTGCTTGCCAGACAAGCGTCTGGTATGAAGTCATAAGCAGTTACAGACGGATCGATGCGGTCGTCTAACAAAATATCCACTTAATATGGAACCATGCATCGTATCGAATAATTATGCTGATAGAACCTTCCTTCTTACCAGGCTTCTACTTGCGCTCAGCCGCCCCACCAGAAAACGCTTCGCCATTTCACATTTGGTTTGAAGCCTGGAGGTTGATTTTTCCCTGCTTGCCTCCCGACAAGCCGGCACCTAGCAACCGCAGCTTCAAGTCGGACCTCGACTTTTCCTCTCTTCACCCCCCGCCTCCTTGTCTAACCCGGCAACCCAGATCTCCGGGGATGCCTTACACACCCCCAGCTCGCTCTCCTGCTTCCTCAGCTCCCGCGTCGCCCGACGTCAGCCGTCGATCGTCCATCCAGCATGGCACGCCATCGTTGAACAGCTCGCCCACCGTGGCATCTCGCCCAGCGCTGCCACGCTCGGCTTCCTATCTGACCAAGCATAGACGGACGCCCTCGGCTTCTTCTGTAACCACGCCGTCGTACGAGCTGACTCCCCCTGGAACTTCCGACAACCTGAAAGGCATGGTTGCAAATCACAACAATACCGCTGTCAGACAATCGCCCCCTCCCATTGCAGACGCTCGGGCTATGCCCCCTGGAGCCATCATCTCACCACCAGACTCCCAAACCTCTAGCGAAGATGAGGGAACTGAGGCTACTGTGCCGAGAGGTAGGCAGATAGAAAACTTGAAGGAGCTCCAGGACGCCATTAGCGCCATTCCTCAACACCGCCAAAGCTCACCTGATAGGACCTCGAAAACCTCCCCTGGCGATCTTCTCGTCCTGCCAGCACAGATCGAGAACTTGGTGGATGCTGTACAGAACAGCCTGAAGGTTGATATCACACAAAATACGCAACGGAGAATATCTCACAATCGCTCCAAGACGGAGCCCAACTTTATCTTGTCCAAATCAGCGGATGCTTCTATCTCGACGTCGGACGAGTCGGAATCGGACGATCTCCCCACCAAGCCACTTATGGTCCGCAAAAAGTCTGGCGAGCTCGTGCGCCCTGCACTAAGACCTGCAGCCTCACGAAGGCCATCAAGTATGCCTGGCACACCTACTTTCTCGAAAGCCGTCCACTTTGATTCTCATTTGGAACATGTGCGGCATTTCCTCCAGGTTGATCGTCCCCTGGCGGTCAGCGCTGGTACTTCCCCTGCCGACACCTATGAGAGCGATACGGAATACCCGTTTGATGACAAATCCGCGTCTAAAACGCCACCGTTCGAATGGGAGCTCGTCATGAACAACTTCCCTGGAGATACGATTGTGCGCAAGGCACTTCCGGCTCGCGTCGAACGTGTGTGGATGTCTCCCGATCAAAAGTCTCTGATTGGTTCTATCGCTGTAGCCAACTTGGCTTTCCAGAAGCAGGTTGTGTGCAGATTTACCTTTGATTACTGGAAGACCACATCAGAAGTCGCCGCAGAGTATGCGCACGAGATCACCCCAAGGCAGTCAGCCAATGGTCAGGACCAGTTTCAATTCACCATCAAGCTTTCGGACATGGCAAACCTTGAGTCCAAGACATTGTTCTTCTGCGTAAGATACAATGTGAACGGACTCGAGTACTGGGACAACAATGACAACCTCAACTTCCAGGTCGACTTCCGCAAGAAGGCATTGCCACAGAACGGCAAGGGCAACTTCAAGGGTGCATCGTCGCGACCTGTCAACTCTCTGCCACGGAGTAGCAGACGGTCAAACGCATCCACTGGCAATCGACCCAAGTCAGTGCCTACATTCGATGACTTTGGCCACGATGGAAAGTTCTTGAACTTTGACCAGCCAATCCACGAGTACTTGGGAGAGTCTGAACCTACTATGTTGCGTCTCAAGAGTTCCAAGTCTACTGGTGCTTTACCGAGCGACAACCTGGCCAACAGACTCTCTGCGCCCAGTGGTGTCGCCTTTGCGAACCGCTACGACTTTGGGGTGTCTCTCAACGCTGCTAAACAGGCCCACAAGGAGTCCCAAGGCAGCCCCCGCAGTGACGGCCTCTATATGAAGCCAAACAAGAAGGCTGCTTTCGCCACTCAGCCGACGCCTGTCATCCAGATGACTGATGTTTCCACTGGCTCTCCTATCCCCGGCATCGCTTCAAAGGTTCCGGGCACAGATTCACCCAGAATCTCATCGGCTTCGTACGAAGAAATCGTCAACAAATACTGCTTTGTACGTACATCCAACTGAGATACCGGCCTTGCCACATGGTGATTCCACCCTGGAAGCGTCGCGATATTGTATTCTGACTAACTTTGCGCTACAGTTCAATGGCTCCAAGCAAACGAGTCCCCAGATCAAGGATGGAACACTACAAAATGGCAAATACGACGGTACTAGCGACGAATTATTCACTCGCACTACCAACAGCACCCTCTCGAGCTCGAACGGTAGTCCCGACATGGCTGACAGATCTCAACACGGAACTCTTCGCTATGCCATCCATCAGAACCTGAATCCGTATTTTCAAAACCAGCACATCGCTATTGGTGCTTCGCCTGCAGAGTCTCCTTTGGATGGTCCTTCCACAGCCATGCATCACTCTCTCAGCCCTTCGTCATCCGCGACGGTGACGGCTGGAACTTCACCAGCACACATGGCTGGTGGGTTTAGTCCTTTTGCTGGTACGTCGCCGAACTTTGCAGTCAATACATCTTCCTTCCACGTTCACGATCGATTCCCGTTTACGGCAGAAGCTCATCCCTCGACAGCAATTAGGAGTTGAGCCTTGATAAGCCCGGCATATACGCCAATTCTCTCAACATCACAACACTTGTGTACTCGTTGTGGTGTAAGCTAAATATTTTTCGCCTCGTCCTTTCCGATCGCTCTTGATCATTTGATTTCAGTTCAGCCACTCGCATTGGGTTCCTGCATTTTCGTCCGGCGTTTTGGGCAAGCAACCTGGATCCGGACTTCGGAATATATACCCCATCCACGTACACGAAAGGTCATGGGATACGAAGAACAAAATGGTATTAAGTTGGCAGCGGTGAACGCTAAGACTCGCCCTTGAGGCCTAATCAGGCGTTCATGGTATATACGCTTGGTACAGAAACCAAGTTGGTGTTCTTTAATGCATAATTCTCATATTTGTTTTCGACGACTCTCCGCTTTAGCATAGCCGTCCACGAGACATCAGGAAGAAATGATCGTTTTCATTCAGCCCTGGTATTTTGGTGGTGGATGTTGCAGTATTCGCTTTTTCGAGGTTTGGTTGTATACTGTGGTGGTGTCAGCTGTGATATCGCATCACCTCGATGGGGCATGTTTCCGGTTGGTGCCGTCTGTTGCTTCGGTCATAGGTCTAGTCTTTCGCGTTGAGGTGTTACCTCCTGCTGGATCTCGACTTGGTCGTCTATGGCTGGAATGAGTACCAACCGCCTTGGGGTGGTTAAGCGGTGGCTGATGCACCACGGGATACCGGTATCAGGTTGGAATGCTGGGAATATAGACAAATAAATTCTGGACTTCGGTTCGGACGGGCTCGCTACGGAATTGCGAGAGGGAACACCAGGCTTGGTAGGAAAGGGACATAAAATGGTTATGCCAGGGTTTGAAATTGCAATTGAATACCGTTTGATCTTTAAAAACATTATAGTTAACTTGAGCCGTGTGGTGCCTTGAACTGAGTGGTAGTTTCGAACCAGCATATTAAGCTAGGTTAGGATGATTTTGACACAGTGTCCAATTATGTACATAGACAACAATTGTAAAACAAGCATTATTTCTGATCGCTCGTATGTCGGAATGAATAAGCCTGGGAATTGTTGGACCCTTGAATTGAAGATTCCGCGTACTTATTCTGTGACCAGCAATAAACCTCTAGATTGGAGTTTTGTACTTGCGGGCATTCAAAGCTAAGCCCGGCCAATGGGTCAGCGTTGAAAAGATATTGTTGAGGAGTGTTGCTTTTAGTCAACATAAAGAAGCATGCTTTGGAGGCTAGCATAGAAACAAGAGTCGCCTTGACTCTTATGGAATTTGCCCTGCAGTATTCTGGATGGTAAAGCTCTCTGTCTCCCTCAAACTGAAACAGTCAACTCTCCAACACTGAGTTTGCTCAAATATGTAGCTGACACCTATAATTGTAGATGTCTCTGGTGGCTTCTCAGAATGCCTACAAAAATAGACCCTCACGGCGTCAAAATTGCACTCTGCGATTCTCAAGAAGATACTATCAGGCCTCAAATTCCTGAAACAGCCCTGTGAAGCTTTGAAAAACTCCTCAAGTGTATCGCAGACGGTATCAAGGGAAGCAAGTCGTACTTGACCTAGTAGGCCAATGAGGTCACGTTGACACTCTACAGATATAACGCCGTGCAGAAGAAGGACTTTACCCTCGGGTTTTTTCCTCAAGTCTCCACCCAGACCTATATTTTGTATTGCGGGAGAGTGTATCGGGTGGGTGACCCAGACCCAGCTATGCATGCCATCTCTTTCTCTGTCAACCAGAAGCAAATAGAGTAGGCCCAAACCAAGCACGAAAAGGGAGCAGACAACAAACTTTGAGTTGTCCTTCAAGCAAGATGATGAATCTTTCAACGAGAGTTTGTAGAAGGCAGCCAAGGGCAGTGTTAAGAAGTGAATCGAGTCAAATAACAGCAACTTGATTCTGAACACGATCGACATTCCTGTGAATGTCTAGCCCCAAGAAGGGGGGGAGGACTGGCTTGCAACGAGGTTCTTTCATTTTTTTACACGTAATTTCAGGCAATTGTTACTCAAATCACCCTCTTACTTCTAGCTCACCTACGTGGTGCATAACCTAGCTAATAGGTTGCAGTGAATGGTTTTACGAACCAGAGGCTGCATTGGACAGCTAGCTCTCTGCATTAAACACAGGAGAAAATGGTCTAGAGCTTGTTGCGAAAGTCTCCTCTCGTTCGTAAAAGTAATTCATGACCTATATTCTCACCGCCCATGCTCATATTAGTGTGTCAACCTTGTTAAATTTTCTTTAATGGTCATGTCTTGCCTCCAAGATGGTATGACAGTGTCGAGACATAAGACCGTCTTTAAATTATAGGCTGCTACCTAATATAAGAGGCCTGGATTTATTAAGTGCCTCTTTTTCACAGTCATAAAACCCCAACCTCTTTCCAGGCTGGTTCTACTGCTTCAGCTATAATTTGGTCATGCGGGTACAACACCACAGCCTGATTCACCGTCACTTCTGCAAACTCGACAAACCTCGCCTGCGAATGCATCCGCGTATTTGTGAGCGTCGCGTAAAAAATCTTGCCTGCTCTGTCCCACGAGTGACCACCGAGCCGCATGGCCACTTTGTAAAAGGCATGGTTAGGCACTCCCGAGTTTCGATGCACGCCATCATCATACCAGGTTCTGCCTTTATAATACAGCTTGTGGGCCACATGGTCTGGCTGCGGATCCATGTTGGAAGTTGAAGAGGGGCCTTTAAGAGAACGCAGACTCGTCGCCTTGGACCCGACAAGAGATTTCGAATTTTGGTAGATAACATTGGCACTAAAAAGCTAAATTGCCAGGTGGACGGCCTGCCCTTGCTCCCACTGGAGTACCATGGAACCAAACACGTCAGAGACGGGCTCGTTAAGAGCGCCGGGCTGCCCTCTATACTCAGACTTGGCTGTGTGCTGCGTCACGCCGTGAGTAAGCTCGTACGCGATCACATCGAGGCTGTTGATCATGGACCCGGGCTTGAAGAATTCAGGATGGCGTCCCAAACGAGAGTGGCTATCGTCGTCACCAAACACTATCTGCTGCGACTGCGGTTCCCAGATGGCATTACGGTATCGGATTGAGTAGTGGATGTTGGCTTCGAGCTGCAGACCCTAACTATCAATTGAGTTCCTCCCCATCACAGTCTTGTAAAAGCTGTAGGTCGTCCTCGGCCCTTACATGCAGACGTTGACGTCCTGGTCTTGTCCGTAAAGATAGTCCTTTGAGGTTCTGTACAATATGCCTGGGAGGGGTTTACAGGATAAGCCTTTAACCTCTCCTGCCCTGTAGTTGACCCCTTCAAAGTTGACTGCCGCCATCCCCCAGATCTTCGAGCTGAATTCTTTGAATCGGTGGGAATATCATACTACCGAGTCTTAAATTTTGACTCGACATTATTGGCGTCAGAGTTTGCGGTCAGAGTCTCGGTGATGGCGTCAATCTGCTGTTGGGCTTCCCTCTTGACTTCCTCGCTGGCTGTCTCATCGTCAATAATGCACTGGAACAGAGTACGTGGCACGAAAGAGCATATAGCGGTCGGGATATGTAAGTTGACAGCAAGCTTGAAAGGTGTGTATGTGTAGAGTGTTTTAGGTTGTATCTTGGAAACTACTCTTAAAGGGAGTGAAGCTAAATTCACCTGGCTTTCTCGCAGATGTATAGGATATTCTATGTTGAGAACCATGTCGGAGAAACCTCCGAAGCCTGCCTGCTACCTCATCCTTGGTGGTGGGAATGGGGCGTGTCTGAGTGCAATGTAGTGCCAATGATAGTATTGTTTTCAGCTCATCAAAGGTAAGCCACAGGAAAAGTCCAGAATTCAGAACAAAGGGACCGCACTGAATGAGCTATTTATGTATGTACAGGGCAGATATTGTAGCTATTCCCTCCTCCTATTAGTCCCTATACATGACTATTGGCGACAAAACTATATCCGGCTATCCACCCTAGGCACCCCGCAGGACCTGGCCGTTGCCGCCCGCTTTGGTGGCTGGACTATTAATTGTGCTGCAGGGGGGTTCAAGCAAGTTTGGGGATCTAGAAGCAAGCTGAATAAGAGCCCATTAACTATAGACATGCCACTCGTAAATAGTGCTTTGAATCGGGGTTATTATCTGCAATCTCTATAAGGCTTCTTATCCAAAGCCACACCAAGTGTGTCAGCTCAGTTTATGCCGTTTGACTGTCACATAAATACTAGCGTTTGTTTGAACCTGGATTATGCCTTGCAATGGTCTAGATACCTAGCTCTGGGCATAGGCCCGTGTTGCCCCGAACATGAAGCTTTGTGTTCTTTATGGTCCTATTGGCAGATATGCTTTGCATGCCACAGTCAGGTTTCCACTTGGAATAGAATTCCAAAGGCCAGGCAAGGCTCGTGTTTCCTTTGCGAATTCTCTCAAGAACGTACATATCTACCACTTACTTACACAATATTCATACCTGCGGGCTTTCATCATCGACCTCTAAGTCGAGGAGATTTAATTCTTGAGTCAATCCTCATGCCCAAGGTATGAACTGACATGATCTTTCCCCCAGGCTGAGAACCCCGCGATCGTCGTTCCCGCATATCACGCACGACTGTGAATCCATGTCTGCCAAGTATCTTATGGGAATACCGTTGCTCTCGACATTGACCCAACACCTCGAGTCATGCAAAAATGAGATACAGAGACTGATTTGGCGTTGAACCCCTTAGGATAATCGTGTATCCTCGAGTCTTTATTCTATGCTTTTCTTTATCAACCATACTGGGCGGGCTAGAGCTGGTCTCACCATGTAGTCTCAGATACTCCTATAGTGGCTGCAAGTATCATACAGATTGACAAGAGACTCGGAACTTGTATGATACAGAGCTATTACTAACGCTTGAAGCGTTTTGATACGTCCATATATAAAGACTTTTCGTTCATCGGCTTCGAGGGTTTGAATGCTCACTTTCTACACCACGAAGTTGGTATTTTCGAAGTTTTCACCACCATAAGCAGCGATATACAGTCGATGACCACCCTGTTATAAGCAGCATGGTCGAGTAGGGTATGTGAGATTGTCAGATACTGCAAGACTGTAGAGTTAAGGCATCAATATACCAAAAGTTAAGAATCTTACAGGCTTAAAAACTTAAAAGATAAGTTGAGACAAGATCTGGAGACTGCGGAAGGTACAAGTAGATTTGGATAGACGCGCATCTAGATTATTACGAGAACGCAAGTCACCACATCTAAAATGACCAGAACCGTTGGCAGCTGCTACCATTTCCAATGGTCCGCGCTTTCTGCGATACTCCCATACATGCCGGATATCGGGCTGAGATGGACGATGGAGGCACTATATAGTGTAATCGCGATGTCAAGACTTCGAAAGGTATGGGTGGGCCATGTACTTGAGACAGTAGAACGAGCCAAAGGTCAAAGAGCAGCTCTGCGAGTCTAGGCAGGATTTTCAGGAAGGCAAGACGGCATATTTATAAGTGACTAGTCAATCATGACTGCCACTGGTTGCATATTCATGGATGCAAACGTTATCGCTCAATACAGACATATAAGACGAAAAGAAACAAAGACCTATTTTATTTCGCAGCTTCCTTGGCATCATTCAGCCGACCGCTTGTTGTTATTTAGCTTCAAACCTCGGAATAATTAGACTAGATTGCAAGTCTAGAGGCAATCGGAAGGGTATGGCTTGTACGGTTGCGCCTCAGATCCAAATCTTGATAGTTCTAGACTTGGGTCAACAGATGTTTCGATGGGTGCAGAGATGTGTTGGAGCATGTGACTGAAAACCCATATATTCTTTAGAGAAGGGGACGTTACAATATCTCAAATTCCCATATTTCCTACATTTCCCTACGCAATCTACTAGACTAGTCTAGCTAATGGTTGCTGACACCGACTGGACTATGCGGGGCAACTTAGAATACCATGGGCTATTCCGATTGGCCAAGATGCCACGAGTGACTGGCCGTCTGACGCCAGCCATGCGTTGTCGTTCGACTCGGGTAGTTTCGCATCGGATAGTTTCAAATAACGCTGACTTCTAATCTTATTGAAAGTTCATGCATAAAAGGTTGAATGGTTGCTTAATCTGACTATGGTATTTCCCTCTTACTCAAAACTCTCAAGAGCAGATATTCGTCTAATTTTGACCACCTATTCATCATGTCGTCCTCGAAGCCTGTTTTTCTGTTAGTCAGTGGTGGATGGCATCCCCCGGCAGCCTACGACAAGCTTAAGGTTCAGCTTGAAGCCAACGGATACGAGTATTACTGTCCACATCTGCCGTCCCTTGGACCGGCTGCCAGTGGAGTGACGTACGAAGCCGACGTGGATACGATCCGGGAAGTTGCGCTTCCACTCTTCGATCAAGGAAGGGAGGTTATACTCATTGCCCACTCTGCGGGCGGTGTTCCGGCTGTAAGTCTCTTCGACCAGTAGCCCATCCCCTGTTGTACCTTGTACCCCATTTGAAAAGCGCTAGGAATCGCATAGTAACGCAACAGCCTAGGTCGTGGCAGCTCAGGGCCTCGAAGTCGGCCAGCGTGCCGCGGAGGGTAAGAAAGGGGGCTTCAGGCACATCATATTCCTCGCCGCCGTCATCATATCCACCCGAGGCTCAGATACCCTCCAAACCCTGGGCGGCTCGTGGCAGCCAGGCCAAGGCGGCGGTGAGCCATACACTAAAGTTCGTTTGCAAGCCTCCTCCTTCACTTCGAGACGTGTTGCATGCACTGAAACTTACACGTGTAGGGTCATCTCATGAAGCTGGCCGAAGGCGCTGAAAAGACACTTTACAGCGACCTGCCGGAAGAAGAGGCCAGAAAATACTACAACTTATTCCAGCCCCACTCTCAAGATGCCTTCGAGACGCCCGTAAACTATATCGCGGCAGATCTTACAATACCAAAGACATATATAGTCACCGAGAATGATATGGCATTCCCGGCATTCGCGCAAAGGGCGCTGGCTGCGACGCTGCCGGATGTGCAAATAGAAAGCATTGAGACGAGCCACAGCCCTTTCGCGAGTCAGCCCGAGAATTTGGCGGCGATCCTTGTCAGAATTGCTGCAACTTCTGAATGAAAGTTTATATTAGCAAAAGATGGTTTCCATGGAATCCAAGTCTGATTCGAATGAAACTCAGGATACTTTCATCTCTTTTTGAACTCATGATGACCTCAAATAAGCCGTGCCACGCCACAGCAGCAATCCGTTAGCCGCTGCCCCGCTCCGGTACTCGGTGAGGTTCCGGAGTCATCTTAGTACGGAGCCTAACCACGTTACCCAAGTTAACGCTAGAGTCGCTCCTGTCGTTCAATACTCAAGTTACATCATACTACACAGTTCTCGAGGATCTAAAATCAAAAAGTATGGCATCAACCCTCGAGCGCCGGGCCACCACACCGGTTGTAGGATGGATCGGCCTCGGAAGCATGGGCACTGGAATGGCGAAGCGGATCCAGATGCACCTCTTCGACCAGGGCCAGGGAGCATTACGAGTCTACAACAGGACGGCGTCACGATGTAGTCCTTTGGAAGAGATGAATGCCCAGAAATGCGACTCGATTGGACAAATCGCGCAGGAATGCGACATCCTCTTCCTCTCGGTATGTGCCGACGCGATCTCAAAGTGATCGGAGCTCTGACTATGTGCTGGACAGTCAAGCGCAGATACGGCCGTCATATCTATAATTGACCAGATAATTGAGTCTGGCATTATCAGGGGCAAGATAGTCGTTGATACCACTACAGTCCATCCGGACACGACAAAAAGCATCGCTGCAAAATTGAGCACCGAGGGAGCCGGTTTTGCAGCCATGCCTGTGTTTGGTGCCTCGCCCGCCGCAGCTGCCGGCACGTTATTGGCGGCGTTCGCAGGTCCAAAAAATGTGTTGAGACAAGTTTCGCCCTTCATGAAGGGCGTCATCGCACGGGAGGTTCTTGTTGTGGGAACAGTGCCGGAGCAAGCGCTTCTTCTGAAGACGACCAGGTAAGACTATCGCTGACGATTGTTTGCACTGCAAGATATTTGCAAAGACTGACCACCCTCTGAAAGCAACCTCCTCATGGCGTCACTGATGCAGATCATTGCCGAGGCGCACGTCTTTGCATCCAAGACCGGCTTGCCTGCAGAAACGCTCGAGCGCTTGCTCGAGCTCAATTTTGGGCCGGTAGCTCATAGCGATTCCATAAGAATGACCACTGGCGTATACTGTCCGGGACAGGGTCAAGTGCCATGGTCTGATCTCAATCTTGCTATCAAGGATGTAGGCCACGCTATCGAGCTGGCAGAGCGGGAAGGTGCGAATCTGCCAGCCAGCCGTATCGCGTACGAAGGACTCGGGAAGGCTAGAGAGTGGGCAAACAACGAGGGGAGGGTTAGTGCAGATGAGCCACGGCGCTTAGATTCGACAAGTCTTTTTGGTGTGGCGAGAAAAGAAAGCGGGCTTGATTTCGAAAGTGACTACGTGAAGGAAAGGGATGAAAAGGCTCGTGAAGATCACGAGAACCACGGGTGATGCTCAATGATATGGTCGAGATATGGTGCAACGATATGCGAGTACTGCTGATAACAATGTGCTCCACAAATATGGTCACCAAATTGGAGGTTGAGAGCTTACAACTTGATGAGATCGCTATGTATATTTTCCTTTGCAAAACACCTGACGAGATACCTGGCGAAAAGACAGTGGAAAAGGCAATGTTCTGGACCCGGCTAATCAGAGCCTTGCGCCGAGCTCTAACTTCAACCAACCTCTCGAGTCATAGCTTACAGAGTGAAACGGAAAGATGGATGATCATCACCCATATTCTTCACCACATCATCAGGTAGAGCAAGGCGATAGTCTCGCTTACCTGCGGCCCGCTTCCTGTTTTCCAGCCATAGACCGATAAACATGGCTGTTGCGGCCAGACCACCGAGCCAAAGCATTGCGAGTGATGTGCCGTAGCCGGTGGCGTAGGTCGGCGCTTCGTCTGGCACGAAAATATTGGCCCCGATGATGCCCGCAAAGTTGCCAATCATCACCTGGACTCCGGAGCTAATGGCCCGTTTCCAGTGCCCTGAAACATTGTTCGATAGCCAAGCCAGCGCGATGGGTGTGCACATATAACCACCAAGGGAGACCAAGAATATGGCTGCAAACTTGGCATCCTGCGATAGCATGGCCTGATTAAGAAGCATACCGTAGCCAACGGTTGCTATGAGACACCCGAGCAGGATGAAACCATACCGGTGGCGAAGTCTATCAGACAGATAGGCCACTAAAAGCATTCCAACTGCGGAAACGGCATATATAGGTATTGTGCGGACTTGTGCTTCCTCTGCCTTCCAACCAAATTCGTTGAGTATCGTCGGCATAAAAAAGGTTGTCGCGTATCCAGTCGTACCGATTCCCATGTAAACAATAGAGCCCAGCCAGATCTTCCAGTCAGAGAAGATCAACTTGTAGGCATATCTGTCGAGCGTGTCCATTCGCGCAAAGCCAGCGCCGTCATCAGCCAAGCGGCGCTTGAGGATTACTTTCTCTTCTGGGCTTAAGAAGCGACACTGTTCAGGCCAGTCGACAATCAAGAAAGCAGAGATAATGGCGACGAATGATGTCGTAGCTCCCTCAATAATAAAAATCCAGCGCCATGCTAGGTATCCCTTCAGTTGGCTGAGATCTGCAATGGCGTATGCAAGCAGCTGATGCTATTAACGATCGTGCAGTATTGTAATGTCTTAAAGATACTCACCCCTCCAAACGCACCGCCAGCCAAGGTGGAACAAAACAGGAAACTCATTCTTATCTGAAACTCATGCCTTTTGTAGTACATCGATGTAAGATATATGATGCCTGGAAGTACACCAGCTTCGGTAGCCCCAAGAAGAAAACGCAGCGCGACTAGTCCTTCGTAGCTGCGGACGAATCCCATGCACATGTTGGTAATACCCCAGCTAAACATCAAGCCTGAAAGGTACAAGGATGGTCTGACTTTCTGAATGATCATGTTGCTTGGCACTTCGAGAAGGACGTATGGAACGAAATATATCTGCCGCCACATTAGATGGACCAATTCAATAGGAACCTCGTCTTACGAATAAGGCAATGTTGAACCTATTCCCACTAAGATCAATGTCATCGGCAAGTCCTTGGATTCTCCCGTTACTAATATTGATACGATCAAGGAATGAGAGCATGTATATGACGAAGAGGATTGGATAGACGTCTTGTTGCGATATGTGGGTTAGCCAACTCGTCCTGCTCAATATTCAGCAGTCCTTCTCGCCAACTCACAAAGATCAATTTTCCGCACCAAGCGGCGCTCAATATCGGCGTCGATGGTATCGATACTCAGAGACGTTGACGCGTCCATGGAAGAAGTGGAAGCCTTTTCAAGAGGGTTTACTGGGACGGTTCCATTCATGACGTCTGGTTCAATTGGAGGATCGTTGGCCGTCATGGTAGGAAGTCGTGAATAATGATTATAACACGACTTGCGCAGCAAGATAACGAGGAGCAACGTGCGGACGGAATAAATGCCACGAAATTAGTTATGACATAGAGGAACGCACCGATGCAGTGGAACTTCTTGGTGACGAACTGGAAAAGCGACCACCGGCGTTGTGTGGCACAAAATGTGGCGGGTCACCCTTTGGATTATGTCCTTCTAGAAGAACTTCACTGGCTATTGCCGCTGTCCTGAATTGTCTCTTCTCTGACGAGTGTCGGGAACTGTAGTAGACAGTACTCTAGTAGAAACCGTAAGCAAGCATGCAGCTCGTCGCATATCACGGTTCAATCCGCTCCCATTGAGGTCCATAAAAGCATGACGTGCTGCTATGACTTCAGAATTATTGACTCTATCATGTCTCGATCGCTCTGATGAGTCGCGGTGAGATACCGCCCATCTTGTACGTTGGCGCTAGATATAAGACAGCATCTGATCAAGTACAACAGCGGTAGGCTGAGGACCTTATCGGGATTTGTCGAGCATGGTGGCGGAGAGGGGTCGATTGAGAACTCCATGGTGTATTTTCAAGGGATATACGTGATCTGATTTATTGTGAAGCACAGCATTTGTCTTGGAGACTCTGTTCGGCATTAGACGCGTACTGCAACTCGGCGGTAACAATACGTGAACCAAAATGTCTCCATCGGGATCGATGGGAGGTGAGGCGAACTGTTCGTGCTTGAAGAATGGCACAGCCCCACGACCCTCATGACCTCAATAACATAGAGACAATACATAGAGACAACACACCGTAGATCGACGCGAGCACACCTAGTCTCATCGCGAATGGACATATATTGATGTCAGATGAGCTCGATGCGTTGGCGCAACTTTGTCTTCGCGCAAAAGCTTTAGACAATGATCATGCCTGCTAGCGTTTAATTCCAGTTGGCGACATCTAGGGTTACACGAACTGTGCGTATCCAAGGCCTTGCAGATGCTGTGGTTGGTTGTGCTCAAGTTATCATCGCAATATTTGCTCGCAAGCTAATTGGAGGTTATGATGATGACGAGCTCGCATCCATCGTGTTTCCTGTTGATAATTGGCTTGGTGGAATGCGAAATACGGTAGTAATGTAATCTTCCACTGAATATCACAGATAACTCTACTGTGAGAGCTTTCGGCCACCGTGCGTTGCCTTATCTTGAGGTCCGCCACTACTGAGCAAACACACCAGACAAGATGATTGTCTCAGGCGGTGCTTTCAACGCCTAATCCATCTTGTGCAATCAGTTTGCTTGTCTGGTCGGTGGATAATTTATAAGCAGCTGCGGGTTCAGACAGTATTATGCATGTTTCGAAGTACTCAAGAAGACGCAAGGCAGGCCTAAGCACTGATTTTCGGGAAACTGCAGGATTGGAACGACTTCGTGCCTGTTTTCAACACGAAGCTTATTATGAGGCTAAATCATGATTATTTTACACACTATCACAGATCCTTACTACTCGATAAATATCAAAAGCCCCAGTTGAGTTGCCACTTTCACGTGGTTGTGTCAATTGAAGATGGACTTTGACCGTCTCAACACATGACCTTAGATTCGTCACTGTAAGGGACCCCGTGTGCGACAGCTGTACGACAGCTCATTTCGGTTTGCACAAGAGTCTGTTTCTGTTTGCTTCACATCAGTTAGGACATTGTCTGCTCGATGTAGATCTTCAGGTCTCCCAGGCAAATGCATACTCTAAACTTGAAGCCTGACATTGTCGAGTTGAACTATTATCAACATATCTGCTCCATTTTGCACACTATATTTGTCAATCAAGCAAGTTGTGGTCATCACTCATATATCGAAATAAACTGTGTAGCCTCGATTGAATTGCCCTGGTAATTATGCTCAACACTTAACGCCGTCATGACCATGATCACCTGAAGAATAGCAGTAAACAGACTGACTTGGCTCGAGAAGTATACATGAGATACTTGCGATATCGAGATACTATATCGGAACATTAAGTTGTGTCAAAATTGGCGGTACAAGGTGTTCAGCGAGTTGCGTCAGGAAACGACATCCACGGGTTGGTTCGGCGGCACCTTACCAATATTCCATCGATTATCTGGAACTCAATGAAATGGAGTAATCGAGATAATCGTTTTCTTGACTCTCGAATAAGCACCAAATGAAAGGAAAAATTTGCCAGCAACAAACCCTTGCTTCACTTCAACGTAATCTTACGAACTTTACTTCACTTTTTTCCTTCTTTCCTTCACCCCACCTTACTTTATTTCAGCTCAGCCCTCTCGTCCAGGCACTACATAACTGACGAAGAGCAGCAGATTCCTCAGGTTTTGCGAAGTTCCAGCAACATAATTGATGACTGTGTGAGTGTTGGTAACTCTCAGATATTTGTCTCGGACAATTTTAAGCTCGTTAGAGTTTTGTTGGAATCTTCACTGTCTATTTGCCGGAAATTGGTCGTCGTCTGCTCGGTAGCAACATACCTCAATTCAAGTTTGGCGGTCCTTATCCTGACTATGAATCTTGGTCGATTCACAGGGAACATCACAGGCCACTTCAACGCTCTTCAGAGCCAAGACTTTTAACCTCTGCCACTGCTTCCAAAGCTCTCTGAAGCTTTTTCTCCACTTTTGGTCATCCTGCAGATCCTTGGCACTGAGTCGGGATGGCGGACGCTGATGGCTTCTATGATGTTAGCGGCAGCCATGGCGAGACTGATTCGGCCCTGATCTACATTCCCACGGGAATATTCCTGTTCTTTTGTCCACTACTTGTTGGTACACGTCTGTGGTCGCGAATGAGGAAGGGCGGTAAGATTGGCGCTGATGACTACACTGTCCTCGCCTCCCTGGTACAAATAGATCACTTGTATCATATTTTTTCTGTTCGCTAATATGCATAGTTTTTCTCGCTTCTGACAGCCGGCCTCATGTTCGCAGCATGTTACCACGGATATGGACGGCATGGCTTCGATTTGACTCGAGAGGACAAGATGAAAGCTTTGAAGTATTTCGTCCTTACCCAGGCCACCTACAAGGCCTCAATCAATCTCACTAAGTCTTCTATTCTGCTTCTCTACATGCGCATATTTGGAAAAGTTCGATGGTTCAAATGGGTTTGCATCAATCTGACCATCATTGTCGCCATGTACTGCACTGCTTCACTCATAGTCACCATCTTCCAATGTACTCCCGTCGAGAAGGCATGGGACAAGGGAATGGTCGGAAGCTGCATCGACAACGGCAAATTTTGGTACGCAAATGGCGCCTTCTCTATTGCGACCGACATTATAATATTGCTCCTCCCCATGCCGCTGGTCTATGCCCTCCAACTTCCCAAAGTTCAGAAGGCCGCGCTCATCCTTGTCTTTACATTAGGAATCTTGTGAGTCATTGATCTAACATAACTAGATTTTTCTGACGTGATATCCACAGTGTTGTCATAACTTCTTGTTTGAGACTCACCACTCTCAACCACCAGGCCGTTACACCCGATCCCACCTATGACATTGTATCAACCATGTGGACAGTCATCGAGATGAACGTGGCCATTATGTGCGCTTGTCTCCCCCAGATACGTCCTCTCCTTGTGAGGTTGTTCCCGAAAGCCATGCCAGCATCCTATTCCAACGGCCCGCTCGGAAGACCGCCGTACAACAGTGGCTTCACTAAAGGTCCCAAAGGCAGTCCATGCAAGAGCGAGGGCAGTGGCTGGAATCATATTGAGGGCAAAGATGCCATTCATCTGACCAAGGTTCGGAAGGGCGATACCAGCTCAGAAGAATATATCCTTCAGGATGATAACACCATCCATAAGACAGTGGGCTTTAGTGTTGAGTTCTCCAAGAAGCCATCGAGGGATACACTAAACACCCTCGTATGATGACCGGATTTTGACGGCCATCTTCTGTCTTCATGATGTCAGCAATGTCTTGTTTCTATTCAACTGTCACCACGGACTGTCGGTTTCAAAGCCTTGATGAGGCTAGCAGCTACATGGGCTTAGCAATTGTTGATGGTTTATCTGAGCCTGTAGGGCCTTACTCTTGTTTTCAGGAAGGGGATTGACGGACGCATCTTATCTTGGGGGAAAATTGAAGGATGAAGAGTCAAATGTGCAGAAACATTACAACATCGCTTGCAGTTGCTCCGACTTGGGTCAGTATCATTGGAGATAGCCGAATACATGCTATTTTACCCTAAAAATGGCGCATTCTCATTAGGTGCTTGTGCCTGACTAGACATACAAATTGAGTTTCGAAACTGTAAATTGCGATCTCATAGATTTGTGTTTTCGATAAGATGCGCCATTACGGGCACTTCCAATTACTCATACTCACTCTCTCGGATCAAAGCGAGAACTAGGACGAATACATAAGCCACGACCACACTGAGGTTAGTCTATGTTAGATGATATGACACCGATGTAGATACACACCCGGCCGCAGCGCCTATCCACTGGGTACCGAGTGGGCGGGCAATTGAGAGATCAAATTACCGGAAGTTTTGATCCCAAGCAACGTCTTGGCTGTGCTCAATGCCCGGAACGAGCTAGCCTCACTGCATTCACTTCCAAGTGGCGGCAAGTCTCTCAACAACCGAAAATCCGCAATATGCTTGCCGATAGGCACACAAGAGCCATTTGAATTCTGCATGGCAGATGGACCATTCGAAAGGATCTAAGCGGTTGTATGAGCAACATGCGTTACAAAGAACAATGGCTACTCAAGCACTGCTTTTCTATTCTCAAAGCACTGTCGATTCACGAGACCCATGTTCGACGCTGGGACCCGACACTCGTCCGTAAAGTCATCTGTTGGTATCCCCAATGACGCTCTCGGCCAGTCCACAGATCTTGTGCCACCCTAACACCTATGCGATACGGTGCACCACCACAATCCTCGACAGGCAATGAAATGAAATGTGCGGTCTACCAGTGAGACTGATGACATCTTCCGAGTACAAAGGGATGTGCAATATGTTGCCAATTAATTACGATTCGGCATTTGGTGTTCTCCATGTGCAGGTCAACCTAACCTTATATCATTGCACGTGTATTGAGTCTGCTTTAGGGTATAGCTGCGTAGTGAACCGTTGCTTTAAGATCGCCGATATGTGCTGTCCGCCGGATTGATGTCCCATTTGTCATATGAGTGTGTGTTGCGACGTAGTTTTCCGGCACGCAACCCCTGTAATAACCACTAACAGCCCACGACAATACAGCCTGTCGGGTTTGACGAACTGAGCGCTGGCCCCGCTCGTCTGCATCGCATCGTTCCTGGCTGCATCTTGCGCCAGCCATTTTGCCAGTATCATTCAATGTGGTAATCTCATGTAAGCATTTGTGGAAGTGAGCGACGACGTGACAAAATTGTAAATCTCATTATCATTATCTCTAGTCATGACACTCTATCCATTCCAATCTATACAGTCCAACTCCAAAAACTCGTATCGACATCCGCTTTGACCTTTGTTCTTCCTTTCCTCTGAGGACTTTACTCGGGCTTGAGAACAGCACGGAAGTGCACCTCGCCCTTGTCTAGCTTGTCCATGGCCTCCTTAATGCCCTCCTCGGTCATGGGGAAGGTCTCGGTGACGGGGGCGATGCCGTGCAGGGCGGCGAACTCGAGCATGTCGCGGTGGATCTTCCTGGGCGCGACGATGGAGCCCTGCACCGTGATGCCGTTGGCGAGCAGCGGCATGTAGGGCACGGAGAAGTTGCCCTGCGCCACCGACAGCGGGTGGATCGTGGCTCCCGGCGCCAGGATCGGCATGAGCTGGTCCCAGTCGGGCTGCGCGGAGGTGGTCACCAGCAGGCGGTTGAGCGGGTGCGATACCTTGAGCTGCTTGGCGTCCTTGGTGGCCACGAACTCGTGCGCACCCAGCTTCAGTGCTTCGTCCTTCTTGCGGTCCGATCCGGACAGGACGACGACGCGACATCCCATCTTGGCCGCGAACTGGATCGCCAGGTGACCCAGGCCGCCGACGCCCATGATGCCGACAGTCTCGACGGGCTGCGCGTTGTAGGCCCTCAAGGCGTTCCACACGGTGGCACCACCGCACTGCAGGGGGGCGGCGGCCTCGTCGGACAGCGCGTCGGGGATCTTGAACAAGAAGGCCTCGCGCCAGATGGCGTGCGAGGCGAAGGAGCCCTGGTCCAGGTCGGCCGATGCGTACATGGCACGCTCGGGGCAGTAGGTCTCGGCGCCCGTAAGGCAGAGGTTGCAGTGGCCGCACGAGTCGTGCTCGTAGCCCCAGCCGACGCGGTCGCCCTTCTTCAATGTCTTGACGTCAGGTCCGAGCTGCTCCACGATGCCCACGCCCTCATGGCCCAAAGCCATATCCGTCGTCTTGTAGTGCAGGTCCGTGCCGCACAGGCCGGAGGCTGTCACCCTCAAGAGCACCTGGTCGCCCTTGAGCTCATCGGGCTTGGTGGTCGTCGACTTCTTGGGGAGACCCTCCTTGGAGCCCTTGAAAACCGTGAAAGAAGGCATGGTGGTGATGTGTAGTTTATGTAGGTTTCGATTTGCTATACGACTAGTGTGATATGTGATTGGTCGGTAACGAAGCAGTCAGGATTCAGTTTAGATGCACGCTAGAAGGTTTAGAAATCGGGGTATCTTTTGTATTTGAGAAGAGTGTCTTTAGTCGACCTTGAGGGACAGACCGTTTCGTCAAAGACTATATATACATATTCGAAAGGGCCCGACTCGTGCATCCATAACTGCTTGCTAATCTTTCCATCTGTTATCATGATCCGCAAATGAGTTGATAGTCTATGACGTGAGATTGGTTGTATCGAAAATTCTGCATCGTTGAGCTCGTCAAAGCCCGACGTCAAGGCAGGGGTCCCGCGGCAGGAGCCAAACCAGAACGTCATTTAGGTGGCGCGGTGCGGGCCTTGATGGTGCGGCTGTCGTTCCGCATGAGTGCCAGCCAATGAGGTTGGCGGCCGGGAAAGCATTCTAAGGCATTCTATCGCAATTCTACTCTTGATGTGGATTGTCTCGGCGGCGTTAACCATGCACTATGGTGTTTTTGACAGTGGTGTCGGCCAACGCCAACGGAGAGGCATGGTGTGCGAGCTTTTTTGATGGGGAATCCGCGGCTATCGCGCACCAGATTTGGAACTATAAACGGCTTGTTCCGGCTGGCGTTAGTGACTAAGCCCACTGACAATCGGCGCACGTGGGAGTAGTTAGGAGATAAGATTCATTAACGCCCCGCAATATTTCCAATCCCAACCATGGCCTGTTTTCGGAGTTTAGACACAGGATCGATTACATATACATACAATTCCGGTATATTAATGCCAAAGACCCATGGTCACATCGCCGAGGATGGTGAGTCAGCTAACAGCGTCGCATTACGCACGTCGTGCAGTTCGATGTAAATGCGGCGCGCGCGCGCGTTTCAACGAGCAAGCTCATTGCTCTAGTCGAGGTTACAGACTTTGAGGCTGAAGTTGACAGGCATGAGATATTACTGGACGAATCTCATAATGTGCTCATCTCATTGCTTAGTGCTTTGACATGGTGAAGCGCATGTAGGCGTATGCAACGCACGTAACTTTCGCCTAACATCCAGGCCGGGTAGGTTTGCGCGGGAGTGCGGAAGCAAGAAGAGAGATTGCTAGATTATATATTCAATTCAGCCACTGCCATTCTAGTACTGAAGAGGTAAACCGTTGATAAGAAGTCATGCTAACGCCAACCATGCCAATAATAGGGTATCATGATACCATCCCAGTCTCGAAACGCATCCTATCCATGTCGTTGGTAAGGGCTCTCATGCTTCTAGCCAGTTGGTGCTGTGCCTCGTCAGAATCGTCATCATTTTCATCTTCCAATAAATCACTCAGATCCTCGTCATTTGATCCCATGTCACCACCAATCTTCTTTGAGTCCCTCCCGAAGATACGCGCTCCTCCTAGTCTTACTTCTGATGCATCGAGAGTCTCGGCAATGTCCTTGATGAGGATATCCATCGGAGAAATATAAGCAACTTGCTTCCTGTGACTAAATGCCAATACATGACCACATAGATCGCCCTTGCGTCGATCAATAATCCAAGCTCCAGAGTCTCCGGGTATACCGAGTGAGGCACCAGGAATGGTGCGGGCATTGGGCGAGGAGGCGCTCATAGGGCCCAAAGGGGGTATACCTTCAGAAGCCGCCTTGCTACTGACTTGGTACGTCTGACTCATGGACGTACGTCCGTAGATTTTGATAGAAGCAATCGCAGGCAAGATTTTGCCTGTCTGAAGACCACTTGTGCGAGCACTACACTGGACCTCCATGCCAGGTAACTCGGCTGAAGTTGCCACAGCAGTAGGCTGGAAGAGAACGGCTCGTGAGCCAGGACTCTGCTCGGGTAATTTCAACCGAGGAAGATGGTTGTCCTCAGGAAATCTGTCCTCCTGAAACTCAAATAGCGCCCAATCAATCTCATGCACGTATCCATTTGGCTCGTAACGCCTCCGGATGCCCGAGGTAGCATATATCTCACCAAGGCGGTATGTATCCAGGTGATCTTCAGCTTCCGTGTCTTCCGACGGATAGAAGTCCTTTTGGACATCGTCAAAAGCTGGCTGGGTGATGACATAGCCTTCACCACAACCTGGTTCGACCCCTGGGATGTCGCCATCCTCTTCGTATTCACCCTCGTCTTCTTCGTCGTCGCTCGTAAAGTCTGTAGCCGAGTAGTCGGACTCGGTGTCGGAAAACTCGCATGCGTAGTCCTCGCTACCGCTGCTCTCATCCGTAGATTCTGCTTCCAGGTAGGAGAAGTCTTGCGCAGCAGCGCTACTGCGCATCGGCGGGGCAGCCATTATGGCATCAAGTGAATGCGTGCGCATCTCTTCTTGGTCGTCGAGCATATGGTGAACAGTCATTCCATATGTTTTGTCATTTACGGTAATAAGGCCGCCAAAACTGACAGGGGGGAGATGGCGGTCACCTATCCAAGCGCCTATGCTTGCACCATTTTGAGGCCTGACCTGAAATCCAGGGTTGGCTGCAGAATGCTCAGCTTCTCCGTCCCCGCCTGTCTTCTCATTATGCGCCATACCCCTACTGGTCTCTCCTTTGCGCGACCGCACAACGGATCCTCTGCAGACCTTAAGACCAAACCCTGTACCTTCGTCGAAAAATGCACCAAGCTTCTTTCTCAGAATTGTACGAACTTTGCTGACGGATGTGCAAACCACCAGGACAGTCGGCGTCGTCTTCTGCGGAGACTCACCGATCGATTCTAGTGTGATCTCTACTGACTCAGGATGCTTGCGACAGAACGGTCGCAAAGCCATATTGATTTGCGGCATTACTGTCTTATTCCATTGCTCGACAGCCTCAGCGGGTAACGGGATCTGTGGGTAGAGGCGAAGCTTCGTGGACTCGGCTTTTTGCGGACTGGTCTCGGGCTTGGTGTCTAGATCTGGAGACAATGTAAGTATAATTCTGATGTCTCTGGCATGGAAACTTACTCTTTGGGGCTGATATTGGCGCTCTGGGTGGTCCTTGTTTTCGCTCGGGTATGACTGGCGTCGTTGCGGTTGATCTGGACTGTTTGCCCTCTGCCGATGGACCTGCCAGTGACGACATGGATATAGCAAGAGATGGTTGCCGCTCACGCGCAGTGAGTGGAACATCACCGATATCTTCACTAATCCTGTCGTCTAGGGCATTCACCCCATCAAGAATACTGCAAGCCTCGAGATATCGACTGGCACGTATTTGAACCTGGCTTAGAATCTCGTCACTAGAACCTGGACGAGCGAGTTCCTGCTCGACTGCATTCCAGCAAACTTGAACAGCTCTCATGTATAGTGTGCCGCACTGGATTGCCAGCTGTTCAAGCACTGATTCCGGGATGCTGGGGGACGTGGGATTGGGTATCAAGTTCTCCAGCCTTGTCCACAGTCCAATAGAGACGAGAATCATTGCTAAAGAATAAAGATCCAAGGTTTTAGTGTCGCGATTGCTAGCCAATGGTGACTGCGCCGTTGTCCTTGGGTCGAGTGGGTGGCGGTGCAATGTCGTGGACGTGGTGAATGTTTGAGGTCCCTCATCTGCAAAGAGATCAAATGATGAGATCAGCGGTTTTCGAATATCAACACCATCAAGCTGCATACCCGGCTCGCTTCCTGCAGGGCTGCAAAATGAAACGGTCGTGTCTAGAAGGTTACCATGGGTAATCCCACGCGCATGCATGTCGAAAATCGTATTGGCGAGGTTATGGGCCAAACGGAACTTGGCCTCCAATCTAGGTTCGAAACCAGGCCGTGAGAGTAGCTCGCCAAGCGTACACATGTTATCAATGGGGTTTTGCGTCAGGTTCTCGAAGGTGACGGGCTGGAATTCCTTGGGAAACTGGTACACAAGTCCCAATCTTGAATTTTCCATGTCTTCGTAATATCCTAATAGTAGTGGTAGACCTATCCAAGCACCGGGTGACCTGTGAGAATCAGTCTGCAGCCCCGTGCTCAAATTCTCAAAACGAGACATGGATGGCATGATCCCAGTCGCAGAGTAGACAGGGTCGAAAGCGGCGAACTCGAGAAGGAGAGGTGAGTATGACTGAAGCCCAGGGCGATTAAGATCCGAGTAGGCCTGTTTGCTCATGAAAATGACCTCCTGTGGTCGTGGGCTCTCGGCGATGGGCGACATCATGGGTTCAGCTTGCATAGATTTGATATTTGTGAGCGTACTAGGGTCGATCTGCTGTGGTGTCTGAATGCGAGTCGAACCAAATGGCTTCGCCTCTTCGGTCGACTTGTTCGATCTGGCAGCCCGTGCCGACGTTGCGGCCGATGATCTTGTTCGTGACAAATCGTGAAGAGTATCGATCGAGGCTGTCAGGTCCTTGATCAAGTCCTCAAACCGTCCTTTGTCCCATACCACTATTGGGAGCTTCTTATCTCCAGTTGGTCCTTCAGGTTCCTTTTCGCCAATTCTGCGCTTTGAACTCAACCACAGTGGCTCTGCCTCAGCGAGGATGTCTTTTATAGTGGACATGATACTCCCGACGAGGTCGCTAAGGCCAGCTTTGGACAGAGACTCGTCTATTTCTGCATTCTGGTTCGACGGATCCGACCATTCCAGTCCCCAACTTACCAACCTATCCTTTTGAATTTTGAGCTTGCGGTGCATGGCCTTGATCTCAGGGTCTTCTGATGAAGGTTCTTTGACAAAGTCTGAGGATTTTTTTGTATCATTGTACAGCCGGCTAAGCCTCCTCTGGAAAGGCAGCTGGAAGCCACCGAGAGGAAGGAAAGACTCCATGACTGCAACAGTGTCTGGGGCCTACTCCAGAGAGCTCAAGTGGAACAACTGGGTTGACGTTATAATGGCAGTGGGTGGTGATTTCTACCAGATGCCAAGATCTCCCGTAAGCTGCTCGCCTACTTTTATGACCCCGCGCTGGTCGGTAATTGGATGAAATGGGATTTGCAAAGCGGAACGTCTCGCGAATGCCAAACCACTGACAAATTAGTCCTGTTGCCGATTCCGAAAGGTGTGATATGGTGTTCACAAGAATCTGATACCAGTTCCCGACTGGAAAGAATTGGTGGACAAGTCGTGATGTTCATAATCAGAGAATATGGCTGCCTTTGCACGTGTGTCCCATGGTCGCTAATTTTGGTGCCTATTTTGGGAAGAAACGACTCCGGGTCCACCTGTCGCCTGGGAAGACCTTCAGCTTTGATGGAATTGGGTGCAATGGGTGTGCGTGTGTGTGTCGTCGCAAATTGCAGTGAAGAAATGCTGCTGCCTGGACATTGGCGTTGATTGAACTAACAAGTTCAGTTACACGCGAGGAGCAGGGAGCCGTTGCTATTCTGATGCCTGGACCCAGCACACGAGGAGAGGAGGAGGCTTGGACGCACAGACCATATATGGAGAATCGGGAAGAAGCTGAGCTCGTTTTGCTCAACCAGGTACAAAAATGAGGTGGTCAGGTAGTTGCAAGCCCCACTTGCCAAGGGTGGCTTTGCAAAAGTTCCGCAGGGACAAAAAACAGCGCTAATGATGTATGTTCAGCATGGTTAGGCATATGCTGAGTACAGCACTACGTGCACTGGAATTACAGCGCTAGGTGCACTGGAAACAGACACTCGGTGCACTGGAAATATAGTGCTAGGCGCGCTATAAACACAGCGCTGAGTGGATTAGAGATTTGGCTCGAGGTACACTCAGATTATACCTTTAAGTACGCTTTAAAAAATGTATCGTTAAATATATTAGAAGTTTAGTTAATATATATTAAATATAAACTCCGGCACGCCCCAGTGCGTGCAGTCTCTAATTTTGCGAACAATTTCGTGCTCGATAATGTCACGCTTCTTGCTATCATCAAGCCGGCTGAAGCTTGTTTTGACCGGCGTTCCGAAAAGCTTAGATATGATGCTAGAAGGCGGGGCGTCGACGGCTTCGAAGAGATTGATAGGAAAAGTCATCGCCACATCTCAGGAGCTTGGCTTCACGACCCGAACTATCATCAAGCTCTCGCTCGATGGCTCCACTACCTACTCTGTGTCCCTTAACTTCTGTGTGGGAAACAGTGCATGGACGGGTGCTCAGGCCATCTACGGACGTTGCGAGCTCACTATCCCTGCGACTGCCATACATTCCATGATCGACCACGAAGCATGGGTTTACCCTAACCGTAACAATTCCGAGGACCATGCTGACAACGATTCTGATCAGGACTCTGAGACAAAGTAGGCACTCACATACAGCTTCTTGCCTACAACAAACCAGCGTGCTGGAAAGAAGGCATGGCTAGCATCCAGAAAAAATGGCTGCGCATCAATCCTCATCACATGTCCTACTGCATAAAACTAGAATGGGGTCGAAGTAAATTGCTTATACCATGGTGTATTAATTTACTTGGCCTACTCTTGATCCATGATCGACAAAGAAACCCCATCTTCCTCATCCAATTCCTGCATACCGCGACGAAAGGCTTTCGAACTCTTTTCCTTAACCACTTTCTTCATGCGCCGTAGGCGGGCCAAACGGGTCACTGCGGTGGAAGGTTGGGTCTGCAACAAGAATAAAGGCTCGTCAGCGTCAGCTTCCTGCGCCTCCAATTTCTTGTGTTGCGCGAGCAATCGAGTCAAGGAAGAGGCCACGAAGGTCCCGTCCTTGCGCGGATGCATTCGGCGCAAGAAGTCGACTTCTCGTCCATCCGACACGCTAGGTTCTGGCGAAAGCACTGAGTGCAAGGCATCCCCGTGATCATGCCAGCAGGTTCCACGGCGGCTGCGAGAGAAATACGATTGAGCGTTTTTCGGGATTTCGTGACCTGCAGGGAGGTCCTGTGATTTCCTGGTCCCTGATGATATCTAGGTCGTCTGTCATGACAGCCGTAGCTTGTGTTTCTTAATGGCTGATATTTATATGTGGACGAACTGAAGGCTGGCTTCTGATGCGCGGATCGGTTGAGTGGCTGGCAGAGGTCGTTCACTATCATCCCAATACGAACATTCGCCGAACAGTTTATAGTGTTGAGGACTCCGAGAGTTACCTGTAACTGTCTCAGAGTCCTCGTTCATATCTAGAAACTCGTCAATAGCCACCCCTCGTAATTCTATTCTCGCTAGTGGTGTCAATGTTTTCAATATTGCTGGGCTGTCGAGCTCGGTTACCATCGATTTTAATGCTTGTTCCAGCTTCGCTTTATTTAGTTGTGATATTTGCTCCGTCCAATATTTCCGTTTCTCATCAACTAACGTGTGGTCCTTACGATCAAACGAGTTCTCCTGCGCAGTCGACTGTAGGGCCGCCCTGATACGTGTAGCAGGAAATAATACACCCCCTTTTCGAAATCATCTCTAGACATCGCAACATGTCCTCGATTACGCTTATTTGGTCTTACCTTGGATCTTTAGAGGTTCTAGCACACGCTAACAGTTAAGTATATACGAGGCTAAGATGGAAAATTCGCGCCAAGACTACGTAACTTGAGCAAAGGGTATACCACTCCATTTACTGGTAACACGATTATTACGTTTTTGTCCGAGAGCTAATCAAAAGGCCTATATTCTTATAGACCTGTGTGGACAGCCAACTCTGGGTAGTATTACCACAAGGGCAATACCTGTTTATGTGCCCACCGTTGAATTGTATTCGGCAGGTGTCAGCTTGCTGGTATTCAGGTGCTTTGATCGAGAAACGTGCGGGACAACCAGGAATAAACAAATTCAAAAACTCGCTCTATGGGGATATTGCTTATTCTACTTTGACTACTTGGTCTAATAGTGAACACGCATCGAAATATAGTTGAAACAGTGCCTAAGTTTAGTAACACAATGGGGCATTCAAGTAGTTTCATGGGACCTTATTTACATTCGGTCTCTTCATATAAATACATGAGACATACAAGCCACTTCCCTTTTCAACGTTTGACCAGCGATTACGTGGCAATAACAATCTCTGTTATCCTAGGATTGAGTCACATCTGCTAACCATCTTAGTTGTTGGCGGCTGGCTGGACGAGTGTAGACCCTCCATCGGGGTATAGGATTTGACCGTTGTAGAAAAGACCGCCCCTTCCTGCCAAGAACAAGATTGTGGCACCCATATCGGTGTCGTGGCCGGGCCTGCCAGCAGGGTTACTCATTTCCATATCGAGCTTGCTCTTGTTGTCCTCGCTCGACGAACCAGCTGTCATTTCACTAGGGAACACACCGGGAGCAATAGTGTTGACACGAATATTGACGTCCGTGAAGAGGGCAGCCAAGACACGGCTCAGCTGCGTTGCAGCTGCCTTTGAAGTCGCATAGGCGGGCTGGCCAGAACTTGATCCCTTCATGGCACCGGATATCGATGTCACATTGACAACCTGTGATGTGTAGCCTGGTGTAACGCCACTTCCCATGGCTAGAAGCGGCAGGAAGGCCATTGACGTGAAGTAGGCGCCTGTGACATTGGTCTGGAAAGTTTCCGACCATGACTTCTCCTCCGATTTGAGGAAGTGCTCAGAGATAGCCTTGGCATCTGACATATCTGGCTGACCGGCCGAATCTGCTTTGTTCAGCCGTGCATGCTTTGGGGTGTTGTCGTCTATGTGTACTTACAGTATTTTGTAGCGTCGTCGCGAGCAATACCGGCATTGTTGACGAGAAGGTGGATGCCATTGGTCTCCTTGCTCTCCACGTCCTTAGCAATCTTGACCGCACCATCTCTGGTGCTAATATCACCAGGTAGAGGAATAATCTTGCCTGGTCCTGTGCTATATCGCTTAGCTGTCTGCTGCAGAACTTCCTCTCTGCGGCCAGTAATGTAGACTGTGGCACCGTTGGACTGTAGCGCTTGGGTGATCATTAAGCCAATACCAGTACCACCGCCTGTTACGACTGCCTTGATGTATGAGCAATCAAACAGGCTGTTTGCCTGAAGGTCCTTGTTGTCAGCTTTTCCTGTGGGAGAGTCAGTCATGTCACTATGCGGCGCTTTGTCGAGCATGTAGAATTACCTGTTGCCATTGCTGCTTGTGGTACGATCTTAGTTGTTAGGGTAGGTTTGAATGTACTGCGAACGGATGAAGAGTTGCGACAGAGGGTTTTCAACATGGTACTGAATAATTTAAGTAGTTGATTCGTGTTGATTCGTGTCTGTATAGAAGCGTGGAGATAGTCGATACATTGTTACAGAAATTATACGTGCAAAGAACCACCATGACGACATCACTCTCGGCCCCGCGGCTAGGCGGCTTGAACAGTAGAGTAAGCGGGTGTTTGAGTCTCCAATACAAAAGCAGTTTACGAATCTTTCGAACGGCTCGCTGAATGAATTGTATTTATTGAGACATGAAAGTGTAATGCGTGGCGATTTGCGCCTCGGTGGCCGTTAAGTGATCAAGGCAATGATGACTCTATACTACGTTGCAGTTATAATAAGAAGTGCTATCTATACTACCGCATCATCGGGCTTAATCACAATCGTTATGCAGCGATGCAAACATGCACGATATCGAAAGTAATTGTTAGGCCTGGCCTGTCAGACTTGAGGAGTATTTGTTCGAGTCATGCGGTACAGAGTCAGTCTTGCATTCTCGGACCTCTTAAGTAACAGACTTTAGCATCGTCATTTCTGTGACGCTAGATCAAGAGTAAGATAGATCAAGAGCAAGATAGATCAAGATGAATATGGTACGACCGCGCACTCTATAATATAAATACGATTTAATTATTCCTCGAGAAATTTAGTGAATCAAGCGACCATGAGGATTCTGTCGTGATGAGACTAGGGCGCAATAACTGGTAACTTAATATACCTGACGCAGCTTGCACCTAAAGCGACCCCCAAGTGCCTGCCGTATCATGGTTCTCAGCTGACAATGGAAACTCATAAGAATACCCCAACTGCGAGAAACCATCCTTTGATGTTTTGACATCTATCAGAGAGCTTCTGTGATGCACTAGCGACCATCGCAACACCCAGGCGCCATCTCGACCAGCGAACACCGCTGGCTTGAACTTGGGCCAGCATGACGATGAGCGTCCCCAGATCCTCTGGACTTCAGCGATCCAGTTTAACACCAATCTCCATTGGTTCTCCAATGCGAACAGCTTTATGGTGTCAACAGGCAGGCTTGCTACATCATCAGAATTGCCGGCGCGCGTCATGTCACTGGCATTGAGAACCCGCTTCTAGGCTTCACGTTCTGAACTAGTCACAGTGCCAGTTCTGTTCCGGACAGAAAATTTGATGTCGCCGTTCAACTTAATATCGTGAAGAAATTCGAGGCCGTGTTTAGCCAGGAACCTGCTCGGACACTCCCATGTATTTGAGTTGTGGTCTGCTAGGACTTCGATTTGAGCTGAGTTGGCTCGGCCTGTGATGGGGTGGATGGCGAATATGAACTTGCACTCGCTGGCTCCTGGTGCCTGGGTCGTCAAGGCGAATCCACCTTCGTGAGGAGCCTCAAGTTGGGTCACTGTAACGTGAGACAGGAACTCCTGGTAACTCTTTGGGGACTCCATGTCTGTTGGGTCCATGGTCGTGCCCATCGTCAACTATGACAGAGGCCGAGTGTGATCTCCAAGATATAAATGCGATTGTTGAGTACTGATCTTCAATTATTATTCTCAAGAGTTTGAAATGATGGGATATTTACTAACCATGCATTATGCATTGTAGGTGTGATACAGTTTTTGCCGAATTAGAGGGCAACAATGAGTTTGTGATTCATACGTCCAGGAAGTGATACATAGCGCGATGACGATGAGTTGTCAATGATTTCATTGCTTTCTATTCTCATTTTGTTCATTCACGATGGGGTTGAACGTCATGTTTCCACCATCGTTCACATTTAGTCATAAATTGATGGTTGTTTCGACCCTATCAGTCTAGCCAGCTGACGCTAACATTTCGGAGGGAGCAAGTAACAATTCAACTCTGGAGCAATCAAATACCCGAGTTCACATTCATCGCATGTTACTGGAGACATTTTTAAACTTCTTGTTCAACAAAATATGTACATATAATTAGCTATGCTCGAGGCAGCATCATCGTCATTGATTCTCCTTTTCCTATCGTCACGTCACCATTATTGGTTTAGGCGTAAGTGATAGAGAACTCGCTAGTAGTGCCGACATCGTACTCGGATGTGTCACTGGCGTCACCAAAAATGTGAAGAGCGGAGATCTGGAACTTGTACTTTCCAGCAGGAGCGTAGGTTCCGTCAGCAAGAGTACCATTCCAAGTCGCACCGATAGGGTCACGAGAGTTCCAGTAGATGGGCGAGCCAAGAATTTCACCAAGGCTGGTTCCGTTGCTAGAGGCATCAAGAACCTCGTACTTTACCAACGGTGAGCCAAAAGCCAAGTCGGCGACGGCCACAGGCTGGACAGCGACAGTCGCGTTGCTGTTAGTTTTGTAGATGACGAAGCTGGAGTTGCTGCCGGTGATAGCAGTCAGGGTAGAATCAGTGGAGAGAGACAGGTAAGCCTCGTTAAGCACAGTAGTGTCGTGAAGGCTGCCTACAATACCCTGGTAAGGCAGGGAGAGACTTTCGCCATTGCTTCCAGTCAAGGTGATGAAACCAGAGTAGACAGGAAGACGAGTAGCGTCGACGGCAGGAGGGGTCACAGTGACGGCGACGACGGCATCGCCTCCAGCAGGAACGGTAACCTTGTCTTCGCTAAATGCGAGAGTGGCAACAGTGTCATCGAACTCGATACCCGGGAAGGGGTCCGGGATAATGGATGTGGAGAACGTGTATCCAGTGGCAGCGCCAATGGATGCGACATCGTATGTAACGTCCTCAGTTCCGAGGTTGCTGATGGTGAAGTTCAGAGTATCGACCAAGTTGTCGGTGTCGTTGAAGGCAAGGTACGAGACGCTGAGAAGCGATGTGGCGTATGCAGCATCATACGCCTGAACCAAGCCAGAGCCCTGCTGAGCGACAGGAGCAAAGATGTCGTAAGCGGAGGATCCATCGTTCAGGTCGGCAGGGCTGGCAGTAGCGGCAAGAATAGGCTCTATGACAGCGGGGTCAAAAGTACCACGAACCTCAGCTACAAGCGCAATAATGGCAGCGACGAGAGGGCAAGCCATGGAAGTTCCAGAGATAACGGCGTAAGAGCCAAGAGTCTGGGGCCAGGTGGACAGAATGTTGCCACCGGGAGATCCAACTTGGGGCTTGACATCGGCTTCAAAGGTAGGGCCCCACGATGTGTAGGTGCTAAGATATCCTCCGGTGACAGTGTTATTGGTCTCTTGGAGGAGTACAGGGGACGTCTCCGGGTCAGGGATGTCCAAAACAACCTCAGAACCAGCTGCAAGTGCATTGACCCAAGTAGCGCCCTGGGCAGCAGTGGTCATCCCCACAGCGAGAATGCCGTCGACGGCAGCAGCAGCAGAAGTTGCGCCAGCGACGTTGTTGTACAACATGATATACTTGGCACCGAAGGCGGCAGCATTGGTAGCCTTCTGGACAAAAGTGCAAGTTCCACGACGGATGAGCACTATGTAACCAGACAAGTCTGGGGTATCGGCAGGGTAGGGGTCGCAACCGCCGGCAGGATCGCTGGTGTTGAGAGAGGCAGTCCACAGAGGCAGGTTGACGCCAGCCCAGCCAGCAGGCTCGCCGAGAGCATAGCCGAATTCAGTATCAGCGCCGCCATCGACAGAGTAGTTCCCAGTGTGGAGCAGAGCAGGCGACACAACGTTATCGAAAGATGCAATGGCAGTGACCCTCTTGCCGTTGGCGGCAGTACTAGCATAGAAGAGACCAACGTCACCGCTGTTACCGGCTGAGACGGTGCAAGGAACGCCCTGTTCAACAATTCGGGAGACGACGACAGCCCAGGGCTGCTCACTCCACCCGGAAGAGCCACCAATAGACGCAGTGATGATCTGGCTACCAGCCTCATAAGCTCGGAGGTAGGCCTCAATGAGGACATCGTCAGCAGCGCTACCGTCGCATCCGAAGACACGGAATGCACCGAGAGTTACTCCTGGAGCAGCACCGGTGAAGCCAAGCTCATTGGCCTGAGCGGCAATGATACCGGCGACGTGAGATCCGTGCCCAGCGCACCCGTCATATGGGTCATCATCTGGGTGAGGGGTGTTGTAACCGGTGTAGTCATCGCCGACAATATCATAACCGTAGCTAACCAAGTAGCCCGGGCCGAAGCCACCGCCAAGAGCCGGATGAGTGTAGTCAACACCAGTGTCAATGACAGCAATCTTGATACCTTCACCGACAATCCCTTGGGCGCGGAGCTTGTCCACCTGGGTCATGACATGAGGCGAGAAAGTGTCAGTTGCGTTGGCGTCTTGTCTCTTGGAAACGACGCCAGTCTCAGGGTTTCCTGTCCAGATGACCTTGGTCTCGGGCAAAGAGTATAGACCATTGTGCCAGACATTTTTAACGCTGGGCAGTGAAAGGAGATTGCTCGCCTCGGCATCGGCAGTTTCCGCGTTGTGGAACTTGATCGAGGCGCCCTTGAATAGCGACGAGTCGAAAGTTCTTAAGGTCTCACCAAGCGAGCTTGTGTGATCGTAGAAGCTGGACGAATCCTTTGTTTAACATTAGCTCTGTGCATAGGAAAATTGTTTGGGTACCACGGCATGAACTCACCTCACTCTCTTCGAACTCAACAATGTAGGAAGCAGTAACCACCTTCTTAGGGGTGCGGCCGGCCTCGGCAAGAGCTGCTGCGCTCGCAAGGAGCGACAACAAGGTGTTTCTTCCAACCATGATGACGGAGCTCTAAAGCAGTCCTCTATTCAAGCACGCGACACAGAACGAGCGCAAATCGACCCGATAGCGAAGAACAACATTCCCAACCGTTGGAAGCGGAACCACGCCATATTTGTAGCTGCAGGAAAAACGTCCATCCAAACAACAATCCGGGGTCTGACTTGGGTGGGTCGGTTAGTTGGATCCTCATTGGGGGTATGTTGCATTGCTACTCAAGCTACTTTATTTCACCCTGGAGCTGGTGTGGCACCGCGTATGCCGGCCATGATAAGCTAGGATGATCATTACTATCGGTCGAACTTCCGTTGGCGTAATAGGATGAAAGCATTCAAGGATCACCGGGAAGGTCCACGAACTGGGCGGCTAAGTAGCATGCTTGGCAGGGGGGCAAGGGTGAGGATAGATCTCCCTCGCTTCTTGCTGTTGGTCAATTGAGCAAGTTGCCGCTAGAGTGACAGAGTGGCGCCCTTCCCATCGACTGAGCCCTCAACGCTTGAACGAGTCAGGAAGGCAGTTGACGGTTTTGATGGAGCACACGATGAGCAATGCAGCTGGTAGCTCTAGAAGCGACGAATAATGCATTGGACTCTTGTTTTGAGTTTAAGCTTCGAGGCGTGCAACCGTTTTCAGGCGACATACGAGTACACGAAGAGAGGTCGGGTATGAGACATGCTACAACGCCGTGTTTGTTCCAAGCAGCGGCTGAATGCCTACATACATTACATAGGTATTCTGGCTGAGTGCACGCGCGAAAGAGCCCCCGACATAGTAATGCGATTGCGGGAGGCTTGCTGCGGATTAAACTTTGTTTTTACCCTCACCGTCTGCTGGACAACGCATCAACTTGCCTTTTTCCTGCAACGATATTCAACATGCGCAGTGAAGATGCGTCTCTCGGGCACGAACATCGCTTTTGAGAAAGTATCAGCAAGTTGATTATACATAATCTAGTCCTAAAGCTCGGTGTTCAGCAACTGCGGGCGCTGATGCCAGATTAGGCCTAGGCTAGCATAAATTACTTATTGTACTTGTAGCACCTTGTGAAGCATGCTGTCAAAATCGCCTCCGTATCTACATCGCCAAGACACCACAACCTGCCGCATGAGGTGCTTCAAGAAACCACAAACTGACCATGTCGGCGGACAACGATGCAGGAAGAATCGCACAGAGCCATCGTGCAGCTGTATACCCATTAATGTAGTATCACACAGACCTCCCCTATCGGGACTAAAGTGCGGCTCTATGCCTGTACGTCGGACTTTTGAGACTTTGTGGCTTACTGCACAAAAGCCCAAAGCACCGTCTAAATGTTAGCTTAGCATAAGGTAATCAAAAGGACCTTTCGACTCGCCATGTAAACCAGTTCTCGGCACTCCGACCCATGCTAATTCCATATCGTATCAGTGCTGATGACAACATGCCAAGAATATAGACGAGGGGAAGTACGGATGAAGTAGAAGCATTTCTGGCAAGGGTAGGAAGTCGGTTGGCCTCAAGATCTCAAAGCCACGCTGCCAGGCTCTCTCGGCACTCTACGCTGGAATTGGCCTGGGATCCCCTTGCAACTAGTCTAGGTTGGTCTAGACGAGATACGCACGGGCAGGAAATTCCATCTTGATCAACATAAATCAGTCTTTTTGCACATGTACAAACATAGCTATGCCAATCATTCATCCGCTCAAATTCTTGTCCGAAACGATGACTTAGGTCCCATTGCTGGGTTCTTAGGGCTGGATCGAAATGAAAGCTTATGAACGCGAGCTACGAGGCTAAACTTTACTTCAGCTCTCTTGCATCAACGGCTATGCTCATCTCGTTTGGCTCAGGAACAATGCCCAATGAGATGTTGACCCGGCTATATTTGAGGTAGTATTCTGCAACTGGAACCCATACTAAGCATATAATGTATGTAATGGCGGACTACTTCTAACCAAGAATCTAGTCTAGACCAAACGAGGCTTCTGAGCTTCCTGATTTGGATGACGGGCTCTGCTTCCAAGCCTTTGGAACGCCCCTATCAATGGATCAAGTATCGTCCAAAGATATCTAAAAGATCTCAAAGATGCTTCTTCACTCAACTCTAGAAGCAGCTTGTGAAATCCACTAGCCTTTGTCCTTGCATATATGCTGACATGTACCCATAACCATGCGAGCCGTGCATTCAGTGTGTCACTACGCGGCTCTCGGCGACGTAACAGTAACAGTAGCATTCTCCAAAATCGTGCATTAACAGGTTGTCTCTTCCGCAACAAATTCAGGGGCAAATCTTGGGACACTGACTTGTCGAATTCACCATCGCGAGCACGTTCATCACGTCTTATCACGAAAGAATCACCTTGCATGATGCCTCTCAGCTTCTGAGATGAAGATCAAGAATACCTTGGGTAACGGCTCTTGGACCCCTGTTTTGCACCTGTATTTGGGCTAATAAGATCAATGCGCACTGGTCCATGCATAAAGAACCCCCCACCCTTAATTACCCGTGGCCCAAATGCTCACCCCGCACCTTCTTGTCTAATGTGCTGGTCATTGACGAAATGCAGCTTGTATATATTTCGCCTCAAGCTCTTGGCTCTGATCAGGATTCCTGATGTGGTGTGTTGCACATGCAGAGATATATCTGCAGAAAGTCGTCAGCTGCGTCGTGGCAATCAAACAACTCCAGGTATTCATTGCTGCAAAAACATGCGCCCGCTTCTTGGCGCAGAGTCGACTACTTCATAACAATGGTCATAACTGCAAATCTCACACCTACTTTTATCGATGCCATAATGCTTGGAACATCATTGAGGGCCTTAGCTAGCAACACTCCAAATTCTGCTTTCGATGTTTCCCCCCCTTAGACCATAATGCCTGCCGCGGATTTCGGCTTTTGATAGTGTTTCGTACGAATCCGGTTAGTACCACATTGTTGCGTACATTGTTGCAACTCAGTCACCTTCAAAGCGCCTATCAAGGCTTTCCGTCCTAATCTTGGATTGAATACTCGACGTTCGCGAGTTGGCGATTATTGTGAGTATACGGATTTGTAGTGTTTTGGGAATATGCTGAAACTATTCTGACCTTCGTGTTCTCAACGCACACACAAGTGACCAAACCAAATCGGGACAATCTCCCGGGGCTATCCAAACAAGCAGATTAACAACTGTAGATTTTTGCGACTCCTAAACGATCACTATAATAGTACTGGCAGTTTCAACGCCCTTAAATTATTCCAAAATTATTCCTTCAAATTCTATTACGTCGGAGCTCATCATATGATACACCAACGCTGTCCAATCCGCTACATGCAGCCAGCGTCTAATATGGTCCGTGATGAACCGAAAACACCACCAAAACATTTCCTCATGGTAGCCGCCGGGTTCAACTTATCGAATGTACCTCTCCTCGTCAAAGTCATATGCGAATATACCCACAAACGAGTGGATCACCGCCTGGGAAAGAGGAATCATTAACTCAGTCAACCCATATCTAGAAGAACGCCGTTCTATAGACACATTCAGTGGTCGCTCACGAGTCTAGAGTGAGATACTAAAGCTTTCAAACTTGTGCAAATAGAGCGCTCCTTTTTCATCATGGGACCAGGCGAATGAAGCGTTGTACCTGATTGCTCCCGCCATACGGACCATTGGCTGCCTCGTAGTACTGCTCGCTGTGTTTAACATGAAATTTTGCATTACAAGAGCTGTGGCCACTCGTGGTTCCACTAGTAATCCAGGCTATTATGAGCATTATATATGCACAGAAATCGACAAGTGTTAACACGACGTAACCTTTGCCTAAATGGCTTGCTTCGAGCATTTAAATCTCTGAGGAATTTTGATTGCGAGGTCATATTACTTGTGACTTTCGTGTCTCAACCTATAGTACTAATAGTTTAATCGATGAATCGCTCAGTGTCAGACCAGGTAATAAATTGTACTTGTCTACATCTCGATATGACGCATGCAATTGATAATGAGAACGCGCTAGCTCGGTATAATTTCTAAGAAAGAGACGCTCCAAAAGACTTCCGATAAGTAAACATAAAGTAAAGTTGTGTTCGAGGCGTTTCATTTACCATGATAATTATAACCAATGTCAAGAGTACGCTTCCACAAGTTCCTCTTTCGACCCTGAAAATACTCAGCACGTATGTTCAGGTCGTCTAAAATCGTACTCCATGCTTGTGCTTGGAGGGATTAAAGCCGGGACACTCATATAGTTGAATAAAATGTTCCTCGGTGCCCGCTAATCGAGTTCTACAGCCTGGACCGCGTCACTGGTAAGCTGGACTGTAGCATTTAATCGTGACACCATTTCTGCAGAACTCGTCGAGATCATTTCGGAGAGGTTGCGACGAGAACCATACTGACCATGGTGTTCGACTATCCGGCCCTGCATGTAATCCGAACCCTGTGTGGGCCGCTCCTTTGGCTAGTATAATATCTCAAGCGGATAGGGAATTGGTGATATCATCACAAATATAGTCTAGGTAATTGGTTTACGCATCATCTTGGTTGGCGGATGGAGATGAACGGAAAAAAAGATTACGACTTGGCTTTCCTTCCGAATACAGACTTTCCTTGGGGTATTACAGAGCCCGACACTGTTTGGCTATTTGTACAAGACCAAAGATCCAGAGACAATACTGTAACACTTGGATAAACTTTCCGTCGCCTCGCATATAGACGATCTGGAGACGGATGCCCATGAAAACGACGGAGATAGGGACCTCTTCGGGACTTGGTCCTTAAGTTTGCAATATAAGCTCTGATAGCATGTCTCCATTTCAACCACCCAATAACTCGTGACTTATAGAGCTGCCCAGTTGTTGAGAAATTGACAGGAATGATGATACACAATGCGATTCAAGTGTTACTTGTGCTGAGTAAAACTTTTGAGCTGCTTGCTTTATGAATGGAAAGGATTATGTATCTGCCCTGTTGTTCTGGGAGAATATGGCACCTAGTGACGAATGTGTCTGAGAAGACACTTGAACGTCAACCAGCTCTAAGCATTCTGTTACAACACAGAACTACGAGATGAATCAGGCCCTAGTTCGAATCAGTGATATACTCAGCAATACACTCCCAGTGTAAGATACCTTCACTGAAGTGCAGATCTCTTGTGCTTGTAAGCTGCTCCTGTAGAGTCCGGCCCTATGAGTGCACTGCTCCTTCGTGAGCTGGTTCACATACTAGGAGCACCGCAAAAGATTTGCCGTACACGTCATTCTGCCCTATCGATACACTATAGTCAAATACAACTAGACTAGATGCTAACCATGCTTGGGTCGTGGTTGAAATAGACCTGACTGGCAGCTAATAGAGACAAGCATAGAGATTTTGTTGAGATCAGCGCGGTAATAAATGGAATACACCCGCGCACTCTCACGAGCCCCATGCTTTCCATTAATTTGCACAACACCGCGAGTGTCGAGCCAGATTCCTCCATATCCATCCAAGCTCCAGTGCCATGGCGAAAGCATCTAGACTAGTAGCAATGACCGTGAAGAATCAACCGGCGGAAATTTCGTATTGTATGCAGGATTTGCCATGGTTTCCCCATCCCAAAGTACATTTGGATTCGAAGCTGCGAGTATCGCAAGTGCAACAACTTGCAGCTCCTCAATCGGGGTGTATCATTGAATCATCTTTTCCTTGAGCATCTTAGGGCAGAGAGGCTCCATGGTTGTTCCCGGAGCATGCCATGTGAGAGTTGCCGAGTGCTGGGCGTCTCATAACAGCGCATTAGACTTAATTGAGGTGGATAAGTCGTGAGTCCTGGAATACATTGCAATGCGAAGTAGTTGTTCGCAATAACACAGGCTCTTAGCAATGTGCAGTTGATTTGTTTCGGGTTGGGGCGATCACTGAAACCTAGTCTAGACTAGACTGACCGTACCATAGTCTAGTGATGATTTTAGAGGTGTTGCTCACCATTAACTAACCGTGGTTAAAACCGGATTATAGCAAATAACACAGAAGATTATAGGCATGTGTATGGGCAGAACGGACGCTACATGAACTCTTTAGGTCAGAACGGTTCCCAACACACACATGTGTAAGGTTAGTATACCACAAATGCTAACTTAGAGGCCAATCGCCCCTCTGGTTAACTGCACGCGCTGCATGACGTAGCGAATTGACTGCCCCGCCAGAGCCACTGTTGAGAATATTCGTTCACATTGTTTGCCACGACATTAGATTTTGCATACTAAATCGTTCATCTGCAGTCTTTTAGCGATCGTTGGAAGTGCTCTTTCTATATGCGACACATTCTACCGTCGACCCCAGTTCGTCGCTTCGTCACAACCAGCACAATGGCTGGCCAACAGAAGGACATCACCATTATCGGCGGCGGCATCATTGGCTGCAGCACTGCCTACTACCTGACGCGCCACCCCTCCTACTCCCCCGAAACCCACCGCATCACTCTCCTCGAAGCATCCACCTCCAACTCGGGCGGCCGAACAGCAGACAGCATCACCGATCCCGCGACATTGGCCGATCCCGAATCGCAGTCGAAGTGGAAGAGAAACCCGGCGCACGACGGCATCGCTGGAGGTGCCAGCGGGAAAGCCGGCGGCCTGCTCGCGCTGTGGGCCTTCCCGCAGAACATCGTGCCTCTGAGCTTCCGATTACACGACGAGCTGGCGAAAGAGCACGACGGCCACAAGCGATGGGGATACCGCCGCTGCTATGCCAGTCAGGTTGACTGCCGGGCCCGGCTGCCGCCTGGGTTCAGCTCGCAGGACGATGACGCGACCGCCGCGGAGGTCGCGGGTGATGCCATCGAGGGCCTGCACAGGGACCACAAGAAAACGACCAAGGCCCTGAAAAAGCTGGGCGCTCCCGAGGACCTGGATTGGCTGGATACCGAACACGCGCTCAGCAGCTACGATAACATGGGAACGCCGGACAACACGGCGCAGGTGCACCCGGAACTTTTCACCCGGAGCCTGGCGCAGCTTGCCGAAGAGAGGGGGGTCAAGATTGTTACGGGGGCAAGAGTCACCACGATCAACAAGGCCGCAGACGGTCGAGCTGTCAAGAATGTTGTCTACGAGAAGGACGGAAAGCAAGAAACATTACCGACAACAGAGTGCGTAGTCGCCGCAGGTCCCTGGACGTCGCGGCTTCTACCGAACGTCCCCGTCACCGCATCACGGGCACACAGTGTCGTCATCCAGACGCCGAAGCCAGTATCAGCATACGCTTTGTTTACATCGATCGTCCTCCCGTCTGGTTTCCCGACACCGACCAAGGAGAAAGCGCGCGGATCCAAGGCTGCCCAGGGGCCGCTGAAGAGGACGCAAGTAGTCGAGCCAGAGATCTACGCGCGACCGGACGGCACCGCATACGCTTGTGGACCTACAGACCAAACCGTCGAGCTTCCCACGACGAACGCAGACGTGGAGGTCGACGAGGCGCGGTGCGACGATATCTTGCACCAGGTTGGTGGCATCAGCGACGAGCTGGGTAAGGACGGCAAGGTCCTGGCTAAGCAGGCATGTTATCTACCCCAAGGCGGGCCGTGGATCGGTGAGGTCGGCGGCACCAAAGGTTTGATTGTAGCAGCGGGACATACCTGCTGGGGTATTCAGAACGCGCCAGGCACCGGCAAACTCGTCAGTGAGCTTGTCCTTGATGGCGCGACGAAAAGTGCGAAACTTGGCGGTTGCGATGCTTCGAGATTCTTATGACCGGACTGGATGAGTGTGCAGTGTGGCAGGCCTTTGGCCATGATTGATCAGAAGCGTAGCAGACGACATTGCAACTGAATAGAGTAAACAGCCAGTGAAATCTACGGGCCGTTATGAGCAAGAACTATCCAATACTAGACCAGGGGCTTTAAGAATTAAACCGGGTATTATAAACATAATGCTAGCATGTGATAAGTTTTCTATGATGAAAATAAATAGAGCATATACCGGAGGAACAAACGCCACATACGGCTTCCTTCCCCTAGTTCATTATTTTCGAAGTGGTACAGCTTCCAGTATTCCGCATCCGCAGGCTTGTCCTCAGCCGCCGGGTAACGCGACCAAGGTCTGCCAGGCTTGTTTGTCGCCACATCATAAGTGGTGTTGGGTGCGACTGGCTCCCACTGCATCGTAGCAGTTCCCTCCCGGTAGGCACTTTTTCTGGAGCCTTTTGTCACGTAAGACGGATCGGCAGATAAGGCACCCGAGGCGATATCAACCCCTCGGGTGGCACGTTCGAACAGCGCCAGTGCGGCCAGGGGCTGATAAAACGGGACCATGTGGCCACTCTCATAGATTCGAGTGAAGCTGAACCGACCGGCCTGCTTCACCTGACCATGAACAATGCCATCGCTGGTTTCCAAGTGCGTGTAACCAGCCCGCGAAAACCCACGAGCCTCGACGGCATCGGCTACGGCCTCGCCGCCGATCCAGTTGCAGTCAAAGTCTGCGTCACCTGCATACAGAGCAACGGTAATATTGCGCTTGAGAAGAAATCGGATGTCTTCGATCGTGTCGACTTCGCGTGCGTCATCTCCGGTGCTGCTGAACGCCTGGTTTACCGTGCGGCTGAAACTGGAGAAGTTGGTGTAGGCGCCGATAGCCTTCTGAACCCCGGGTGTGTTTAGGTAGTCTAGGAAGAACTTGTACGGGAACACATCTGGGTCGACTTCGCGTATGTCGTACACGTCGCGGCCCAGTAGCTCGTGATATAAACCCTCGACATTGTCCATGCAGTACTCGTCGGCCTCGGCGCAGACTGAGTTTATTCCGGTGAGCTTACAGTTCCCCAGCCGATCGAGGCATTTTCCGGAGCCGTACAGATTGTCGTACACACGTGATTCCGTCGATGCGTTAAACGGGAAGAAGTCATACGTATTTCCAGGGCTGACTGTAAAGTTGTAGAAAGCTTGAAATTGAATCATGGGATCAAACCAGCCATTCCCTACGAGCAGGGTGCGGAGGTCTACTTTCTGGGTACCGGGAATGGCCAAATCGTTCTGTCGCTCGATAAAGGCGCCAAATACAGGGCCGTAATGGCCTCCATAGCTTTCGGTTGCTATGTTGAACCCAGCGTGAGAATACTGCGGGAAGGCACCCATAAAGCCTTGTAGAGTCTTCCAGAAAGCCGGCGCTGCATTGATTGTTGAGTTTGCCGTAATTGCCACATTCGGGTTCGAATAAGTTCCGCACGTCTTCGAGTTTGATCCATCCTTGGGACAGTCGTCACTGGGTACGACTGTCAACTTCCCATCCTCTTCGTAGGCTGGCACTGGCTGAGAGTACGAGAAGCCAACCTGACTCGGCTGATCGATGAATAGCAGGTTACTGTTATTCGTCCAAGAATTCGGGTTGTTGTATACGTTGCCGAAATAATCAATGCCACAAGGGCCAAGTTCTGCTAATAGTCCTGTCATGGAACTTGAGCCTACATTATGTTTAGTGTGCCGATCGACACCAACTAGATTTCAAACTGGCAATACCTGGTCCGCCGTTGATCCATACAGTCACTGGTGAGTCTTGTGGGTTGCCATTTCTAGCCTCGAAGAACCACCAAAAGATGTGTTGGTCTATCTCGACATCTGCATATCCCGAGAAGCTTTTTACATCAGGATCGAGCTCGCATATCCCTGACGGCACTTCCTTAAACCGGACTGGAACACCAGCATACCCGATGGTTTCGATGAGGTCGTCAGGAGGTATCACGAACTGCGCACAAGTGACAGCTCCAATGACGAGCAGGCACCAGAATGGTAGCATGGCGACTGATACATTTGCGGGTCGTTTGCGGAGGCAACAGTTGACAGACCGGCGGGTACTGGTTTAATGGAGAGCGGCGCCAAGGCTCGATTTAAACACTGGCCACCCACTGCTCTACAAACGGTCGGAAGCTGCCATAAATTGAGGGCCATGGTGGTGCGGCTCCAACGCAGGCCGTGGAAATCCCGAGGATTGACAGCCAGGATCTTGGAACGACCAGGGGAGTTTCAGATGCCAAGACCACGCGTCCTTTTGCGTCGATTTCCGAAAGATGGTACGATCAATGAGTGCTTGAAGTTCTCATGATGTGTTCGCAAGCATCCAAGTAGATCAGTCCATGATTATTCCTTTATCTGCTCGAACCAAGAGGTTATTGCGAATGGTACAATTGCATCCGTGCTTCGCATAGATGGCAAAAGCCGCCTCAAAGAATTGAGTTTTCCTGATCAGCAGTTGCAGACCCACCGGATAGTAGATCGTCCGAACATGAGTTTCCTCACCAGCGTGACCTGCAAGATGGATTGTGAGCATGGAGCTTATTCAGACTTCTAATACCAAGCGAGCCCGGGAAGCACGTGGTCCACTGAAAATAGATTAATCGCTTATGGGGCTCCGCCAAGATCCCCAGAACCAACCGCTGCGATGGGCTCGCTAAGGAACAAGAAAGTCATGAAACCGCTTAGTTTCAAGATGGAGGGAGAAGGAATACGACGCAAGGTCGGAGAAGATTACAACTCCCAAGTCCCCGATCCTCATCTGGCTGATTCTTTGCGATTTCACGAAACTGTCATAAACCTTGATGCAGGCGATTGAGATACCATGACAGCAACGCCCATGTACTTCACTTTTTTAAAAACGACCTTGGAAGGATGCCCGGTCGGATCGAATTACATTCGAGGGAAGAGAAGGACAAAATGTCTGCGTGAGATTGGTGACACGGGAAGGACAACTTCAGGTACGCAGTTACCGTGCTCATGATGATTGAGCTGTTTTGACAGGGGGGTCGGGGCTCCAAGACGTGAATACTGGGACGCCATCCATGAAGGCATCCGTTCGATAAATCCTTCGATATCTATGCCACCACTTCATGTAAAAAAGGAGTATGAACTAAACTAATTTGAATTGCGGAAGGCTGAGATACCAGATGAGACATCACAGGCCATATTTATCAGAGTCAATCGGTATGTTGCCGACTTCTTGGCACTTTGGGATGCATCTGTTAACTTTAGTCTAGACTAGTCTAGTCTAGGTTAGCGGGTCGGTAATCTTCCGGCCCGAGCGAGATTACTTAGTGCGTCGGACATAACGATAGGCCTGTTGGAGCTTTTGAAGATGAACTTTTTGCACCCATGGTAGTTACATCCGTAGGGGCTTCATTTGCATTTTCCTAAGTATCACACCGTTCCAAACATATATCTCGGAGACGTGGGATTGTTTGCTGTTGCTGTTCATTCCTTTTGAGGCAATTCAGGAAACATATCCTTATATCAACAGCCACAATGCTTTGTCACCAGTGCCGCCGAGTGGCCGTAGTAGCAGTACGGCAGCTCGCTTCGTCATCGCGAGCTCAGAGCACTATTGTGCGAACTGTGCTGACGTCGGGACCGACAACACAATATAAGCGAAGCCTGTTTCCTACCCCGATACGTTACTCGACATCTTCCGAAGCACAAGCACCTTCGCCAAGTATAGCGGGTGTGCCAGAAAAGCCAGACTATCTCAACACTGCCGAATCAGAAATCTGGGATAAGCTCACATCTGAGTTCTCACCGTCCGAACTTGTGGTGCAAGATATATCTGGTGGCTGCGGGTCCATGTACGGCATTGAGATTGCCTCCGAGAAGTTCCGTGGTACGAACATGTTGAAGCAGCAGCGAATGGTCAATTCTGTACTGGGTGACCAGCTGAAGAGCTGGCATGGGGTCCAACTACGAACGAAAGTACCCTCCTAAGGATTAGTGGCTAGATTATAAATGGGCAATAGAAATGGGCTCCGCCAGGGCACCATGAAACCAGCGAGAAAGAGGCGGCAAGGATGTTAATCAAGGTTAAAATGACGGAGAACCCGGGCAATTATTGTGACCGGCCGCAGTGTACACTGAGTTGTATAGTAGATGTACAACAGGCCCGAAGTATAGCTCTTTGGAGAAACCAATCGATCCATATACCCTAAAAATGTTCGACTTCTCGGCGTCACCATTGGTGTCGGAAATTTTCAGACTCGTCCATATTGTGCTGCTCTAGCAGTAGATGGGCAGTTCGGGATCTGCTCCGAGCGATCTAAATATTCTATTGGGTGACACTTTGAACATCTATAACGGATAAGCCACTTGTGGCGCTCTGTGATTTTCCGCAGCTTAGAAAGAAGTATATCCTCGGGGTGAACGAACAAATCCTTGTTGCTTAGCATGGCTCCAGTACATATCAGGAAGCAGTAATCTACGTATCAGATATTATCCAAATTAGCCGATCAAGGATTAGCAGTGATCTTTTCCGACTTATTCGTCACGGGGTTGCAACTTGAATTGTGGTCTGGGAGTTTCATGGCCCGCGATACTACGTGCTCACAAACTGAGCGAGAGTCAGTACTTGAATCGAGTCTCCAGGTCCTGAAACTTAGTGCGACGCTGAAGCCACAAGTGAGCGCGAATTTAGAACAGGTTAAATGGCCAGGACTACTTCACTATACCCGCTCAACAAGTCAGAACTATGGTGACTCACTCAGGTGCATCTTGAGATTAGTTATGTAAACTCAGGAGTTAGATCCGGTTGGCCAATATCCCGGTATCTGTGGCTTCGACATGTTGGCCTTTCCAAAGCTAATAGTCAGGTTACGATCCTTTGTGCATGGCGAGGCGTGCTATTATATCCCCATACAGTTCCATGCATACCGCCGGCAATGCTTTTTGGCTTTGATCTTGCAGATGGGTACTTTTGGCTACCAACTCGCTGGGCACTACAAAACGGGCTTAATGGTGTGGTGTGTGTATAAAAAAGGCATCGAATATTCGGCACGCATAAGTTACACAAAATCACCATGGTTATACCTAGCCAGGGACCGTTTCTCCGGTCTTAGGACGGAATGAATATTCTGGTTGGCCTCATCGTTGACACCCACACCTTGTAGTTGTTATCTACGATGCAACAACGATAATCATAGTTAGGAACACAACAACCGTGGATCGGCCCGCATTTGACATTTTTCATCTCCGGTTTACTTGGTAGGGCTGTAACTGCGATGCAATTATGGTTTTCAAGGGGCGGAGCGGGCCATCGAGCAGAGATCGGAAGAGCGGAGATAGACGAGAGAGGTCTTCTTTCAAGTCACAGCAATATTGAATATAAGGTTCGCCGGACACGCAAAAGCGGTACGTAGCGCTTACGGAATCCGATATGTTTGAGTGGTGACTCGTACGAAATGGGAAAAAGCAATATGCGTGCACCGAGTACTTGCAGTCGTTTCGCACTAAATCTCCCAGCGACCAGGCACTTGGAACCCAACCCTAAATTTTGAGATGCGATGCGCCGTTGGACAGATAAGCGAGAAAGCGTATTTTGATCCCCCAAAGTCCCCAAAGGTCTCGTGTTAAGCTTCAGGGCGATCTCTCAGGTTTTCAATATTGTGGCATTTGAACCGTCATTACACAGGATGAAGTGATCTAGCCAGCGATGATGTTGCTCGCCAATCGTGCTAGAAGGCTTGAAGTGGACTGAAATGCAGGTCTTCAGGGATCTGTGGCTTAAGCCTTGTAACAATTGGTTAAATGATTACTGAACAACAACCACGACCAACATCAGCCACGTGCTCCCCCAAACCCCCTTCAGGGTCCTAGCAAATATCGAGCCCTGTTCACGTCCTTGCTTACGGAGTACACATTTGCTTTCTTACATTGCTACCGAAACTCTTCAAGGCCCAAGGGTAGAAAAGCAACGTTTTGGCAAGATGAAGACAGATCTGAGGAAGCTACAACCCGCGTCCCCCGGCCGGGAGATGCAACCCGCTCGCATCATGGCTTGTTTGCGGCCGTCTTGAGATCGCCAAGATATCAGCTCATGACCTACTCTATCCCCGAACGACGCAACCCTATTGGGGGAGCGCCGGTGGTCTCTCAGACAGCATGTATTGACTAGTAAGACTGGGTTCTGTCATGCTGCTGAATTTTAATATATCAACACCTCTGGCGAGGCTTTTGCAAAAGCATTCGGGTGCCCTCAGAACCAAACGTCAAGTTGCGGTCTACATCCGACAAAGCAGCCTTGGACGATCCGTGTCTTTTCCACAAACTGCGCCCAAGCCCGTGTTAGCTGCTGTGGGGAGGAGATAAAGAAACTTACCATCTGCTTGATCTCATTTGTGTCACGTCGAAATGGCATATAAGATGGGCTATGGGGCGGAGACGATGAGCGAGTCTATTCATCAAGGCTACAACACTGTTAAGAGAGCATACGGGAGCAATCTTCAACACCATTCATACGCCCAAAACGCACTAAACACCATGTCAGGCTACGATATGCGCTCTCGGCCCATAACGATAGAGGTCCAGCCCCCAAAGGTCATCCAAAAGGGCGTGCCGATGTGGCCTCCTCTCGTCGTTAGCATCCTAGCAGAGCCCGAGGAAACCATCACATTCCAGGTGCTGGTTCAGGATGCCAGCGGGTCCATAAAAAACCCCTGGGACGACACCTATTACTCGTCGCAGGGCTGTTTGGTCATGAATGGGCAATATCTGGACGGAGAAAACAAGTTGTACGCCATCTTCCCAGATATTGTGTTCAACAGCCCCGCGCGCAAGTATCGGTTCCATATCACCACGACCAAGAACTACGGTGCTGAGACGGTGGACATCTGCGATAACACGGTGCAATCGAACCCAGAGTTCAAGGTGACGGTTCACTCCACGAGCACTGAACGAGGCTGTAAGTGACTTGGAAATTTATGGCGTTTTATGGCTGCTAACGCTTATCTCAGCGAAGGAGGAGCGGGAACTACTGAGGAGAATGCGTGCGAGTCGTGTATTCGATGTACCAAAGGCACCCAAGTAAAAGTCTTATACCAAATAGGCACTCGTAGGCAACGGCAATACCAGAGATTATAGTTTAGTTGAAGCGCTGGTCTTTGGGGGGGAGGATCTAGATTTCCTTGGCTGGTTTGAATCACGGCGTTTCTGAAAAAGAGGTAAATTGTTCAACTTGGCGTCACTATGGCACGCCGGAAAAGGCAGTATGTCTAGACGTTGAGGACTTAGAAATTTTAAATTGAGGTTCACGATATTTCTATTCCGCCATTACTGGAAACCAGTTGTGTTCATTCAGTCTGAAGCCGACGTGGTACTTCTCTGGCCCTGACTGCCATGAAACGAAGGAAGGTTGAGTCTTCTGGAGGTACTCAACCCTGGAATGTAACGTGTCACTTTTCCGGCAGCAACAGGTGCGATCTCGACAACCCATGCAATCACTGCATGATCATGAGCCTTCAAAAAGTACCTGGCCAAAATTTTCCAAGTTCATCATGATCTGCCGTCTTCGTAGCTAGGGTTCTGGCACGTTGTACAACCATTTGTTTTGTTAGTCGCCAACCCTTCCATGCGTCTCGGTGATACAAGACCAAATAACCTGTTCTTAGGAGTCCTTGCGATATGTGTAGTGCGACTTACATAACACAGCATTCGGTCTGCACTCGGTCCTTGACGGCCCCTGACAAGGCCCGAAGTACCATATAGCGTCGACCGGCATGCACGAGCCCAATTCAAACCATGTCCTCGAAGCGTTTTCCAATAATGGTAGTGTATGACCTTGGATGAGGTGCGAAGGGAGGTCGCAATTGCGTATTGATGCCGCTTCGTTGGTGTTATTAGATTGTCATGCCGTGGACATCGGAGCCGTACAAGAAATTGCAGCCCGATGAAAGTGCGCGAAGAAACTACGAGTGATCGACGTTGCAGGAACTGTGGAATCTGTGAGCCGTTGCGCGAGAATGCAGCCCGCTCGCGAGGCATCAGGGGTAGATGCAGCGAATGCAAGATCTTGCTGGAAAGTGCAGCAAGGCTGGTGGCTGACATGATGACCTGCGGCATGTCTTGCTGCATATGGCGCCGCCGTTTCTGCACACATTGAGATGTCCAAGATTGTGGGCGGGCTCGGAGATTTTAGGCTGTCGATACCCAAAACGCAGCAGGGATTCTTTAGATCTGGCATTGGGATCGTCTTTCCGATATCACTTGCGATTTGCTCCTGGATTTGCCGTTTTGAGCGACATGCAGTCGTTTTGGATTTGGGGCATTGAAAACTTCCTTTTGGAACACAAATGAACGGTGAGCAAACGCCATTTGCAGGGGCAGGCTGCCTGTCAAAACCAAAAATCAGCTCATTATGATTTCACGAGGCGAACGCCCACAGAGCCTAAGAGATCATCCGGACCTGGAATACAACTCTAAGCGGTCACTTCTGGCGGTGCGGGCAAAAAGCAAGTCCGTTCCCGCATTTGCGCGGGCGTCCTGCTTCCCTGCTTGTGTGGAACGTGCCACCTACCCAGCTCGTTGGATTTCTCTGTCGCTTTATAGACGGAGAAGCTTCCGATAGTGGCTCATGTTGATATAAGCACGATGAATTGCCTGCCGAGAAACATTGTATATCTGCGCCATGCGCACATGCAGCTACCTCCTAAGATTTCGTAGACGTAGCTGTGAGGAAACCCACCCCATCTCCCCCAAGAAAAGCCACCTGATTGAATTCATTCTACTTACAGTTCGCGTTCATTCAATATTGTGTTACAATGTTCCAAGGATACGAACTGACATACATGTTCGAATACTATACCGGCCAGGAGCCTGCAGTCAGATTTGCACGGAAGCAATGGTCTACTCTGATGTGGCTGACATCCAGGGGCATCACATCGGGGTTGTGAACTTTTGAGACATGCCAAGGACAGTTTTGTGAAAGCAGATAGTGATAGCTGATGAATTTCTGTAAGGGTTTTCCTGCATGCTCAATCCAATCAACACGACCTGGCTCTTTTCATGTTGTGCTATGCGCGCTCCGACAAGCGTGTCCTAGCTACAAAGCACAGCCGCAACGCTGCCATGGAATCTTGGCATATCATTGACACCGAAAATTCTGTATCACACGGACGCTATTATCCCATCACAGTCAGATCGGGGTTCAGGCGAATGCAAGCCACATCACAGCAGCCGAGTGCAAAGTGTGCCTCTCATCTATGGCAACAAGCTTTTCGGGCAAGCTTCAAAGACACGAAAGGCATACCTGAAGAGCCACATACTTTGACTTGAACAGGATTGCAACAAGCCGAACACAGTCAATTCGCAGGGTAGCCCATGATATACTCAGGACGTACTCGTGATAGGCACAATAAGGACGCTGATCGCTTGAAATGAAATTGACATTATTTATTATAATTCAGTACATATGACATACTGACGTGAAGTCTAGCTGACGGGCGCGTAGCCGGCAGGAGGATTCAACCCATCGGGAATCTCCAACTTGAAGTCATAGTAGACGGGAGCTGGGTTGCCCTGCCAAGTCTGCTGGATGCTGGGCAAGATAGTTCGGTTGTGCGGCTTGCTACAACTGCCCAAGTTAGGACCGGGGTATCTGGTGTTTCCTCCATGGGTGTTGAAGTGTCCAGCATAGGAGTAGTTGAAGTATCTGTTCTCAAGCTCAATCTCACCATGCCACTCCCGAACCGAGTCGCCAGTCTTATCGGCGACCAGCTTGAAGACGTTGGCACCAACGTCGAATCGGCCGAGAGTGTGGAGATCCCAGTTGGCTGAGACTGTGGAGATCTCACTGTAGTGGTTGTAGTAGTTCTCGTCACTAGTACCAACAAGCTCAGCCGGCACAGCATCACCTAGTAAGATACCAAAGATCTTGTTCTGGATGGTGTAGGTCTCATTCTCATCAAAGGTAACGAGAACAAGGGTGTTCTTCATGAACTTCTCATCATCCAACAGAGGCTCCAAGAAGGTACGAGACCAGATGCCAGCAGTGGTGACATCGGTATCATGACCATCGCTAGTCATGTTGGGGGTGATAAACATCCACTGCGGAAGTGCATCGTTCTCGAGGTCCACGTAGAACTGGGTGAGGTTCTTTATCAAAGAGAGGCGTTCGGTGTTCTTGGCATTGTTGTTGTAGATGACTGCCGGGTTGTGTTTGCGAACATAGTCGTTGGCCCCAGTCTCCTGGTTGACCCATGCCATACCCTCAAACCCAGTGTATGGCATGTCCTCTTGGTACTCACCCCACGTGATGCCCTTGTCCTCAAGCAGATCAACAATGGTGGAGACGTTGGCATCAACTTGGTTGAAGTTGTCATTTTGCATACCGAAGTAGTCACCACCAATAGCTGCGATATAGTTGGGCTCACTTGGATGAGTGACAGCATGGTATCCGTCTAGTTTGATACCTTTCGTCGCTAACCATGCCAAATTTTCTGGAGTCCGTTAGCAAGAGACGCTGGATCGAAGATGACATTGACATACCATCACCAGCAGCCATGTCATAGTCAGTGTTCTCCAGCCAGATCACAACAAACCGATCGAATGCTTTACCCTTCACATTGCTAGTTGGACTTGATGTCTTGGCTGTCGCACGAGCAGCAGCAACTGACGCTGCCGCCGTCGCAGTGTACAGGTTCTCAGCCTGTGCCGCAACGGTCGCGGCCAGCAATGGGATGGAGAGCAGCATGTAATGCATTGCGGCTGCTATGATTGAGTATGAAAGGACGTATGACAATGCCGAGCACGCAACAGTTCAGGTCCTACGGGAAAAGCTGGGTAAGCGGCCACCGCAGAGATATAAATGTGGTCAAGACGTGATATGCAGTGTAGCGAAGAGACGAAACCCGACATCCGGTTCACGACACGCAAATTACTGTCCCACTCCTCTAGGTTAGGGAATTATTTTCGTAAGCTGCATCCTCCAGGGCCCTCTTTGAACAACGCTGACAGGCTGGATGCGACGCGAATGGCGAGCTGTGGTAGACAGGAACTTCTGAAGCCTGCAGAGTAGATCATCCCCTCACCCCGCGTCACACAATAGGCCAATAGGAGGACCCGTCGTCTCACCCCGTGGGTGGTTTGTGCACGTCCGGAGGCTAAGGCGTATATAACATTCTACTAACCTAGAAGATGGATGGAAACAAGCTTTTGCGAGCCTTTAGCGGTCTTGCACTTCCCGCTGAAGTATCAAGTTATGGCATCACGCGTCGAAACTTGTACGGACAGGCTGCATTCAACCGCGACGATTGACCGTAGGGTCCTGTCGAAAGAATCCGACGCATGAAATTTAGAGCCTCTAACCTAGCATGGTCCGTCCACGATGCCTCGGTGACGAATTTGAATGGCAATACCGGACATTGTTGTGCAAACTATGGCGTCGTTGAACTAGAGAGGAAGGTGTAGAAAGTAGTAACATGCACGTGCTGTCAATAGGGCCAAGCATTGGCACCAGGAGGCGACAGGTGGATTTGGTGGGCTGTTTACTAGATCCTCTCCACTGAAGAGCCGGTGGTGTGCAGGGGCCAAGAGCCCAAGTTCATTAGTCTACGGAGGTGGGCGAATTACAGCGGCGACATCTCCAATCCCAGCGTCCTTTACCCAAGACAAGGCCACGGGGATGCAAAAGATGCAGCAAATTTGTCCGGACGAGGTTGCATTGAGGCGCCCTAGACTGCCGTAGCCAGGGTCGCCAATAGGACTAGGCTCACTGGGGGCGATGGCCATTGACGAGTAACGTGCTTTCAAGGAATCCAGGCATAGCTACAGTCTGGGCACCTGCTGATTGTAGCATTCATCATTGGTTGAGGAAGGTGATCTCACAGGGATTACGCGTTCACCACATTGCATAGACGGGTGAGTACTTCACATCTCCATTAATGCGAGCTTGTTCAGTAGTCGGCGTCTTTGCTCCATCGAAGGACTTTGTTATTCCACTTTCTTTGTTTCAATGAGTCGGGACTCGGCACGATCAACGCAAGACGAAGGCTGGCTTCGCTGCTATGAAGAGTTGAACATCATATTTTGAATCCCTCACGACCTTTATCGCAACGAAATCCCAAGTCAAACGACAGCAAAAGCTACAGATGTAGCGACTCTACTCAAGTGTTCAAAAGACGAGTGTATTTGGAGATTTCGAATCTTAGCACTTTGGAAGTCGATCTAAAAAGGAATTAAAATAAACATTAGCGCGCACCGGATCATTATTATAGTTTGTTGGGAACGGAATCTGATTGTATAGCTTTGAATACTGCTGGTTCATCGAGCAGAATCTGTCAGGCGGAGATACGCAAGCAGCATTCAGTCTGGCTGCCTAATTGATTATCTCAATCAAGGATCATATACCGTTCTACAGTCATGGCGATCAACAACGTCCTGCAGGGCATTTCCCAACAGGAGCCCGTCTATGAGTCTATCCCAGCAACTCCTTATACCCCGTCAACTTCTTTGAGTTATCCTAGCGATGTAGAGGATCATGACCTGGAAATATTCGGCACCGCCAAGCGTCAAGCGAATCAATTACCTACCCTTTCGCGCTTCCTGGCGGACTATACTTTAGGTTTTGCCGACGGATTGACTGTGCCATTTGCTTTAACCGCCGGATTGTCTTCGCTCGGCCAGACAAACACAGTCATTCTCGCAGGAATGGCAGAAATCGCGGCGGGCAGTATCAGCATGGGTATTGGTGGATATCTCTCGGCTCGAGGAGACATTGCAGCGGCAGCAGCCTCGCTGAATGATGCTAAGCGGCAAAATCAAGCAACGCAGACGGACCTTGAGAAAACGTCGGCGAATATGAGCAGCAAAGCTGCATTGGAAGAATACCTTGAACCTCTGCGATTGCCAAAGCATTTACTGGATGCTGTCAAAGCTCATGCCAATATGCAGCCAGGTATCGTTCATGCTATTGTCGCGCAACGCGAGAGCCTCCTGGCCAGGAACGATGCCAATTCTGAGGATGAACAGCCATGCTCACCGATTTGGAATGGCCTTTCGGTGGCAATAGGCTATCTATTAGGCGGCCTCCTCCCACTCTTCCCGTACTTTTTCGTCACCGACGTCAGCGCTGGTTTGAAATGGAGCTTTGGCGTCTGCGTGATAGCCCTATTCATCTTCGGCTTTACCAAGCACTATCTGCTGCAAGAGGAGGTCGAGGATAAGCACTGGAGTCACGCATGGCACTATCACTCAAGGCGGTGGAACAGAATCAAGCAGAGTGCCTGGGAAGGTCTACAAATGGTGATTCTTGGGAGCATCGCTGCTTTCGCTGCACTTCTTTGCGTAAAAGCCTCAGAGCTTATCGTAGGATGAAGAGGTTCTCACGTTTCCCATGAATGCTACATTGCTAAGAGCTCTCTTTGATATGTGCCCTCCTTTTTTAGATACAAGTATTCTGATCTAAGGAGTGCGAGAAACAAAATTATTCTAGTCATCGAAGACTGCGCTTTTCACGGCTATCCATAACACCCACGAAGCGACACCAGAGCATTCACTGCAAATGCTGCCTTTCTGTGAAAGGCGAGCATATTACTGAGGCCTCAACATAGGCGTTCCACGACCCATCATTGGAGGCCCGCCTCTTCCCATACCGTTCATCGGAAATGTTCCGGGAGGTTGACCCATACCTGGTAGTGGCCCGCCCCAAGTGGCCCCTGGCATCGGGCCACCTGGCATCGTACCCATGTTGCGGCCAGGTCCGGGTCCAGGTCCAGGTCCAGGTCTAGGCCTCGGCTGATCGTCCCAATCTTCCTCAGTCATCTCGCTTGTCGACTCCGATATCGAGCGTGAACCGTTCCCGTCTCTCTGAGATGAGCCGCTCGACTTGGACCGCGCTCCAGAGCTTTCGGTGGATGACATTTTGGGCATCCAGATACGACCGAACCAGAAAAAGGCTAACAAAACGACAATGATAAAGCCGACTATGCCTCCAATGATTCCACCGAGCGTATCCTGACTCACTCCGTCTGAGCTTGCTGAAAGGACAAAACTTGCTGTTGTCGCTGCCGCTGCTGGACCAGCATCCGTCGGTTCCCCAGAACCAAGCGTCACGGTGTAAAGTTCTGTGCTACCTAGCCTGTTGAATGACTGGACCACAACCACCTCCGTCGGTGATGAATCCCTTTTCACCCAGACAGTTGTATATTGGATTGATGTTACAAGTAGGATAGCCATGTTCATATACAGGCTTCCGCATGAGGGTCGTTGGTCCTGTTATTTATACCGCGGTGTCTGCACGAAGAGGGATACACTCATAATCTGTAGAAGAAGCAGTAAACTAGACAACACCAAGTAAAAGTCTTCGCCTCGTCATCGTTTTCGTACCCCATGCATGGCATTGAAGTCTGAACTGCTGGGCCCTGTACAATACCGAGACTTGCATCTGCTGTCACCCAACGGCTGAGACAGCCTGCCTGCCTGAGATGATTATTCCAAGGAAAACAATCCGGTTCACACTTCTTCATGGCCGTATCGACGCGCGCTCTGGCCCAGAAGCCGGGCAAACATGGTGAATGCTTGGCAAAATCATGTCGTCGGGTTCAGGCTATTGGTTCGGTCCTTGCAGAGCAGTATTATCACCTCAAACATGTGTGACTACCCGTCTCCAACTTCCAGTTCGTGCCGCCCACCATGTCTCCATTGTAACCGAGCCAACGAGTGAAGTCTTCGGATCTTGTTTGTTAGCAAGATGCGGGGTTCGGCCTAAGTGTGATGATGCAGCTGCCCGTTTTCTTCACATCGAAAGGCTTCATGCACACTCAAAAAGCAGAGACATCTAGGATTGGTTCGTTTAACATTTCTTGGTGCCACAACGGTGAAGGCGACCTGGAGCCTCGCGGGGCCCCGCATTCGATGATATGCAGTTTATCTATCAGTTTGGGAATCCGCTGCCAGTGAAGGCGAAGCTTCCAAATTCCCGAAGACGGTCGGCTGGAAAACTTGCCAACATCATGCCGCTACCCATCACTCACTCCGCGATCAAACGACAACGTATCATATGAAGGGGCGATAGTCTGAGCGAGTGGCTCATCTAAACGTTCGTATCTGATGTTGTATGCATGCATCCCGCTTTAAAGATTCGTTTGAGTGGTATGGTGAAGTTAGGATGACCTTTGGCTTTCATTGCTAACTCTTTTAGTCCTGTTTAATGTGAGGCAGCCTCACCAGCTAGGATGTCGAAGTTCGAACGTCGCGCGCCAAACCTCAAGACTAGTAAACCAATATCCAACAAACCATCCCATTGGAACTGACGACAATCATTGTAACAGATTGTTGTAATGTGTAGTAAAACAGTTCTCTCGATTTGTATTCATAACCTTCGATTTTAGGACTGGCCTAATTTGTCGTAAAGGTTGCCGGTAGAATGTGCCACCCACGAGTCGGACTTGTGCTTTCAAACTGCCCGTGATCACAAACTCGAGAGTAATGATACAAGGTACGAAACGAACTCCGAGAAACAATAAACAAGTAGGAAACTGGGCTTCCGAGGACATGGGCAGGGTGCATGAATACAAACAATATCCACACCTAGACTAATCGACACCCGTTATTTATTTTTATTCTTTCTACGCTCAATCCTGGTATGTTGGAAGCAAGCACTATGTGAAACTGTTTAGACAGCTAGAGGGGGGTTGAAATCCAGGCAAGGATAGACCGCTCTTCGGTGGCATCTGATAGCCTTGCTCGCAAAATTTCGACGGGTGCGTACGGCTAGTTGCATTCCCAGTCGACGTATATAGTTTAGTCATCCTTACCTAGCACGTGGCCCTGAGTTAGAACCAAATACCGCGGCGAATCTGAGGCAACGTGAGTCTTCTACCCTTCTGCCCCGAATGGGCACTTGGGGCATGCGCTGCCAGTGACATAGGCTGGGCATTTGTTGGCCCATTCATGTTCGGTCCCGAACTTAGAGCGCGGCTGTAGATCATCGCATAACCCATATTTCTTTTTTTTTCTGCGCTGGATTAAATATGATTTCTATATCCCGACAATGCGGTCATGTGGATTTCCGTAATAACGTGGTTGCCTTTATACCCATGCGAGCTGTATATTACCACATCCTATCAATATACTAACTGTCGGCCCCGATCACGTGTTGTGGTGCATTGAACATTACGCCGCATAAGACTGATTTCTTGGAGAGAAAGTCTGGAACGGTATTAGGAGAGGCTAGATAGATATACCGAGGTGTGTGTTGGTTTCAATACCTGAACGGTCTATCTTGGTAAATTGTCCCATGATAATTTGGCTATTTCCATCCGAGTGATTGAAGATGCCTGAGAGGTATCACGCTGTCACCCTACACTGCTCCTTTCCAAATACTGGTTATCATGCGTACAAAGCGAGACATATCCTCTATGAAATGTAGTCAGCGCAGAAACGGCGTGAAGCAATTAAGAACGTGAGCACTGACTGCAAATATATGCCAGCATTCCTTACAGAAGGGCTACCTTCGAGGAATTATCGACGAGGTGTTTCGACACCAAGACTTAACACACAAGCCAAGTCCATGTTAACGCTGTGAAGTTACACAGAGGAAGACCGGTGATTTTTCTATGACTGTGTCAGCGTATCATGATCTAGTGAGATAAGCCACGACCAAGTTGATTGGAATGCATACCTCAGCCTTCCAGGCCAATGTCATGCAGACAGACGACCTAGGGAGCGCTTGTATTCCACGAGTAGGAAGGTCGCACGGTGGGGCTATCGAACCAGGTTGCTCTATTGCGACCTTTGTTGTACTCACGGCCGATGCGATTTGGTTTTAAGATTCGGATTACATAGGCGGTGGGGGAGCGGCCGGATGCAGGTTGGCGGCCTATCGACATCCTTCATATGAGCTGAAACCTTGTACTTGGAATGCGTGAATGATGGTTTGACTCGTGTTGAAACATGATTGCTGTACCAACTTCCTTGCAACAATCACCTCTATGACCAGAAACACGATCAAACCCTTCATAACTTTCGTGCAGCTGGTCATGGGTCATGGGACCATCTACTTTGTCTGGAGCATTGTTTCCTTGAATACGAACGTGCGCAAAGTTCGTGTGTTGGATGTATCCATTGTGTCTTTTGTGATGTTAGATGATAGTAATAATATCCTTTGGCTTATTATTCAGCTTCATGTTCGGACCAAATTGCGATCGCCAGCCTATTCGCCAGCTTTTGTACCAGGACTTTACAAGGTTCGCGCAACGAGGCTTGCATTTCTAGAGTAAGTCGAGGATAAACCAGCGACTAGGGCCAGTGATGGGCATTCGGGACTCTTGCGAACATATGCTTGCATTTTTCTGGCCCAAATATCATCCAAGATATGGTCTCAGGAAGTGATAACCTTATCCTGTTTCCAACGGAAAATATTACCGTTCCTCTCCAAATATTATTGTGAATCGGTAGAAGCCACGAGCTTGTCGTCAATTGGAGCTTGTCCATGCATCCATACTACAAGATGAGACAATTAGCCATGCCACCGTAAGGCGGCAGTCGCCTCTTACAACGAAAGCATCATGGAGATTGTTTGGAATAAGTCCCGCCGACAAATCATACCCATCATACACTCTTGGAAGGGTCATAACCGTGCATGAAGACACACGAACCTTGTCACTCAATTTACTGACATCCGCTAGCAATCTTAAGGCTCTATTTGTTCCATGGTTAACGAGGCCACAAGTTATCGCAAGGAAAAGTAGATTTCATCAATTCGTGTGTTATTGTATTTGACAGCTTAATATAGAGGACATGCGTCATCCTTCTTCTAGAGAGTTGAGATGAGCATGACAACAACTGCAGACGCTGGTCGTATACCGAGGCTCAACTCAAGTCTTTATATCTCGCAAGAACAGAAGACGCCAGAGCCAATCTACACTTCGCACGAGTTTCGAATCTGCACACTGGGCATTTCAAGCTGCTGCTGACATACCTTGTGCATGATTGGAAATGTTTCGCAGTCTCCTTTTTCGGTACCCTAAGGTTCCCACTAAATTGCTTGAAAAGATAAGGAAAAACAATAGCATCAGCAAAACAGTGACAATAAGGAGTCCTAATATGGAGAAAACAACAAATCCGTAAGACGCTGATTGAAAGGCGTCGTTGTCTTGCAGTGCTGACGTTGCAAGACCGGTCTGCATTGCCCCCAGGACAAACGCCACGTAGACTACAATCGAAGCTATAGTGGCAAAGTTTGCTTCGAAAAATGACGAGTACTGATTCCAGGCTTGCGAATATCCCCTCAAGGACAACTGCGAGATGCGGTGAATTTTACTCAGTCGCCCTAGCCGCAGTTCTCCGTACAGAAATCGTGGGTTGACTTTGCCGTATATGTGCTCGGTGTCTAATTCCTCGATGAAGGACTTCCAGGAAGCCCAATTTATTCCGACCGGGATAAGGTTTTTCTCTTGCGCAACACGAAAGTCGCTCTCGAAACAGATCAACGCAGCATACGAGAAAAGAAAACCCGTGGCTGTTCTCCAGAGCCGCCGTTGGTTGCACTCTGTGCTGTCACCATGCACGAGCTGTTTCGCTGCCATTGAGCAGCCGCACTGGTTTCGACAACACAGGCATTGAAGCCAGAACCGTGGTTCCAACAGAAACCGAGGGAGGGGTTTCAGTAATAAGCGATTGTACGACCAGACCAGATGCAGATCAATCTGTTCTGTGACCATGAAGTCTCTCCCGAGAAGCAACTGGTAATGAAGTGGTCTAGGCGGCATAGGCCGGCCGGCTAACCACAAATAGTTGAACATCTTGGTGAGTCTAGTTAAGTCAAGTTCCTTCTCAATCCATTGCGAATCGTCCAATTTTGGTGGTGTTAAATCGTCACGACGTGTACGATACGAAGCAGGTAAAAGCGCTTCTAGGCTTTCTTCGCCAGCGTTCGTATTTCCCATTTTCAACAGTTGTGTCTCGAACGGGGGTTTCTGTGTGGAGTCAGAGGAATGACCCCTGCAGGTTTAAAATCGGAATTGCACTTACTTGACTCCAACTTCCTTCCATTATTAGAACTTGCGTATCAATAGTCCTAGACATAGATCGTACATGCGAGAAGGGAGAGAGACGATTACCACTTTGCGACGCCATGGTGAGAAAAGAGAATGACTCAAGTTTTATGCGCTCACAGCTTGGTCAGCTGTTGGATGTGGCACTCCCATGTTCCTAGGTTAGGTTAGGTTAGATGGTCAAAATAAATGGCCCCCAAATTAAGTTGAAACCTCATACGGTCAAGCGTTGCCAAAAATAACCAAGATCGTAGCCCCCTAATGCAGTCAGCATTAAGCAGTCAGCCGCACGAGGTTCGTAAATACCACCGAAGCATAACATGTCCGCAACACCAAATGAATAATGACTCTTCAACCTACAATAATCATAACGTGCTCCCCCGTCTCATCGGATAACCGCCTAGAGTCCTCGTCAAAAGAGTTCAAGAAAGTGGCGACATGTCTCTGAAACGTACTGGTACCCGAAAGGCCACGGCCGGTGCAAGCAGCCGTGCTAAGGGATACGAAATGGTCCAGCAAGGAGTTCAGGTGCTATACCCAGGTGAAGATGAAGATATTAAATCAGATATTGAGTATAGCTCCCGCTGCAATTTAAAGACTCCATCTAATAGTTCTAGTATTGTGTTTGTTCCAGGGCTAGGTGCACACCCGCACGATAGTTGGAAGTCAACTAAGACCGAGTGGAGTTGGATGACAAGCGCAGATGGTATTCGTGGGGCTTTTCCAAAGGCACGCATACTTTTATACACGTATGAGTCGGCTTGGCAGGGCCAACTGAAAGTCAGTCAGTTCATGGACAACATATCCAAGACTCTATTAGTGGCCTTGAGAAGCAGACGTGAGAACTGCAAGAAAAGGCCAATAGTGTTCATTGGTCATAGCATGGGAGGATTGGTGATCGCGAAGGCAATCACCATCCTGAATGCGCAGCCAGAACTTTGCCCGGTCATGTTCGAAACGATTTCCGCAGCTGTATTCTTCGGTACACCATTCGCGGGAGCCCCAGCTGCTGCATGGGCGTCCATGTACGCCTATTGGGCAGAAAAATGGAACAAGGCCACTACATCAGAATTATTAGAGATGATGAAGCCAGGAGACGAAACACTGCGGGAATTGAAGGACGAGTTTAGGCGAGTTGCAGCCAAAACCAAGTATAAGATCGAGTTACTATGTTTCTGGGAAGAACAACAGACTGATTTTACGAAGATAGCCCATCTTCCAGGACTCTTTGGGTTCACTAAGCGTCTTATACCTAAAGATGTCTCTGAGTTCGTCAGTAAAACTTCCGCAACATTTGAAGGTGACGTGCCGAAATATGGTTTGGCAAGTAACCACAGAGAATTAGTAAAGTTCGAAAGCGCCAAGGACGGGCGATGGAATTTCGTGGAAAATCTTCTGAAGAAGGTGATTCATGGAGCCTACCTGACAGCCAAGAATCGGCTTAGTGCCGCTCGGGATATAGAATGGGACTCTTTCAAGGGTGTCATGGAAGCACTAGATAGCGCCCGGGTTCACCCTAGTCGACTTAGAAAATTCTTGGTCAAGAATCCTGGCAAGTCAGCACTTATTACGCAAGAGGATGATTATATCAAGTGGCTTGGGAAGCCTGCTTCTGGAAATCATCCTCCGAGCGAGAGCGCAAAAGTGGATGGCATTTGGATCCGAGGCCCAGAAGGTAGAGGCAAGACCGGTGTGATGCTTGCCGCTTTGGACGACGTGGAAAACCTTGCCAGAATTGCCGAGCAAGAGAACGGGGAGCAAATTCTCTTCGCATACTTCTTGTGTGATGCAGGGAAAGATTATTGCACTGCTGAGGATTGTTTAAAGTCCCTCGTTTGGCAGCTCATTGAGCAGGAGAAAGCTCTGACAACACACGCCAAAGATTTTGTCAAGGAGAAAGGCAAAAATGGCGGTGTCAAATCGCGTGCAACGGCAACCGTTGAGAATCTATGGAAGGCATTACAAGGAATGCTTGCGGATGAGTTTGCCGGAAGTCGTGTCTACATCATTCTGAGTAACGTGCATCTGCTCCCTGAGGACTCGGACTCTACACTGAAATTACTGAAGCTACTGAGTCTCGAGCTTGAAGGGAATCAAATTACTGAGCCTAGCCGTGTCATGACGAAATGGCTTATCACAAGTCGACCGACATACGCCGTTCAGACAGCATTGGACTTGGAGCGCCTTCGAGTGATTAATCTGGAGGACGAAAGGTTTGGTAATCAATTCCAGAAAACACTTCAGAAGCATGCCAAAAGCAAGGTGGAAAAGTTGGAGACGGACAAAAAGTACAACAAGGCGCTTGCGTGGTTCGCCCGTAGTCTGATTGGGGAACGGGCACAAAACACCTCGTGGATAGACATTACATGTCTTCAGCTCGAAGAGCTGCCAGAAGCAGAAAGCGAACTAAAAGTTCGGAGAATGCTTGAAGCTATGCCGCAAGAGCTGGATGCTTTACTTAAGAATGCATGGCTCCAGATCTTTAGGACAGCGGGGGAGTATGGAGAGAATGTGAGAGAGATGCTTCGAGCTCTTATACTGACCATTGAGGAACCAGAAGAAGCGGAACTCGCTGTGCTATGTGGACAAGACGGATCTGACGATGAAAAACAAGAGCTCCGGCGATCGATCGAGAAGTGCAAACCTCTCGTCTCGGTCAAACGCACTGTTTGTTTCATGAACAGTGCGGTAAAAAAACACCTGATCGATAACGCCAAGGAACTGCTCGATTTATCACCTCAAGAGATAGCAAGGCAGCATGGCCTTCTCTCACTGAGATCGTTGTCATACCTCAAGCACGTATTCGGGTTTCCAGAGACTGAGGCACCTCCCACATCAGACAGTGTTGATGGAGATAAGGAAGGTTCAGATGCCGATGCAGCTGACTCTGATGACGGGAGTGAGGATGGCGTTTTGGATATAGACACAGAGTCCGAGGCTGGAGGAGACTTTGTTGACTACGATGAAAATTCGAACAGCGATGATGATGATGTTGATGATGATGACTGGGATGAGGAGTCAGAGCCTGATGCCGACCCAGAAGCCAGAATTCTGGAAGATCTGAATGTCTTCCCATATATGGTAAAGAATTGGCTCAAGCACGGGAGCAAGTCGACCGTAGGATTTGCCGATGATCTGAGTATTGACGATGAGTTTTGGAAATTTGACTCTTTATTCAGGCGTCGATGGCTGGTGGAATACAACAGGAATACGAAGGAGTTCGAGAATGAGGATATCAGGGGCATGAATGCGCTGCATCTAGTCGCTGCAATTGGTTTCAGGCAATTACTCATAGCGCTCATCGAGAACGGACACGAGGACGAAGTAGATGGCCTCGACGGATTGAAAAACACGCCGGTGAGTTAACACGGTCTTATTGCAATTACTTTGCTTTGTGCGATATCAGCTGACACGAGTCGACCCCGAAGCTCTGTTTTGCTTGTCATTTTGGCAATTCAGATATGGTTGAAGAGTTACTCGACAGGAAAGCAAACATCAACGCTGGTCAGGAGGAGAAAGAAGACACGCCTCTCCATCTGGCTGCGGAGGAAGGACATGTCGGTGTCATGAAGAAACTGATATTGAGAGGAGCAAGCCTGAACGCATACAGTCAGTACTCAGGACTTGTGATACACTCAGCAATATCCTCTGGAAATTTTGATGCCGTGGAACTTCTTGTGCACCATGGAGTCTCATTGTCTATTGACCATGACAATCTCGAAACGCCGCTCGAACAAGCTGCCTCGCTCTCTGACGTGTCGATGCTTGAATACTTGATGGAAAAGTATGCAGATCAGCTTTCTCCCCAGGAATACAGCAAAGCACTGATTGCAGCTGCTGTAGCTGGAAGTCTGGAGATATTGAACAAGCTGTTGCCTTTTGAGCACAGCGAGAATGACTATCAATCCGCTCTCGATGAGGCTGCAGGAGAAGGAAATTGGGAAATCACCAAGGTGTTACTCGAAAAAAGAGCAAATCTTAGTTGCGACAATATATTTTACAAGGCGGCAACGACGACTGATGACCTAGAGGTCCTCGAAGCACTTTGGGAATATACGAATGGGAACATCTCAGCTGACACCATCGATCAGTCATTATACAATACCACGGACAACAAGAAGACCGATACTGTTCAATTGTTGCTAATGAAATTTGGGGCAGATGCCAATGCTCAGGGCGACGAGTAAGTGCTAAGATATTGGTTTTGTCTCCAGGCGTCGTTGTTTTGACATGTATCCCCCGTTATTGCAATGCTGTCCTTTTCATTTTGCCTTCTTCTTCTTTGTTGTTGTTACATGCCACGTATAAAATGGCCACTGATGTCTGATAGCTATGGAAATGCCCTTACGGCCTCAGCATATGACGGCACACTCGATATTCTGAAGCTGTTGCTAGATCATGGCGCGACCGTCAATTCTGACGACGGCTGGGCTTTACAAACAGCTGCAACGGAGGGACACGTCGATGTTGTGAAGGAATTGTTATCTCGGGATGCAAATGTCAACGCACGTACATCCAATCCGGGATTTCCACAACAGACCGCACTTCAAGGAGCTTGTGAGCTAGGCCGTGCGGAAATAGTGGACATCTTGCTTGAACATGGTGCTGATCCAAATCTTGGTGGAGGTGAAGACGCCTACCCCATTATCACAGCAGCAAGGAATGGCCAAGCCGAAATTATAGGTAAGCTTATTTTTGCCCATGCCGATGTCAATGTAGTGGGGGAGATGATGGTTCTACTGCTTTGATAGCTGTGGCCAGAAAAGTCGCGAGTCTTGAGCCACTGCAGCAACTTCTGGACGCCGGTGCGGAAATTGACGCTACGGATAACAACGGCGATACAGCCCTTATTGCAGCCGCATCTGTCAACGACGACGAGTTTGTCAACTTCTTACTAGCCAAAGGTGCCGACGTTATGCACAAAAACAAAGATGGCTTGAATGCTATGCAGGTGGCCTATGATACGGACAACACTGGAGAGACCTTAAGTGTCCTAATCAATCATGTTTCCATCATATTGTCAGGAGTCAAGAAGGCCATCCAGACGGGCAATCGGGCCATCATTAGCGTTGCTAATGATGCAAGGGCTGCAGCACGGGAGGCCAACAACAACGATATCAAGGGTGATGGGCCACAAGCAGGATCAGATTATCCAACCGATGCAGATGCAACTTCTAGCAGGTCCAAATCTGAAAAAGATGAATTCGAGGATTTGCTTGCAGAACATGATTCAAAAAGCTACCCAGAAAATCGTTTCCTAAAAGATACCGACTCAAGTCAAAAGAACGACGAACTCAGTCATGCTGAAGTGATGTCAAATACTCAAGATATCAGGCGAGAAGGCAAAGATTCCGAGATGGATGTTGACCACGGCACTCAATTGGAGCCCGCTGACCAGACATACACTATTCAAAACCTTGAATACTCCGATATCAAGGCTTCAAGCAAATTCAGCTCATCAAGTGTCCTTCAGCATCACCCGGTGCACATTGACATTCATACTGGACCTACCGGTGGCCCTGGGTATCCAGATACCGCAGCCGCCACGGAACCGGGAATGCAAAACGGTACCGATCAATCGGTGCATCATAATCCATCCCAGCGGCTCAACACTTGGCATCAGCAACCAGGAACAGATTACAACATCCACCATGGGCCTAGCTACGAGAAATATCAACAAGTCAACGAAACCAGCCAAATTCTTGCCGTGATGCCCCAATTGGACCGAGAGGCTCCTGTGAGAAGGAAGCCAGCTCCAACGGCATATATTGGTGTGCACCACTCGCAAGACTTGGCCAACATTAATAACACAATTAGCCAAGCAGTCAATCCGTCTGAGCACCGACCAAGCAGCTTCGCTGCGTACAATCCAGAAACTCGTCAGCCAGTCTCCAAGTCCTCATCGCAAACTTCTTCGAGTCAAGCGCAAGTATTTGGTCAATACCAGTCAGCTCATCGACCACCGGGAATCCAACAGTCCTTTGAGCCAGGGTCGCTCACGGTACCCCATACACAAAGCCAAGCGCGGGATCGGCCTGTTGAGGATCATCACTACGGGGAAGGTTTGCGCAGCAGCTCCGACCAGATGCACCGTGGAAATCATATTGTTCACCACATCCCCGGGCATCCGACACAAACTCACAACTCTTTCTCCCAGCAAAAAAATGAGTATCCACCAAGACCGCAGCCAATACAAGCATACAGCGCTCCTCCTCAGCTGCAACAGCAGCAGCAACAAATTCGTTCTGGCAACGATACGTATTACGCCATGCCACCAGACTCAAGGTATCCGATAAGTTCCAGCAGCCAGCTCTATCAGAACGCAAACATTTCAGAGCAAACTCAGTATGAGTGGCCAGATCAGCCCAAATCTCGTACGCCTAGCTTCTTTGGTGTCAAGAACACCTTCAATCAAGCGAGGGGCAAACTGTTCAGCACAAACAAGAGTGACGACAGCGGTCGTTAATATTCAGGGGGACCCGTAGTCGGAGACGTGTCAAGGTTGTAAGAAGCAGTGTCCAACATAGATATTGTACGGACGTATGATAAAGCAAGGTGCTAGAGAATTTACGACGTAAAAATCACCAATTCATACTAATCATTATATTATGTATTGGTGATTCTAATATGGCATGGAACCGATGGGCTAGGATAACATATGTTTCCATTTCGAGTGTTGCGTCTTGCTTAACAATGTAACTAATCCGGCAATCTTGACCTCCCCTTGAGGGTGGTAGAACAAAGAACCACATTATGAAGTCTGGGCTACAGTTGTTCGTACCAGTATAGAAAGCGCAATGTATTGTAGGGAGAGGCGGCTGGCACATGCCATAATGATTAAGTTTGAAATGGCTACACACTGAAGCTACTATATGGTAAGTAGAAGCGCTAATGTGTACTTCTGACGCTTTTTATTCTTTCTTATAAGCCGTGTCTACAGCAGCACATAGCATCAACAACTTTAAATTGATGCATTCCAACCGTTGACCAGACTCAATACGTCAGCTGCCCTGTCATGCCAAAGTTCTTCATGTGTGCACACAAGCTCCTCCCATCGCAAAGATGGGAATATACGTGTCCACCACAACCTTTTCTCTTCTAAGCTTGTTTCAGATGACCCATCCCCTCGAGAAGAAATGTAGATTACTTGAATGTTAGGCTGTCTCATCTTATCTGGCCCAGGATATGTTAGAAGTGCATGAATACTCATGCGATGCACCGCCTCTGTGGGGGAGTCTGTCGTGGATTGGTAGGAGGACACCCAAGACTCGTTTAGGGAAGGAGTCGAAAGGCGGGAGGTTTTGCTCGCATCAGTATTATCGGCAATTATCTCCCCTTCACACTGAAATTCATCATTATTCGTAGACTCCGGTGCAGCTGTAGGATTGGCTACCGGCGCATCCAAAAGCACAAGCCTCACGGTCCTGAGTATGCTGGGGTTATCGGATGAAGATAACAAGTTTTGAATCATTTCCGTAGCGACAACTCCACCAAATGATGCGCCGACCATGATTATCTGCTTCGAAAGTACTATGTCCAGATGATTGCGCACAATGTCTGCGTAGAGTTGCGCGAGATCTGGTAACGAGTGTGACTTCTGCTGCCACAAGTTGTTGGTATACCCTGGATGTTCGAGGCCGTAAACCGGCACATGTCCTGGAATAGCAGAAACAAGCGATGATAGAGCGACACATGTCCCTCCTGACGGCGGTAGAAGGACAAATACGTGCTCAGAACTGTGGTCACCATCTTGGAGTTGTGTCCAGATAGGTGTACAGTGTTGGATGTCAGTCCTCGTCACGGAGCTTCCCGTTGGCTGTCCGTTTGTAGACTCATTTGACATCTGGAGTTTTGCTGCTAGTGTCGCGGGGGTAAGCGATGGTTGTATGAACGAAGATATTCTGGGAGGAAGGCATCGAACGTCAGTACCAAGTCTATTTGTGCTCATTACAAAAGATGGTAGTGTTGATCACTTACGGTAAGGAAACCCCTTTTGCAATGCTTCTGATGCTGTGTGATAGCCTAACAAAGGCCACGCTATCGAGGCCATGAGAGCGGAGGTCAGTATCTGCTTTAACCATATGCCCGTTCTCGATAACCTTTTGCAACTCTCGAATTATCAGATCAAGGGCTGAATCAACAGCAATGGGCGAAGGAACAGCGAAAACTTCGAGGCCAGCCTTTCGCGGAGCAGCGAGGGTCTCGTTGAACAATGCATACTTGGAATTTTTATGTTCAAGCTTTTTGATCAGCTTGACTGGTGGAGCTTGGATGATCATGTGAGAGTTGACACCTCCCCAGCCCGCAGCGGAGATGCCTATCAAAGCTTCTGTTTTCACCACGGTAGGCTGATAGGCGAAATTCAAACCCAAGCTCGCATCTATGATAAAGGGGTTCAACTTGCCAGTTTTAACCATAGCAGGGATCGTACCATTCTGAATGGACTTGCAGATCTTTATTAGAGAAACCAGCCCAGACGCGTGCTGCGTATTGCCAAGGCTGCCCTTGTTTGAGCCCACGAGGCACCCTGTAGGCTTACGTCCAATACTTTCCAGGGCTAATTTTACGCCTTCAAGTTCAAGCGCATCTCCGATAGGAGTACCACTTCCATGAAGCCTGTCGCCATTAGTCAAGACTACAACGACTAGTGGAAGCAAAAGACATGGGAAGCTATGAGCGCATTGTAGGACTTACTCGATATATTGGAGCTGTTCAGGCGACATACGAGCGTTATCCCACGCGGCGGCTATGACATCTGATTGGCCTTTTGGTGACGGGACCTGATAGCCGGCCTTGCTGGTCGCACCGTCTGAGTTGTAAGCAACGCCGGCAACCAAGGCATAAGCACTATCTCCGTCGGCAACGGCGTCAGGAGTACGTTTCAGAACCATTGACACAATCGCATCCGAAGGAACGGTACCATCAGCTGTCTCTTCAAATGGCCGGCAATTTCCTGTTAAAGAAAATATGTTTTTGGGTTGTGTGACATAGCCACCGCTGAAGAGTTTGCAGTGTTAGCTTATAAATGTGCGCCAACACTGTTGAATATGATATGCTTACTCAAACAACTGAACTGACACCCCACCTACTACAGCTACATCACAGCGGCGATTCCTGAGTGCGTCCACGGCTAGCGCCATGGCCACAGTGCCGCTGGCACAGTTAGTGTTGACGGTCACATTAGGTCCATGGAGGTTCAGATGATAGGCGGTGCGAGCTGATATGGAGGGAGCGACAATGCCCCTATTTGACCGCTGAAACGCGTCCCCATAGACTGGATCTGTAACTGTGTGATACTGATTGGCAGCGGCACCCACGAAAATACCAACATTGTTATTGGTATCGGATAACGTGTCAACCCCGGCGTCCTCGAGAGCCTGTAACGTCGCCGTGAGGAAAAGCCGCTGCTGTGGGTCAATGTCTGCGGCCTCCTCACGAGACAGCTTCCAGAAGTTCGCATCGAAGTCTTCAATGCTCGACAGTGTCCCCGCTCGCGGCACCCAGATGCAGTCCTTGGGCACAGGTCTCTTGTTGGTGGAGTCTCGGATTCCTGATATGCCTTGGCAAAGGTTTGCGTATAGTTTGTCAGGGTCATCTGCGCCTGGGAACTTCCCAGCGATCCCTATTACCGCTATGGTACGATCTTCCGTCCATCCGATCGAATCCGGGCAGAGTTCCCTCACGCTGGCATCTTCTCTGACCACTACGAATGAATCAGCTTCAGAGGATTCTTCAACGCTAATCTGACCGCTATCCGGATGTAGCTGCTGACACAGAAGTCTTGTTTGGCTTTTGATGGTGGAGTGGGAGAACAGGTCCAAGACGCTAACGTTACAAGACGGGTACATAGAGATGATGCGCTTCTGCAAACGGGGAACTAAATGGCTGGTTGAGGGCGAGTCAGCATGTCGTTTATCACTTAGTTATCGGACCGAAATACCTGTGACCGCCCAGATCGAAGAAATTAACGTCGGTACTAGGCGTCTTGGAGAGCCCAATCTCCTCTTGCCAGGCCTTAGAAATGACCTCCTCAACTTCCATGTCCCTTTTAGCCAGTTTTTGGCTATCTGTTTGAGAGTGCCTTGATTCTCGTGGCGTATGTCTGGTTTTCTTAGCCTTGGTTAGATAGGATTCCAATTCCTCCCTGATGGTCTTGTGGTCAATCTTGCCGCTATAGTTTAGTGGGAGGAACGGCACTGGTAATATCAAGGAAGGGCGCATATGCGAAGGCAGTATTTTGCTGATCCCGCGCTGTATTGTTTCGGCAAGGCACGTGTCTGGTGTGACGATAGCAAGTAACGAAAAGCCGTCGGGTGAGACCTGGACCGAAGACCCACGAACACCCGGGTCAGCCGCTGCGATGGCCTTCTCAACCTCTTCTGGCGCAATACGGTAGCCTTGAGCATATGTAAGTCATACACGTCTTGATGAACCAGGATAAACGTACCTCGTATCTTGATCTCTCTGTCCATTCGCCCGCGAATGACCAAGCTACCGTCAGGTGTTAGTAACCCCCTATCACCAGAACGATATAGCCGAGTGCCCAACGCCGGATGTATGGCAAATCTCGTCTCAGTCAAATCTGCTCTTTGGCAGTAGCTAACGTGCAAAGTGAGTCTTTATCCCACATGATTCCATACATCGCATCACTAAAGAAGTGCACAACTCACCCTCTACTAAGGCTTTTGCCACCTATACAGACCTCGCCTTCCATCCCGTATGGAAGGATACGTGTAAGGGACGGGTCGCATATGTAGATCTCGGTACCGTCCGGGGGTCTACCGACCGAGACCTCTTCAATAGGTGGGCCGCCCTTTGTGTATTTCTGAAAAGCCACCGCGATACTGAAAACCCAAGTCAGGGAGCTAAAGACAACCAAGTGGATGGTAGTACATACCTTGTCTCAGTCGGTCCATACGAATTGATCATGACCACTCTCTCCCTCCAGGTCTCCAGGAGATGCGCCGGAACCGCCTCTGCGCCGACAGAAATACATCTCAACGAGTTTAGCTGGCGGTTGAGGGGAATAGTAGTCAATGCCGACGGGGTGATTTGCATGAAGCTAATAGAGTTCTGCTCGATGACATCGGCGAGGTATTCGCCTACTAAGGCCTGCGGGGAATCCGCAAAGCATAGCGTACCGCCGGCGGCTAGTGCACTAGACCATTCAAGAATTGAGGCATCAAAGTTGAAAGATGCCAGCTGAAGGATACAGCTCCCATGTCCTATTTTATAGACGGGAACGCTCGATCGGACAAAGTGCGCGAAGCTTCCGTGCTCGACCATGACACCTTTCGGTTCACCTACCGTGGAGTGTTAGAGGACAGGTTCCGTGATTAATGATGCATGACGGACAAACATACCTGTGCTACCAGATGTGAAGATCATATATGCTAGGTCTTCTGGGTCGACTTGTTTCGTAACGGGCTCTGGACTTGGTTGACTGAGCTCCATGGCATGCGTGTGAGGTAAAATAGTTCCAGCAAAGGGCTGGGTCCATTCCGCATCTGGAGCTAGTAGGTCTTCCACCACCATAATACTGTTGGGTTCTGATGCAGTACGCAATATGAATTGCTTACGGTCAAAGGGTAGTGTCGGGTCGAGATATACAAAAGCGCCTCCAGCCTTCAGGGTTGCAAGAATCCACTCAAGCAGATGGAAATTCCGGTGCAAGTGCAGGATCACCACGGAGCCCTTAGAAACACCGTGAGATGTCAGGACTATGGTTAGTTATGGTCAGCCATTTGTACATTTTCCACTCAGGTACCTACACTCGGCACCAAACCAAGAACTTTGTTGCTCAGCAATACGTACCGTGAGCTCTAAGCGTAGAATTATTATCCAGCTCACCATATGTCATGTGGCAATGTCTTTCTGCGCAGCTAAGTGCCATGCGGTCTGGGTTTTCGGCTGCATGCAGGCGAAACATGTCGTGCACGGCGATGAAGTTATTGGGAGCCTTTGCAGAAGGAAGCGTGACATATGTGGGCATGGATGGTAATTCGTTTAAAAGGACTGGGTCTTGGCGATAGCTAAGCTCCAACAGTCTCATATAAGTGCTCCGCATCCTGTTCATGGTTTTGTCATCGAATATCTCGGGATCATGTATAACCTGTGAAACGTGAGAATGTGAAAGTCGTCAACACACGGAATGGATTTACCCCGAGTTCAACACCCCGTGGACCATCCTGAAAGACAAAAAACAAATCCCAGGTTCCTTCAACAGGAAACAGTCGACAGCATTCATTTTTGAAAGCTGGTGCATAGGAGACGGCGACTTGTGGTGAGTTAAATTGTCCAAATCGGCTATTGGCACGCCAGCGTCGCGCGATGTCTAGCAAAGACAGTCTCTCAGACTTCTTGACTCGGCTTATATTTCGTGATACAGCAGTAACCAAAGAAGCCAATGTATTTCTTTCGCTTCCTGGCTCCGCTAGAAAATGATCTAAGACAGGGATCTTGATTGGAAGAGGGTTGGCAAATTGCCCAACAGTATGCTCGAAGCCTTGAGGCCGACCGCCAAAGGACACTGCTAGCGCATGGTCTCCGTCGAGCGGGGATCCGGTGTCGATATGCAGGAGTAGTCCTACCAGCGAGACAGCAACTCGGAACCATGAAGTCGAAAAGCGGGTGCTCCAGTTTTGGAGTTCCTTGACTCGCGTTAGCAGCGGCAAACGTCGTGTAACCCATGTTCAACTTCTCGCATTAACTTACATCTTTAGAAAACATCTTCCAGACTTCCAGACGACGGAAATTATGAGTACCGTGCGGTGGCGTTTTGGACCATCGAAATGGGTGAGTCTCCATAATCTGGTCAAGACATGTGGCTTGGGCGTTCTCGTAGCCTGTAGTGAGTGCCCACGCTCGCTGGATGACACTGGTGAGTATTGCCTTTTGGACGTAGTGACTAGGGTAGTATACCTCGACTGAATGAGCTTGACTAAACCTCTCTGACAGTTGATCTAGGGCAAGAGCTTTGCCTTCCACGAAATCGAGCAGTTCGCTAGAGAGTCGAGTTAAAGCCCCACCATCAAGGGCGATGTGATGAGACACCAGGTAGATATGCTTGCCTGATGACTGCTGGACAATATACCAACGAACGGGAAACTCATGCTCAAGGTCAAAAGGTTCATGTAGAGCCTGGTGAAGCCGCTGTTCCGTTATGTTCCTACCGGGGATGGCTAACAGACGGATTACTGGCACCACGCTGTTGGGGTCGTGCTCATGGATATGAGGTTTTCCGTTGAGAACAACAATCGTAGAGCGCAGGACAGAGTGTCTCTCTGTCAATTCATGGATGGCTGCATGGCAATAATGAGTTTCAGCTTGACTCTTACAGAAGGTAATGGAAGCTCTCCACCTACCAGCGACAATTGAATCTACTTCGACTTGAGGCTCAACTCTGTGGGCCATGTTCCACTGCAGGGTCAAATTATACTGAGTGCTACTCCTGTTAGCCAAGTAATCCACCCAAATACCCTCTTGGCTATGTGTCAGGGGGTAGGCTGCCACATGATCGCCTGCTAAGTGATGATGGTCTTCCCTCGGAGATCTGGCCGGCCCAGATATAAGAGCCATACGCGGCTCAATGTGAAGCGTCATCTTACAAACATATGTATCGATTGTTCCTTACTGATTCGAAATACAATACGCTCAAACGAGATGGTTATATAGTCACCAAGGAATGGTTGCAGGATGGCTCGTGTTCGTTTCACCTTCATGGTCATAGGAGCCTCCACCTTCTCCTCTGAAGACACGAAGCCACCACACGATGCAGATCGAACATCTTTCCATCTGTCCCTAAGCGAGCCTCTATCCACTCGAAAGACTGCAGCCAAGCTCCTTGCAGTACTCACAAGTACCAAAAAGTATTCTTTACGAACTGCGTTTCGTAATTCTGACGTGATGGATGCAGATACCCTGGCAGGTTTCTGCTGCTACACGGATAATGCGTTAAGCTATACTCTAAATGAGCTCATTTCTTAGCGATTGATAAATTACAACGGAAGAGATGCCATGGCGAGCCTCGTCGGTAACCAATTGAAATGTGGGTTTGAGGTAATATAACGAGAGAGAAACACGCCAAACCTCCATTGACGGTTTTTGTTTTGCCCGATTAGAAAACATTCGGGATAATATTCCCAGGCGCGGTCGATCAGGCTGCCGGTTACGCGGCCGGTCAGAACACGGATCAGAGCACTGACTTCGCAAACTCGAGATGTTTCCCTGAAGATGTGAATATGGCGTGATTTCGAAAGTACGTCACTGAGTTTAGATTTATACAGGTCATAGTACGATTAGTTCTGTCACAATATAGGTGTGATGCTCCATGTATCGTACACAACAATTGTACAAGAAACACCCTGCGTGATAAACACTTTTAATAAAGTTCGCTAAACAGTAAACAGTAAATATGTTATTATGACTTGTTTATAGTTTATATAGCTTTAGTAAATCTCAACTTCAATGGAACCCGGAAAGTAGTGGCGATTAAAACATATATTTCGCTTCAGAAAACTTGCAGTATAGCAATGTAGAAATCGTGCCCTCCGCGGAATCGGCGCTCTGGTGGACCGTACAGAGTTGTGGTTCTGGCAACAATGAGTTTCCTCTTTCTGAATAGGTACCTACGTTACGTTACATTGCATGTGCATGGGTTGCCTTGTGCATCTTGGTTAAGCATGCTTGGCCAACTTGGCTTTAGGTTGGCATCCTTCCCTGAACAAACCTGGGTAAACTCCACTCACTTCGCATGGGCAAATGGGACAATTTTCGCGGGCCAGGACCTTTCGTACGCCATTGAAAAAGCGGACTATTTGCTGTCAACAGAACTGCCAATTTTGCTTGAAGGATGCAATCCCATGTCTTAAATCCATACGACTAGTCTTCAACATTTTTTGTACGGGTAAAAGAAGCTAAATTCACCCATCAATCACAGTCATCATCCAAATCGGAATCGCCAGAAGTTCTATTTCGGATCGCAGTAGATTCTGGATCCTGCATTCTGCTCCTCGTCCATCTTGAGGCACACAATGTCTACTCATGAGCCGCCGGTGAATCTGACGGAACGAAATCGCATGCACACAACGGTCCAGTTCATACGACTATCTGTTGTGTAAGTTTGAGAAAGTACTCTGAATAATAGAATTCGTTTACATCACCATCTTGCACGAATACTTTTATTTTCTCCTTCTTTCTTCCCCTTGCATGAGAAAATGCACAACAAGTGTCAGTCCACTCAGTTACAAAGAATACATCAGCTCACACGCGTTGATAGATGTATCACCTTCTTCGTCGACATTGCCAACTTGGGAATGTGCACCATTGCACTTCCCACCATCAAGGAAGAGCTTGGCTATGACGAAGGTTCCCTTCAGTGGGTGATGACAGCTTATGCGCTGACCGTAAGGAAACATTGCCCTTCCAATGGCGATTTCAGCCGCTGATGCTATTGTAATGACGCAGTATGGTGGTTTCCTTATGATTGGTGGTCGCTTTGGAGACATCTTCGGCCAAGAGCTTGTACTCAAGATATCCATGATCGCCTTCAACGTTTTCACCTTGATCTGTGCCTTGGTGAAGGATAAGATTGGCTTCCTTGTTAGTCGCGCTTTACAAGGTCCGTCTATCCAAGCGTTGCCACATTGCATGACGAATTTGAGCTGAATAGCCTAGGCTTGGCCGCTGCTTTTACTGTTCCTGCAGCCCAGGCCATGGTCGGGCATCTTTTTCCAGACCCTAAAGCACACGCTCTTGCTCTCAGCTGGTGGGGTGCAACAGGTTCGATGGGCTTCGTGTACGGTTTTCTTTTCATCCAAACCGGCCGCTTGTTGTTGTGAACTAATGCTACTTCAGCCTGGGGCCTATCATCGGTGGCCTCTTTACATCCCTGGTCTCTTGGCGCTGGGTATGTTTTCATTTCACACTCTTTGCCTTCAAAAGATCTGTCTCTAATGTGGCTGACCAGATATTTTGGTTTCCTCTCATTCTGGAAGGCCTCCTCGCTGTCTTGGCCTTATTTTTGTTTCGCAGCGCGAAATGTCAAGACAAGGAAAAGTCACTCAGTCTTGTGGAGATCATAGAGCGTTCTAATCCCGTTGGAACTGGACTTTCGATTCCGGGCTTGATACTCCTCGTCTATGCACTTACGGCTGGCAACGAAGTTGGCTGGTCTGATGGAAGTGTCATTGGAACACTGATAGCTGCCGTGGTCTTGCTAGTCGCTTTTGGCGTAGTCGAAGCGAAGCTGGCACGATACCCCTTTGTGCCGCGGCATTTGTGGAAGACAGGTAATATTACCATTGGGTGTATTCTGGCAGCTATCACATACGCAGTCTGGCAAGGTGCAAATTACTTTCTTACCCTCCAGTTGCAAGGCAAGCATCCACCGCACAACCCCTACCACATAAGTCGAGCGTTTGATCTAATTATTTTGTAGATCTTGGCTTCACTGCACTGGAGACATCAGTCCGGTTTTTGCCTCTTGGAGTGACCGCCTTCTTGGTGAACATGGTCATTCCACACCTGCTGGGACCAGTCGGACCGCGAGTTCTCCTGCTGATTAGCTGGCTCTTTGCCATTGCCGGAGTTGTCCTGTTCGCCTTTGTTCGCTCGCATGACGATTACTGGCGTTTGTGCTTCCCAGGCATGATCTTGTATATAATCGGTGTCGGAACCGTTTACTATGTCTCCATGGTTATCGTGGTCACATCAGCCCCTGCAGCCGATCAAGGTTCTGTCGCAGGCGTCTTCAATGTACGTCCACCCCGTGCTCAAGATATGAGCTTCATTACGTCTAACATAAAAAACATAGATGTCGCTCAACATTGGGGGTGCCGTCTTTGGCGTGGCAGTTTTGACGGTTATTGCCAACAGCGTTACCAGTAACAACGGCGGCCAAGACTCACTCGCGGCTCGTTTACGTGGCTATCAGGCATCGTACTATGGAGCCATTGCCTGGGCGGTACTAGCAACTCTGATATCCATTTACGTGGTTATCAGCGGCTACAGAAAATCCAAGCAGAGTGAAAAGATTTCCGCTACCGAAGAAAGCAGCAAGGGCGATGAGATGGTGAAGGAGTAACGAAGACATCGCTGCTGATTCTTCGTTTGTAAGGATTCCTACAATGAAGCTGGAGCTACCAATATGGAAGTGCTATACTCTATTTGGGGTCCATTGAGATGGCAATGTATCTGGTGTTTATAATCGGGAGTTCAAGCTTCTCTTCTGGTGCAAACTGTCGACGGTAAGCCTCCGCGGTATAGCAAATTCAATACAATGACATCCTATACCTTATGTCCTAGCAGTTACACTCCAAGCCCCAGGAGCCACTCGGTACTAAACATTTATAGTATTACACCAAGCAACCAACAAAAATAATCAGTCAATGTCTATGATCTCGCTTCCCCGCTGTGAGATCGACCCTCGAGGTGATACGAGACTCAATACCTTTCTATGCCATTTCTATCTCCTCCACTTCAACATGTGCCGCGGAAGCTTGTCCCAATATTCTCCGCCCTCACGTCACTATGACGATCCCCATTTGTTAAACTATCGGTTATCTGACAGGTACAGCAGCTGGAAGAATATTCTTGACCATGGAAGGTTTATGTGGGCGATCAGTGGACATCAATGGCGTATTTGTGACATACGCTCTCGTGGCCAGAGTAGGCGCCGATGTCACGTATAGCAACGATAGTAATCTAGTAATTCAAGACATTGCTATTCTTCCCCATGGAATCTATTTTGGATACCTCGTGGTGAGTCCCTTTAACTATCTTTGGACTCAGAGTGTCGTCTTTTCGAACGCGTGGCCGGTGCCGCGTAACAGGTAGACGACGTGGTGGAACAGGAGCATCACATTGCCTTTCTCTTATGACGAGGGTCTTGGCGTCAATGCAGTTTGGACTTCCCTCTGTCTGCCAGAGATGGAGTGACACGCTTTCGAAGGTATCGATGATTCCCTTCCAGAACATTGCGAAAGTCAGAGATTACAAAAGGACGAAGGCGAGTCTGGGAGTTCTAATCGTTAGCCAAGATTGAGATTGCAGCACAGGAGGTCGTGGAGCCGGTCAGCTTGAACACGAGTCGCAGCAAAAATATTAAAAGGCGTCCTCGCGAATTTTCCTTGATTGTGCGGTGATTACATGAAGGTTTATATAGGCAATTATACACAAGTCATGCTGGAATTGATGTCGACTTTGTGTTCAGCGAGATTGGCTACTCCCGAGAAACCATTTATACCTTGTGTATATGGACGTCTGGAACGAGTGGGCGTCCCAGGTAGTGTTTCACCAGGGCCATGGCTCATTCATCTGCATCTGAACACAGGCTTTCTTAGTATGAATTAAACACAACAAATCAGTAGATTCAAGATAAAGGGCTTAGACGCGGAAAGTCATGGTCTTGTTGCTGTATGCCCGTCCCGTTAAATGGTATATAGACTCCAGAGTCGGCGCAGTTGCCGAGTTAGTTACCCAAAGTCCTAGACAAGAACCCCTCCAGCAACCCTGCAACTCTCTGTCGTACACCAATTCATTAGTATTGAGTTGTTCTTCTGTTATATCTTGCCCGAGCTCCTAGAGCTTTGTGCCTTCCTACTGTAAGGTATCCTGATGCTTTGGCCGTTCGCACAGTGATTCGGTTAGCTGGGGGGTGGATGACAAACGAGGTTATTCAGGGTTCGCAGGCCGCTAACGGGTTACTAAGGCCACTTTATTTAAGCTTTGCCCCAGATTGCGGCGGTGCAGTGGGAGGCAAGTTACAGAGCACTGAGTGAGCGAAGCCTGCTCCCAGCTGCCCCCCAACTGCCCCCCAACTTTCAGAGGTGTTCAAATCTTGATTGATTCCACTACGAGTATCGGAGAATACCATCTGACTAACCTTAGGTTAACTGAGACTAACCTGACTTAGTGATCTGCCCGTACTGGCTGTAGTTTACTCGGTTGAATTGTTCCATTGGTAAGTTAACTTATCACTAACGTTAGTGCAGCGGAAAGGCCTACGTCCTGCACAGCAGGTCTGCTTCAGAGTTTCCTCATCTATATTCGCTTTTTACTTCCTTCCCCGCCCTTGCCCTTGCCCAGAAGGTCGCCGACGACGCATTCGACTTCTACTTCGATTTCATTTTCAATCTCATCCCCAGTTCTCGACGGGACACGGCGTACGACACGAACCCTACCTCTCAAACGGCCTTTTGCCTGACACTTGCGCTGCCACCGCCACCCCAAGGCTGAAATCAAGTCGGCTTGTGGTGCCTGCCTCAGCATCGCATACCCACACTGTAATCGAGCCGAACTTCGACTCATGGTTACAGTCCCTCCTACGCGGCCCTCGGGGCGTTCTTGAACACACAATATCACCACCGAGCAGCTAGCAGAGTTCCATCTGCTCTCTTGCTTTCTGCGAGATGGACCACTACGCTGCCGATGTCCAACCGGACCCCGTCGAGTTCCCCAATACCGTCATGCGCCGCCGAACTTCGGTCACGCAACCAGATGACATGGCAGAAGTTGGGCCAGGCGCAGGAACAGGCACGGGGAGAGCCTTCGATTTCTCGAGAACCGGCGACCAGCCTCGATCGGACGAAGCAGCAGCAGCAGCAGCAGCAGCAGCAGCAGCTACAGCCACCGCCGCCGGCGAGTCAGTCGCCGGAGATGTCGACACTTGCCGTATATGTCGAGGTGAAGGCGCTTCGGGCGAACCTTTGTTCTATCCTTGCAAATGTAGTGGCAGCATCAAATATGTCCACCAGGACTGCCTCATGGAGTGGCTCTCCCACTCCCAAAAGAAGCACTGCGAGCTGTGCAAGACGCCCTTCCGGTTCACCAAGCTATATTCTCCAACCATGCCCAAGAGCTTGCCTTTCTACGTCTTTGCGAGCCACATGGCTAAATACACATTTGCGAATATCCTTGTGTGGCTGAGGGCTGCACTGGTTGTCAGTGTCTGGCTTGGATGGTTGCCCTACCTGATGAGATCGGTATGGTCGTTCCTGTTCTGGATCAGCGACGAAGGCTTTGGCCCTACATCAGCCTCCTTTCCCCTTCCCGATGCCGGCGGTAACACCGAAGCGCATATGAATCTGGTCGCTCACGCCTTGGCCACCCAAGGATTGACTTCGAATATCTGTCCAGCCAGTCCATTGTTCACAGCGACTATGACTGCGGCGAACAAGGCACACATCGCCGAGCGCGTGCCCAACCTTCTCCCGACCTTAGCCTCTCCGCCGAGCCTCAACATGACAACCTTCAACTCCTTCGCCGCCTCTTTGGCACGCTTCATCTCCGGCGCCGACGTCCTAAACGGCACACATATGTCATGGGATGTCAGTAAACGCCAAGAAACGCTGTTGAGCGAGGTAGGCTTTCTGAAGAACCTGACCCCACACCCAGCCGTTAACAAGGTTGTCATCAAAATCTTCGAGGGTCAGATCATCACGATACTGGTCATAGTCTGTTTTATTTTGATCATCCTGGTTAGAGACTATGTGGTACAGCAACAGCCTGAGATCAACATGCGTGCGGCATTTGCCGCTCAAGTGGACAATGCTGGAGAGAACCAAGACCGCCCCCAAGTTCAACAAATACCCGAGGCTCGAAACGAAGACATCCCGGCGGTCAATGGTGTCGGCCGTGCCATGGACGAAAATACCATGCGAGACGACGAATCCACAATTGCGCACGGCGGTGAAACTACCGATTCACACGGTGACGGGGACAAGGATGAGCAGCCTGCGTGGCGGAGGGACATCGATGCGATTGAGGAAAACGTCTGGCATAATGATCTTGCGCCTGAGGATTTCCGAGATGAATTATGGGATGCTACGGGGGGCCGTCCATGGTTAGCTACTGGGGTTCCTCCGGAACGGCCCATTGCTGGGTTCAGACGGCGTCTCACTCGCCGTGACACAGGAGAAGATGTTGCTGGCGGATCAATACCAAGTCGACCCGACTCTTCTTCGGCACCGGGGCGTGGCCGACTGGACAATGGAGTTCGAGAAAAGTTGTTAGAGGAGTTGGACGAGCAGTCACAAAGCACCGTCAACCAGTATCTTCGTATCTATCGTCAAGCCAATGGCGATCGGGAAAGAATCCTTCGGATCATTCACGATGAGGGCTTGGGAGAACGACTTGCTTATTGGGTCAACGCCACCCAGTCCATGACACAATACAGGAATGGAACAGGGCTGGAAGCTGGAGCCTCGGTCCCCTCGACTTCTTTCAAGGCAAGATCTCAGCCATCGAGCCAGACGCAACCTGAATTGGCGCATGACTCGGACAATCATGGTAGCTCGGTCTTGGCTAACAACGATAACGTGAATGCGCTTGGTAGCCATCAATTGTCTGCACCTCAAGATAAAGGAAAGCAAAGAGCAATATATGGTGACACTCAACAAGCCGCGGTCAACATTCAAAAGCTTGACAATACGTGGCAGTGGCCCCAATCCAATGGCAGCGGGTACGATAGCGACGAGACGGCGGCAGAAGACAACGATGTGCTCCCGTCTTCTCCAACCAGACCACGTGCTGTATCAGACGGCCCACTAATCCACAACCGCATCAACCCGCTGGCTAACAACAGCTGGTCTTTCTCTGCCCTGCCCATTTCTGACTCCGAAGCCAAACCTGAAGCTGCCCTCCCGCCCGAAACTCCGGTACTCAAGGCAGTCTTGCCGGCAACACCAAATGACGTGCAGCGTGGCGTTCAGAGCAACGGACAAGTGCCTGCTGGCAGTCTGACTACACCTAATAGCAACTTGACTACAACAAGCTCCAGCGACACAGCCCCAGCGGGTGGAGGCCAAACTGCCCAGGTGGAAACTGTTCCGGTGGAACCTGTCGAGCCTCTTGGAATGATTCGAGAGCAAGTGGCTGCTCGGGACCCTGCTACCTTTATCGAAAGGGTTGCTGACTTTATGTGGGGCGATCTTGCGGGCGGCACAGAAGCTGATGTGCCTGGCGCATTGGCAATATTCATCGACGATGAAAATGCTCCCTTCATGGATCTTAACCGGGACGATGATAGCAGCGACGACGAGGAAGACGAGGAAGCTGTAGCAAATGATGTCTTAGCCGGTGACCTTGCACCGGAAGTCATAGAAGCTGCGGCAGCAGCCGGCATTGATCCCGAGGAGGTTATTGACGACGCAGAAGATTTTGATGGCGTCATGGAGCTCCTAGGGATGAGAGGTCCTATCGCAGGCCTGTTCCAGAATGCCATATTCTGCGCTTTCCTTGTCTCCATCACCATCTTCCTGGGCATCTTCCTCCCGTATAACATTGGCAGACTTGCTGTGTGGGTTGTAGCAAACCCAATGCGACTTGTCCGTATGGTTCTCAGTTTTTCCCGGTTTGTCCAGGACAGCTGCCTCTTTGCCGTGGGCTGCACAGTCAGCATCGTCTTTGACTTCCTATATCTGCTGGCTAAGTTGTTGCGGTTGGAGAGCGCTCGTTCGCTGCTAGCGACTGCTTCCTCGGATGCTCGGCTCCTCACTGTCGAGTCCTCGAACAGGATATGGGCGAGTATCGCTTATGAGACATCCTTCATCTCTTCGACTGAAATCGTCAACTTTTCGGTGGTCAGCCACGAAGCCCTGGTTACAGTCAAGTCCCATGTTCATGCCCTAATTTCGGCATCAACGCAAGCGGCGATGTTCGTGCTCGGAGGAAATTATGCACCGAAATGGGAGGCTGCCAAGTTGGCAACGGCAACATCTGCACCGTACGCTGTAGAGGTGGCGAAAAATATCACAAGGATTATGGCACAACCAAGTTCATGGATGATCAATCTCACCATCCCTGATGCCACGGCAACCTTCGATCCTTCTTTGGTTTACTGGAGCGCCAAGGATCGGACTCTGGCCATCCTTGGCGGGTACCTTTCCATGTCGCTGCTCGCAGGTCTCTATCTAGGTAGAGGGACGCCGTTTTCAACAGGCAATACAGCCCAGGAGTGGGAAGCATCGGTCATCGACGTTCTCAACCAAGCAAGTGGCGTCATGAAGGTGATCTTGATCATTAGTATCGAGATGCTCGTTTTCCCCTTGTACTGTGGGTTACTACTCGACTTTGCGCTGCTTCCTTTATTTGAGGACACAACTTTTAGATCGCGCCTGTTGTTCACCTACCACTATCCCTTGACATCCATCTTTGTGCACTGGTTCGTCGGCACAGGATATATGTTCCACTTCGCCCTTTTTGTATCCATGTGCCGGAAGATTATGCGCAAAGGCGTACTCTGTAAGTAATCGCTCATCTCAACACAACAAAGGCCACGAACTAACGATGTCAGACTTCATTCGGGATCCTGATGACCCAGAGTTCCATCCTGTACGGGATGTCCTGGAGCGGAATGTGACCACTCAGTTGCGAAAGATTCTGTTTTCCGCTTTTGTCTACGGCGCACTGGTCGTTATCTGTCTCGGCGGTGTTGTATGGGGGTTGTCGCTGGCAATACCCAGTGTCCTTCCGATCCATTATTCATCCAACGAGCCTGTCCTGGAGTTTCCTATTGACCTCTTGTTCTACAACTTCCTCATGCCGCTTGCCGTCAAATTCTTCAAGCCCAGCGATGGCTTGCATGTCATGTATACCTGGTGGTTCCGCCGCTGTGCCAGGGCCCTCCATCTGAGCTGGTTTCTATTTGGCGAGCGACGTATAGACGAGGAAGGCAGTCTACAGCTTTTGCCCAAGTCCGTGTTTCAAGAGGCACCTTGGTACCGCAAGCTCTTCCTCGACATCGATGAAGAGGGAATGGTTGTACCCAAAACTTGGAATGACATATTCGAGGGTGGGAAAGCGAAGCCGGCTACCAAGATTCCCTCGGATAAGATGAATGAGCTTGCCAAACTGAAATCGTTGCTTGTCGAGACGAATCAGCTTATCCCCGACGGCCGTTTTGTGCGAGCGCCTGCTTCAGATCAGGTTAAAATCCCGAAAGGTCGAAATGTGTTCATGGAAGTTTCTGATCGTGATGAACAGCTGGGCAACAAACCTGATTCGCCGGAGCCGGATATCTACTCGGGCAACAGCTACCAGTTCGTCTATGTTCCTCCCTGGTTTCGAATTCGCATTTTCCTATTCATCATGTTTATATGGTGGTTCGCCGCGGTAACCGGCGTTGCCTTTACTATTGTCCCTTTGGTCTTTGGTCGTCGTATGTTCAAGCTCCTCCTGCCGGGACATGTCAGGACCAACGACATTTACGCTTTCAGCATTGGGATGTATATTCTCGGTTCTCTCGGTTACTTCGTCTTTCACGCTCAAACTACACTGGCCCAGGCACGGGAGTACTTGTCAGCTTCGGCCACCTCGGTTATAAACAGTGAAGTCCGCAGTCGTGCTCTAAAGCTCATCGAGGACGGCGCAAAACTTGCTTATACGTATACCATGCTCTTGATCGTGTTCCCATTGGCGGTCGCGTTGATTGCGGAGTTTTATGTTATGATACCATTGCGAACATGGAGATATTCGCACGTCTTTGATCAAACACAGCCTCTCAAGGATGGTCATACTGTCAACATTGTTCAGGCATGGACTCTGGGACTACTCTATCTCAAAATCGGCACGCGACTTCTCGTCCGGCTCGGAGGCCGCCCCGCACAAGCTGCTCGTGCCGTACTTCGGAGAGGCTGGATGGAACCCAACTTGAAGGTTCTCACTCGTGCCTTCGTCGTTCCGGGTGTCCTCATGGCCGTGTTCCTCCTTGCGTTTCCACCTCTACTAGCACACGCACTCTTCCGTCAAGGTATTGTCAGCGTTGATCCTTGGACTCCAGAAAAGCAGGTTGTTGCATATAGGATGGCCTATCCGATTGCCGCGTTAGGCTGGGCCATGCTCTGGATCTTAAAGGGCATCTTCTCGATTCTCGACAGCTGGAGAGCTAGGGTCAGGGATGAGGCTTACCTGATTGGTGAGAGACTGCACAATTTCGGGGGTATGGTCGGCACAGGCACTAGGGGCGCCACTGCAGGAGCCGCGGGGGACTGGAGAGGTGGTGCGCGTCTATAGCATATATATAACGCGCTTGCACTATAAGCATGGTGGTCGGCGTTTAGGTTTGCATCGGATGTTGGAACTACACGTCTTCATTTGCAAGAATACATAGCATGTATAGAACTGGCGGTGTGTAGTCACTTTCACAGCGTCTCGAATAATAATTGCTTCTCGTTAATGAACTTGTCGCTAGTTTCGTCTTGAAATATTGTTTTGGCCTTGTCATTCATCAAGATCTTATGTTGACAGATTGGCTTGCAACTTATTTCCTTCACACCGTTCGAAAAAGAACAACGATTACTGACACTAAGGGTAGTTCAACATCTGTTAAACCTCAGTCAGCTACTGTGGAGCGTTAGCGATGACCTCAGTCAAGATTTTCGTTTCGCCAATTGCGTAAGGGGCATCATGCAGGTCAGCTTTCTCATGTCCATTAACGAGCGTGAGAAGTTGGCTTTATTATGGAGTTTGGAACGGCTTTACCGATCTAAGTTCTATTCCCGTTCATATCATCCCTTGTAATGCGTTTTGTGTATGCAGCCCTTTTCCTCCCGGCTTTTTATCTAATATGGGTAGGGTATCTCAAGACTTAAAGAAAGTGCAGCGGGCCCTTTTTCCCCCCTTTCGAAGGACTCCCCGCTTTGCTAGTAGCACCCCAGACGCCAACGCCAATTCCATGATTTGTATGAGTAGATGTAGATATTATAAAAGAAAGCGATGGCGAAGGTCCTGAGAAGGCATTGTGACATCAACATGCTAGTTCTCCTCTGCCCACAAAGTGATACGAGGATGACCTTGTTAATGGTCCTCGACATCCTCGTCCCGACCCGGGTACATGATGTCTTGTGACCAGACGGCGCGTACCAGGTTGTAGAGCACGAGGAAGTAGGTGCAAAGCAAAAGCACGGAAAGCCCATTGGCAACGTAGAGGACGGGCTCGTTCTTCAGCTGGTTGCCGATCGAGATGGTCGCCAGGATGAAGCCCGTGTTGGGGAATACCATAGCCCACCAGCCCAGATGGAAGTACTTTGGTGGAGACGCGATGACGGCCACGACGCCGACAAAGAACCACCACAGAGCTAGAGCCCAGAGGAAGATGGCGGCGATCGTGGCAAATATCCGGATGATCTCAGCGTCTATTATGCCGTCGCCGTTGGGGTCAAAGTTGGCAGGCAACCCATCAGCCATGCCAATGAACGCAAGGGCTAAGACAAGACGTTAGCTAACGGCCACGACCTTGGATGGAAGGGAGCATCACTTACCAGTGAATGAAGGGGGTCCGACACACATGAATAGACCGGGGCGGTGCTCACGGTTGGGCAGACCGGCCTGCATCAAGCGGCCGACCATGTGAGAGTACATCATGAAGGAGACAGAGATACCGAGTCCTTGGCATGTCAAGCCGCCCACCACAATGGGGATGGCGTCGATATCAGGCTGGGTAGAGGCGATGACTGACGCGATTGTACCAGACAGCATGATGGGAAAAATGGGTAGAATCCACGTCGGCATCATGGTTTGTAGTCCGAAGCTGTGCGATGCAAAGACGAAGCTGTACTGGCCAACCGCAAGCATCAACGTTACCACGACGTATCCCCAGAAGACCGTCTTGATAGCCCAGGTCAGGGCAAAATCTTGCTCGGGAATTGCATATCGTTGTGTGCTCGTGATGAGGGTGGCGATGGAGAGGAAGAATGTCGGGAAGAAGAAGCCTTCTCGAGGGTGAGATAGGGACTTAGTCAAGTCGCCTCGGTGAAGCAGGAACCTGGTAAGCATGAGAGTAGTAATGACGGTGAAAATGATGATGTTGACGATGTAGACGAAGAGACCGATTTGCCGAAGGCCCGGGAATTGATGTGGTTGAGCGAATATTAACAATGAAAGACCACCAGTACTCATGGGAAACGTGTACCAAGCCCATGTGAAGTGATGGAGTCTCTGCTTGAGCCCATATCGGGGTCTATTGGGATCGTTGATGTCGACATGAGAATGGCCGTGTTCAACATCGTGACCCTCCTTGCCGCCTCGGATTGAGGTCGCTGCCGAGTTGAGTTGAGTTTCTACTTCGGGGCTCGCGGGTCGCTTCTCGTTCAATCGGCCACTGTAGGCCATTTCGTTCTGATTTGGTGTCTCGAAGGAGAATGTTGATGGGCCAGTGGGGTACGCACTTGACCCTGCCACGTAAGGGCCTGAAATCTGACTCTTCTCCATTGCTCCTGGCAATACTTCCACTTAGGATTCGATGAATTCAAATGAGTAATATGGTGAAGTATACGCAGTTGTTGCTACCTAAGCGTCGGTTTTAACGCTTCCAAGGAAAGGAGAAGAAGAAAAAAGAAAAAGATGAACACCGGAAAATAGGACTATCGAAATGAAAAGAGTGCCAGACTCTGAAATGAAATAAAGTCGATTCCAGCGATGACCTCTTTCGAAGATCCCTTCACTGCCACCGTGGGCGAGCCCGTCTCCTTATCAAGTGGGAACGCCGAGCCTATAGCTATATCGCCAAGAAATGAGAAACATCATGGAGATAGAAACGTCTGGGGCCAAGACTCTGTGGTTTGGGCGTGTTGTGACGCGAACATGAGGGTCGCGATAAGCTAAGTGCTGGTTGGGGTGGATCAGTGCCAGCAAGCAGCCCAAGCTTCCAATGAGGATCTTCATGAATACCGGATGGGGAAATGGACCAAGCCTAGATTCTCCCCAATTATCCCCTTGGGGAAGAGTGTTGCCAGGGGTTGCGGACGTGATCGGTATGACCCACTTGGGCCAAGTAAGCTCTAGTCTAGGGTCTATCTACAGAGTACGGATACTTGAGGACAGACAGCGCCAGCGTGTGCAAGGTGCATGCCAGGCGGCTGGCTGTCGACCACCATGCTCACTTCTGTGCTTATTCGTAGCAGATCTGGAGGCCCCCACGCATCGTAAACGTCCAAGAGATTGAAAATAGTAAGGTTCCGGCAGATAGCATGTGCCTCATCCTGGTGACAGGCAGGGAACAGACGCAGAAGAGTCAGATCAATATCATCGTGGCCAATCGGCGCAGATGGCGCGTGCCTGCCTTCCCTGGCCTGCCTGGCTGTGCACTTGGCAGTGGGAGATCGTCGAGGAAATCTCTGAAGAGTCTCTGAAGAGTCTTAGAAGCCGATACGGGTTGACGTATGGAAGATGCTGCGTAAGCAAAGCTACCTCTTCGTCTGACAAGGTCAAACATCGGCTTGATCCAAACTGGTGGGTCGTTCCGGATCATGGACCGCTAGGCGCAGCAGATTTGCTTGAGATGAGCGCTGTGAGGCTCTTCACAGCGGTGCTTGGCAGGACTTCGGGGCGCTTGGCTGTTAAGAGATGGTGGGTTTTCGGTGGGGGCCAGCGCAAAGGTACTGTTTCGGCAGTGATAGGACAAGCCCGACTTCTCCCGATCGAGCAAAGCATTGGGCATCGAGTCAGTATATAAAATTTCACGTGTTTATCTGAGCGCTTCGAGCCTGTTGTTTCATAGTGTCGCACTCCTTAAGCAAGACAGGATTAATCAGAATGAACGTTCGTTGATGAGCTTTGCAGTCTCGGCCAGTTTGGGAAACCAATGTTGAAAGACTCCGAGCCACAAACTGTTCTCAGCGTCGCTGAATCTTTAGTAATCCAACCACGGGTGAGTGGACCTGCTCGACAGGCAACAAGAAGGTATCTACAGATCCATGCTATAGACGTCAACCATATCAGAATTGGGTGACCCGCTGTTCATGTTTTCTCTTGTCTACCAATAATAGTGGTCTGCGCCTGGCCCGTGGACCGTTGGGCACCTACCTTAATCACCGCCGATCGACCTTAAAAGGGATACCTGATTGCCTTCTCCCGCGTTGCACTCGCGTGTCGAGTCGACAGCTTCCGAATCATCACACTGGCGATCATCTGGCCTAACGCACTAACCTACTAATAGCGTATCTGTAAATGTTGACCACTCTGACCTTAGTGTCAAACGTATTACGAGCTACGAAACGTAGGCGGGATTCAATGGAGTTCTATCATGCTAACGTGTACTAACGTTAGTCTTCGTCTATCAGATTGCATACTTCACAGCGAAAGATCCCTCCACAATTGCACACTATTCCCAGCGTCTTCCCATCACACCAGGCATTCTGTCACAGGATCCATAGTTGGATTAATCGGGAATGTAGTACGGCTATGAGCAACGTCAAAAGGGTTGCTTGGATGGCGAAACGCCGGGTCTCGCCTTCGATCAGACAAACCTTCCCTCGCCATGTCCTTGATCTAGCACGCTGCCAAGCATTGCCGTAACTCGATATCTGGTGCCAAGCGTGCCCAGCCTATTTGCAGCGGGTCAGTGTCACAAGTAACCCGTTTTTCTTCTTCTTTTCTTTGCTTTCAATTTGTGACATCGAGATGAGTCTCGCCGTATACGCCGGCTGTGCATGCATGCGCGAACGCGTCAGGTAATGACGTGCACGAGCTTGGCAAAATTATACCGAACTTTCTCATTAGCATTAGAGCGATTGTCGATCGAGTGGGAGGATGAACAATGTTAACTGGTATTCCTTGCCACATGATTGTCTTGACGGCAAAAGGGATGCAGACGTAGAGTGAGCGTGTACCGCTGGCGTGTGGATTAATATCGGCCACTATGCCAGTCTATAATGCACTCAGGACAGCCTTTAAACTGCCACTGGCGCTCTATTGTGTATGATGGCGTGATGGGATTGGATCGGCGTGTCCATTACACAAGTGTGCCCCCGAGTAGCTTTCAGGCCACTCTTTGGTCATTTGGTGAAAGCTGGCAAACTATCTGTTCACTTTCATAGGTCAAGTCTGCATCTGAACGGACACTCGGGCGATAAAGGAGAGTTTCCGTTGCAGAAACCTGGCTACACAAGGAGGTCGCTGTACTAGTAAGAGAACTCGATCACGTACTGGCGCAAAGCTACGCGACCACGTCTTTTCACGTTTTTTGCGTTTAAGCCTTTTTACTCTTTGGCTTTCTTATCTTCACATACCTAGGGCAAGCAGCAAACCAAGTTTTCGTGACCTAATGACTTTATTCTAAGCTTTCATTTATATGATTTGTTTCTAGAGAGAGAAATAATTAATGTATAGAAAAAGATTTGAAGAAATTCCTAAAAGGAAGAGGATTTCTTTCATTTGGCATATAGATATTGTTATGGACTAGGTCAAGCGTGTCATAATAAAATACTTGAGAAATTCACCTTGTCGTTGAAGGTGATAAAACGTGTTCCGGCAATAATCATCCTTAAAACGACTTATTTAAATATTTCACAGCTTGGAAATCTGAATGTGCTACTCAGCATCGAGAGTCGCTGTCTCCGAGTCTTGAAAGACGCCCTTGAGCTAATGCCAAAACCTTGCAGTATGATTCAAGTCGCATTGAGCAATTTTATCTACCTCCTAACATATGCGATACGACTACTCAAAATGGAAGAGCTCTACGAGGCTCTTCAAGTCTGTGAAACAGAGTCAATGGGAAATCTTGCAGAAGATGCCAAAATAGTGCCGGAAAGTGTCATTGAGAACTGCGCTCCATCGGTCAAATGGGATACCATCGGCTCAGACGATGAAATGGAGACATTGACTCTACGACACGATTCAGTGAAATCTTTTCAATGAAGAATCTAGGAGTGCTCAGACATCGACCCATGGCCGACTCGGAATATATTGGTAACATGGAGCCAAGCCTATTCGCCAAATTATGTCTTCAATATTTGCAGCAATCTCTTGTTTCCAAGTTGTTGAAAAAGACGAGTTACACCATTTTTAAACTCACGGCGGGCAGAACGTGGCCGAACACTACCCTTTTCCATATTGTGCCAAGTACTGGGGTCAACATCTCGATATATTCAAGTTCATCCTAGATATGGGTAAGAGAGTTGAACGGTTTCTGAGATTCAAATACTACATCACATGTCTTCAATCCCAAGACTTGCTTGTTGGTTGTGTGTCTAATCAGAATATTTCTGAAAAGTTATGTCCCAAACAAATTAAATGTGACTATTTCTAGGGCATTTCTACTTCAGAATAGATGGATGAACGAAAGAGACCCAAACGCATCGAATCTTCCCACAACGAATACTATGTTGGTGAGAAAATCCGACATCAATACCACGCTGCAATAAGAGAGTGGGGATATCACCTCGACTACTATTCCACAGCCAAAAGCGATTACCCAGGTCAGTTAGACCGATGTCAGTGAGAAAACCTGAGAAACTCTAGTTTTACGAGTACGATAACCAGTCATGCCAAGAGCGCATTGCTCCAAGAAGCCCGAAGAGAGAAAGGATTGTTTGTGGTCACAAAGAGATGTCCCGAAGTCCAGGTCAAAGTGAACATTAGTGGCTGGTTTACGAAATTCTTCCGTTGTTCGAGGCCACAGTCAAAATTAAGTGCATTCCAGTAGACTAGTCGTGGAGGACTTTATACTAGCCATCCTTTGGAGAGCCTATGAGTTGTGACAAGAAGAACTAGGTGAATGACTGAGTGTTCGAACGTAGCAATGTCTTCTGGCCGGTGATATTTTCGTGAAAAGTACGGTAAACCATGCATTTATCACAGCTCATCTATATATAGCATGGAAATTCATGGCAATATATTGCGGTGAAGTGCAAGTATTGGCCGCATGAAGAGAAATTCACCCGTGTTGAAATTAGACCCTCGTGCGATTCTCCCGAGCTTAATTGACACATGAAGTACGTTTTGTTTTTGATATTTGCAAACGAAATTTCCACTCTTCCAGTTGGTCATGCGAGTAGTCTGTTGCTCGAATGAAATACTGTCGGAGACCCAATTAGTAGTCCTTTGGATTGTCGCAAGAGTCGAAATATATGCTGTCTGGTCATGCTGGGATTGTCGAAGGACAGCACGTGTATTTGACGCGTTCAATCCTTGAGGAGTTTGGCATTATTAAACTTGACTGCTCATCGACATCAGTTTCATTGTGCGATTCAGGCCTTGGCTCATTCTCGAACTCGTAGGCGGGTTTGAAATACTGTGCGCGTCCTGCGGTTGAAGACGAATTTAAGTATCTACTACTAGAACTCCCTGCAGAAATTAAGGATATATCAGACTACTCTGTGGTATATGATGTAACGTCATCGATATCTTGGTTTTCAATATTTCCTTCTTCCACATTAATCACATCGTCGTCGAATTTCGAGTCGTTCCATACAATATCGTCGATGATTTCGTAGGGTTGTACCTCCGAGAATCCGTCGCTCCAGAACTCTCGTGCTGAGCCTGTATATGCCTGTCATCGCATTCGCCGTCTCTCGTCGTCTATACTTCCAGTACAATCGCAATGGGGCACATAATTATGAAAGCCATGGCTGTCTGTCTCATATTTTTCGCTGTCATTCGGATGTTCTGCATCACTCTCCAAGTTTGGATTTCTTCGCCATGGTCGGTGGAAACGCTATTATCTGAGGATTCCGTAGATTATTATGACTGATCTCTTGTTCCAGTACTCGTCGGTTCTGGTTGGGGCCATTCTCAGTGGGGAGATTCATTGGTGCCTGTTGCCTCCTTAATGCTATTGCAGCCATTCCCAATCCGCTAACAAGTTCTTCCACGTACTCGATGCTGGAGAAATAGTGCTTTAGGTTTGAAACACCCACCATTTATTCTTTTTGAATAGTGAATCCCTAGCATGAAGATATGCATCCTCCCCTGAAACAAGGTACTTGGTTGCGACTTCTGTCTTTGGTGGCTTCTGTGCGCTTGACCTGGATTTAGGGACTGCTAAATGTCGAGTCTTAGGAATTTCGGCGTCTGGTATATCCTTAATCTCTATTGGTCATTTGTGACGTCTAGACAGTCTTTACCCGATCGACTAGAGATTGTCAAAGACACATACGCTAGAAAGGATACGGACTACCAGACTCGTCGCTTATAGATCTACCGTCCAGCTCTCTTCCAACACGTTCAAATAAAGGAGATTGACTGGGAGTTATCACAAGGAATTTGCAAGAACGACGGTGTCATCTTTCTGCCTCAGCGTACCGAAGATAGACGTGTAACGAATTCCACCAAATAACGGACCACACCCACCAATGGGCCACCCCTACCGAGAGACCTCGATTTAGTGGACTTGGTGCCCTGTAAGTGGCGAGCTCGTCGAATTTCGAGATCTGACCAGTATCAGGCAATCAGGAGGTATCATAGACTTAAAAGTATCCTTAGGAAAATTTTTTTTCGACTTTTTCCGAAAAGATTTGGTGATATTGCAAGTATTTCAAATTTTGAGGTTGTCGTCGAAAGTGAGGGTAGCCCGTTAGTGGGTGTGGTTCATTAGGGGGTGGAATACGTCATAGTATTTTCCATTCCGACGAGAATCGCCAAACACTACCAACAAGAAACGCAAGCACAGTAAAAGCCACGGAGTTGGAGAAGAAATCGTTGCAAAAATCATACTCTCATCGAGAACTCCAGACGATGCACATGTGCATATTGGACAGTCCGTAGCAGACTCGAGCACGTCCTCTGCACCCCCACAAGTTTTGTACCTCACGGCGATACAACTCCGATTATTTACCACCACCAGATCATGCCGCAATGGACCGAAAGACCTCAAGAGGGCGGAAACCCTAAAGGGTGGTCAATCATTGGCCACGTTTCAGATATGGAGGTGTCCTTTCGGCCGGCTACGATATGGAAGCGTTCTGATGTCGCTTTATCAAGTGCTTATATATTTCCCTGCTAGCAAGATTTAATATGATAGGCTTATATAATATTATTATAAGGCTTATAGTTGTAGCTCTTAAAGCCACTCTGCCACTTATAACTAGTTTAATTATAATAAGTATAACTTGTTAAATAAACCCTTATTATTACTTTACTTACACTACTTATAATATTAATATAATATTAATAAAAGTATCTTAAAATAAACCCCTCGATAGATTTCGAATCCACTAAGGGAAACGAGCGCGAATGGTAAGGCTATTAGTTAAAGTCTAACCGTTTCTGAATGATATATACCCATATTTAAATCGAGCCTTAATACCGCTGGAAGCAGATTACCAGATTCTCTTTAGCGCGGATCACTGGTTACACCTTTCCATGTTACGAGCTATGGGCAAAGCGCGACCTTCTCACCAGGTAGATATGTCCTTGAACCACTGTATTAGTACTTGTATCGGCGACGGCTGGCGAATGCCCGTATTGTATGTTTTGATGATTCCATTTTTTTTTAATTTAAATAATTTATTTATCTTTTTTAAAAAAAAAAAAAATTTCCACATGAAGCAGCGGTTTTGAATGGGTTATATTGATGACGAGAACTATATTACAGCTGGTGGGATAGTTTGCGGATTCGCTGGGTGCAATTGAAACACAAACGCCATGTAGCTCAACCCAGCGCCTGCAGTCGGTCGCGCGATGTCGCATATTCCAAGGTTGCGCTATGAGACCATCTCGCTAGAGCCTCTAATCTAGTTTATGCTTACGGATACGTACTGTCACAACTAAAACCACAACAAGCCAGCATTGGACGTTTGAAGTATGGTAGATCGAAGCTTTGAATGAATAGCAGAAATGATTCAATAAGAGGATCTTTTCCAGCTTTCCAATGGCTGGGGATCGCGTTGTCTTTGCAAGGAGATATGGACGGGGTACACCCTTCCCATGCTGACCCTGGCTTAGCAGCACACTATACTCCACAATCGGGCCCATAATCGGGCCCATAATCTTGCTGTACAAGTGGTAACAAACTAGACTATGTTAACCTAGAGTAATTGGCGACTATATCTATTGAACCAATGTACCCATGGAGCATGGTGAGATGAGTAAGGAGGCAATATGTTATTTCTTTGAAAGCATTGCATTAGGAGGACCTGTACATTTCGGTCACCTTAGGATTATATTTGCGCGTTATATATACATGTCAAGATACTTTTCTGTCGACGTTCAGATCTATCCTTGCCATTTATGTTGACGCCCAGCAACGGCGAGACAATATCATCAGGGTTCTCATCCTTGAATGTAACCATGTTTGCGCAATCCAGTGGGGCACGGCTTACGGAGTATACGAACTGTGCGTCACACCAGGGCTTCTACCGACGCAGCAGGTCTAATTGGCTCTGGCGAAAGCCCCGAAGGATCAGGGGGATGCGCGGCGCGTGAGTTCCACTGGAGTATGGGATACAGATGTTGTCTTGTGAACTTATATAACGAATGCAATATCCTTTTATCGCCATGCTGTACCGTGTGCATCTCATCCAAGTCATCAAAACTGTACCAACGCCTCCAAAAATGACATCTGAGGGCGGAGTAAAATGCCATCCCTCGTGGACCCAAACCGGCTCGAACACATATACCCAGCCGTACGGATTTCAAGAGGTCCTGTATAATGCCATAACCGTCCCGCCTGGATCCCCTGGTCTGTTCCTCATAGGCTCTTCCGTCACCTTCAGCCACATCCCTTCCTCACCCGGCAATGAACTTTCTACCCAGGACCTGGTCCCTCTCCTCCGCAAGGCTTGGCTACAGTTGCGACAGCAATATCCGACTTTAGCAGCAGAGAACCACCCAAATGGAAAGACATACACCTCCCCATTGTCCTCCGTGGAGTTTGAAGCCTGGCTTGACGAAACATTCATCGTGACTCCCGGTAAGACATCTGTCGAGCACTGGAAAACTATGGTCAAGACAAGTAAAACCACACTGCACTTTTTCCCTGAGGAGCGCCAGCTGTTCATGCAAGGGGAGCATCACATCCTCGATGGAAGGGGCGTGATGAACTTTTGGGACCGCTTCTTCAAGTTTCTTGCATCACCAGCAAAGGAGGATTTACTGAAGAAGACATATGGCTCTGAAATAGCACGCCTTCCTCCACGATCCGATGACCTTCTCGACATGAAAGAGATAGGACCCGGGCGAGGCGAGCAGCGGGCGTTGGAGATTCTCGCGCCGCTCACCACCATGCAATCGCCAATCACCGTACCTGTGCCACGCCCTCTACCTCCCTGCTCTACACGGAACGCAGCGCTTGAGTTCCAGCTTAGCGCTCGCACCACGGGCTCCATCATCGCTGCATGCAAAGCCCAGCGTCTGAGCGTGACGGCAGCCTGGCATGCCGCCGTGGTCCTTGCGACGCAGACCATCCAGGCGCAGCGTAACTCGGCTGCATCGGGAGGAACAAGGGCAGAAGTAGGTAAGCAGTTCGCAGCGTTTGGCAATTTCGACCTGCGCCGCTACTTCCCCGTCGTGGACGAAGCCGTTCTGCCCGACGCTTATGCCCTAAGCAACCACCACGGCGTGCTCCCTTACGTCGTCGAGCCGGACGGCAAGAACTTCCCAGAGATAGCGCGCGAGCTCGCCGCTTTCTATCAACAAGACCTGCCGAAGGCGGACGCCGAGGTGTGGAGCGCGCTGGGCCCCATGATCCGCACAATGGTGCCAGAGTTTACCGTGGCGCAGCTTGAGGAGACCACACCCGCCTTGTCGAGTCTGGGGGTGGTAGACAATTTTATTGGTTCATCGTATACCGATGTAGAGGAGAAAGGGATTTGGCGGATCGAGGAAGTCTGGTTTGGTGATACAGTGACTGGGCCGTGGCTGGAGTGCTTCATGTGGGCGTGGCAGGGCCGGCTGTCCGTTAATACTTGCTTTAACCCAGCATATTACACGCGCGCAGAGGTCAATGAATGGAACCAACTGGTGCTGGAGAAGATGCTGAATGGGTTGGGGATTCTAGGTCGGTCGTCTTCGTCGAAGCTATGATTGGGGAGTAGTCTCAGTCTTGATATGATCAAGCAACGAGAACCGATGAGCATCTCGGAGATGTCCGAACTTTATTTTCCAGCCCATCTGGTTTCTGAGATTAGCTATCTGTATCGATTAACGATCGAAGGAGTAGTTTGCATGTTCAGAGGGGGTGATTATACATTCTAACGTCCTCGAAGGAGAAATGGGACAGCCCTACGAAAAGAGTAAACTTTTCGTATGTAAACTGTTAGCAAGTGGCAGGTAGGTGGACCTAAATATTCTGATGCTGCTTCCCACGAGTTTCAACGGCTTAGCCGTAGCCGTTAAATTTCAGCTTTTGCTTCTAAGCTTTTCGTGTTTTATGAACTGTACCCTAAACATAACCAACATGCCCAAGCCAGAGCCGGACCAAGCTCGGCCGGGCGCAAGAAAGATAGACCCATGGCTAGTCGATTTGATTCTTTAAAATCACGATGTTCGATTTATTGGTAATAGTGAAGTGATCGTATATTCCTTGACCGCCAGCTCACATCACCTTTTTCTGACTCCCTGTATCTGCTTTCGGATTTGTTGGATGCTGTGGAGCACTTAGCCGAGCCATGCTGCTTGTTTCGCATCTTCCAAGCAGTGGCCCACTTTCAAGGCGGACTAATGCGATGTCGTGATTGTGGACTCTGCTGTTCGTGCTTATCACGCGGAAAATGACTGAGAAAGGTTGGTGTACAATTAAGTATCAATCGTTCCATGTGCTCAGCCTTTCTTATAGCAAGTCATTACTAACATCTCTAGAGTCGCCGTCATTGCTTTTTGAACAGTATCTTCTGCATGTCGGGTCAGCTTATCGTCATATTGGGGAAAAGCAATAAGCACGTTGCACCGATGCAATAATGGAGGCAAAGGTGCAATGGCTCACTCCCGCGGGTGACTTGGACGCACTGCTGAGCGGCGCCTCTTTTGGTATGCCATGGCCGAAAAACCTCTACCGGACCGGCCAAACGTTTGTTATCCGAGGAGGCGGTCAGGAATGGCCGCTTGCTTCACAGGAGATAGCCTTCTGGCCTGATGGATCCCTCAAGTGGACAGCCCACTCCGTGAGCGGGAACATAGATCACTGTGAAAGCTATGTCGTTAAAGCGGGCGAGGTCGACAAGCGAGTCGCCGTTGTCGTAGATGGAAGCGCTGAGAGCCTTCATGTGGTTAATGACCACAGACTTGGAGTCAGATTCGCAAATCCTGGCAGCCCGTCTCTGCTTGAGGAGGTCTCGCTGAAAGGTCAGGTCATCTGTTCTGGGGCCACAGTGATTGCATCAGTCGACAATGCTGTCTACTCAACGGTCGTCAAAAAAGTGCAAATCGAGAATGCAACATCTGACAGAGCTGTAGTCAAAGTATCAGGCGTGGTTGTCTCATCTGAAGGGCAGGAGCATCTCCCATTTGACGTCCGAGTTTGTATATACTCGAATGCGCCGACTGTGAAAATTGTGCATACCTTCATCCACGATCTTGAAGCCAGTAAAGCACTCACATCTCTAGGTATTCGTTTTAGCGTACCTCTAAAAGGCGCAGAACTATACAATAGACATATCCGGCTGGGTGGCTCTAATGGGGGTATATTGAAAGAAGAGGTTCAGGGTCTCTCTGGACTGAGATTCGGTCCAACGGTGAAAAACAGAATTGACCAAACAGCTGGTAAGCCTGTCGACCTGAAAGAGGAGGCGTGGGAAAAGACCGAGGTGCGAAGGGGACTCTCGTATATCCCATCGTGGAGCGACTACACATTATCACAATTGTCATCGGACGGGTTTACTATCAAGAAGCGGACCAAAGAGGGACATTCTTGGGTCAAAGTCAACGCCGGCACCAGAGCCGACGGCATAGCGTACGTTGGCTCAGCAAGAACAGGCGGCCTGGCTGTCGGCATGTCTGATTTCTGGGAGCGGTATCCGACACAGCTAGATCTGAACAACCTCACCATACATGAAGGAACCATCACAATTTGGCTCTACTCTCCCCTTGCAGAACCGCTGGAGACGATGCCATATCATGACGGGCTGGGGATGGACACATACGCGAAACAGCTCGAGGGCTTAAACGTGACATACGAAGATTACGAGCCGGGATTCGCCACAGCAAACGGTATCGCACGAACCAACATCATTTACTTGCGACCATACGAAACAACACCATCAAATGCAGAGCTCCGCAACTTCTCATCTTCAGTCAGAAATCCTCCTCGCCTCATCCCAAACCTAGAATACATGCACTCCACAGGTGTCTTCCATGGGTGTTGGGCGCCCGACCATCACGTCTTGAACTATTCGCCGAGCGAAAAAGAAGAAACGATTGAGAAGAATCTAGAATTTTTGTTCTCGTTCTACCAAGGTCAGGTCGAGCAGCACAGATGGTATGGGTTCTGGGACTACGGCGACGTGCAACACACCTATGACACATACCGACACGCCTGGCGGTACGATGTCGGCGGTTTCGCCTGGGACAACTCGGAGCTGTCGACCGATCTCTGGCTGTGGCTCTACTTCCTGCACACAGGACGGTCGGACGTATTCAAGATGGCTGAGGCCATGACGCGACATACGGGTGAAGTTGACGTATATCACTCTGGAAGATTCAAGGGCTTCGGGACCCGTCATGGCGTGCAGCACTGGAGCGACAGTTCGAAGCAACTCCGCATCTCGAACGTGTTGTTTAGAAGAATCTACTACTATCTGACTGGCGACGAACGAACGGGTGATCTAATTTCGGAACTGCAGGACTCCCAGCTCGCTCTTTTGGGTCTGGACTCGCATCGTAAGGTGCAAGAGCATTCCGGAATTCCAGAGGGGTTCGCCATGGCCAACATCGGTCTTGATTGCGGACCACTGGCTGCAGCCTGGTTGAGTGCTTGGGAGAGAAGGACGGAAGGGTGGGTACGAGCACGAGATCTCCTGATCAAAATGTTGGAAGGAATCTCTAATTTAACGCATGGTGTCGGTAACAACGCAGTCTTGCTGAATCCCTCAACGGGTGAGATACGAGGATGTCCACCACCCACGCCAAGATACGCGATTTCGCACCTGTCGATGTTGTTCGGCTTTCCCGAAATCTTTACGGAACTTCTAGATTATGCGAAGGACGAGTACCCAGCGGTTGTCGCCGAGTTTATGAAAGTCTGGCTTTCCTACTGCCGAGCATATAATGGTGGCAGCGAGATACAGCTCAATGAATACGGCTTCGAGTTTCCTGCCTCTGCGGGTTGGAGGCAAAGTCATTCCACCATCACAGCCTTCGCTGCAGTGAAAGAAATGAGCGATGAGCTGGCCACGGCAGCTTGGGACCAATTCTTTAGCGGTGCGGGTTTTGGAAACAATAGTGGCGGATACGACAACAGCCATGACTGGACTGTGACCAAAGCTGTTGCTCCCGAGTACTTCAACGATGGGCAAGAAGCGTCGTGGATCACGACGAACGAGGCTGCTCGATATGGTGTTTCCGCACTTTTCAATTTAGCCAACATCAGGAGATATATTTAAAATTCACTGTGATTGGATAAGAGCAGCTTCCAAACGTATAGAACACACGCTGTCAAGGCACGAACAAGTGCACATCATTTGACATGTTCAAGCTGTGAAGCAGATCAGATCCTGCAGTACGTACATTCGCTAAAGTTCATATCCCATATCAACCGCCATTACATCCTCCTTTGAAATTTACCGTTGCCGACAAGTCCGGACACCCAGTCAATTACTAGCAAGGTTGAGGTAACACTGCCTTCATGCCACCACAGACTTTCACCCAATGTCCAAGGTATACCTGATTCATCGCCACATGAGCCAATATCAATGTTGTCATTAGAGATGATCGGCAGCCCTCCGAGTTCTGAATACTTGCGATTGCGCCATTTCGTAATACATGAGAAGGAAACATAAGTAAAGCGCAGTTGATCGTTCTGGATATGTATTTGATCAATAATAAAAGAGTCATGTGGAAAGTGAAAATTTAGTTCTACTACACCAGGGCATTGGTGTCGCATTCCCTCTGATCATGGCCCAATCATTACTCATATCCTCTTATCTTTGTGTTTGTAAAGATTGTTGGCGCGACGAGCTGTTCACAGTTCATCTCGCAGGTTCTCAACCTTTTCCTTCAAGCCCTCGGTTGCTGTAGAGGCGGCTTCAACAGCGGCACTGGCTGCAGAGGCAACATTGTCTGTGACATGGCTTGCAGCACTGGCAGCTGTGGCGCTTGCCAGACCGTAGAGCTCCGACAAGCGAGATGAGACCGACTCGGAAAAGGTAGGTTCCTTTCCGACGATGAGCTCCGAGATATACGATGCGACAATGGCGTATTGCTCAGACGCGGCCGAGGATGCTGACTGGGCATAATCGCCAGCTAGTGAGGTCGCAGATGAAACGTTGTCTGCAGCCAGGTCACCGGCAGAAGCAACATAGGACCCGGCAGCATCAGTTACTTCTGCAGCATACTCCCCGGCGTGGGAAGCGTAATCGGCAGCGACATTGGTAGCAGAGGCCGCGTAATCACTAGCTGCAGCATAAAAGTTCTCGTACCAAGGAGTGGGGGTAGGTACACCGTAGATCTGAGAGCTGACTTGGCTGACGAGGTAGTCCCAGTTCTCTGCAATTGAATCGCCAGCATTGGAGGTGGCATCGCCAACAGATGATGCCAAAGAAGAAGCAGCATCACTAGCGGCAGCAGCCGCAGACGATACCGACTCTCCAGCGATTGATACGACGGATCCGGCAGACTCAGTGGCAACAGAAGCAATAGAGCTTGCCGATCCTTGGACGTCCGTTGGCGTCGGTGTAGCAGTCAAAGAGCTCATGGCAGTGGAAGCAGCCGCAATGAACTCCGAGTAACGAGCATGTGCGACACCGAGACCAGCATAGTAATTGTGCTTGGCCTGGTCTGACAGCTTCTGAACACGCTCAGCGGCCGTGCTGGGTGTAGGTTCAGCGAGCCCGATGGCCACCTTGGCACTCTCGTAGTTCTCTCCAGCCCACTGGATGGAGTCATCAAAGTTTTGTTGAGCAATCGACTGGACTCGCTCCCAGTCTAGAGAAGGCACAGATGGGATCGTTGGCAATGCATCCGTCCAGCCCGTGGTAGAGCTTCCGTAGACGGCATCGGAACCAGCTGATACGGCATCATTCAAGCGAGAGTTGGCAGCTGCCAGAGCCTCGTAGTATGCACTCGATGCCGAGCTCGGCACCTTGTTCCAGTCGAGGGATGGGAGAGTAGGCAGACCTGGTATCCAGTTTGTAGTAGGTGTCCCGTACACACCAGTAGACGCAGCTGTCAAGGCGTCGTTGAGACGAGAGTTTGCACCAGCAAGCGCGCCGAAGTAGGCACTCGATACCGAACTGAGAGCTTGCTCATGAGCAGGCTTGGGCTCGCCGCTAATCTGGACAGAGACAGCAGAGAGGGCACGGGAGTATTGGTTTGCAGCCTCTGCGATGGCAGCCGTGTAGGCTGACTGGGCAGCCGACGTGATGCTGTGAGGGTAGTCGGATTGCACTGCAGAAGCAGCACTGGAGATGGAAGAACCAATGTCGTCGGTATCAATGTCTAGAATGGGTTGTCTGGATGGAACCGATTGTGCAGCAGCTCCGAACAGTGCTGGCTTGATGGTAGTCGTTGCTGATTGGACCGGTGGCTCATAGTCAGGCGCATCGGGCGTCACAACGATATCCTCCTCGATCTGCTCAGGACCATTGAGTTCGTCCGAGGTTGGCAGAGGTTGTTCAGATGCGGCGCTGGTAGCCTCCGGTGCGCTAGCGGGCGTCTCGGTCTCAGCGGCATCCGAAGCCAGATCTGTAGCGCGGTGGGTAGGCTCTCCAGTCAGGCTCTCTAAAGCAGGGATAGCAGAGGTTTCATTCTCGTCATTTGCTTCGGAAAGAGAAACAGTAGCAGTCACGGTCTCATCTGCCGAGATGGTCTTCGTGGAGGTGCCCTTGGGGATGACGCTCGACACACCCTCACCGACCGACTCGCTCGCAGATTTGACATGGTTCTCCAACTTGCCTGCAACCTTCTGAGCGCCCTCTTGGACAGATGCTGCAGCGTTCTTAATAGCCTCAGCGGCTTCAGCAGCCTGTTGTCGGGCAGCCTCAGCAGCACGCTTTGTGGTGGAAGCATCAAAGTCGTCAGTGTAGTCACCGGCCACGGCCTTCCAGGCGGCAACCTGCTTCAGGCTTGCGAGTTCCCGAGCAGCTTCACCGGCAATAGCCATTCCCTGGGCCTCAACATCACTGCCAGCAATCTGCGCCTCCTTGAGACCAGGGTGCGTAACGACCAGACGCTTGAGATCCTCAACCCACTCGTCAAACTTCTCTCTTAGCTCATGGAACTTCTGCCAGTGCTTGTAAGTGACGCCATCCATCCAAGCCCACTTCATCCCGATTTTCTGGAGGGCCAGATCACGGATACTTTCAAGAATGCGAACATGGTCCTGCGCAGCGTGGGTGACGGCAACCTCGACCTGCTGTTCATAGGACTCGCGCCAGGTGCGGATGCCCTGAGCCTTGTCCTTAATCTTCAGACCAGCGCTTCGCACAGCAGTACTGACCTCATCCTCAAACTGATCAGGGCTTCCGTTCTCCTTGTGCTTGTTCAAGATGGACAAGATAGTCTTCTTCAGGCCCGCAATTTCGTTGGCGACAGTGGTGTTGAGCTCGGAAACCAATGGAAGACCTTTGCCACGAACCTCGCCTTCAATCACCTCGTTTGCCAGAGTTTCGATTCGCTCCTCGATTTCAGAGGCACCTTCATCTGCAGCCTTGGTAAACTTCCCCTGCCACAACTCAAGGTCATCAGCAACTTCCTTAGCAGCCTTATCCTTAATCTCTTGCTTGCTGAGTGTGACCGGGGTCTCATCGACGTTGGTATCAGCTGTTGGGCTGGGGGCCTCTGACTCGGCGGCGGTCGGTACGGAAGCAAAAGTGGGTTCGACGTCGACAGTTGTCTCAGCAGGGGCGGTGGTGGCAGCGATCGAAGCGGAGGGCTTGGTGAAGGTGGACTTGACAGCTTGTGTGGCATGACTGGTCATGGTGATTATTAGCAAAACCTCACGTCGTCGGTTCGAAAATGTGCAATGGCATCTGCGATAGATGTGTGGATAAAACTCACGTCACTGTGTCTTCAGTCGACTTGGACTTGATGCCCCTGTAGCGACCCAGACGATCCCCGATTCGGTGGAGTTGAGGCTCAACCTTGGCGGCATAGACATGCCTCACGTGAGGCCAGACGGTCGAGTCGAGGAAGACGTAAGTCTTGTTCCAGGCCCACAGAGTGGAGGGGACAGCGGTCTTGGTGGTGAAGACCGAAGCATGGTTGTAACCTCGGAGAGCATAAGGTTGGACGAAGTAGTACGAAGGCACAACCAGCTCGTGGTAGGTCTGGAAGGCATTGATTCGGGCGATATCGTAATATGGTGCTACAATATCAGAAGCCTTGTTGACATGGGGCGCGACGGTTTGGTCATACTGGGTCTTTGCGAGTGACTGGTATTTCAGCAGCTGGGGCTGCAGGCTCTTCTCCCACTGCGATTGACCAAGAGCTTGTGCCTTTTGGAGTTGGGGACCGCCATACTTGACGGCGTATGTCCGAGCTGGGGTTACGACGGCGCGGTCGACAGTGTCGTAGTAGGGCTTTGCCAGATCTACATAAGGTGCGGCATACACGTCGTAGTATGGGGTGACATGCGGCGTGACTGCCTGCTTGAGCTGGAAATACGGCTTGCAAACCTTGGGCGTTGTCTCATTGCAGGCTTCCAAGGTGGCAGGGCAGCGGAAGAGAAGTGTGAGGATGGAGTACCATATGGATAGTCTGGCGGCGAGGCTAAGGAGACGACTCAAGACACTTGAGTTGGACTTTGCTGATGGTGTATTCCTTCTGGGTGTTGCGCTGTGGCTGTGACGGCTGATTGCATTGTTGACGCCGTTGGTCGTCTTGTTGCCGCCATTCAGAGAGCCGTTGGTGTGGCTGTTTGCTTTACCATCCATGATGAAACTCGTGGTGTCGTCCACGGGGACCGACCTGTTCTTCATCTGCTCGTGGTGCTATCAAAATAGACGGCCGAGCAGTGGTTCTGTTGGGAAGCAAATTCCGGGCTGTCGATTGTGTGGGTTTGTTGTGAGAAATATGAAACACGTTGACTCGGGTCCCTTACTTGGATAAGGTGAGCGAGCGTCCAACGTAGAGCAGTAGCTGAGAGCAACGAAGACTACCTACGTAAAGGTCTCTCTCAATCGTTATTGCGTTAACTGAATCTCACGTCAATTGGACGCAGACCTGGAACACTAAAAGTTGGAAGCTCTAGCACTTGAAAGTTGGCGCGTCTCCAGAAGCTAAGAGCTTGGATGACGCTAATGGCTTGAGTTTCTAGTGGGTCTTGCTTGTGATTCTTGATTATTGGGTACGTGTAGATACTCTTATCGCGACATATGGAATTGCAGATGACTGATGACGAAGAGGAAGTGCAGGATGAAGGGGGAGGATGCTGGAGACCAATGATGTTCCAAAGAGCTATTAGTAGCACTAACCTAAATCTCTATGATTGTACACGTACTGAGAACAACGATCGTGCCAGGGGGAAAGAGGGGGGGGGGGGGGGGGGGGGGAAACCACCCTCGGCGCTTGATTGAATTACATGGAAATAGCTGGTTAGCAATCTTTGTGAGATAAGCCAGCCAGCCAAGGTTCGCGGTTCGCATGACGGAACACACATCTTAGACTGCCCGTTTCTTCGAGTTTAGTCAATAATTCCGTTTCGACAGCATACAATCAATGTCGCTATAAGTTGTTTTGTTCATCCACTGAAGTTGCTTTGTTCATCCACTGGGACTTGCTCTGAGACCACTAAATAATAATAACACAGGGGTGTTTCCAGACCCTCCACCAGTTTGCCGTGCAGCTGGGCCAAGAATGTGTGGGTGAAACCTCAACTTCGATCGTTCGTTCGAAATGATTGGAAATGGTTTGATGTTCAGCGGCGGTGTGTCGCAGACCGTTGCAGGCGTTGATGAACACTAATAGAGTTCGACATCATGCCAAGCTTATAATCGGTGTAAAATAAACAACAAGCATCAAATATCCACCAAGGCCTAAACACTAAACACTTACCTCTTCCTGCACTATCTCCATCTTCATCTCAGTGCTCTATCTGTTGATATCGCGTCCTAGATTCTGGGTCGATGCGGGCATTCATTACAATTCGAATCACCTTTTCCCCTCGTCATCTTTCCCGCAAATGGGTTTTCCCGATGAACTATGGCACTTAATGACGGATTTCAAGCTGCACTGTTGGCTGAAATAAGCTGTTGCCAAGCGTTAGACGTCATCGAACTAACCTGCGAAATCAATTATCGGTACGCGATTGGTGATTGTTGGTCAAGTCAGCCAAGATTTTGACGTCGGACATTGAGCTTGACATAAGCCCGATCGATTGCGGAAAAGTGATTTACGGCAGATGTCCTGTTCGTTTGTTGTGTTTCACATTTGGTGTCGTTCTTATTAGCATGCCAAGTTCTGAAGAATCAACTGTTAGATTCTGCTTCTTCCAGGACTCAACGTACATCCATATTGAACGCTTGTGGCACCTCCAATGATGACAAAACCTCTGTGTGATGTCTAGGCTCTCGCTTGGCCGAGGCTCCGCATAGTTCGAAAGTGTTCGGCTACACGAGTTTATCGGGCCGGCGTGAGCTACATTGTCAGGTAGATGCCGCGTGAGAGATCCTGCAGTCAAATCAAAGACTTGCGAAATGATATCAACTAACTGGCGAAAATATACTGATATGTCGAAGGGGCAGGTGGAAATAGGGTAACTTACCTTGCGCTGCCGGTAATGCTTGGCATAGATCTATCGCAGAAGTATCTCGTAACACAATTTGCAAAGGAATTTTATTATTCTAATACTAGTATCATGCAAGCTTAGGTAGTAGGAACAACTCCTGGTAGGCAGTTCGTCGGATCTGTTAAAGTCAGAAAAGTCTGATATCACGCGCTGCGAGCATTCCATGTGAAATACTTGACCCACGTATCTGCCAAGTGCCTAGCAACCATCAGCGAACGCCGTCATCCCGCACGATATATGGAATGCCTTAAACCCACTGTAATGCCTCCGAAGCCTTGTGACCTGTCCTTGGCAATTGCTTAAATTTCGCCGCATCATAGTTCGCGTCCACAAAGTTTGGTTGAAGCATTCCTCAAGCTCTATAATCGCAGTCCAGAAATCGATAACCTGCAAGTTTCTCGCTCCATGTGCTATTCCCCATGCATACCTCCACCTCTTCCACGGCTAGAGACACCACTCTTTTGACTGGGCCGGCAACGCCGGACCGATTACAATACAACCAAGAACAACGGCTTGTCAATAGCACGTAATTGGTGCTTGCGTGCACCAATTCTTCTCCATAATCTCATTGCCCATCACTCCCCGGATTATTATCAGCAGCATGCAGAAACTAAAAATTGATCAGATGGTGCTTCTCCAGGATCTTATTATTTAGAGCCGGAACGGAACCGAGCCAGGAAACGTTGTCATTGCTTGGTTGCTGCAACGAGTCAGCGGTATTCATGTGGAATGATGATATTCCCGCAAAGTTTTATGAGATCTTCCCGTCTTGTCCCATACCATCAGCCGTGTTTGCATATATACTGTAGTACCACTCATGATCACGAGTCAAAGGCCCCCATCCTGCCATCCTCAGTGGGTTCATGGCACAATTGTGATCACAGCGGTGATAGACCCTCCTGCACTTTGATGATCCGTAATCAGCCTTGTGGTCCGCTCTTACCTACTCAGGCGTGTCTGGGGATCTAAAAGCGGATAGTTGCGTCATAGTGGATACCAAAAGGTCTCCTGCACTTGCGTGACTCTGGTCGCATTGCAGATTTCGCAGTAAGACGAAATAGGGAGAACTACCAGCTGTTCGTCGCGTGCACATGTACTCACTTATCATTATGACCAGGTCTACCATTAGGCACAGCGGCTATTCATAGAGGACTTGGAATTTCCTGCTACGACATGTGTGGCTGTTCGAAAGACAAGCAAGGTCGTGTAGGACTTTAGTATATCTCTGCGGCCAACCGTTCAGAAAGTACCGAGTTCTCGCAGTCTTTTGAGCCTTGCGCCGGTACAATTACATCATTCTGGGTCTATGGGGGTCATCTCGCATGCTGCAACCATCCACCGTGCCCGCATCCCAGCCAAGGGTAGGGATAGCGTGAGACTAACACGTTCAAGCACCAACCCCATACATACATAGTAGATTTTTACCATACTACGCTAGGTGTATAGAGGGTTTCCTGGGCAGTACATATTCTGCAAGTCCCCGTATCAATATATAGTATTTGAACGAAAATTCCAAAGTGTATTCGCCCCTTACCTAGATCATCCGCCAAAGTCCCGTCCTATTCACACAACACACATGCCGCCACAAAACCCTTGTTGTTCCGTGTCATTGAAGAACCTGGGCAACCGCGACCATGAACGAAAACTCACAAACTGAGAAAGATCAGTCATCCACTGAACACAGTCATCGCCCATTGAAGCCGGCCAACGAAACCGTCGGCGCTCGTAACGAGAGGTTTGACAAAGATGCCATCGCAAGCGGAAAGCGCGAGCTGAAAGAGGACGATTGCGAGGATGAACTAGCTTTTGCTTATCCAAAATGGAAGAAATGGTGGATATTAACAGTAATCTTCCTCGTTCAAACATCCATGAACTTCAATACTTCCCTCTACTCCAACGGACTTGGTGGCATTTCGGAGCATTTCAATGTTAGCGAGCAAGCTGCGCGTGTGGGCGCTGCCATCTTCCTCGTTGCCTACGCCTTCGGCTGTGAGCTGTGGGCTCCATGGTCTGAGGAGTTCGGACGGAAACCAGTCCTGCAAGCATCTCTGTTCCTCGTCAACATATGGTGCCTTCCCGTGGCTCTGGCTCCAAACTTTGGATGTCTACTTGTTGGCCGTGCGCTAGGCGGCCTGTCATCCGCTGGCGGCAGTGTTACCTTGGGCATGATAGCTGATATGTTTGACTCGGATCACCAACAGTACGCTGTGGCCTACATTGTGTTCTCTTCCGTCGGCGGTTCAATTCTTGGGCCCATTATTGGCGGTTTCGTTGAGCAATATCTCGCCTGGCAATGGACTATTTGGATCCAGCTCATCTTTGGTGGTTTTGTGCAGATCCTCCATCTCCTGACGGTCCCCGAAACCCGAACGACAATCATGATTGACAAGATCGCCCGGCAGCGCAGGAAGGATGGCGTCGCTGATGTATATGGTCCTAACGAAATCGAATCATTTTGGGATCGCTTCACACTCAAGGAACTCATGTACACATGGCTTCGACCATTCCGTATGTTTTTGACAGAGCCTATCGTTCTCACCTTGTCGCTTCTCTCTGGCTTCGCGGATGCATTGATCTTTATGCAGATTCAGTCGTTTGCACTGGTCTACAAGCAGTGGGGCTTCAATGCCTACCAAATTGGTCTAGCATTTATTCCTATCGGTCTTGGTTATGTGATTGCATGGCTGTCTTTCATCCCTGCAATCAAACGCAACAAGGCAGCTCGCGCGCGAAATCCCGCGGACGAACATGCCCAGTATGAGGATCGCCTGTGGTGGCTTTTGTGGACCGCGCCGTGCCTGCCCATCGGCCTGATCATCTTCGCTTGGACGAGTTCTGGACCTCCTCTTCACTGGATCGGAACAATGTTTGGAACCGCCATCATTGGTATCGCTAACTATTCGATCTACATGGCTACGATCGATTATATGATATGTGCTTACGGGCCCTATTCAGCGTCTGCCACTGGAGGTAATGGATGGTCTCGAGATTTCTTGGCTGGTGTACTTACCGTCCCTGCTACTCCGTTCTACACCAATATCGGCGCCGAGAAGGGAATGAACCTTCAGTATGGTTCGACAATCCTATTCTGTATCTCATTCCTCCTGGTCACAGCAGTTTATGTAATTTACTGGAAGGGTCCTGTACTTCGCAAGAGGTCGCCCTTCGCACAGACTCTCGCCTCGGGTGCCTCGGAACAAGGCGGCCGACGCCTCAGTATGGTCCGCACACGATCCAACGCCGAGCAGCCCGGCCATGCTAGCAAGCCAGGTATTTCAGAGCGCGGTCGTGACACTGAACACAGCCAGACCACCAGCCGGAATGTCAGCCCCAACAATAACGGTACGAAGTCGCATCCCGTTACTCCTGGTACTGCCACTCCCACAAGTGACTCGACAGGCCACCCAAAGCGTCCAGGTGCGCTTGGCAGTGGCGATCGTTTCGGGCCCAGCTCACGGAGAAGTTCGTACTATGCGAGCAAACATGCCGCCAGCAGGAACGCCAGCCGTAACGCCAGTCGAAACAACAGCGCTGCTAATAGTAGGAGGAATAGTCTTGAGGTTGCTGACTTGGAGCCTGTAGTAGGGCATGGTCATCCTCTCCGTGACCGAGGAGTACACCTTACAACGATTCCATCCGTACAGCCTTAGTAATATGTTAAAACGATAAGAGAAATTAAAATTTCTTTATTTTAAACTCAAAATTTATGTTTTAATTCAAGTTTTAATGTAGTTGTTTATTATTTACAATAGTTTTATAATCAATACGTATGTTACGAACGAAGGTCAGGAACCAAGCCTGAAGTGGAGAAAGGAAGCATGGGGCAGCCAGTCACCCTTGCTAAGATTCTATTAGACAAAGACAGCACAGGACTTTGGGTCACGTGACTTAGGAGCGACACAGGGACGGCGCTTCATGCGACTCTAGGAGCGATGAAGGCGCCGCGCTCCAAGCGCTCCAGGAGCGACAGGAGCATCGCGCTCCCAGCGCTCCAAGGAATATCAGTGAAGGAATGGATGGATATAATAATGATGGATTTCCTACTCTACATAGACAGTCATTACTTCAGTGATCAATCTAAGCATCTATCTTACCCATAGGTGAAGCTCACGCTTTGACGACTACACTTGTGAATCTCTTTGCTCAGTATACTCTGAAGGTCTATCTCTATAGTCTTCTCTTTGCGGCTAGCATATCTTGTTAGCATAAAACCCCTTGCATTATATTATTTGTGGTTGTGCAACCCGATAGTATAATCGTCACAACGTAAAGGTTAAGTTTAATATATCAAACAAAAACATAAATTTACTTGAATAAATAAAAAATTATAAGTATATAAATTAAAATAATTCTTTTATTAAGTTATAAAATTATTAATAATATAATCAGTTCAGGTTATATTAATAATGTATATTAATTATAAAAGGAAAATTATAAAGATAAACTTTTAAAATACATTAAATAAACGAGATTTATAAATATAATTATATAATAACATGAATGACTATAAATGGCCATAGTGTATAAGGAACGCTCCGTACACTAAGGCGACGAGCTCTTGAATCACTTGACTTAAGAGGTAATAATCACGTGACTTAGCCAGTGGGTATATGTCCACTTTCTATACACCGATATTCTCTTTTGTAGATTTAGACTTTTATATACTACTTAACAGTACTTGTACTATCATTTCACGCTTAGAGCGTTACAGTTACGATCCCACGCTTATGCGAGTACCATATTTACTATCCTATGCTCGAGTAGATTTAGGCTCCTCCTTTTAGTGTGTCATTTCAAACCTTCACTATAACAGTATTCTATATCAACTGTAGAAACTGTCATAATTATGGCTAGTGGAACAGCCATCTAAGCCTGTGCACATTTTGTCCCTGGGGAATTGTTACTGTGCTTACAAGACGTGCAATTTCGGAAAGCAGCCATCTGGTCCGTGTAGCAATTTGTCTTGCGGGGCAGTCGTGACGGCATTTAAGTTTGTAAAAGTTATTAGTTTGCCTGAGAAACATTCTGTCCAGCGCTGTGGTCTTTTTGCCTGCAAGGCATTTGGTTTCCTTGGATGTGCTATAGTAGTAGCCATTTCCCAGCCTCCTTCTCCGGGGACAAGCCACTTACCCACAGGGATTGTTAATGTTGCTAACGACATTAGAATGTTTACATCATTCCACCGCAATAATGCAGATGCTTGCAGCTGAGAAGGGGGAGAGGAGACCGGATTGATGACGGGCAGAGCTTGGGAAGGGTACTCCGGCTTCACAAAATGTTTGTGTCTGCTTCGCTACACGAGAAATGGGTATAAATTCAGCTCGAGCCTCTCGTCCTCCAACTTAACAACCTCGTTGCTACCATCAAATCTCATCATCATTTCTTGCACACTCATAAGACCTCTCCACTTCAGGAAATTCTAAGCCTCACCACGAAAGCAATCATTAGAGCCGACAAGATGAGCAATCGTATCATCAAAAACGACGAATTGGACGCGCTTGTCAAGAAAGGCGAAGACAGTCAGAAGGCCCGCGAGGCTGCCATGGAGAAGCGTCGCAAGGAAGAGGAGTTGAGGCAGAAGGAGAATATGAAGAAGATGTCACAAGATGGCGGGACTGTCTCCCAGCAAAATCGTCGCAAGGGTGTCTGAGAACCCCTGAACTGACAGAGGTATATTGCAACTACCTAATCTACCGGCCTCACTAATCGGGAATGAGGAACCCAACTGAATCATCATGCTCACAGTGGGCCGTGTGGAGGAAACAAGTCTTCTTTTATTGGTTTCTTGGGTTGGCTTTTTCTATGTTTGCCGATAGCAAGTGAGATTGGTCGCGAATGGTTGACGACTATGTTGTCACTCGTTTAAAATCCGTACTGATATTTGCACAATCACACTCATTCAGAATAAGTGAACACAAATACAAACAAGCTTGTTTAGCCATACTTCCCCAGCTCAGACAGATTTGGATTAACAGATACGGGTTCCATTGTGTTGCTATTCAGGATTTGATGAGGAAGCCCTTCTCTTTCCAGAAACGCCTTAATGCTTGTTATGACGTGATGCATGAAACCTCAAGGCATCGCTGAATTATTTGTGCATCATCTTCGTAAAAAACGCCAGTGGACCTAATATATTCGTGTTAGCTTGATCATAGTTAGATGTGTGTATTTATTGGTGTGTGCAAGGGGCTGGGTCCTTTGCCCTGCCGCTTAAAGGTCCCCGTTGCCCCACGACCAACCCCATCGTTCTCTTTCTCTTCTAATTACTTTTTCTCATTCTCATCATCTTCTGCCCACCAATTTCCACTCCCATCTTCGCGTCCTATCTTTTTAGTTTTTTTTCCCCCACAAGATGACATCCTTCGACTTCATCGCCCAGAAAGACGCCCAGGAAGCGCAAATGGCATTCATACGCAGAGTCATTGATGCGAAAAACGATATTGTAACCTTTGTTGATAACTGTCTGGCATGGAACCAGGCCGGAAGGTTCCTCGATTACTTCAAAGGCTCATTCAATCTCAGCATCGCCGTTGAAAATGTCGAGACCAGCGAACGTGTTCTTATTCGCTTTCCATTCCCAGGGAAGATATACGGGCCGTGGCGAGACAAGAAAGTTAAGGACGAGGTCATGGTCATAGACTACCTCTACGAACATACGAGCATCCCCGTTCCACGTGTGTATCACTGGGGTCTCACTGAAGAGAGTCCGCAGCAGCTGGGACCTTTCATAATCGAGGGTTTTATGGAAGGGGAAAATCTCGGTGATATTCTGAAAACCCCCACCGAGAACGAGGCGGATCCTGCCATTCTGAATCCAAATATTGACGAGGCAACGCTCAGCATTGTTTACGAACAGATCGCTGGCTTCATACTAGAGATTTCGTGCTTGACATTCCCGCACATTGGTACAATCTCCAAAGACACCATATCTGGCGAGTGGACTGTTACTGGACCCCCACTAACCTACGACATGAATGAAGTTGTCACCTTTGCTGGCTTTCCCGCCGACCACTTCACGACCATGGTTCCATTCAGTCGTGCTAGTGATTACTTTACAGCGCGCGCGCAATGCCTACAGACGAACTTGGACACACAGCGCAATATAGCGTTCGAAGCTAAAGACACCATCTGGAACCGGTACGTTGCGCGTCACTGCTTCGCCAAGCTAATTCCTTCGCACGGAATCATCGACGATTCCGGGCCATTCCGGCTCTTCTGTGACGATCTGCGGCCTTCGAATATGCTTGTTGACCCTAAGACGATGCGCATAACCGCTGTGCTCGACTTCGAGTTTACGAATGTCATGCCGGCTCAATTTGCCTATGATCTACCGTGGTGGCTAATACTTGGGCAGCCGGGCATCTTAGTAAGCGAGGGAAAACAGAAATTCCTGGAGGTCTTCGAGCCGCGGAAGGAGCAGTTCATCCGCGCAATGGAGAAAGTCGAGGCCAAATCACCCCTCCCAGCTAGAGAACTACGCCTCTCGGCTCGAATGCGGGACTCGTGGGTCAGCGAGCGTTTCTGGTTCAATCTTGCATCGCGCAGCAGCTTCGACGTCGACGAAATCTACTGGGAGACTCTACATAAGGATGGCTTAGGCGAGGCGATGTTAGACACGACGATACTTGCTAGGAAGGATAAATTCCTGGAACGGAAGAAGGCTCAGTTCGATGCGTATTTGGCAGAAAAGCAGCATGACCCGCGCTTTGATCATTAGCCTTTTGATCATGGAGACGGGGAAGAAGATCAGGAGTGCTACCGAAAGCAAGTGGAGGACATTGGCAGAGACTTCGCATAATCGCAAAATCTCCAGCATAGACTGGAAAAGCTCTTGCTTAGTAAGTCCTCGTCCGTCCTAATCCCAAGATCAATCCACTCCATTCTGCTGACAATTTGCCTGAACTAGGCGCCCTTCCTGTGACCTGTTTCACGAAACAAACAGCTTGTGTTCATCAACTCACCCCTCAGGCAGTACTGGGTGTTTCGAACGACCAATTGCACAGCTGGAAGAAACACTGGCGGCTGGCATAGTTGGTCACTGATAGATCACAAGGGGTTAGTGATGCAGGAATTATCAGTGGGGGAATGAATGGATATGTATTTATTTATTACTCTACATAGACAGTAATTACCCTAGTAATGGATCTAAGCATCTATCTAAGCATAGGTGAAGCCTATCAAGCTATTCTTGCGAATTCAGTTTCCGCCACTTCAGCTCAGTACAACTAGCATTGATAGTCTTCGTAGAGCTAGCATAACGTGTTAGCATAAGCCCTGGCAACAGTCCTGTATACGATCCGGGTTTGTCTAGCTCCGATACTATATTCATCACACTAGGTCAGTCCAGCCATCGATGTTGGCGTTGGGTGACGCGACATTTAGCTCTTGAAAGAGGTCCCGAAAGCCGTGGGAGATGAGCCGCTGGAGATGCGCCATTATTTGGTCTTTTTGGTACCAAATTTGCACCCTTGTTGCCCTCGTCGGATCTAGGTCCGTGCTTGGTGGACCTCCTCTGGTAAGGGTATCCCCCACTCAAGATAAACCGGGGGCGCATACACAAGTCGACGCTAGTGCGGTCTACCCCGAATAGCCCCCCTGATCTGCATAGGAATTCCCCATAAAGAAGCATAACTTTTGGAAATTTATGTTTATATCAATAAAATACTTATAAATAAACTGTTACACTTGTAATAATAAAGAAATGTTAAACTTATATATCGATATTATTTTAGTAGCTAGTAAGCTTAACACGCTCTTTTTCAAGTCTTTCTTATGTTAAAAAAAGAATTCTAATGGAATTAGAGAACACGCAAGCTTGATGACAAGTGGGAAATAGTGACGGCTCCTTTCGGCGAGATCGATTGGACAGGTGACCTAAGAAAATCCATTCACCGATTTACCATCCGATAACAGCTTCGGAATTATCGTTGCAGATGAGATAAAGTTCATTACCAAAGAACCATACCTGCTCGAAGGGTCACATTGGATGTGATCGTTGAGTCGGCTTCGAGTAAGGACAACTGGAAATGCATCACCGTCGGAAAACAGAGAAAGACAAAGCCAAAAGGCGATGTAGTGCGTTATGTCTAACCTATAAGACCAAAGGCTATGGATGTTTCAGATGATCTTTATGACAGAGTTGGGATAGACGTTTTGACCGCTTCCCATTTCAATAGTGAAGTGGATAGGATCCAGCTTATCGAATGATTCGCAAACGTTTGCACATGTTCAGGATTATTGTAATTTAAATTTAAGCAAGCTGCAGCTGTATAGAGATGACGGAAATCGTATATTGTTTTTTTCGAGTTTTATGTCCATGAAGCTTAACGATGTTGATTGGTCTTGGCAGAGTCTTGTAGCTCACTGACCATTAAATTGAACAATAATGAGAATAGCAATAAAGTGTAAAGCCCGTAGGCCAAAAAGCATAATTGCAAGAAACGAATCTGAAATTTGTTTCAACAGTCTATGATATGGACTTAGCTTCTCCATTCTATCTTGGTGAAGAGCTAATACCGTGGAGTGCGAAACCTAGGAATTAATAGTCTAGTTCGCCATCACGATCGATGTACTAACGCCGGTATAACACTTGCAAATAGTCGTGCAACCTCATTAACGTAAATATTGCAGAAGAATATGTTCTTTCCATTCATGATGTTGATGGACTACAAAGATGGCTCCTCGTAATGTTGATGAGAACAATAATCACATTCCAAAGGATAAAACGCTAGTCTACTCAAAGCATGTCATCAGCATAGATCAAGTAGCATACCACAAGGGATGCAAAAAAGGAAAGCAAGACTGTATTCCAGTATGTGTCTACCGTCCACTGTCCCTTCCAATCGATGCGAAAATCTTTGACTGATGAGTTGATGCTCTCGGCACTCCAGTAGTTCTGGTCCCTGGGGAAGACGACAGTGCTGCCGGTTCCGCACACGGCAAAGGCTACCATATTTCTATGTTGGAGACGTCATTCGGTTGGCTGCCTTGAGCGGTGACAGTGCACATGCGACGGCCGTTGATGTCCGGAACGGTCGCGCCAGCAGCTGTGCTAGGGTCAGAGAGGCGGGACAGGACTGATAGTGTGGTAAAAAATAAAATCGTGGTAGGCGACGCGGAGCTGAGAGGTGATGGATAAAATACAGGAGAGGCAGAGGAATCGTTTCTGCGGGCGATGAAGCAGCTGCGTTGAGACAACTGATGCGGCTCTACTAAACATTCGAGGGAGAGATATTGTCGCAACATTGTAGTTTGAGCTCTAGCCGAGCCTACCCCGGGCCCACACGATTGCTCTTTGGCAATCTCAGTAGAATAGGCAATTGTACAGGGGATTTATACATACATCCCACCGGAGTGAATTTAACCATATTATCACCTACTAACTATTGTAGGCTACTCTAGTAGCTCTCTAGTAAATATTAGTTTAGGGTAGACAGTACAAAACACCCTAAATTCCCTAAATTCCTTGGCATATCGTATAAAACTACTAATGATAGTAACTTTTAAGGCTATTCGAAAACGATAAACTATTATGAAAGAAAGAGAGAGAGGGGAAAGAAAGGAAGAAAGAAAGAAAGTGGCTCGGGCGAAAGGAAGCCACGAATCACCTATCGCGAACTTTTATACCGCTTAAGAGTGGCGATTATAGAAAAGTAAGAGTTTAAGAATCCAAGACGCACGACTCCACTACGACCTAGATACGCAAGTTATTATATGATTAAAGAAACATAGGGTTCGGATTACAGTCTAGTATAAATTTGGTTTGTAATTTGGACACAGAAATCTAGTAGTGCGTAACGTAATACTAAATATATCGTTAGGTGGGTTTTCAACGGTGAATTTTTCCATTTAAGCCTTATAATCCACCTTATCTCCACCCTGGCGAATGAAGACGCTATAAATCAGTCAACTTGTGTTATTAGATTTGCGCTACGCTTAAATTGCAATTCTTCGAGCACGAGAATGCGAAGTAACACATGTCTAAGCCTTATTATCCACTTCAAATGCCCGCGATGGGTATAAAAAGAGACCTATCCTTGGACTATGTAATGTAGACTCATTTCAGATAGACAGCCCAATATTGAACCACGAATCGCAAGGCACTTCAGGTAATGGGCGGGCACGGGAGACTTCTCGGTGATGCCAAACTATGATTCCCAATCTTGGGCATATACATTTGTGATACAAAGGCCGAGGAGCAGCTCTGACTTATTTCCTTATGCGATCCAAGCAAACCCGCATGAAACCATCGATGGCATAGATGTCACGATTGGTGGAGTCGCGGCAAGTATGCTCCGGAGCTCCCAAACATTTATACTCAGTATATAGAGCACACTACGCGCCCTCTCTTTTGTAGATCAATCAGATCAAGACAAAGACTCTGCCTATGCTCTTACAAGCGTCTTATTGTGACAGATACTTACCACTACAGTATAAATTAAAGCAGTGCGTAAGATTCAAAACGTAAAAAGCGAAAAGCGCAGGCTAAAAGAAAGTTAGGTGTACGATTCTGAATCCGTTTGGTTTTCGCCAAGTGACCCTTTGGGCTTGGAACGGAGGGTTGCAAGGACTCTTTTTTTGAGTAATAATTATCCAATTATGGAATCCGCTTACTTTGAGATAAAGTCCTATGCGCGCGCTAGATTAGTACTCAGGTGGGTGACCACTGGGGAATCCCCGGTGTTGTATGTTGCTGCATTTTTAGGTGATTTAGTCTACACTAGACTAGTATGACTTCTAGACGAGCTTGATACAGCTATTACATGATCCTTCTCTTCTTGCCTGATTGTTGACTGCCACTCCTCATCAAAGCCACCGAACCTATCTGCCGCTTCCCCAGGCCGCTATACGAGCTGTCAATGCCAGCGTCATGGAGATCATCGTCGTGTAAGTCCAACGCGTAGGGACTCTTCATCTCCAACACGTGCGGCCTCGGTGAAGCAACGTGAGGATTATAGAAAAATGTGCTCATCACAGGCGTGGGTGAGACTACACTTCCGAAAAAGGATCCAGCATCTTCTGTGCCTGCATGTCGGATCCAATACGCCTGATCACCGCACTCTCTTGGGGTAGCGAGTTCAGAAACCGAGTTCAGATCGTTTTCTTTGTCCGCCAGTATACCAGCCCCAGGGATCATGGATATCAGCGACTCGCGAGAACTTCGGCGACTAGCCATGTACTCCTGAAGGTCAAAACAAGGTCTGCAGATAGGGTATGCAGGCCATCGGTCTGCTTCTTCCCGGTATTGCGGTAGCTGTGGGCGTGTCTGTTCTCCACATCGCTCTTGGATGTCATCAAAGATGTCAAAAACGGGCGTGAAGAAAGTCAGCCTGGGACCGGGCCCGAAATACTTATTACGCCCCCAGAGTTGCCCGATCAATGCATTTGTCTCACAATCAACCACGGCAGCCCCACTGTCACCTGGGACGCCCATACCACCACGGATCCAAGACTCTTCGCTCTCATTCTCGAACTGCTCTTCAATAAACCACTCCCGAGTTGCCTTCCCTGTACCGTTCTTTCGGCCGTCGAGATATGCTGGAATCTCGCATACTTGACCATGCTTGAAACCAGACGTCCGACCGGTAGAGCAAACTTCGACACCGGGTACAACACTGCTCGATTTAGTAATGGGCACATCTCTCTGAGGAGTTGCCGTGCTGGGAAATTTTCGAAGCATGTTGGCCTGTCGACTTTTTGACGATATCAAAGACCAATCAGTCACAACGAGCGGCGGCTCTTTCTCGCAATCTTCCCAATAGGGATCATGAGTGATGCGTGTTGTCTTCAAGTCATACCCCGAAGTCGCTGTCAGGGTACCCAACCGGACATCAATTTCTGCGCTGTCCAAGGCGTCATGATTCTCGCTAGAACATCGGTCACGATCTTCAGGCGAGGGATGCTCGACGTTCACAGGATCGCCATTTAGATCAGCTTCTACGAATGGATGAAAATTGGCGAGCCAGAATGCTGCATCCCCAATCTTGAGGCACGGCCCCAACGTAGCGGTGGTATCACCATCTGGTAGAACCATGCCTATGCTGTCTCCCATCTGAGGACTGACATAACAAAACGGGTTTCGTGGGATGCAAATATCGTCTGGCATGTCTTTGCTGAGACCCCTAGCCCAAGTAAGACGTTCGACGTCACCAACGGAGAACACGAAATTGATATTACCCCTGTATGCATCAGGTAGTAGGTCGCGCACATGACCTGCAATCATAATCTTGCGGGCTTTCGACATAGGTGTAGCCGTCATTATGCAGATCCTTCGCGCGTCTCGTTTCTTTCCGCGTATAACGCTTATCACGTGGCCAGGGCCGCACCATTTTGGCATCAATTCGACGAGAAAGGGCAATACCCCATGTTCCCAAACGACGGGAAAACTGACTGATTCAATTACCTTGGGGGTCCAACTTCTCATCATCATACTAGGACTCTCGATAGATCTCGGCGTTACAGCTGTAGCGCTATTAACATACTACCGACAAGAGTATATAGCAGCAACCACTTACCTGCTTGTCTCTTGGACTTCTTGTCAATCACACTCCGCAGCTGCTCCCGACACTTTTTCTTGGAAGTCGCGATCGTCATATCCATCCTAAGTCTCATCTCCTCCTTGCGTAATTGAGGCAAACATGGGATTTTTGTGCTGGCTGGGTAATTCGGTTGATCTGAAGACGAAGACCTCTTCATCGCCGATGTGTTGAGCAAGTCACTGGAACGACGAACTTGTTGATCGATTTTCAGAACACTACTCTTATGAGACCATCTCAAATGGACATCAACCAGTGAGGCATCCTCGAATGATGATTCTGTACACCCAAGAACAGGGCAAACCAACAAATGCTCAGCTTTCACGTGCCAATTGAGCTCTTCCTTCGTTGCAAAGCCACCGCTTTCACATGGCCCATTGACTCCCCAAAGACAAACATGAGAAATCAACGTGCTAGGGTCTGCGACAATACTGTCGCGTCTGCGGGGTGTAATTTCGCCACCTCGAATAGTACCTTCTGATGCCTCCGTGGGCGACTGCGGAGTGCCGACCAGATGCCGCAAGGGACTTGGACCGCGTGACCAATGCGACGGGCCCGAAAGATACTCTGGCTTCTGTATTTGCTGATGTTGCTGCTGTGCAAATTCCATATGTATAGATGACAGTGTGGATCTTGCAGACGATCTACGCGACGTAGCCGACGAGTGTGACGATATACTCGGCGGCGCCACCATGCTTGGCCCGTACATGAATGGATAGCGGGACGATTCGAGGATTGGAAACTTTTCCATCCCGCACTGTTGCATGGCAAAGGGGCCAAAGGATCCATCAAAAGAATCCTGTCTATGGACTAGCGGAGCGCAAGCCGTCGACACGGCGTCAAGATCCTGGAAATGATGTTGTGCTGCATTGAATTCGAGATCAGAGCTTGCAATGGAAAAGAACGGATCTGTTCCCTGGTATTGGTACGTCGGCGCATTTGCAAATTTAATTACAGGATGCACTGACTGGTATGCTGGAGCTGGTCTTGGTTCTGGTTCTGGCAAGGTACCGTTGGCGGCAGCGGCCCGTGGCCTGGCTTTTTGGGACGGGACCATGTCGCCGGATTTTGGTAATACGAGAACTGACTTAAAGCTGACCTAATCTTGAATCACCAGATGGGTAACTGCAATTGAGTTCAAGTTAGATTGTGAGTCAATTGAACCTATAATGAAAAAAGTGCGGGTCGCCTTGTATACTGGGAGCGGACATCGCCGAGGCCTCCAGGCAGAAGCCTTCTGATGGCTGCGCCCCATGCCCGCTGCTGGCAAGCCACCTGTCGCCTTGTAGGAGTTAAGGATTCCCGTCTGGGGGGACGGGTACTTGCTTATGTTGACCAAGCCTCCAGCTCACAGTCACAAATTTAGCGGGGCGCTGCTGAGAAACAGAAATTGCAGTTGATTCTATCTGGTTTGGTCAAAGACAACGCTCCTCTCCCTGATCGCAAGATGCGCCCTTCTGAAATTACAAAATTAGCAGCGACCGAATCACATATAGCGGGCATGAACGTCATTCGAAGTCAAGAATCCACCAACTGCTGATGATTTTCGACCATATTGCTTCTATGGTGTCGAGATCTTCATTGGCCATGTCTTTGCGTGGGGAAAAGTTACCCAGCTTTTTACAACCTGGCTCCCATACTGATGCGGGAGTTTTGCTGTCCGAGCATTGGAACGTCGACCATCCCAAGGCCCATATGCGGCTATTCCATGAGGGATCGAGCCATGGTCTAAGCCGTTCACATTCTCCGGGATGCTTGTTAGTGGAGGGTGCGTGGGAAACGTGATGGCACCCGGTGTGTCTGTTTCGCCAGTCAAGGTTGGACGAGGGCATCCACCACCGGGCCAGCGTTCTTGGATATCGTCGTAGATGTCCGACATAGTCGTGAAATAAGTCATGCGCGGCTCCGAATCAGCGTTGCCCTCGTATTTATCCCGACCCCACAGCTGCCCCAGAAGCTTGTTCGTGCAACAGTCGATGATGCCCGCGCCGGAATCTCCCCCAACACCCATTTCCTTCACGTTCCAAATCGGATCTGGGAGACTTCGTATGCTTTCGACGGCCCAGTCGCGCAATTTTGACCCGTCATCGAGTTTGACGCAGCCTCGAGCCTTGCATATCCTGCCAAAAGTAAAGCCGCTAGACCGTCCGGTAGAGAACACGATCGGCCCTGGCTCGCCCGAGGGTATCGGGGGGTCTGCAGTGCCCACTATACCGATAGAGAACAAGTCACGCCTCTGCCCCTCCACGATGTGTCGGACCTTATTGATAGCATCTTCCGCAACTTTGGTTTCGCACAGCACCCAGTCCGTGGTCACTCTCGAGTTATCGTTGTAGAAAGCGTGCAGCATTCTCGACACCCTTGTCGTCTTGTACATCCGACCGGAAAACGCGACCGTGTGTCCAATAGGCACATGAGCGAGGCCAGGTGACAGATCATCCAATGAAGGGTGTACAACTTCGAGCCACGGTGGCGTGGGCGCGTCACAGCTGTAGTTCATCCCTCCTCGTCTGTCGTCAAAGATGTGCCAGTTTAGGAGCCGATAAACGGCATTAGCGATCCGCAGGGATGGGCCGAGGGTGGCGCTGCCCCGGCAGCTCGGTAACGTCGGCCCAACAGAGTCACCCATTTGGGGGTCGTCGTGCCTACCCACATTGATTCGTGGCTCCAAAATCTCCTCAATATAGGCGTCGTCGCCGTCTTGGTTCGTACTAAATGATGAACGGCTGCTAGATGTAGAAACACAGTGTTCTCTCTTGCCGCCTCGGAACTTGAAACTGGTCTTTAGGTTTAGCTTCTCTGGGAGTATCGCTGCTTTCTTCAACTCCAGCGCCTCAGAACAATTCTGGGCGGCGTTTGCGGTGGTCAGTACGTCTATAATTTGATGGTCGGCCGCCTTTCCAGTCCGGACATTGACCGAATACCCTCCGTCAATGTTAATGTCCAAGATCTGTGTTATGGCCGGTAGAAGTTCTTTCTCCCACAGCTCGATGAACTTGGCCGATTGCGCCTTGTCGCCAGCGGGCATTCTGCGCAGCTGTGACGCCATTAGCGCTCTTGTCATTGCCGCAGGAGAAAAGTTTTGTCTGAGCTCTTTTTGTTTTCGATCTGCTCTGGATGGAGTAACACCAGCGGACAGACGGGTGACCCGCTGGTCATCGGACTTTTGCTGTCCGGGTTCTCGTTTTACTTCTTCGACAATGAGGTGTGGTATAAAGATATTGTTCTTTGCTTGGCGATTCTCCAGTTCCTGCTCGCTTGGATTTTTCGCACCAGTTTCGTCAGATGTATGGCGAGGCCACGTAGCAACCTTTATAGGAGACGGGGATAATACTTCCGTTGCTTTTTTATGAATACTATGTGATATTTTTTCCACTGCGTCAAGCGTGGTGGGAGCTCCGGATTCCTTTGCTCCCGTGTCTGGGCGGGCAGCGTCGTCAATTGAGGTTCTAGCAGACGAGCGCGTGGTCATATGGGATACAGAGGAAGCTCTTCGCCCACATTGAGAAAATGATATCGATGAAGCGGTTGAGGTTCGGTGGACATAAATTTGAGGTACGTCTTTGTATTCCTCCGAATCCTGGAACGATTCAAAAGGCTTCGGAAGGTCAACATTGTGTATTTCAGTCTGGTTCACCATATGATGATCTTCTTTGACCTCCGGGGTGTTTGGCTGAGGGCACGGGGCCGTGGGTTGTGAAGCCTTGTCATGATGAAAGTGTTCTCGCAGCCTTTTAGCTCCCTCGCCCACGGTCCTAGGTCTGAATCAGTACCTTGTCCTTCGGCGCAATTGTTCGATATGTATGACGTGAAACGTTAGGTTACGACATACCGCAGTGCTCCCTTTACCGCACGCCCTGTACGAGCGAGTCCATTCTTTGTTTGGGTTTTCCATCGAGCTTCGGGAGACCTAGAGTTCATATTGGGCTCCAATTGGGTTCAGAAAGTTCCACTTCAGGCGCTGAGCCTATTCATGCTCGCGTCCATGGTGGCAATCCCGCATTGATATACTCTGTGCCGCCAACCATACGCATCCTGGCATGCTTGTGAGGGAGCAGGACCGACTACGTAAATGTGCGATAAGTAGACCAAAGGGGCGCTACGCATGCTGAGTTATTTTTCGATCTGTATAAGCTTGTGACTTCGGCGAGGCAGATTTGGAATTGGAAAGCAAAGAATACATAATGCAGAGATCCCGCTTCATTGGGTAGTTTGGCATTCATTTACCGAGAATTTGGGGGCCATTTTGGCTGACCTGACCCAACCGTAATCTCTTTAGTCCTACTTCTTGCAACGATCCTCGTTACCTCATCAGTGCTGACCACCTATTAAGGACTTAGCAGCCAGCCTTGTGACCCTCTTGAGTTGGTCGCGCTGAAACACATGCGAGGAAGGTTGCCTGAATGGTAAGGTTGATTTGAATCAGGCTGGGACCGGTTGTGCAGCCACCACGACGAAAATGGTAAGGCTCTGGCCCGGGATGCAGTCACAACACATTCCGTGACCTATTGCTGCTTGGCAAGTGCGTTGAGCGCATAATCTGATTGATGCAGTAGGACTTTACAGGAATGCCGGGGGAGGTTTTTCTACTTTGATCGGGTATGTGTGCCTGCAGACCCGATCTGGCGATCATCGCGAGTCGCGATCTTGTAGGGGTGCGGTCCAAAGTCTGTACCGCCTGAAGCTCGCAGTGTGCTTCTGTGCGGTCATTCTTTCTATGTGGGCTATCGGGTTTGGACAAGTCGGGTGGAAACATTGCCTCAATCAATTGCACTTTCAACTCATGCTGCCGTCATTGGGGCTCAAATTGAGTATTTCCACTTGCAGAATGCAACAAATAGAATCCCAAGAGCTATGTTTTTCCAATTAGTGTCGTTATAACTGTACAAGCATATTAGGCGTCTTCAAGGTTAAGAGGAACGACGTATAATACGATGTTTAGAATAATTTATAAATTAGCTGATAAGCATATTATAAGGCTTATAATTAAAAGATAAAATAATCTTAACTTAATTAATTACTTTATAAATAAAATAAGTTCGATAACTAAAATAATATCAATTAACAATAACGAGCCATTCACGTTGTCTTTTAAATGTATTATTATTGAAGTAGTGAGTGTTGGCTGTACTATTACAGCAACGGGGCTAAGTGGGTCGTACGACCTTCGTCGGAGTTGTTCACGGCCTGATCAATATAAGGTCTAAGGGATGGAACTTGCAGATAGTCTCTTAGGGCATGCTTTTCACTCCTTGCACAGTTAAGTTGTTGGTTTTTGCAGCAGTGCATTCGGAAGACAACGAGAATGGCTCGTTGTCGCTAATTAATACTATTTTGGTCACCAAGTTCATCCTTTCCATTCATTTCTCAGTGATCAGCCCGCGAGTGGACCAGCGAGTTCGTCGCGAGGCTTATAACCAAGGGGACAAGACAGTGGTCCTGGTTCATTATAAAAAACCAAAGATTAATTAAGTAAAAGTGTGAAAAGTATAGTAAAAAAAAGCTATTTATAAGTTCTATCTATTAAACCTTATAATAATTAAGCTTAGAATAACTTTAATAAAAGCCGTATAACTTACTTAACCCTCTTATTATAATAATATAACTAATACTTATTACTTTAATAATAACCGACCTTATAAGTCTAGCGCTAAAGCCGATAATTAGCCGAGATTAAGAAGTCGTGTCTTATTAATCGTATTTAACAGAGCTTTTACTAGCTAGGAATTTAAACATCACCCTAATAACAAACAGATCCCATTCTTCCTTATCAGTCTGCCACCAACAGTCACCGAATTAGAACGAGCCGCACTTATCTACCGCTCAAGAAATCTCCCATACACTGGCTCTCATGTCAGAAGTTGAGAATCTGGAGGCGAGCGCTTGCTTAGCTAGCCCTACATCCATTAATACGAAGATCTTCCCAGAGTCAAGCTTTTTCCAGGAGCGGCGAGGTTCTACACTACCGTCACCAGCAGAGGTCCGGGCCCTTAACGAAGCATCAGGGCACGATCGTGCCACTTCATTCAATCGCCCATGCCCGGTTGTTTTTCCTTCTCTTGATATGATCGTTAAGTATGGGGCCGACGTCACTATAAACGAGGCCGAGACCCAAGCCTTAATACGTCAGCTGCTGCACGGGCAAGTGCCAATTCCTGAGGTCTTTGGCTGGGCTGAAGAGAGAAAGCAGACGTTTATCTATATGGCTTGGGTCAAGGGCGACACTTTGCAAACACGATTTGCTAACATGGACGAGAATGAACGACAAGCTGTATGCAACGAACTAAAGGGCATGGTGGGTGCTTAGAGGACGATAGCACAGATGAACATGATAACTATATTGTAACTATATTGGTAATACGCCTCTCTGGACGACTAAATATGGGTAAGTATATCTAACTTCGACAGGGAGCATTAACAAACGTCCACTAAACGATATCTTTGTTTATCCTTCCCCAGAGCTCGCAGGCCTATTTCTCGGCTCGGAGGCAGTACAGAAATTTCATGACGCATGCGATGTCGACATCGGCAGTCAAGTGCCCATTGTGTTCATCCATAATGACCTTTGCCCCCCCTAATATTCTTCTGTCGTCAGGGCCCAATCCGAGGGTTGTTGCGATCCTGGACTGGGGCCAGTCGGGCTGGTATCCTTGGTATTGGGAATATTGTAAGGCGAAACGGGTGGGCCGGCTTGAGACTTGCTTTGTTGCTACCATCCAGGAGGGGTGGCACACTAAGTATCTGCCTTTAATTATTGACCCGGTCGACGATGAGTTGTATTATCACCCTTGGCTTTATTTTATGATATCAAAAATATAAACTTATTCTCTTGGGCAATAGTTTCGTATTCATATGAATTGGTTGATAGGGAGTCCTGACAGGTTCCTAAGAGACTGGAAGGTATAATTAAGGAAAGCGCCGGCAGGCTACATTCCCTTATTTGGTGTTGGTGTTCCATCACATACTCGAGGAACACCTTATCAATAGTCCAGTTATAAGAGAGGATCTTGGTTCTTTCTTCGTATCTTAGGCATTTGGATCTTAGGTTTTGATCGATCCCCATCACCAAGCTTCCGAGTTAGCAGATGCATGAGTGCGAGGAGTCTAAATTCTTCCTCCCCATATGCTAGCTATTTATTGACGAAGACACCATTTTGCTCGAATTTCGTGTTCCGTCTCTTTCGCATTTTGAACGGATCCTTTTGAGGATTTGTGTACCTCGGATTATTATCCTAGAGTTTCCACAAACTATTAATCTAGTATGGTTACATGAAAGTAGGGGTCGTAATGAACTGCCTTAAGCTATATATCACAAATTGCTATATACTGGCTCTCCTCGTGTAGCTAGAATACTGCGGGAGTTCAGTCAAGTTTATGCTGTCTCTCTAGGAAATGAACCCCCCAGCAACGATGCTCCCAGTTATGCTTGATTTGTCCCTGGGACAGCCGTCAATCTGGTCTTTCGATTGTCACTTAATTTTCCATCCGGTTTATTTGCAACGTCTACTTTCTTCCCTTATCGTAATTCCCAGGTCTTTGGTATGCGGCGGCCATGTCTATGCTAGATGCAATCATCTCTTTGAGAGAGGGCGAGACTGAGTGGGTCCTGGGTCTGACCAAGAGATATGGAAGTTTTCTATATTCTTTTGTATTCACTTTTATTCAATCTGACGTCAGGGTTTCTCAGCTGAAAACCCAATTCGTATTGACTACCCTCTTCCTATTCCCACGCGCTTCTTCTTTCAATGACATTTACTGGGATTTGGGGATGAATTACAGGTCAGAGCTATACGGAACTAGTTTACTGGGACCGCCGGCGTTCTTCAGTGCCCATGATGGCAAGGCGCACCAACAACTTCGCAAGGGCGCTGGGTGGTAATCTAGTATGAAAGTTCTAAGCGTCCATCTCCAGTTTTGGCCCAGGCTGCCAAATGACCTAGTGGTCCATTGCTTTCCTAAAAAAAAACGTGAGAAGCGCAAATTGACGATCTAGTAAGACTCTTCATCGAGAAGATGACAGACCTTATTTGACGTTATATCAACCAATTTGCAGCAGATACCGCAACCATGGTATGCTTCCCCTGGGGGATTCGTCCGCAACGGCCACGACGAAAGTGGTTTGCTCGCTTCATGGCGTATGGGCCTGCCATTCTTCGGGCTCACTGGACGTTGGCGTTGGTTTCGCCAGAACATCATTGCGAATGACAACTTAGCAGAACTCTTCCTCCAAGAAATAAAAGATAAGAAAGGAATGGGCTATCTATATGCGCAAGCTGACCGAGAGGTGACGGCCCGAGAAAACAAGATGGAAAGGGGGGAGGGGGGTCCACAGGCTTCTTCATAGAACCTTAACTATAATAATGAGTACTTTTACATCGGCCTAGGCTTGATCCTGATGCTATTATTATAGTTGAATTGAGGCTCGTGAATCCGTAACGGGACACCCTCTGACCCTGTATGAAAGAAAGCCGATGTGACACAGTTAATCCAGGTTGGTACCGACACGACTGCTACAGCTTCGGGAAGTACCTTAACATTTTTGCTATTGAATCAGACTGCTTTCAGCCGCGCTAGAGAGGATATTGGCGCTACCGATAGAGTAGAAATGCTCAGTAATCCCATTGCGTGTGCGAAGAATCGCGTCAGCTGCTGATATACGTCGGTGCCTGCATGAAAGAATCACTTCGCCTCTACCCACCCGCCCCTAATCTCTCTACTCGCGTCGTACCGCCGGCCGGCAAAACGATAGATAGGGTCCGCATGCCTAGGAGGGGGAGGGGGGCGGACGGATGTAACCACAATTTCCTACATCGTCCATCAAGACGTTAAGCTGTATGCGCCTGATGCGGAGACTCCCCCCCCACCCTTCCCTCGGCTCTGTAACGTTGGCTAGAAGTAGACAGTGAGAAGTTGTCTGAACTAAACGCGGCGCAAGTTGCTTTTGGCAGAGGATCAAGAATCCGCCTAAGGAAAGAGATAGCTATCATGGAACTGTGAAAATTGATCCCTCAGGCTCCCCTTTGGTAGTGTTGAAACACCAATGTATTCCCAGATCATTTTAGCTTTCGGCATGGAACTCCTAGAATCTGAACAGTACATCGTGGCAGGAGGCGTAGCCTACAACCAATGAGCCAAAGTGAGATTGATGGTCCGTGAATGGTAGGCCAGAGGTCGAACCGTAGAGTACTCAGCTATGACCGTAGAAAAAACCATCAATACCACAGTAATGAAGTAAGCAATAGTCACCACTCTTGCAAGATGAGAGAATTGAACGTTCCACGAAAATAGATTATACATCGAACAAGATAAATGATATTTATATATACAGTAAGATCAGCTACAGCTCAAGTATTATACAGAGCAAACTGATCTAAATATGGGCACCGAGAGTTATGCCCAGATATGCAGCTCCCCAGTGCTGCTGCAGCTATTCTCGAGACTGTTGTAACCACTGCTTTCACTTTCGTCATCACTAGGTCCAGAGGTGTCACTTCCACCCATGGAGGTTGCATCTTCGTCCTTTTCTCTGCTCGAACCCTCTCGAGCAAGATCATCAGCCATCTTCCTGGTCGTGGCTTGTTGTTTCTCTACCTCGATGTCGTCCTCGCCCTTTCCACTATCCCACATTTCCAAAAGTTTGGTCATGACAGCGTCCGATCTGGGCGTGGCATCAAATTTGAACGGCGCAGGCTTCGCAATAAGCAGCGGCGTGAAGTCATCCCAGTGAACATCGACCTCGGATCCATCTTCACGTCTCTTCTTGCGTATATCAAACGCCCATGCCATGCCACCCATAGCAAGAAACAAGTTCTGTTCCACGATCGGCACACCCTGGCAGGTGCGGCGCCCAAATCCGAACTGGGAGAAGCCGCTCAGGTGCGGGTGCTGTGACAGGGGCTCCTTATACGTAGGATACTCTGGCTTGAGCCAACGCGCGGGATTGAATGCTTCTGCGTCAGGATATATGGCTTCGTCGCGTGTGATTCCCCTGTATACGTAGCGTATTAATAGACTAGTCTAGTACACATTTTCGGACGTCCATAGCTCAGGGGAAGCTGGAAGAAGCTGAGACGGTTTTGGATTCAAAACAGGGGTATTTCGGAGAGTAGTCGACCAAAACAGAGCAAAATACGACAAAGAAAGTAGATAAGGGTAGAACTCACCATTCTAGAGCATGGATTGTTGCGCCTTTAGGGATGAAGTATCCATTCCAAACATCGTCAGCCTCGGTCGCATGAGGGATACCTGTCGGGACGGGAGGACGCCAGCGGATAACTTCCTTAACAACAGCTCTTAATAATGGCATCTTCTCGCAGTCTTCCCAAGCAGGGCAGTTTCCATGACAGACCACATCGATCTCAGCTTGTAACTTTTCTTGCCATTCTGGGTAGTGGAGCATAGCTAGGAGAAAGCTCTGAATTGGAGATCCGATGGTGAGAGCGCCGGCGATGGCCATCTGGCCAACGACATACATGGCCTCGTGCTCAGTGCCCCAGTTTGCACCGTCGGCCTGTTTGGTGAGTTTGCTGAGGAACGTGTTCACGAAACTGGGCTGAGCTGTACCGTCGTTGAGGCGATCATATACATACTGCATATTGTTCTTCCAAGCTATCGCTTCTTCCTCGTGGCGAGCGAATTCCTTTCGCTTCCATGGCGACATAAAATAGGGAACGTGCATCAACCATGAGACAATATTAGGGATTGCTCCCGACGGTGAGATCGTCTCCAGTAAGCCAAGGGTAGTCTTCCGCAAAACGTCTGCGGGATGTGTGTTGCCCCATGAGAGACGAGATACGGTGCGTGCAGTGAATTGCTCGATATATTCGCGATACTGCGAAGGATCTTGCGATAACAGGTACAGGAATCGATCTCGCTCCTTGGTGGGGTAATTGTGTAATGATGCGTTCGCAGAAGTGGTCATCAGCTGTTGGGCAAGCCTTCTTTGGCGCTTCCATGTTTCTGACAGACGTCAATGATGTTGAAATGTTTGAGAAAAATGTGAAGCGTCATACCATTGCGACCATGGAGAGCAAGATACTCTCCTGCATAACGGTTGTTTGGAAGGTTTGGAATCATAGGACGATCCGAATAGACCGCTGCTCTCCTAGAAAGTAGCTCGTGTGCAATTTCTTCCGATGATATCCAGATATGGACAGACCCGAACATTTCTTGTTGATAGATCGGACCATACTCTTTGCTCCACTCGTAGAATTTGAGCCACGTCTTTTCAGGTGGCACATCATGGATGCGACCGATAAGAGGTAAGCCTTCAGCATTGATTAGCCATATTCGTACATGAGGATAACGTATTCTTGTCCTACCCTTTGGTCCTGGCAATCGCTTTGCGCCAGGCGGAAACTGTTTTCTACTGGCGGCCTTGTTTTTGAGGTATAATACATATGCAACCAAGGAAATAGAAAGTGTTATCAGTAACAAAGCCATACTTGGGCTAGAAAACAAGGTCCAGTATACACCAGGATCACTTGAAATACTAACAAGACACACAAGAGTATCGATGATGAAAAGAAAAGATGCAGGCTAGGAAAAAGTTTCAAAGAAAATAATAAGGTAATCTCATCGGACATTCATGAACAGAAAGGAACTTGGGCTTATAAGAAACATCATTGTCAATGCACCAGCAGCAATATCTGAACACGGTAGGGATGATCTCTGCTCGCCGTGTCCTTATAGGGCCTCCCTGTCTTCCACACCCCAGGATGAAAACCCTCACAAGTGAAAAGCGGATTCACTAGAGCATATGTCCCTCCATCCGAAGTTCCTCATCCATCCTACCGGTACCGAGTGCATATTGTGCGTGCAACAACCCCTCGTCATCCGAAATACAAGTGCGGTGGTACAGTGCTTGGATGGGTTGCATTGCTCTACTGGAGCAAATCTGATGGCCACAACATTACATGTATAGAAACACTACCAGGGTTGAGAGACCGAGCACCGCACCGTTTCTTAGCCCGAGGAGGTCCACATGAACCAATAACTACCCGAGAGCAACTCGTATACCCACCTGTCACAGACATTTGACGCTTGAAACAGATCGTCAGCTTTGTCAATACTCAAAATCATCGAACTAGTCGACTCCATCAGATCAGCGTAGCAGGCTATATCTAATCTGCGTGTATCAGTGGTATCAGCCAGGTTTACATCGCGACAGGCAGCATGAGATATCAGAAGTAAGTTAGACTATGAATCTCTTGGTGTGCTCGTACGGTACAAGCCCCTCGTCTGCTCAGGCAATGTCAATTCCATTTGAGCTACCGAACCGTAGCTGCGCTGGCGTATTGTTGGTCATTCTGAGTGATGGAGCATAGCACAGACCAAGCTGTCTGGCATCCCGTAGAACTTCGGATACAAGGACGATGAGTCCAGGCAGAGAACTGATGAATGCACTGTGGGTTCAGGTTGCTCGTGTAGTTGTCGTTAGTTTTACACTATTCCGACATCTTGAAACATAGGAAGCGGGTGGCTCCCTCAGGTGTACTGGACGATCACCTGCACAGCACCCGCGCGAATATGGTCAGTGCAGATTGTCGTACTTGCGTTACCTTTGCAGACTTTGCAGAGCGAGGATACGGAGTGATTATCGTTTCAAGAAACCCAGAACATTGTTACCTACATGCCCGAGATGAAATAAAAATTGCTGGTGGCTTTGCCGAAGCTTGCGCTCCACTGCCTAAGAAGGAGTATTTGGCGCCAATGGGTGATTTGATGCGCTCGATAGACGTCACAGAATTTTAGGCATGGTGGATCCCTCTGGGGCTCAGATCGAGACCACCGGCCACATAGCCCCCTTGAAGGTAGCAAGTAACATATCGAGCTCTGGGATGTTTCCGGATTTTAGGGGCTGAAAGATGGCGCTATTGACTGAAAGGCCGCGATCATTGCTGTAATTGACAACACGGAAAATTTGCATGGCGAGAAGAGCTATTGTCCTACGACTTCGTATCCCGGCACTGGACGTGCGTTTCATTGGTATCATCTTGACCTGAGACGCCTGGCCGACAGCGCTATGTATGATGCGGCCCGAGCGTTCGTTAGCACATCTCATACAGATCCATCACGCCGAGAGAAGGACGAGCACGTCGGGTGGTGATGTGACCCACGAATTCTAGCATCCTTCAGACATTTGGATACTGCTAATTTATTCAATACGGTCAGAAATCAAGAGGCGCCAGCGCTTGCGCTGAACTCTCCCTGGTAATCAGATCACTTGTCCAATATCTCCCCAACCTATTTTGAATATCTTTTTTCCGTCCTTGGGGTATCGCTCTTCCATGTAGTCCCGTTTTGACCATTACATCCTGCGAAGCTTTATGTTAGCGACGACATTCAAGGTCAGAATGTCAATACAATAGCGGCGCTTACCTCTCAACTGGAGACAATCCAAGCAGACGCATAGCATTGCTAAGTGTGATTCGGGCACAGTCATAAAGTGCCATACGAGCCTTCATCAGTTCAGGTTCGCTACCAACAATTCGCAAATGGTCATAACTGGCACTTAAGGCGTGTGTCATCTTGAATAGGTAGGTCATTACAGTCGTGGGCTCCAATGTCTTGAGGGTGTTCTGTACGACATCTGGCCATTGCCCAAGTACTCGGATGAGGCCAATGGCATGAGGCTCTGTAAGCAGAGAGAGGTCGGCAGTATCCAGCTCTTTATCGCTGAGGGCTGCACGTCGAGTAATAGAGCACAGACGAGCGTGAGCGTATTGGAGGTATGGGCCAGTGTCACCCTCGAAAGAGGTCATGGCATCCATGTTAAATTCGTAGTTGTTGATTCTGAAGAGAGTTAGCTCGTCGTTCGCGAACGGAATGGGGCCTCAAATGGAATATGTAACTCACCGCTTGCCAGTCATATCCTGAACCATGACACTGCTAATGCCCATGATGTCGGCTACAGCTTCCGGATTCTCTACCTGGTTATACTTCTCCTCATTCTTTTTCATAACGCTGTGCATGTGGTCGCCAACGTCTCGCAGAATGTCGTTCAAGAACTTGACGGTACCTTTTCGGGTGCTCATACCCAGAACCATACCAAAGTTGATGTGCTGAACCTTGGCAGCAATATCCTTGTGACCCATGAGTTCGATGACCTTGAAGAACTGCTTGCAGTGAAGATCTTGTTGCGAGGCAATAACATAGATCATCTGGTCGAAGTTGTACTTCTTGTGGCGGTTCAGCAGCTCGCTGATATCTCGGGTGAGATATAAAGCAGTACCGTCCCTCTTGCGAATGATAGCCTTGCCCAGGTTCTTACCAGGCTTGCCAGCGACGTGCTTGGAGAAGTCGACGAGGAGGGCACCGTTGTCCTCCTCGGTGAGGCCCATCTCGGCCAGCTTCTTGGCGGCCTCCTGCATGTCTTCCTCGGGAACCTGACTCTCGCCAGAGTACTCGTCGAAACGAATGTTGAGTCGGGCATATGTCTGCTTGTACTTCTCGATGGAGAGCTCGCGGAATCGCTTCCACAGGGCAAGAGCCTCAGGTTCACCGTCGCTCATTTGCTTGAAGTAGCGGCGAGCCTGCTCATCGGTACCGTTATCGAGGAGCTCTTGGGCCTCTGTCTCCTTGCCCTCTGCCTTGAGCTTGTCCGCTTGCTCCTTCTCGGCCGCAGTATCCTGGTTGATCTTGACGTATACGTTAAAAAGGTGGTTGATGGGGTCCTTTGTAAGCTCGTCCTCGTTTCCGTACTTCTTGAAGCCCAGAGCCAAGACGCCGTACTGCTTTCCCCAGTCACCCAAGTAGTTGATGCGAATGACGTCCCACCCGGCAGCTTCGTAGAGGTTTGCGAGGAAACCACCAATGATCGTGCTTCGCAGATGGCCGGCGTGGAAGGGCTTGGCGATGTTGGGGGAGCTGAACTCGATGATGATGCGCTTCTGGCCCTTTGAAGGGTCGTTCTCGTCCTTGAGGCCCACAGCCTTGTTGGCACCGTACTGGGCTTTGTTGGATCGGATCAGGGGGATGACGGTCTTGGTGAGGGGTTCGTTCTTGAAGTAGAATGGGAGGAAGGTTCCGTTCTGAACTGGCTTGTGGACGAGGGGAGATTCCGTCCACTTGTCCAGCCATTGCTTGCCCAGCTCTTCAGGCTTGCCCTTGACGCGCAGCGCAGGAATGGCGAGCACGAGATCACCCTTGTCTAACGAGTTGGTCCATTGCAGGGCATTGTAGATAACCTTCTCGTCTACTCCAGTGATCCCGGAAAGCTTTTGGGTGAGATGTGAGCGGTAGATATCGGTAGAATTAATGTCGGGATAGCAGTTCGGGAACGCCTTTAAGGGGGGCAGGTCCTGGAGTTGCTGGGTCACCTTGTCGACGGCGGCTTCGTTGGCCATGGTTGCGTCCGTAGCTGGGGGCAGGACTGAGGAGTGTCCAAGGTAGATATTCCTGTTATGATTGATATGGGTCGGGGGAGAGGTTGAGAATTGAGTAGCCCGAGTCAAGTTCAACTGCGGCAGCCGACAATGGTGTTGGTGATAATTATGGTTATTGTTATGGTGTTGGTGGGGTAGTCGTTGCACTGAAAAATGTTGGCGGGGTAAAATTTGTACAGGCCGTTGTAGGTGGTGGGACTGCGAAAGCGGTAGTTGTCGCGCTGACTGCTCGGCTGCTACCAAATTACAGGCTGTCCCTGACGCGATGTGGGTCGTGTAGAGTGAAGAAGATTTGATGGAAAGGTGCCTATCCCTAGAGATGAAAGAAGACGCCGCAGAAACCGGTACAGAACGAATTGAATTATGCAAAATTGATCGAGAAACCTGTGCCTGCATCAGGCTAGGTGATACACGAACTTTGCTCGCCCTCATTAAAACATCACAATTGCTTTTGTACATTGACTCATTCTTCGGAGCCCTGAACGCGTTCTCGCAGTCGCGGTGACTCAATAGAACCATAGCAAATCTACATCCTCCTCTGGACGTAAATCACTTTGCGTCGGCCCGGTGTTTCTCCGGGGCTACGATTACGACAAACTCATAAGCATAGACATGGTGTCCCAATTATGAGTATCCTGTCAGGCACGCAAATATTATGCACGAGCAGGACTCATTTCAGATACTCGGCCGTCTCGGAGCCACCAAAAAGCCCGTAGCGACGCGAGTGTGTGATGTTCAATATCGATTGCCCGATTATTTTGCACTTCCATCTACGCCATGTTCGCGTCTGCTGTGCTTCATATGCAAGTAGTAGGAGTAGCCCTCATGTCGCGATAATCGAATCCAGAAACATCCATATGGTTGTGTCAGGAGGTATCGTGATGAAATTTGATTGAGTTCTTTCTATACATCCCACCGAGATTGACCAAGTATACGGTGTGCTTGAATGGGTGAGCTTCAGCTTCACTTCCCAATTTTTTTTTTACAATCGCGACCTCATCGACTGCTTTAATGTATTCGCCATTCTTTGCTAGAATATCCGTTGTCAGGCCCTTCGTGGCTCAGAACACTATACTCCAAATTGCCATAACAGACTGCCATATCCCCCATGCGCATGCAGTTGGAGTCTCACCAGAAGCTCTTAGCATCTGGGGAATTGCCGTGTTGTCCATCGTTTACTTTGAAACCTGATCGGACGGGTATATGGATGGCTGCATTGCCGTATTTGTTATGCTTCCGTGTTGACCCAATGTTCCATTTTGGTTTGGTATGATCCTGGCCATGCGTTTTGGCTGCTGATCAATAAAAAAGCTTAAGCACATGCTCATCTTCACAATGCACCAACAGAGCCTGATCTGCCAGCCATCAGAGCACCCGAATTCTGTTGCTATAGGAGCTTACGATGGCTCAGTCTGTGTGTACACGACCGATGTCTCCGAGCCTCAAATCCTCTGCAAGTTGTTCAGACTTATTTCCTGCATAACGCCCCTTTTGCAGCCCTCGCTTGGTCCTCCGATGGCCTTCTCTCGACAATAGTGGCTGAGGACAGCTCGCTGAACGTCTTCGATGTCTGGGGAGAGGCCGTCGCGAAGGGTCTCACGAATGCGAACGGACAGAAAGAACGAATTCAACCAGAAACCCTCAGGTGGTTGAATGTGGCCAGGTACTCATGACTAGTAGTATGCCATGAATAATACGGCAGGGTAGATTGTGCCACAGACCATTGATTGGGCGCCATGCATGGATGACCAAGCTTCGCAGGGTCATCCGGTAGGAAAAGATGCTTAACAGAGAGAGTTAGGGATCAGTCGGACTAGTCGTTCTTTGATAAGTCACCCTCTAGCGATTAATTTTCCTCAGCGGGAACGGAGACATCAGCATGTAATTAGATGCTTGTAAACCTTGTAGCCATGCGTCACAGTGTATCGCCAGGAATGGCGCTAGATGATAGAGCCCCAGTATCTGATCAGAAGCAGTACTCTTCGACATGCAGATGAATACCTTGAGCCCCTGTGCCTTTGTGAACAGCACGCTCGTCGCTCAGTTTGGCAACACTTGTGCGTACTCTTGCCACTAACGACACACCGCCACAAACAACCACGCCAGTCTCCCCGCCTGTAGCTTCGACCGCGTCACGGATGAAAACCGACACATCAGGCCTCGTGGCACTACGGTGTATATGTGAATCTGTACTGGTTTGCGAGAGTCGTTTGCGAGGTATGGCCCCAGAAGAGACGACGTCAATATCCGCCGAGCAACAACATCCGCCTTGGCTCTTGGCAGACTTGTCGAATGTTCCCGTCCTCTCTACGACTGTGAGCTTTTCCTCATGACTGGCTGCCGACCCTGACGCCGACGACGAACGTGATGCTGCAACAGTCTCGAGATGCCCATCGCCAGTAACAGCGATATGAACGGACAGCTCAATGCCTCTCTGATTGGCCTTGACCATCGCTTCGTGCAGCCGATCATGGTAGAATCCGATCTCTTCACCTTGGCGCGCAGTCAACAAAAAGTCAATTCGCTTGGTGCAAATCGTTGCTTTGGTCTGCAAAACACTTTCCAAGATCGGAAGAGTGAACGAGGCGCCTGTAGAAGCCGAAATAAGGACCAATGTCTCAAAGATGTCCCACCGTGGGGGTCGACCATATGGACCTGCGACGAGCGCGGTAACAGTTTGTTTCCTTTCCGATGCCTGCATCTTCCTGGCAAACGAATGCAGGCGTTTTGAAAACCCAGAGTGCGTGCGAATGACAAGTTGAATGCTATTGCATATGCATGTATCTGGTGTCTGGTGCGCACAGGCAATGGTGTACGGATGTGCTTCGAGTGGGCCAACACGTGGCAACCACAAATAGAGATGCTGACCTGCACTCCATTTGAAGTGTACATCCTTGATGGTCAGCACCGTGATGGAATCTCCCACGACGCTGATCTGAGTTTGGTGACCAAACTTTTGCCCACCTTTGCATCCGGTTGTTTTCGGGTTGAACTTGATATTCTGCCACAATAGCATACCGAAGCGAAATACCCGGTCGAAGCAAATGGCTGCTATGGCGAACCAGATGTTGTATCGTGCATAGGTCGGTACGTGCAGGTAGACGATCCACAGGAACAAAATTGCAGCGATGATATGCTGCGCTACCCATATCTCATAAGCCACCGCGCGAATAGGTCTGAACGATGTAACGACCATCCATAACAAAAGACCCCATGCCCCCAGTCCATATCTGACAATAGGCATGTATTGTAGTTCCAGATCCACAAGATCGTACAGGACCCACTCGCTCCAGAAATGAAAGCCATGAACTGTCGCCGTTGCAAACATGGTCCGAGCAACCCAACGATGTAGCCAATTCAAACGTTCATAGCTGGTCCCGGCGATCAAGCCAATGACGTTTGTCTTGGACGCGAGGAGGTAGAGGAAAGGGACTTGAGTAACAGTTACCCAGGCGTTCCGGTACCCAATACGTTCCCAGAAGTAGGCATCCTTGACGATAGCGCCCGAGCACATCATGTAAATGATGACGGCCCAGTATACAAGGAGGCATATGACTCTTCCCATGGGTGGTGGTGTCAGCCATGAGAAGTACTTGGTCGGAACGTATATTTGAGGATAGCTTATTTCGCGACCGACAGCTGTCAGAGTGGCCCATAATTGAAGGTACCAATTAGCTGGTATGGTGGGATACTTTATTGAACTCGTTCGAGATGTTCGCAACCTGTATGTATGTCAAAATAGTGCATAATCGATAGCTTTGAGCAAGCTTACCTGATCCAGTTCTGACTGAAGTTTATAGCGCGCACTATGAGGAGTAGGCCTAGCACTCCAGCTATCAGATACCAATACGTCTGAGCCAGAGACATGTTGGTATCTTGGAACATGCCACTGGAACTCATTCCACCCATGGCCATTTCCATGTTCATATCCATTTTTCCGATATGGCGATGAGGTCGCTAGGCTGGTGGATTGTGTTGTACGTTAGCTGGTCGATATCAAGAGCTATAGATTACTTCAACTTGATCTCTAGTTTGATGCGGTCAGAAACTGCCAAAGCTAATGACGAGCAGTCGTCAATGAAACCGCCTCAGTAGAACGGCGGAACGAAAATAATGGTAGGCTAGTCTCGAGCGCACCCCGGTCCATTCGGAATCGAGCCAGCGTGTGCTCTTCGAATTGTGATCGAACCCCGAGAACTGGTAAGTTGAAGTTTGTGTGCAGAATAGGTGAGGGACCTTAATGCTCCCCGTCGCTGTGTTCGTAGGGTGTTGGTGTTCAGAAGTCGACTGTCGGACTACGAAAACAACCGGAACTGTTAGTCAAGTCCTCTTGTGAGTTCATGGACTCTTAAAAGTTGGGTGATATCGTGTGGACGATATCCTCCGCCGGTTGAAAATGCCTTGCTTCTGCGTGCACCGCATACGTAAAGCGCCGGCAAGACGAAAAGCCGTTACTTGTTGACTGCTTTTCAAGACTACTCCGTAGATTACAGCGAAACTTGCGCACCAACTAACATTAAGAACCGGAATCTTGGGGCCGAGCAGCGAATATTCTTTATGGCCAGACGGTGTGAAGCCAAGGGTATGCCTGCCGATTCCTGAGCCGTCTCGGCCTTGCACATAAGGTAATGTTGCATTATGCTAGATTGTGCAACGAAGTTCGAATCTCCTCGCTTGCAAAACCTACTCAAGAGTGTCGGGCCTGAGTATGAGGGTCCGAAACGTCCAATTGACTAGGTTTCCCGAGTTTGCTGTGTCCTCTGACTCCAGCCAACCCCGAAGCGACTAGCTTGAGCAGATTATGAGCATCTTTCTTAGCTCTGACAGGGCGGCTCACCCGCCATCGTCTGGGATCTGGATGATAGCGGGCAGGGCGGGCTGCTGGCGATCTACCAAGCTTCGAGGGGCTCTACGTCCAGACCTGTCTATAACTTGCTCATAATCTGCTCAGGCCAGCAACTAGTCTTCTATGAGCTAGTACTACCCCTCCATTAGATGGTCCCTGCAGACCCTAAAACAACCTCGCCCTTTTCAGGTGACCCCAACTGTCCCCCAAGTAACGATGGCCTCTACCATGTATCCCCCGCATTAGACACTAGAGATTATGGCAGACTTCAAAGGCAAAAGCCTTGTGAATCGATACACTCAAGCTCACCGAGCCCCGGTACCATCAACACTCCTATTGTTTTGCGGTTTGGTTTTGTTTACAACGGAAAAGCGACGCCGGAAGAAGCATCAAATCGGGCTGAACTAAGGTCTTGGCAAAAAAGCTTACATCCAAAGTATATAGTATCATCAGACCAAACCTCCAGATCGAGGATTTTGAGCTTGTTTGACCCTTAACGCACATGCGTTTCATATCGGAGATCCTGAACTGTGAGGTCATCGTCATTAAAGTTACCAGTCGCCTATCAGTCACCATATCACCATGTTCAGACAAGGGCAGGTGTTCCTGAATGGGGGGTTATATCAGATGTTGGACCCCATCTTTGGCGATTCCTGCTCAATGTTTCCACTAGTCTAAGTTAGACCAGAGGACTGGGGTCAGGTATGCAGTAATAGCGTCTCGGTGATATTTACTACTTTGTATCATTCGGCCATTCAAACCGAACCCGGGAAACTACAGTCATAGTAGAACCCCGGTCCATGTTGGTTGGTGCCATGCGCTCTCCAGCAAACTTTATTAAACACCCAGAGCGAGCTTGAGCGAGCTCATGTAAATACATAGCTCCTGCCCTTTCCCAATGACAACACATGTCTCATTATTCACTACTCACTGTTCACTATTCACCACGACCTCAAGCCGATCTCCTGATCATCTCAGCTAGAAGTCAATAAGCTTCCGCAAGATTCTTTTGACACGCCTCGATCACATCTACATTTCCACACCGGTCACAATGGCGTCTCTCGCATCTGTCACCGCCGCAACTCTACTCTTTCTTGGTTCTTGCCAAGCTCACTTCCTCCTGCTATCACCCACGCCAGTAGGCACATTTAGCGACGATGACGAGCCCAATGCACCGTGCGGCGGCTACACCCCAGATTTTTCAAAAAACAATATCACAGACTTTGCAGTTGGCGGCGACGCTATTGCTACACAGTTACTTCACCCTCAAGCCAACTGGCTCTACCGAATCACAACCGATGAGAGTGCAGCTGGAAACTGGACGCAGATCTACCCAGTTGTACAACAAAGCGGTGCTAACAAGTTCTGTATTCCTGTCGTCACTTTAGACGAGAGCTATGTTGGACAAACGGCTGTGTTGAGCGTTGTGGCCGATGCGCCTGATGGGCTTCTCTATCAGGTATGATGAATTACATGTTTTAAACATCATGACCATGTTGCTAATATTCCTAGTGTGCTGCTATAAAATTTGTATCTGGTGTCAATTCCAACCTACCTAGCGCTTGTACCAACACCTCCGGAGTTTCTGGTTCTTTCAACATCGACGATAAGCTCACTGCTCTTGTTGGCGACTCCAGCAACGGCACTGGCACTGCTACCGGCACTGCCTCAACGACCAGCAGCACCGCATCCTCATCAAGCACCGGAAATTCTGCTGCTTCTACAATGCATGGTGGAGCTGCCGATACTCTACGTTTCTTTCTAACTGCTGGAGTCATGGTCGTACTTGGCGCCGTCTCGATGATCTAGAAAGCTTGTTGAGGGAGGTTTCAGGTGCCGAACAAGGCGGAAAGTCGTACCAACAAACTTTGACACAAACCTTGATCAATAATGAATTCGATACCCACGTATTTGACTATTTCTCGTCCTGAAATTTCTGCCCCCTGAATTGATGACCGTCTTCCGAGCCAGTCTTTCCGACACATCTTTCCGACCCATCTTTCCGACCCATCTTTCCTGCCTCGAACACGTCTTTAAAGTGTACCTCTTCTTCGTGGCAGCAAGGACACTTCTCGTTTTTCGTGATGGTGATACTGAGACACTGTGCAACAGCCCGAAAGTGACTCTCACAGGCAAGTCGCAAGCTCACACAATACTGTATGTCCAGCATTCTTCTACGTCATCAGCCCGTGGCTGATATTCCAGTTTTTCAATAAGTCATTCTCAGTAAGTCATTCCTCGACTTTAGTGACGCCGTCATGCATGGCTTTATAAGCTGTTATAGTAAGAAAAAAGTAAGGCCTGGAATCTATGGTATTGCGTTCATGGTCTTGTCTAGATGGTTATATCTTCCTTGATGTGACAGGTTCTGCAGGGGGGACTCTACGCGACAACGTAAGTGAATTTACATGGGATAATACCGTACACTGCCTGAGGTCTGCGATTTATACATTTCCCATGGTACTTGTGATTTTCTACAATTATCAGAATTAATAAATCCTTTGTCCAGCATTGTTAGCACGCCAGTCGAAGAAGCAGCGAGTGTAGTATTCTTTGTTTGTGATGCTATTGCATTACTATCAAATACCACGGCCAAGGCCCAGACTCTCATGTGCTGACAACTTTCATACCTGATGAATATCTATGATTGTATGGTATATCATTTCGGTAGCAGCTTCACTGGACTAGTACGGAATCTGTTGGGAGAAATAGTCCATAATCAGATTCACTTGCTCTGACTGAGCGACTGTGTAGTTGCCCCACCCGTCGCCCAGGTGCATAACATAGTTGCTTTTGCCATCATTTGGGTACCAATAAGTCAGATTGACCTCTTCGCCTTGGTTAGGGTCTCTGTTCTTGATGAAATTCGTCCAGTAGATTGTCATCTGTCTTGCAATATCAAAATCCTCCTCAGTAAACGGGTAGCTATCGGCATTGGCATACAACGCATTCAGTGCGTACATGATTTCGCTCTGATGGAAAGCGCCCTGGTCTTGGCCAGGAGGGGAATCTGCAACATGTTAATCATTCATATATTTGAAACGACAGAAGTGTCACGAGTGTGCTACTTACGGTCCCAGTAGTACGTATAAATTGGGCTTTGGGCGGAAAGAACCCATTCATTCGCATATGCCCAGGAGCTGACAAGGGACGTGTCGCGCGCTGCTGCATTCCAGGACACGGAAGCAGTTGTGTAGTTCTCACCTGCTGGATACAGCGAGAAATATTCCGTAGACAAGTTTCCGTATTTAAAGGAGCAGTATCTAGTGTATTCCTCAACGGTGTAATTGGTCGAAGTGGCTGCACCACTTTCGTCTTTCGTGTTGCCAGTGATAAGAGGTACATCATTGGCCGGCCCTTGCTTCAGTTGTTCAACATAATTCATAGGGAGAACGTAACCGTCCAAGACCGGCTTGTAGATCAATGGGTAATTACACGATAGCGCGGTGATGTTCCAGATGCTATAGTCACGATCAGCCGATCCCACCAGAATCTCCTCCAGCGATAGATTGCGCAGTCCCTCAACATCGCTGACGTTATGGGCTAAGGTGTAATTAACACCAAACTCTAGAGCGCGATCCATGGTCACATAAGACGTAGCTAGTCCGGCTAGTAGAGTATCATAGGGGTACCGGATTCCAGACTGTGAGATTGCTCCACGGAATAGGCCACCGAACAAAGGGCTGTTCACAGCATGGTACACTTGTGAAGAGCCGAAAGATTGTCCGGCTATGGTCACCTGCTCGGGGTCGCCACCGAAGCTCGCGATGTTCTGATACCAGTTAGTCGTCCTCAGGAAGACGATCTTGGGTCTTCGTTTTACTTACACTCTTCACCCACTTCAAAACCTCCAAATGGTCCAGAACACCATAGTTGCCAGAAGTATTATATCCAGTAGAAGTGAGACCCTCAGCGTTCAGTTCAGGATGAGCCAGGAACCCCAACACGTCATCCCGGCGGTTAAACGTAACCATCACCACTCCTTCCACTGTAGCCTGTTTAACAGTTATCTTACAAAGAAGATACTCTCAAGCTGGACTTACGAGCCATACCACCACCATACCACCACGCAGTGTTGCTTGTCTCTTCACTTCCTTGGTTCCAAACTAGAACGGGCAGTTTATTATTGGAAGAGTTGGCGCTGGTCCAGATGTTCAAGCTGAGACAGTCTTCACTATAATTCTGAGCATGAGTAGTGGGACATTGGGGACCAAATGTTGTGGCTTCAAAGCTGACGTTCCAAGCGTCACGAGGCTGTGGAGGCTTCCATCTGTTCTGGTACCCTGTATCAGCTGCGTAGGGAATCCCTAAGAACGCAGCCACATTGTCTTGCGATACATTCCAAAACGTCTCAGTAGTGTTTGTATCAAAGTACTTGAAACCCTTGACAGGGCCTAGGGTCGTTTGGATTGTCTTGTCGTATAGTTGACCCTGAACGGGGCTTGTAGCCAGGGAGACTATGCCCATGATGGCAGCTTGTAATCGTGGCCGGGAGAACATGATTACCGTGTGACCATTGAGACCGCTCATTACAAAAGTTCTATGTGTCACTCCATTATCGTCCAGAACGATCTGCCATATATAGGGACTTAAATCCGAGAGGCCGAAAGGTTCCTGTTGGGCCAATCCACTCTATCTGGATGAGTGACGCAGCCGTATGACTTCAAGTTGTGCTGTACGCGTCCTGACCCGCATCCTGATTGCATGCCCGTGCCACTTAAAACGATACATGTCTGATCAGGTCCGCTTGATGAATCTCTGTGCCGCCATTGATGCAATGTGGTTCTTAGAATGGCACTTAGCCCAACTGCCGGAAGCATACATAACGAATTGGTTACATAAACGGCGCGGAAATAGACCTCGGTTTTATGTTGAAGAACTCGGACTGAGGACGGTGTGGTTCGCACAGAGTTACAGATCGTCATTGGGAACCGGCACTAGTGGGCAACGGCCCTGGAGATCGACATAATGTTACACCAAGTCTTGCACCAATCCAGTTTTTTTCCCGAGAGCGACAAGAGCGAGTCTAGCCCTGGACCAGTCGCTTCTTTCATTGTGGGTCCAGTCCAATGCCAATGCAGTCTGAAGGAAGCTGCCACTTGGGAAAAAGAAAATAAAGAAAAAGAAATCTAAAAGGATCGCGACGTGTAAATGTTTATCTTTCATTACTGTTATCTGGTTCATTCCAGCTACGCTAACAACTCCTTTGATACTTCTGGCGTATTAATGAATGTGATACCCTCCTTTCTCCACGTATCTGCCTCAACCCAGTTCTCGGTCGCATTCAGTACCATGTTCTCCGGGGTATCAAGGTTGTACTTGGGCCACGTCGGCAAGATGTTTGCTTCCGCATATGTTCCGTTTGCTTTCCCGTTCGGATCCAGATCGTTGACAAAATGCGCATATGCTTGTCCAATCGCATGTGCTAGCTTCTTATGACTATCGTACTGCGGACTGGCACCTAACAACCCAGAAATGTTCTGGAAACTGAATGCCACATTCACGAAATGTTTCACTCCGTCCCATTCAGCACCGTTCCACAGACGTTGATCGAAGCGGTAGCTGTACACATCCTTTCCAGCATTAGTGTACAGTTCTGCCATCTTGCGCCTCTGAGCCACCATCACCAGATCCGATCCGATGGAAGCAGCCCTTCGCCACTGTAAGCCACGTGTAGGATGTCTCGTGCAATTTTTGATCGAGTAGGGGACCGCATAGCAGGGGTCGTCGGGGTACAACTCGAAGAGTTTGCGCACTGTTGGCGGCGTCAACGAGTACGATCGCCATGAGAAAATCGACTTGAAGATGTCTTGCTCAGTATTGAGCGTGCCTGAGATGGCGAAAGTCTCATCGGTGTTGGCGCCAGTGATAATGGGCACCGCGTTGTATTTTTCTTCCTCAATCAGCTGGCTTGGATAGCCAGTCAACAAGTCGCCATCCAGGATAGGGTTCCAAACGACACTGGGGTGGGCAGCGAACAGTGTGGCAACATCAACCGATCGAAGACAGGCGAGCTGATCTGTCACGCCCCAGCAGCCAGCGGCTCGGGTGAGGTTCTCGTTGGCGCTATTATACCACGAAATCGTCTCGACTTGCGCACCTGTCGGTCCTCCGCTTTCCAAAATGGCGCCGCGGAATAGACCATCGTCTCGACCGTCGTAAGCAAACATTTGGTATGCGATACTTTGCGCTCCGGCACTTTCGCCCCAGATTACAACCTCGTCAGGATTGCCCCCGAACGCGTCGATGTTCTCCTGTATCCAGTGCAGTGCGAGTCGCTGGTCAAGCAGGCCGGCATTGCTAGAACCCTCAGCGAAGATTTGGGCTGTCTGCAGGAATCCCCACATACCCAGACGGTAGTTCATGCTGACACCGATAAAAGGTTGACCAATATCCTGGCCAACCTTGACAATACCAGAAAGGTTATACTGTGGATCGGCTGTGCTGCCGGCGTATAGTCCGCCGCCATAGATCCAAACCAAGACAGGGAGCGGCTCCGAAAAGTTGCCAGCAGGTCGGATCACATTGATGGTTAGACAGTCCTCGGAAACGTTGAAGGTCGAGCCATACTGCAGGCAGCTATAGCCGTACTGTGTCGCATCTCTCACACCATCGAAGGACTCGTTGATGCTCTGCGGCCATCGCCAGCGGAGGCTACCAAGAGGTGGCTGCGCGTATGGAATACCAAGGAAAGCATTCTGGTCCCAATCTGGCAAATAAAACCCTTTATACGTGCCATTCAGGGTTTGTGCTGTGGGAGACTGAGCGTTGGCATGAGGAAGTGCAAACAGACCTAGCACGCCGAGCAGGCGACTAGCTGATGGCGGCTTCATCATAGATGTCACTTGAATCGCCTACCGCCGAACAAATGACATTGATCATGGATTTTTTGCATCATGTTTTATAGACCAGCGAATAAGTGATGACGCCAGCCAGGAGTAAATCAATTATCCAGCTGATTGGAGGAATAACAGCACCTAGTCCATGCATATATTCTGCTAGATATAGTCTAGACCTGGCGGGGTTTGGGGCGCATTCTTAAATTTCACCCAGGCGGAATAAATGAGCGATTGCAGAAAGCGGAGAAAGTATTGGGGGAGGTAAAAGATCGAGGACACTTTGCCATTTGCTAGCCAACCAACAACGCCAGCGATCTTGGCATAAACAGGGGGTACGAAACACCTCCATATCATAGCTGGAGGTGGGCTTGGGTGCCACTGACAAGACCGTCAGAAGTCATTGATGGAAATGGCATGAAATAGAATAACCAATTACTTCTGCGTTAGTCTAGTGTGTTCGCATCCAGGGGTATCATAACAAGTAATCATCACCAAAATATCCTCCTGCCCTTCGCTCCTGACTCCTGTCTCGCATCCAGAGTCGCCGGTCTAATACTCTGGGGGTTGTGAAAGACATCGTTTGGATCCCAATTCGACTTGATCTGTCCCAGCCTTTCCAGATTGGGACCCCAGTACGATTGCTGGGGGTTGGCCAGCGCCGGGTCTACGTATCCCGGATAAGTTGTAAGTGTCTGCTCAGCGGTGCTCTGTATGTTGGTGATAATACCGTCCATGAAGTCTTTAGTGGTTTGTGACAACGTGGGAACTCCAATTCCGTAGCCCTGGCAGAACATGATCTTGTCTCGATGTGAGTACGCTGTGGCATTCATGGCTATGTCGTTAATAGCGCCTCCAGTAACGTCAAAGATGAGAAACCACAAGAGGGTACCATGGTCAGCATTGTCAAGGTAGCTCATCATGCTGTCGATCTCTTCTCTCGTGAGTAGCTCATCCTGTCGAAATGCGAGACTTCGCGATGTGAAGGCCGTTCGGACATCTGATAGATAGAGAGCGGCATCCTCGGCCTGCTGTGTGAGAACACCGAGCCAATCATCCAACACAACAGATATCTTGCCAGTCGGGATTCTGTCTGGAATGCCTGTCGCCTCGAATTCCTCCTCAGTTCCGTAAAAGGTAGCCGTAATGACCAGACCCAGTTCATGCAGGACTACCTCCGAGCCAAACCTGCGATCGAGGTTGGGATCTGAGATGAGAGTCTGCCACTGCTCGAAAATGTCCGCCATGTCAGCGTGCTTTCCAAATGTTGACGAAAACGAATATTGAACGACGTCTCCAGGCTCAGGGTGAGTCTTCATGACGAACTCTGTGATGACACCAAAACCAGCGCCGGCGCCCTTCAAGGCGAAGAATAAATCCGGGTTATCATTCTCGCTTGCACGTTTAATACTTCCATCCGCAGTTACGACCTCAACTTCGAGAACATGATCTAGACAAGATCCCCACATGCGCGACGAAGGTCCAAGCCCCCCGATAGTTGCATGTCCACCAATTCCGACTCCAGGACAGGTTCCGTGCGCCATTGCTCGTTTCCCATTGTCGTGAAGTTCCTGTGTGACATCAGATAAGCGATGTCCCGCCCCAATGGTCGCTTGCCATGTACTCGTGTCCATGGAGAACTTGGTCATTTTTTGAAGGTCCAGGACCAGTTCCCCGTCCGTCCCCCCAAACTAAAGTTAGCATAGGAATGGCCGCCTGACTTTGCCTGCACCTTGACATTGTTCGAGGCAGCGCATCGGATAAATCCGGACACATCTTCAGCAGTCTCCGGTCTAGTGACAGCAATAGGTGAAACCGGTATGTCGAGGTTGTATGGCGCGACCCAGCTAAGTTGGTAGAGGATGTTATCCGGGTATGCTACACAACCGCTTCGGCCATTGCAGACTGTGTTCAGACAATTTGTCAATGGCGTGCTTGACCCCTGTCCCATGATGTCGGCAGATTTCCTCGATGTGTATGGAGGAAGATGGCCCCGAAGCGATGGCTCGTAGGTGTAGAAAAAAGGACAAAAAAAGGCAGCGGATGCGAGAGTAGTGGTAGTGGACAGCTCGGAAAATCTTGGGGTTTTATTATGACATTCTTGCATAGGGAAACATTTCTGCAGTCGTGACCTAATCAGCATTCCAAGTCAGACACGCAAAGTAGGCAAAACGGCAAGAGCATGGGCTAACAAACAGGCTCAATGTGCAATGATGCACATGGATTGACAACGCATAAACTGCCAAGTCAATTGCACCAACCCTGAGCTTAAAATGGGAACGGCCCGGTAGGCTCACAGAGCTGCCTGGCTCGAGCTGGAAAACGACGGTAGCCCGCCACCCAAGAAATCCAGAACACAGATCTAAATTCAATGAAACATTTGCCCAATCTGAGGCGTTGCCACCACTAAGAGGCTTAGCTATCAGGGGACAACGCATAGATATTCTAACCAGATTGTGATCCAACAACCGGTAATTCTTCGAACAAGCGTCGCTACCCCACGTTAGTGAGAACTTGCCAAGCTGAACATGGATCAATGCATGGGAAGCACCGAGGACGACTGGCATCATATTATAGCTAGCAGTATCTCAGACGTCTAAACAATACAAAACTTTGTACTCCGTATATCTACCGAGCAATGACCCAAAGATAGCATTAAGCTTTGTAACGGTCTTCTTTTTTGGCGATCTGCGCTGCTGACTGGGTAGTGAAGCGGCATTGTCATTCGCTGGTGCTTATGTTAATCCCGTTAGTAGGAAGTCCCACCCTATCAAGCAAGCTCCAGCGCGCCCAGGTCAAACGGGGCTAGATTTGCTAAGCCCAATCAGCGTTTTCCCCCTAGACCTTAGCTGATCCATTGGCTGTAATTTCACTAGAAATTAGAATGACCTCACATCGTCAAAACTTGAAACATGATTTCCCTTTTTTTTTTGTGGAAAGTCTTCTTTCACGACGTCACAGCGCAGAGGTTCCAAAGTTCCAAGGAATGGAGTTCGTTGTAAGTAGCTTGAGACGTTCAGTGTTGCAGAGGGGACATAAAAGAAAAAGAAAAAGAAAAAGAAAAAGGAAAAGGCAAGGAAAAGAAAAGGGAATAATAAAGGTAACTAGCCTTTCATAGCCACCACGCATCTACCAATCTGCTTGGCGCGGTAATACTATGTTATACTCAATCCATGATAGCGACGGCACAATCATTGAACAATCTTCGTATTGTAGTGACCAGATAGATGCTCGGACACTTGTTGTTCCTGCCCAAACTCGCCTCATTGCTAAAGCTAGTCTGCTTAAATGTAATTATGTGCCTCGAGGGAGTGGTGTTCTCATGTGGTGCATCTCGATTGAAACTTGCAAGATGCAAAAGAAGCCGTTGGTAAACCTCTCCCTTATGGAATCACGAACAACGCGCATGGCTATGCGACCAGCAAAGGAGCGAAATGATATGAATCCATAACGCCCGCTACCAATCCCGACAGATGTGCCGCGGTACCTCGGTAAGCTGCTGAACTAACAGGTATTGTATGTACAATGCTTAATTCATCAAACTCAACACTATCTACGCGGCTTCTGCCGCTCTGATGCGCCTCTATCGCGCCTTGCTGCGCCTTGTTGCGCCCTATGGCGGGGCCGATGGTAAGCGGTAAGTGAACTGCAGTTTACGTATCATGAAACTATGAAATGTGCCCACGAAGGCGTATCAGACATGACCGGTACCTATGACTTGTGCGCACATGGTATACTAGCAACGAATAAAATGGTGACGTGCTTAGGAGTTCATAGTATCCAGCACAAACACTCTTTTTCTGGAGTTCCGTAATCTCGGTGGCGTTGGCAGCTGCTCCGGAGCCGAGCGGTGCTGGCTCCGCAATATCGTCTGAGCTGGAATCTGGGGTTCGGGGACGGCATCATGCGCCAAAGGTAGACCCGTGATCATGCACGCGCCCGGACCACTACATATCGACGGCCCTGACCTATCCACTGAGGGGCTGGTATGAAAGGGCGGGCATGGAAGCTGTAGTGTAGGTTTACTTTGCCTCTCGACATCTGCCTCTACACCATCCTTATCATCGCCTGGATGCCGCCAAGCACCTTACCAGAACTGTTTAGACATCACCCGCATCAAGCCCGAACCTGTTCGATACTGTATCGTCATAAGATCGGCCATTGTCCATTGTTCATTGGCAGACATAGGTCGTGACATCTGAGATAACATTACAGCGTGCAACTAGCGAGGATATCTACTTCGTAGCATCAGCAACCGGCCGTATTTCTTCGCCGCCTATTGCAGAACCTCGCCCAATAGCTAAACCCGGCATCCGGTTTCTCGACCCGAGTCCATAGCCCCGCAGATATTCGTTTTCCCCAACGTGGATTAGATGAGAGAATGATGCGGTCTTTACTCCAGACAGCTACACCAACCCCACCTTGTGGCACCCCGCTTGCTCTACTCCGAGTTGCCGGTCCATATTTTGGAAAGCGTGACGCGAATTCACTTTCACACATCCCGTCTGCTCCTACTAGGTACCTGTCGAGTTGCCGTACGACACTGCCAAGCCACCGTTTTGCACCACGACACCAAAGTCTCCCTCTCTCTACACTTATCGCGCCTACAAATTTGAGGCTCTATCAATCTACCAATTTGGAGCGACACATAGTGAGATCAGAACAAACTCGTGCTTATTCAGCTGAAGGAGCAAGCAATATGTATACAGCATCTTTCGCCTTCTTCGAGGCGATTGCGGAGGCTGGTGTCACACATTGCTTTGTGAACCTGGGATCGGATCATCCGAGCATCATTGAAGCAATGGTCAAGGGACAGAAGGAGAAGGGCAGCAACTTTCCTCGGATTATCACCTGTCCCAACGAGGTAGAGCCACAGATCATGACCTACCGGTATTTGGTTTGCTGATATAGTACAGATGGTCGCCATGTCCATGGCGGACGGATACGCGCGTCTGACGGGGAAGCCGCAGGTAGTTATTGTGCACGTCGATGTGGGCACACAGGGCCTTGGTGCAGCTGTGCATAACGCGAGTGCTGGACGTGCCCCTATTCTAGTCTTTGCCGGCCTCAGCCCGTTCACTATCGAGGGCGAAATGCGCGGTTCTCGGACAGAGTACATTCACTGGATTCAGGACGTGCCAGACCAGAAACATATCATCAGCCAGTACTGCCGCTACACAGCCGAGATCAAGACAGGCAAGAACATCAAGCAAATGGTCAACCGCGCCTTACAATTTGCCACCAGCGATCCTCAGGGTCCTGTCCATTTGGTCGGTGCCAGAGAGGTGATGGAAGAGGATATCGAGCCTTATCATCTTGATCAAGGAGTTTGGGATCGTGTACAGCTCGGTGGACTTCCCCAACAGGCTGTGAGCGATATAGCGGAGGCATTGATCGGCGCCAAGAAGCCTTTGCTCATCACAGGCTACTCTGGACGCAACCACAAGAACCCAGGGGCTTTAGTCGAATTGGCCAATTCAGTCAAAGGACTCAGGGTTCTTGACACTGGTGGTAGTGATATGTGCTTCCCCGCATCTCACCCAGCCTGGCTAGGACTGCGCTTCGGCGTCGAAGCCGAGATTAGGGAGGCCGATGTTATCTTGGTCGTGGACTGTGATGTTCCTTGGATCCCCACACAATGCAAGCCGGCAGATACGGCGAAGGTTTTCCATATTGACGTCGATCCCCTGAAGCAAATGATGCCTCTTTTTTACGTGCCAGCCCAGCAACGATTCCGTGCCGACGCCTTGCAATCTCTGGAGCAAATCACTGGACACATCAACGCTGACCTGCACAATAAAATTGACTCAGCAACTGCCGATAAGGCTTGGGAAACTCTGACAGCTGCGCACGAGAAGCGTCTACATGACATCGCAACCAAGGCTGAAAAGTCGTCCGACGACACGTTTGGCACAGGATATCTGTGTCGCAGGCTGAGAGACACATGTCCCAAAGACACTATCTGGGCAATCGAGGCCGTGACGAACACAGGATTTGTCCATGACAACATTCAGCCTGAACTGCCTGGGTCGTGGATCAACTGTGGAGGTGGTGGTTTAGGTTGGTCCGGGGGCGGTGCCATGGGGATCAAGCTCGCGACTGATGCTGAGAATGGCGGCCAGGGAAAAGGCAAATTCGTAGTGCAGATTGTGGGTGATGGAACTTTCTTGTTCAGTGTGCCGGGGAGCGTGTATTGGATATCCAGGAGATACAAGATTCCCATCCTGACGATTGTTTTGAACAACAAGGGTGAGTATATTCCAACTAATACCATGACATCGGCAGGACCACATCAGTAACACTAACATTGTCACAGGATGGAATGCCCCACGAAAGTCGCTCCTCCTTGTGCATCCAGATGGAGCTGGTTCCAAGGCCACGAATGAAGAGATCAACATCTCGTTCGATCCCGTTCCTGACTACTCTGGCATCGCGAAGGCTGCCGCGGGTGGCGAGCTATATGCAGCCAAGGTTGAGAAGGCAGCAGATCTTGATGAAATTCTGAAAAGGGCAATTGAAACTGTCAAAAGAGGGCAGAGTGCTGTATTGGATGTGAAGGTCAGCTTCGGATCCTAGCTTTAATGTCTGGCGGTTGGAAGAAATTTGCCTTCTGAAATCCTCCATTGATATGGTCCGAAGTCCCTGGTAGTTGCTTGTATTGATGTCATGGTCGCTTGTACGTTCTTCCAAGGTGCCGTCCCGCTTGATTAGCATACTTGGCTTCAAGTCTACACACGTGCCCAGACAAGAACAAAAGACTACATTCAAAGACGAACGACACAATCGCAACCTAGATGGGAATCCTTTCCTTTCAACTCATTATTCGGCTGCCCAACGTCATAATGTACTCTGGAGTCTAAGATGCGGAAATGTCACTACTTGTCCAGCTGCCTTCCAATTTTGTTTTATACAGAATCGAATCTAGGTTGAAGACAACCCTGAAAGCGCCTCCGAGTCTGGAGTTTCTAGCGTACATTTTCCATGAATCAAAGTGTGACTTATCATGCACGATTTCTCAGTTGTCATAGGTGCTGATATATAAATATACTATGCCCATTTTCACGTCGATACTTGCGTGGATCGAGCAATCTCGTCGGTCCGGTTATGCGTATACAGGGAATCATTTAATGTAGCATGCCAGGCGATCAAAGTTGCCCAGAGTATAACCTCATCCTGATATAGGTGAAACCTAATTGTCTGTGGGTTCATGGTCGCGAGTCACCCTACACTCTAACAAGGTCTTCCCAAAAAAGTTAAAGTGGATTAGCAACGGGGAGATGCCATACTATTAACGAGATGGAACAAAAATTCGTGTCACATTGAGGAGCCTCTTCTGAGAACTGATGACGCCTATTGATAGATCGACTTCTAAACCTCGTCTTGGACCAATTGCACAAATCATTGACAGATGGCTTACACTGGAGCGAATCGTGAAGTGCCATGAGGAGTTGGAGTTGCATCGTGCATCAAGCAAGCGCGACACGGTGCTCGCCAACGAGATATACTGTCGCCTACCATTACCATTTCGATCGCACATGATCTTAAGGATCTGGTGTCGCGGTGCAAATTATAAAGCTTGAATCGTCAATGAAATCTGGCAAGTTGCGTCGAAGAGGATTAACGAATGGTCTTGGACAGCTTTTGAATCTAGTATTAGGAAGTTGTCATCGTCGTGCCAGGGATGGCAGCGCTTGTTGTGTTAGTATATCATCGCTTCGCTTTTCTTCTTCTTCTTTCTTTCTTTTTTTGTGAAAGCTCCCAGCTATTGTGGTCAACAAGTGTATCAAAGGAAAGCCGCGCCCATCATGGTCTCCAATTTTCAAGGATTAAGAGGATATACCAAGCGTTTCTCTTCCATGTAGTATGTCTGACCTTAACTCGGCATGGAATGATGGCCTGGAACATTGTCAGCATACAGACTCACAAATCAATCGTCAGCGCGTCTTTTTCCCGACGAAACACAGCATCTCGGCCCAGGACTTACAGGGTTCCCCTCATATCATGTACAAGCTAGGATCTTTGCGCGGTCTCGGGTTGCGGTTTTGGAGATTCCGCACTCAGGCCCGCCCTTCCACTCAATATTAAAATGCTTGGCTCCGTTGCGTTTAACCGAGTGACCTGCAGCATGATTGGGGAAGCCAGGGTACGGGAGATGCAAATCCCTCTGTTTGGGCGAGGTGCATCCCTCAGAATGCCGGGTATTCGACGATCACATGTTTGTCATTGGCTTCCTGAGATGTGATACTCTGCACCGAATGAGGCTTGGTTTTTCTCCAATTCTCGCGACATGTCCAACGTTGGTGAGCAGTCCGCCCATCGGCCGCTTGATTTTGGGGTCCCCGGGTATACTCAAACTTTGACATGTGAGTCGGGATTCTAAGTATTCTGTTGAGGTCAAGGTCGAACTGTTTGATGTCGGAGCAGAGCGGACTCATAGGAAGTCTTCTAACCTAGAATTATACAATATTGGCGCGCATGGACGTGGTACTATGTATAAAGTTAACTTGGGTATGTATGTATGCCCGCACTGCGGGCTCAGTGCAGCGCTATGCTATGTGATCCGGCCCGTTTTAGAGGGGTTTCAAGAGTCACGAGGCCCTCAAATCTGCAGGCACAAGGTTCTCATAGCCAGAACAAGACCCTACAGACATAAGCGACCTCCACCTGGTGGGTTGAAAGTTAATCTAATTTAATGTCGAGCTGTGTATACATATCCACGGATCTAGGACGCTTGTTCTGAAGAAGAGGAAGAAGTAGTAGTAGTTCTAGACTGGATTTTCGGCAGGGGAGGCAGACCCCACCTTTCGAGCTCAACCCGGGATAAAGAAATCAGCGATTCACGCGTCAAAGAACACTGGTTAGTCAGTCTACTCTCTCCAGCATCTGTTCCCCAGCGTCCATCCTCATACCATCCCAAGGCACACCCAATCATTCGATACGAGAGACATGTATGCCATGTTCAACTGGAAGTAAAGCCCGGCCTGGAAGCGGCACATTATACCAATCACAACATGCAGGTGATCTACTTTTACCCCTCATATGTGCTTCAGTCGATACTGTGAAAACATACGACCCAACTTGCCAACCTCAGTGAATCGGTTCTTGCCTGATCGACTTGCCTCACACAGCGCTGTACCTATACATCTGAGGGTTCGCGAACCAATAGCGAGCACATGTTGACCGCTGGATGGCATACTCCCCTAAGTTGTGTGCAACTTTCAAGGCTCTAGGATGATGTGGTCAAGTGCGAACGATCGATTGAGCCTCATATCACTTCTAGAGGGCTACTGGCCACGATAGAAACAACAAGGGTCTCGTCCTCGTCGGCTTGTGCTCATCCAGCGAGAGTTGTACTAACGCTACATCTGAGAAACCAACGCGGGGTTTTGACAGTCCCATTCAGCAAAGGTCAACCTTTTCGAGCAATCACATATCCGGCTTTGCTCGACAAGGCTCGACTGTAGAGAAGATCTTCAAACCCTCCAAACCGAAACGTTCCACCAGTGGAGCTCAGCACTCTCTTGCAGCTCTGAGCTTCAAGTCCCCGAGTCCCCGAGCTTCGAGCCTTTAGCCCCTCTGTCGGTAACAGACAGGGGACCGACTCTCGAGGTCTACTGACAGAAACAATGTCGGAAGGGGGCACCACTCAAGATGCTCAACCTTCACAACGACAAGAAGAAGGCGCTGCAAGGACGACACCGACTTCGCCGCCTCCACCACCGATTCCCTCCGCCGATCCCAAGTTGATCGGACAGGCGCGAACACCCCCTCCTCTCCACCATGCCGGGCCTCTTCCTTCGTCGCAGGACCTGTTTAAGCTTTCTCCAATAGCTGCACTTCGGCTGCTCGCCGCCGGCGCAGAAGCTCTCGTCCGAATTACTGGGGACATTCCGCCGACACCACCGCCGTCGAACCCTACCGTCCCACACATGCGAGGCTTCCAGCAAGAGAAGGCAGATATAGCACGGTCGCATTCAGAGAAGAGTCTATCTCGGCTACGCGAACAAGCCGAAGCACAAGAGAACAAGCAGACCTCCTACTTTGTGCCGACGCCAAAGTCACATCAGTCGTCGCGCTCGACCACGCCGTCGTCGCGCTACCAACCCATCGACGGCGTACATTTGCGACACACGCCGACTCCTCCCCCACCACCAGGGTCTCCCGAGCCGTATATAGTCATAGGGGCCAACTCGCAGCCCCTCAACCTACAGCATAGCGCCATCACCCGCAAGTTCTACAGCAAAGCACCGCCGCCTATCAGCATCGAGGAGTACCTAATGCGCATTCATCGGTGGTGTCCGATGAGCTCGGCTGTGTACCTTGCCACCTCCTATTACATATTCCGCTTGGCGGTCGACGAAAGAGCGATCCCCGTTACGAGGAGGAACTGCCACCGTCTTCTCTTGGCTGGTCTCAGAGTGGCCATGAAGGCGCTGGAGGACTTGAGCTATCCACACGCCAAGTTTGCTAAAGTTGGCGGCGTCAGCGAAATCGAGTTGGCAAGGCTCGAGATCAGCTTCTGTTTCCTGGCAGGGTTTGAGCTGGTCGTTCGAGAGGAGAACCTCAGAAAGCATTGGGAGGCACTGAAGGACGAGAGGAGTTTTGGAGCAGCCGGAGCAGGAGGCGCGGCTGAAGTCGGGAGAGTGCCCGTACTCAAATTGGAGCACAGGCGTAGGATTGACGCAGAGGTTAATGGGTGAGAAGTCCTGATTATGAACAGCGAAATAATAGCACAGGCGTCGGTGGTTAGCAACATAGCATAGAAAGCAGAAAGAGAAAGAGAAAGAGAAAACAGACGGCAGCAAGCGGCAGCAGAAATCAGGGAGGGTCAACACAGCAAATTGGGCTCGTTCGGCGACATCTATGGCTTTCATCAGCGCGGGATTTGATGCATTTCATTTCATATTTGCATAGCCTAGGAACGAACATTGGACCATACGCGCCATGGTATCGAGTATGTGGTAACGGGGAAGCACGATTGCGATTTGGCCAGCGTACACATGATACCCTTTTTTCTCATTTGGTTAATTATATCATCAACCTAGGTTAGTCGCGTCGTGGAGAGGGCAAAGTATTCGGAGAGCATACAAGATACAAACACACACGCACACACATATACTACGTACATACATGCACCCAAGCATACAAGCATACCAACATGTGCACTTCCATATGCCGTGGTATCGTGTTCTACACAAGTTCCTTCCGAGCCGGCAGCTACTGATCTTACGGACAAGGTTCTCCTCTCCCGCCAGTCATGACTTGTTGACTGCAGGATATATTGACGGACAAGGCGAGAGTAAGAAATGCAAAAGTGCTGTATACCAAGCAGTAGAACTAAAAGAAAACGGGGCTTGGATCTGGACCTCTATAGGCGCAGTGACGTGAATGGAACGTTCATAGGGCGGGTTCTAATAATAAAATAATAAACGCGGGGTACCTAAAAGTATGCTACCCGATGCCAACATGTTGCACTGCCCCGCACCTCCAATCCAGGCGAGGAAGGTCCTGTCACAACTAAATTTGTGGCAACTTGCGTACTGTACCTAGCACAGGACTTGTTTTTCGCTCTCCGCTCTTCATTCCCCATGTCGCCCGCATATCTTCGGCTCTCCCGGAATCTCACACAATCAACCAACATCCGCGGGATATCTGCGTTATTCGCTGTGACTGCCAGCAGTAGCCTGTACTTGCTCCCGCGCCCACTCAACATTGATCCCTCCCTCCCAACCTACTCAACCCGGCCGAGACAACCGACTCCGTATCGAACCATACCGACACAGCCCCGAAGCTATTCTACCCAGCTCACTGCTATGGCTGTCGGCCGGGATGTTGATACCATCCTCAAGGGCAAATACCCCGGCAAAGCCCATGCCAGGCGCGTTGTCCAATACATCCGCTCCAGAGTCACCGATGCCACCAATGGCATCATCTACCTTGAAGGCCGCACCGACGGACTACTCGAAGACTCGGACGAACCCATTCCCTTTCGCCAGCGCAGGGCTTTCATGTATCTGACTGGCGTTGACCTGCCCGACTGCTATCTGGTATACGACATCGCCAAGGAGCACTCTACTCTGTTCATCCCCCCCGCCGATCCCGAGAGCATCGTTTGGTCTGGTCTGCCGCTCACCCCCGAGGAGGCCCTAAAGAGATACGATGTCGATGCCGTACTGCCAAGCACAGAACTGAACGCCACGCTGGCCAAGCTGGGCGCCGAGAACAAGGGTGCCGAGAGCAACGTCTTTGCCATCGCCGGTCGTGTTGCCGACCATGTTACGTTCCTCGAGTTCGACAACAAGAACCTTGAGATTCTGGGCGAGGCCATCGACGAGTCCCGCGTCGTGAAAGACGAGTATGAGATCGCCCTGATCAGGAAGGCCAACATCGTCTCGGGCGCAGCGCATAAGGCCGTGTTCGAGCACGTCAAGTCGGCCAAGAACGAGTACGAACTCGAGGGCGTCTTCGTAGGAGAGTGCAACAAGCGAGGCGCAAAGAAGCAGGCGTATCCAAGCATTGTCGCCAGTGGACGGGCCGCCGCCACGTTACACTACGTCCATAATAACCGCGACCTACACCAAGATGGTCAGGCGAAGGAGTTGCTACTCCTGGATGCTGGTGCCGAGTGGGATTGTTACAGTTCCGATATCACGCGGACATTCCCCATCTCTGGAAAGTTCACCGATAAGTCGCGGGCCATCTACGATATTGTTCTCAAGATGCAGAACGATTGTATTAATGTATTGAAAGAGGGCATACTCTGGGATGATGTGCATCTGCTTGCCCATCAGATTGCCATTGATGGCCTGCTGTCACTAGGAATTCTCAAGGGAGATAGGGACGAGATTCTCAAGGCACGAACAAGCGCTGCATTCCTGCCTCATGGTCTCGGTCACTATCTTGGAATGGACACGCATGACACTGGTGGCCATCCAAACTACTCTGACCCGGACCCCCTATTTAGATATCTGAGGTGCAGAAGGAACCTGCCCGCCGGCAGTGTCATTACCGTCGAGCCAGGTGTAAGTTGCAAGTCTTGTTGACTTTCATGCAGATCAAACTGATATTGCTAGATCTACTTCTGCGAGTTCATCATCCGGCCGTACCTCGAGGACCCCAAGCACTCCCAGTATATCGACGAGAAGGTTCTAGACGGGTACTGGGACGTCGGTGGTGTGCGGTAAGTAAAAAAAATCTCCGATTTCACCAGTACGCTTTGCTGATTACGACCGGCAGAATCGAGGACAACATCCTGATCACCAAGGATGGTAGTGAGAACTTGACGGATGTCGCCAAGGACGCAGCTGAGCTGGAGAAGATCATCGCCTCAAGCTAAGCCCGAGAACGGCCTCCCTATACGAGCAGACCAGCATCGATAAAATGTTTTGGGGTTTGTACTTTGGCTGCATTTGCATCGATATCCATGGTCCTTGTTTGCAAAGACCACGATTCATCTGTACTCCTTTTCTCCTGTCAACTTTTGGCTTATTCTACGACGATTGTGCTCAATTCATCGTCGTTGTCCCCATTGTTGCTGTCACTTCTTTGGTCGTCCATATCACGCGCTTGGTTGTACTTGGTATACTTGTCGATAAACTCGATAATGCCAGTCTCGTAGCTCAAATCGCAAGCTTTGCCGGTTTTGAGATCAAGTTCGCCGTGATTCGGTTCGATTCCCCATTGTCTGATGCTATCATGGCCCGAAGGCCTTTGTCTGCCAGAAGAATGCATGGGATTCAGACCTTCTGGAGTCGTGATACCCAGCGCCCGACCCAGGGCTTCTGCCCTCTGATCGATCCGGGCAAGGGCCTGATATGGTCGATGGTGTAGGAAAGCTTTACTTCTCTGTTGCACAAGTGCACTGTTGGCGACCACCGGTCTAGAGGCAAGCAGATTCCTCGGGCTTCCCTTGTAGACTACGGGGTCTTGTCTTTTCTGCCAAATACTGGTGTTTTGCGCTTTTTCCATTCTACCAATGGTGGACTGAGTAATGCCGGGCTCATAGGCGGTCTTCTTGTTATCCCCTACTTCTCGGCCTCTCGGTTTTCGATGTTCGGAGATCTCTGTTTTCACGGTAACGATTCCCATGCCTCCATGGCATGATTTGAATTGACCCTTTTGTTCATGACTCTGGACCAGATTGGTCTGTGCCGATGCTTCCTCGCGCCTGGTTTTCCTGTGTATTTTCGCCGTCCAAAATCTCTCTGCAGTTTCTCTTCCTGCTCCCATTGCTGGTTCCTGACGAACCCAAGCCCAGACGCGCTCCGGCCCATTCTCAGTGAGCAGTCTGTGTCTCTTGCTCAGACATGTAATGGGCTCTGGGTCTGGCTCGGCTTCTTCTCTAGCACCTGCCAAGGTGTCACGGATAGGCATCGTCTTGCTGCCTTTTCCGCTCTCACCATCTTGCTTGGTCTCGTCACCGTCGTTTCTCCGTTCGGGTCTTTCGGTTGTATCGATTCTGTTGTGAATTATGTTGCAGTTCTCGCAGCAAGGTTTCGCCCGCGGGCGACCAAGATTCCCTCCCCGAGTCGGTTGCTCAATTGTAGGTTGGCTCCGAGGGGTGGCTGAGGACTGTTTCTTTGTCTTCTTAAGCTTGTAGGGTCTTAGAGATACAAGTAGGAATCTGCGGAAGAAAGGGCGCATCGTATATGCCTGTTTCAAAGGTACATCAAGGTTATGATATGATTGTCGGCCCAGCTCTAAAGGAGTGCTGGGAGGTACATGCAATTGTTATGTTGTTATGTGGTCATGTGGTCAAGATGGCTGATTGGAGAGTTCTGGGCAATTTTCACCTTCATCAATGCCTCTAGCAGGTCGCTGACAGACCTAAAGCAGCCCAGTGAGTACTGTTCTCGAGGCTAGAACCAACCAATTTAATCTCGTGCTCGACCGCGTTACAAGCTTGAGTAATCACGAATGGACCAATTCTCGCCTAGAAGTCCTTGCGCTCTTTGTCCAAACGCTGAAGGGAAAGGATACATTGTCATGTGATAGACACGTCACGTATGGCGATCGTAGTATTTTATTGATATGGAATATGATGTGACGGTAAGAAACAGAGCTAACTTTACCTCTGTTCCCCCAAGGCTACTTAAAGTAGTTGCTCTAGGTGTGTATCCGAGGCATCCATTGTCATGTATTAGGGTGATTTGGCGTTGGCAAGAAGAAAGAAAATCAATGAACATTGCGTTGTATCCAGTACTGCCGAATGACAATCCCAAGACCGAATAGCTAACAAAGGATTTCCTATCTGAAAGGTGTTGTTTTTCGGCAGCGCATTCGGACATGGCTTTAACCGTAGCCATGTATTGTGCCAATCCACAACCTATATCAACTTACCCACACACAGCGCCCAGGACCAGTCTATCAATTCAATGCTCTCCACCCAAATCCTGTTGACAAAATTATTTGGTGTGGTGCCGTCCTTGTTAGTACAGCCCCGAACAGGACAAGATGCGTAATATGTGAAGCGCTGCCATCTGCGCATGTATCTACCAGGATATGTAACGTTTTCGCAGACTTGTCCCCAATCGGGTGCATCGAGACAACACTTGACATCTTTGAGAGCTTCGTGCTCGCGGCAGGGATAGTACACCTTGCGAACCTCACACATGGTGGTCCAGATCCAAGTTGCAGCGAGAACCCAAACCGAGAAAAGACAAAACTCAACGCTGGATACGAATCAATATACAGTGGACTTGGGAAAACAAGAAGCCCAAGATATAGCTGGAATGAGCCACCAGTGCCCTGATTCTATGACTGCCGAGGTGAGCAGGGTTGGGCTCCTCGTTTATACATTTTACGATTGTCTTTCATGCGACAATGGCTTTGAGCCGTACCGCCATTGTACGCGTTCCTTGACAATGGTCTTTCACTGCACTCCGTTAGCTACGGCCATGGCCACGAGATAGCCGAGAGTGATGAAGAAGAAGACTGAAGGTTATCTATCGGAATCTCTAGGATTAAGAGACTGTACTACTGGCCACGATCGGTAAAAGTCATAACTCAACGAGACAATGCTCTGAAACTTTCTTGACAGCTCAAGCGCTTAGAAGTACATAACTGCGACATTTGATCTCTCAGTTGCCCGGAATGGGTTGTGGTACAATGGGCAAGATCTTTCATGGAAACGGAACATCTGCCCCACGGTACGAGAATCCAATTCAAGCCTAGAGGTCACCATATAGACTATAATTGAACGCGTCCGCGAAATCTGATACCAGCTAACCACTAGACTGAGGTTAGTCTAGACTAGGCTAATCTTGTCGATTATATATATCCCTCATAACTACTAACCTTAGGCTGATGACGCTAGGTTACCCTATTGTTTTAGAGGGGCACCTTCAATCTGCATTATGGCGGACAGTTGTGAATTGGCGCGGGCGGCCCCACGTGTTTACAATAACCAAGCCCTGAAGGTGCATCATTGAGCCCCTGGCACCGCGACCGAACAGGCAATCGATCGATATTGGGAGCCTTCAGGTATCGTTTTCCCCAGGTCGCTGATTACGCTGAGAACTATAGGGACGACCACCGCCATGTTTTCTAGACTTCGCAAACCAAAGCGCCCAGATGCAATGACGGTATCGCAATTGCTTGAAGCTTACGCGCGAAGTCAGCAGACCCGCTTACACAGCAACAAGGCCAGAGCTGTAAAGTCTTTACCGAAGAGCAGTGGCTATGTCTCAATACCATATTGGGGCCTGCTCGCGCTGCCAGCTGCTGCAGGCCTTGGGGCGTGGTGGTCCAATGCACAGCTATCGAAGCATGCTCCTCACAGCCAGCGGTATCGACCGCGTTATGCCGACAAAGCGACGATGCTGAGAGTACGCTGCTTCTACAGAACGGAAGTCTCGGAAAGCTAATGAATCGAGTAGGCTGCTAACGAGATTGTTATTGTCGTTGGTAAGGACGCGGTAAGTTTTGATGGGGACATCATTGAAAGTCATGGCTACTCGGACTGGTCAACCTCGAACTCAGCCGGCCGCCCGGTTGCAGTCGTCTATCCCAGAACAACAGAAGAAGTCTCGCGCATCGCAGAGATCTGTAACAAGCATAATGTGCCCATAGGTGAGTTTCGTCTCGCCTTCGAAGAACACGTTACTAATCATGATAGTTCCGTTTGGGGCTGGGTCGTCTGTAGAAGGAAACTTCTCGTCGCCGCATAGTGGCATCTGCCTAGATTTCACGATGATGGACAGGGTTCTTGCGTTCCACCCCGATGAGTAGGTATATTTAGCCGCTCGCGTCACGCTTCACTGATTCCATTTGCAGTATGGACGTGATTGTGCAGCCTGGTGTCAACTGGGTAGACCTGAACAACAAGATCAAGGGCGACGGACTCTTCCTACCCCTGGATCCCTCTCCTACCGCAACAATTGGCGGCATGGTTTCCACAAATTGCAGCGGAACTAATGCATTCCGATATGGTACTATGAAAGATTGGGTAATAAGCGTGACGGTGGTGCTGGCTGATGGGCAAGTGATCAAGACACGGAAACGACCTAGAAAGACGTCAGCCGGCTACAATCTGACATCCTTGTTTGTCGGCGCTGAGGGCACACTAGGCGTCGTCACTGAGATTACCATGAAGCTCGCAGTTATACTACCGGACACGAGTGTTGCAGTTGTATCGTTTCCCACGATCAAGGACGCAGCAAGCGCGGCAACTAAGCTCATCAGATCCGGGATTCAGTTGGCTGCCCTGGAGTTGATGGATGAAGTCCAGATGCAAGTGGTGAACCGTCATGGGAGTGAGGCAGTCAGGAAGACAAAATGGGACGAGAAGCCGACTTTGTTTTTGAAGTATGGCTATGGCAACTCGTAGAAGCTTATATTGACGATTTCCAGGTTCTCCGGTACAGCGGACGGCATCAAAGGTGACGTATCACGTGTGCAAAAGATAGTAAAGCCTTACGCGCCGATGAGCATATTCTTTGCCAGGACTAAACAAGAGGAAACCGATTTGTGGTCTGCGAGGAAAGAAGCACTCTGGACGATGACATCTATTAAACCAGAAGGGTATTCTATCTGGTCAACCGATGTTGCTGTTCCGATCTCGAGGTTGGCTGAGATAATTGGTCAGGCTCCCGATCACTGTCTTCCTGCACTACACGTACTAACAAATTCTCTAAAGAACTATCCAAAGAGGACTCGGGCAATTTGGGTCTCTTTGCCAGCGTGGTTGGACATGTTGGCGATGGAAACTTCCACCAGGCTGTATTTTACGAGACAGACAACAAAGCTCAAGAACAATCTGTTTCCGACTGTGTGCACAAGATGATGCAGAGAGCACTGGAGATGGAAGGCACCGTATCTGTAAATGAAACACAAAGCCCCCTCATCATGTACAAGGCTGATGCTTTACATCTAGGGAGAACACGCAATTGGCATAGGGAAGAAGGTAAACTTCGCAGATCAAGCAATAAGATGCACTACTGACAATGGCCAGGAATGCCTCGTAGATGAGCTTGGAAATGACACGATACAACTCATGAAGACACTCAAGCACGCTGTCGATCCGAAGTGAGTAAAGCAGAGCCAATGCTCCACGGCATGCTAACGTCGCTCAGGTGGTTGATGAATCCTGGCAAGGTCTTTGATTTTCTTTGACGTTCGATTCAGGGCTAGAAACCGCCTAGAGAAGGGTTGCCTAGAGCAAAGCTCTTGGGTTGAGGTCCAGTACGCATCCCCATTTGTTAGTATGATCGTGTTGGTGTTTGTGGCGTATGTATGCATCTGACAAGTCTGACGTTATTGATGCTTCCCTCGATAGCGGTCACTCACGCGACAATAAGAGCCCCGTATGCCAAACCAAGATCACTCTGATCTTCGCCGTGCAGTAGTATCGTAGTACCGAGCAAGGGTTGCCGACAGATGGATGCTAGTTGTGATTGTGCGCAGCCTAACTTCAAACGCAATGCCAGTTGTGCGGGTCGTTTCTAACGTGAGCGGCACACATTGGTATTGGGTATAGTATTTCGCGCAGACAAGGGAAGAAAGATCTTCGAGGTATCGGAGGTCAAATCGGTCAATAGCCGCCCCCCTTCCCTAGATCGACAGATTACCAAATCGACAGAACGAGCATTCTGTGTTCCATGGTCTCTCGCAGCTACCAATGAAATGTGCCCCATATGGGCCATGCGGCTTATCGAAGCATTGATGCTCATGTAACCTGAGCCCAATCAGGCGCTGTCAAGACTAAATACATTCCTGAATGGGCAAGTTAGGCCGGGCATTGGCCAGACCATTGAGTTCGCATTGACCTTTGACGGATCAAAGCGTCGTGCGATAGACAGTAAATGAACCATAAGCAGATTCGAGGACGCAGATTCGAGATCTACTGCCGTGGAATGACGACACTAGTATAATTGGATTATTACCATGGAGATATTGCCATTAAACAATTATGATTGGGACATCAGGAAGTTGGATCTCGGGTGGCTGAAAGTGTCCAGCCATACTATCTGAAATGTGTCAGTTTCTGCTTTGCACGTCTCCTCGGGAACTTGCAGTGTTACAGTTTCAATCTTGTACATTTACCATTTGTTCGCACACTCTCTACTATCATCGGTGTCCTCATATGGTGGCTGACTTGTCTGAGAACATCAGATGCATCGGTGAGAACCCGTTTCAGGGTGAAGCCCCACCAGATAAGATAGCGATGTGGCCCCATGCAATTCACACTGAGCCGCCGGGCGCGATGGCTTAAATCTGTATTCACAATCGCAGGTGTTCATACTTACCCCGCCATATGGTCCACCACCATTGATTTATCCCTGGTAGTTCTTCATCCTTGAACCGCTCAAACCCTCGGTAAACGTAGAACTTTGCGCGCGGGCCATGGCCTCTCAGACAGCCAGTATAACTTCGATGCCCAGAAGTACAGCACTTTCGAGTAGCCGCGGTTTGCTTGACCACGCCACGCTCGAGAAATATCGAAGACAATAGCATGTAAAACCCAGTTGTGATCTTATCTTGAACAGCCACAATGCTTAAGCACTCGGGGCCAAGCCTTTCAAGCTGCATAGTTTTCGGGCAGCCATCCAATTTTGGTCCCATCACCACCCATCCTCCATGCGAGATTCCAGAGGCTCTGACAAACATGCAACGAGAAGATCATGCCGTGCATGATGCAGGTGTCAAATCTAAGGTTGCCATCCACATGGATGAGGAATGTGTTGTAATCCGAGATATAGATATAATCCGGAACGATTGTCAATAAGTCATTTGCAAACGTTTGATCGCTTGCCATGAGTTTTTGAACTTTTCGAAACAACCGCAAGTCACAACCACTCAATATGCCGTCCTTACAACGCGTGATAGGCTTCACGGCCTTGGCAACAGTGACTGGATTGGCCCAGGCGGACGCCGAAACTTTCAACATCACAACGGTCTTTGACACCACCCCAGACTGCGCAGTATGTTCTCGAACGTCACCTTAGGTCGAGGACAGCAGTATCTAACTACTAGTCATTTCATATAGTCACCTTGCATGATCCCAATATTGCAATCGGCCAAGTGTTTATCAGGCGCGGAAGAGTTCCTTGCGGATTGTCTCTGTAACAACATCACCATACAATCGGACATCAACATTTGCGTTCAAGTCAATTGCAACTCGCTCCTTGATCAAAAGAAAGCATTCGCCATCGAGAATCAAATCTGCGCGGGATATCCGATTGAGTCGCGCTCCCACGTTGCCCTTATCACCGCCGTTGTCGCTGTCGCAATCTCCGTTCCGGTCGTGATCGCGCGATGTGCCACGAGGATCAAGTTGACGAAAAAGCTCTGGCCAGATGACTATATGTCTCTATTGAGTCTGGTATGTGCCCACGGAGACTTCAAATCATGTCACCAATCTAATGCTTTCCAGGCTGCTTTTTTGACCATCGCCTTTATACAAATCTTTACCACTACCATTGGCAGTGGGAGGCACTATTGGAATACAGACCTCGACAATTTTTCTCTGGATCGCCAGGTATGACTCTTTTGATGTATATACTATTTGAAGACTTCACTGATTTGTGACAGTTGTTCTACGCTGCGAAGGTGTTATACGTCTTCGTCCAGTGTACAGGAAAGATAGCAATTTTGCTTTTGTACCAAAGAGTCTTGGTAACTGCAAGCAGCGCTCAATGGTTCAGAATAGCCGTGAAGGTTATGCTCGTGCTGACCTTCACCATCGAGGGAACTTATATCTTTATCATCGCCTTCCAGTGTCTTCCAGTCGCTTCGTTGTGGGACCCATCGATCACGGATGTGAAATGTCTAAACTCCGGCATCGCATTCACGGCTGGTGCCGTCCTGAACATTTCGTCCGACGTCATATTGATGATTCTTCCCATCCCTCCTCTTTGGAAATTACAGACCAGCCTGCGGAAACGGGCTGGAGTTGCAGCCATGCTAGCAATTGCATCATTGTGAGTAGTTTTGCAGCACAGTTGAGCGTGGAGTCATTGGGACTGATAAAAGTTAGTGGCATTATTGCAAGTCTCGTTCGCATCAAGTACCTTGTGGCGGGTGGTTCGATCTTTGACGGTAGTTGTAAGTAACTAAATTCGCACTGATCCAGATGACACGACTAATTACCTACAGACTACCAGATCGATGTGTTTGCTTGGAGCCTAATTGAGCTCCTTTGCGTCGTAGTATGCGGCTCGGTCCCGGCTTTGAGACCATTATTTGTTCAAACATTATCGGCCATTAGATCCACAGTATCGAGCACGATTCAGAGATCCCGTGTTTCTAGGTTGTCCAGGGCAAGCCGAACATCTGAAGTAACTTCAGCCCGGGTATACAGCGCCACGGTTAAGAGTCATGCCACAAGCGAAGCATATTCATTATCACATCTCTCGACGACGAACTCGACAAGAAACTGGAAGGATGAAATGGAATCTCCTCTTGAGAGAAGCCCAATCATGGTGCGACCAAGAGCTGACAATCTTGTGGACATGGAAGCGGCATATATCGGAGCGAGGTATACGTCTACCAGGCCTTCTTTGTGTGGAAGTGAAGACAATATGATAAGTTCCACACCTCGTAGGAAGTGAAAAGCGGATTGCGATAGCATGTACTCTAGGGAATGACTTCATAACTATTTGTTGATTTGTGATCGGCCCCTTCTATGACCAACCTTGGCTGGTACACTCTTGCCGTGCTTCGTGACAATCTGCGACGATTAACTCAGACCACTCATAAAAAAACAGAAAACTTGATGCTTTCTCAAATGATGATCACGGTATAAAGTCAGGACTCCTCTAGAACTGGGTTCCAGCGTTGATAGCTTCGTGGCTCTACTTATTCTTGCCTGCGATGACTTGAACTAGCAGGGTATATGTGAGCTCCAAATCATCTCGCCAACGACCCAACCATGTATCCCATATATGGTTTGGGGGGAGGGGGCAAACACTGGCTGCACGGACAAATGCCAGGCTACTGCTTGAACGATCTTGCCTCCCGACGAGATTCTTCGTCTAGTGTACCGAGAGTATTCTTGAAATATGGGATATCAAAGCGCTTTTGGTCACATAGAGGAGCTTCGCCGGACCTGTGGTGTGATGTTCATACCATATATGCATTACATCACCATTTATATGTAGACATTGCCCAGCAGTGAGACCGTTGACGATGACTTCTGCGGATAGTACATGTACAAATCGGACGTATGCATAAAAAGGTGCTCGATAGTATATGTGTCGCTCAGATGACCTAGCACGACTCGCGCGGACGGAATTTTCCCTGAAAATTAGCACCACGCTCATTATTTCGTTCAGGTACGCCGAATTTCCATTTAGGATGTCATTTCTACCGGGAATGAAATGAATCAATACCCGAGCTGCTAATGGCAGTGTTGCAAAGTTTTCCCCTTGCAATTGGGCCAAATCTCAAAGTGCTTCCCAACAAAAAAGTGATGCAATGGCGCGTCTGCGATTCCTTATTTGAGACAATGAGCACGACTTCCGCCGCTCATATATTTACCGTTCAGACACTGTGAAACATGCTAACTTTTGATGACGAAAGATCGATTGCCGATAGAAATTTCTGATGCTACCATGCCGCAAACTTTGAACCGCTGTGGTGTTGTCGAGGCTAGGAAGTAATAGACCCTGGGAATGGTCTCGGCAGTGATGAACGTTCATGATCGAACCTATTCGAATAAGTGACGTCTCGTTGAAATAGGGCCTCAGTCACCTACCATCTATATAAGAAGTGTGCTACCGCACACATAGCTACCTACTGATACTCACCAAGTGATCAACGAATATACTCCTCATAACTTCATCCTACCTTAAACCCTCTCTTTGAGCACCTTTGCTTAGACTGCAAAGGATGGCGCAGACTTCATCAGCACTTTTGTCAGCTATGGTGCTGCACCGAGGCATTGCTTGGATCGGAACATGTGTCACATACTACACAAGATTCCTACTCATGCAACTCTGTCAGCTTGATAGTCAGATTAACCCAAGTCAACCGCGTATTTTTGTGTGTTACAACACACCCCTTGAACCCCCCTTCCGTAATGAACCAAACAACTTCAAATAACATTGCAGATATCCAGACGTATCTAGTCGTCATAGCCCCAGGCCCAGTCCGAGAACTCGGAACTCGCATCTCACAAACGCTAGCCCTACGATGTCTCGATGAACCATAGTTGCAAAGCGACTGCGACCCTCAAATCTCTTTGAGCTCACTGTCGTCATCTATGTATGCGGCACTGGGTTGGGTGGCATTGCTATGTGAATATAGCAGAGCAACTGCTCCTGTCGTCATGTTCCGTTCCAATTGAGAAAATAAATTAGTTCTTAATATATAAGCCTAGCCCGCTAGTTTCAGCAAGAAATGTTGGTCGGCCTGCTCTCACTGAGACAAAGGGCAAATTAAAACTTACAGAGACTCAACATGACTATGAACTATGATCAAAGAGCGGCTGCTGCCGTTATGAGATCTTTCATGAGTCTGAATGAATACGTGGTCTGTTCGCCTTTTGATTGATCAGACGCTGGAGGATTGGAGAGGAATTGCCGTATTACCTTGGCCGATGGTTCTTTATGGTGTTTTGTAAAGTGGTGCCAGACGCTGAATTTCACACTATGCTCATTTATAAACCGACTATGATCTATGGCTGTCACAAATCCTTTTGCCAACAGGTTCACCTTGCGGTTGCTATTTAGATTCTTGTTGAGAGGACTTACAATGAAGCCTGGCTCTAAGAATCAATAGTCATCGTCTCAACATGAATTCCTGTGCCGCATAGCGTCTCACTATTCATTATATTAATACTCGGTATCTTACTGTTCATATAATGGGGAGCCGGAGTGCAAGCTCTTATCCGTCAACTATCAAGGGATTGCTGCTGGCACAAGATAAAGTCCTGCAGCCATCGTCTCAGTCAGAAAATTTTCACAGCTTTAATTGCACCTGTAGAGTCCATTGCAACCCGTAATGGTGTGAAATTATCCGCACGTAATGTGTGAATCTCTTAAGAATATATGGTCTTGATATGTCTGTGTCCTGTGGGTGGTATGATAGTGCTCATAATCATAGGTATTAACGGCGGCCTCTGTAGGCATATCAAAACTTTTTCTGAAGAAGAAATGACGACCTCACGACATTTTCAAAATGAATTTCATCCAGCAATTACGTTGGCAGGCTTCGGAGTATTATTGACTTGATCCTTGACAAGCTTTTGGATTTTCTGATGACCATACCAAAATACGTTCTCTTAGCTCTTTGACCCTAGGATCAATGAGCCATTGATGATCCCATGCGACTTGCTTTCTTTCAATGTAGGCATGAAGATAGGGTATTCCTCATGGTCCTCTCCTGTAAATCTAACCTTGATGGTCTCTTCGAAATTGCTTAGGGCAAAGCGAAGCCATTTTTGATCCCATCCACCACGGCAATTTGCCATCCTGTCTTGAAGGTATTTCGAAAAAGCCCTGCTCAGATAACTACTGCCGCACAGCTCACCTGAGTCCTTTGCAGCACCAGCCAGCATGATCACAGGATTCAAATACTCGACTGAGTAGGATGCGAGGTCCACAGTATTGTAATATGAGACATAAGTAAGTGACATGCACTGTAGAATGATACTTGGTCAAGGCTTACCCTCCTCCTGCGTCGCAGATGATGAATGTATCACCTATCTTCAGCCCTAGCGTAGGTATTGTGTCCAACGCCAAATGGCGGCGGCTTCGGGTTCGGAGATGATATGTAGCCGGGATCCTTTCCCCATCCCAGATTGCTCTGCACATTCACAAGTCCTGTCCTGTTCCTTGTGGTCCCATATTGCCGGGACGGTGATGATGTGCTCCCTGGGGAGTTATTTCACAAGCTTGTAGACCGATGCGAGTTGTTCATCTAAATGGCCCTTGAGGCTCTTGAGGTAGTCCACGACAAGTTGCTCATAATTGCTTATTGTATTCAATGTTGGAAGAGCGGTGGAGCTGCGGTACTTTCTGATGAGCTCGGATGCTGTGGCGCGACGTTTCTCATACTCGGGGCAGAGACCCAGCTTAAACCACTCATGGAGCTTAACGCCTTTCTTTGCCTCCTTTTCTGCCTGAAACCCCTATTTTAAATTACCGGTCGATCCACCGTTATCATATAACAGGACCCGTGCGAACAAAATTATATGGAACATAGGACTTTGTAAAAGTAACTCACGTCGGGGCTTTATCTGCTGTACAAGCTCCTATCCCCCAATGATTTACAACGTTGAGCTTGTCGGGCTAATATTCCAAAGGATGATAAGTATATAACATTTTCGACATGGGCCACCGCTTACCTCGTCCGTGTTGGCATAAGCGATTCCTGAATAGGTTGTTCCTGCAACAACGGTAACATCAGCCCTAAGCCTCTTCTAAGTATTTTTCGTCACATTCTTGCTATCATACCAAAATCGATTGCTACAACAATCTTCAATCGGCCTTTTCTCAAGCCGCTTCGTTGGTTGGGCAAACTTGTCGCCATTGAAATAAATTTGACAATGCAGTTCTTCCAGTGTGTGACGCAACCGAGAGTTACTATTCTAACACGATGAAGCAGCTTGGAATTTCTGGCTGGGCAAGATCTTTTATCTGTCGTTCCTTTGGCCATCCTCTTCCTCTTCGTCCCATATAGAAGTGTGAGGCTCTCAGCCCCCAAATTGGCGTTGGTAAATACTCTGACCGGTCACTGAGTGTTTTCGGTGAGTCCGTAGATAAGAGCCCACTTAGTATTCAAGGCTTGACAAGGCGATGACTGCCCAATAAGATCGGGCCGGTTTTACCAGCCGACACCCTCTTTTATGCAGTTGAGAGCCAAGGACGATGCGGGAACCATGCCTACCTATTACGGCTGATTGAAATGCTACACTGCGTTGTTATCATTACATTTAGTTCGAAAAGTTTGAACACGTCATTTGCAAGTCCTACCCGACCAATTTAAACTTCAAATCCATGGTTATTAGGATGTTGCTGATTACTTTTATTCTCCTGTATCCATTAGCCACAAGCCTAGTCTCCTTTTGCCTCGCCTTTTCGTTAAGCACTATGGCTGTTGTCATAGAAAGCGACATAGCCCTTTGAAGAGCCTAATAAAAAGAGAGGACAATGGCCTTATCTGTACTCTAGCTGTCTTCAATACTAATTGCGGCTTCAATTTTCTCCTTGTATTTGTCTTGATATCTAGAAATTCGCCGCGGCCACTCATCGATCAGCCATGGACTACGAAGTTTCAGATGTCGAAGTGCCCGACATGGATGCGGACAGCGTTTCGAAGCAACAATAGTATACTGCAATGGCTACTATCATGATGCTTCGAGGCACAGAGGACTAAATCATGGAGACAGAAATAAAACTGGAATTGAGAATCTCCAGCGCGCCATCCAACGATGGGCTAAGAGAATCAACCAACATCAGAAAGGAATCTCAAAAGATTACAGACAGGTTTTCACCGAGGCATTTCAGCTTAGTGACGAAGATGATCAAAAACTTGTTTCGACCCTTAAGAACGTTGGTATACATACTGGAACGGCCGTGGGGAGAACTCACCGTGGATGCAGTGGCTTGGCAGTCTTGAAACATGCATATATATAGTCTTCTGACGCGGCATTTGGGCATACCTGGAAAAGGCCATTTTCAGCAAGGAATACCCCGTTGGAGTGTCACCTGTTATCATTGAAGCATTCAATGAGATTTTGTCCGCCATGAAAAGTGTGGACAGTGTGGACGGAGATGACGGTACGTTTGACCACATTCGCAGAAACTACTGGATGCCGTAGCTAACAAATCCACAGACCATATATATATAGCCAATTAATGGAGGTCGGACACTATCACAGCCTCAACAAGAACGAACGGTTTTCGGCAATTCCAAGAAGACGAAAAGCAAACATAATTTGAATATTTTGAAGACCATATTCTCATGTTACTATGGAACAAAGATAAAGTTGTGGAGCCGCATCCAAAAACACTTGAGATGAATATCTTCGAACCGGCATTGAGCTTACACCAAAAAATAATATGCTCTTCGTACGAATATAAGTTTTGTACACCCAAACACCGAGACCTTGTGCGAGGAGAGATTCCCGATGACTCGACCAAACTTCAGGACATCGCCAAATGGAGACCAATTCACAGAGACGAGATTGGAGGTGTTTCCCAGTGCCTCTACCCCTCCATACACAGAGTAGAGGTGGAGAATAATGAGCACGTTCTCGTGTCTGAGGCGGTTGTCCTGGCGTTGACCATCACGAAGGTTTGAAGATGCCCCGAGTCGCAAGTCGCACCCAGCGACCGGAGCCTTCGAGAACATTGCACGAAATCCCGCAACAGAGCCCTGAGCAAAATCACCCAAGTAGCCCTAACAGACGTTTTCGAGTGCCTCATAGATCAGAGACGGATGATCATCACAGGCGTGGATCTATCGTGACCCCACATACAGATGATAATATTAGAACTTCCCGACGAGCCAGTACTGCGCCTCTATCCAGCTTTTCTACCTTAACGAATGGCCTCGAGCTTATGAAAACATTCGCAAGGAAGAAGCGTGATAAAGACGAAACGCCATCTGAGGATCCCTCTTTGGACACGAGAACAGACCACGATGGGCGGAGCTCAGGGCCTAATGTCGGTTCCTCAAATCGAAACCACTCCTTAGACCGGGGTCAGCGCACAGCTCGAAACAGTGACAGACTCAAGGCAAAGTCTCAGCCTGCATTACGAAGACCATCATTTGTTCAATCACCCTCGCCAAACAAAGTGAGCCCAATATCGAGAATAGAAATTATGGGTCACCGACCAGTCACAATACATCACCAGTGCGTCGCAGTGGGCATCATGGCAACAGGCCACCAAATATATGTGAAGAAAGTGATTCGAATCAGAACATAGAAACCAAATCTTTGTGGAAGCTATGGGAGGGATGGATGTAAAATATATAGTCCATAGGGAGCCTGAAAATCACCCGCATCTTCTCACGAGTGAGTTTAGAGAAAATCACAGGAGATAAGATATCTGATAGTCATTGAGGTTTACTCTCAGGAATAGATCATACCTATGGTGACGATTTATGTTTAGTGTGTTGATCAAGAACTAAGCCGCCAGGAAATCTTTGCGCAATTCTCCTAAAATTGCATACTGACTGTGATTGCCTCTTGGCAATAATGCTCATCAACATCTGGGGCTGCGCATCACTCTTTCCGGGTAATGTTTACGAGAAAGAATTAATTAAGACTCTAGACGATTCGCTGGACGTGTTTTACACATAATTGGCATGCTTGCAGTGTCACTTTTAAAGTATTGTGGACACTGTAAACTGCCCGAAGCTTGTTCGATAAGACCATTCTGTACGTCATTGCAAGCTTCAAGGTGGGACCACGTGCGCTATCATCTGATTGTCCCCAGCCGCCTACAATATAGCCCGCCCTATCCGACCTAGAGTAATTAACGGAGTGACTCAAAAGCGAGATCAGGCACAGCTACGAGCCATACGAGAAGGAGAGGGAGCAATGAAAATGTCGTGGTTAATGCGTAATATTACTGCGCAGAGACAACACAAGTACTACAAATTATGCAACCTAATGTAAGCAGAAGAACTTACGCGCACGAGACGGCACGTAACGTAGCCCACGAGGCACAAGTATATGTATTATTAGTAACGGCACCTTCGATCCATTCAAAGGAAAAAAAGACTCGCCCGAATCCATCCTGTCCTATGAGACCTTTACATCAATAGAGAACCGGGTCGAAAATAGACCCAGGGCAATACCTGCGACCAGCACAGGAGGTTTCGGTCTGTTTTCAATTTGGTTTACACACAGATATTATTTTCGCATAAAGGTGGGTAAAGTGGCTCAAGGGGGCCCAAATCCATTAGGTCCGGAGGCCGAAAATGAAAGTCCCTAAACCAGTCAAAACGGTTTCAGAACAGACGCCCAGTATTGCTCGTTCCTCGCTGGCCTACAGACGTATCTAACGGCAGCTTATTTGGGTACGGCTTAGCAACTACTGGGTCCAGCGCTTGTGCCAAACCTTTCTGACAGTAGGTTCTTCATTGCTAGCACACAGAGTGTTTGCAACCAGCAAGCCTATCGCCCATTGTATCATGATATGCATGATATAGGCAAGAAGCACTATCTGTTCTTCTGGCAGGGACGCTCATGTCTGGCTGGCAAGGAGGTGGAGATGGCCACATCGAGCGTTGCATCGATATTGACCATTACATGGACGGTGGTGCCGAGGTCGGTACTGCTCTAAATCATGGCGTGTAGGATACTCTAGTAAGGGAATGGACGGCAAAACATCAAGTCAGCATGGAAAGTTATCACAAAAGAATTCAGTATCGAACATTTGAAGAAGGAAGTCGGACAGTATTAGAATGATCAGACGATCGCCTTTAGATGCTTCTCGTAAATGTTCATCCTTAATAACAGTATCCGAAGTTGAGATTATCGAGATAGCAGACGCTGTAATGGCGACCACACTTCTCCAACCAGACTCCACCTTAATAAGATCACCAAGGATAGTGGAGCACTCCAAAATATACAGTCGCCACGAGGAGGCAGCACTTCCCAGATTCGGACCACTCATGAAAGCCGCTTACATTTTTAACTCGTCGCGTAGAGTACGTGACGAGTGAAGCTGAGTGAAATATATGTGGAGCCTGCCATGTCATATTTTGCGCCTCCCAACACTCATTCCGAAAATATACGTTTCAGCCTCAAGGCAATGGCTATCGTCAAATCGCTCAAGTAGTCATGATTAGCTTAGCCGCCTAAGAATTGCTATTCTATGATATCGATTTCAGCAATGCTCTTCGCACCATCACGGCATGACTATTATAGTCCGATCTTTCATAATAGCCGGTGTATATATGATTATACGTTACGTTGCGTGCTTGATCCTGATCACAAGCAACTGAACAAACATGCTATATTGGAGAAAGCTGTAATTGCAACTTCGTGACGAACTCTAGTAGCAAAGACGCTCGAAGAATGTATTGGGTGTTACAGCTCATGCGGTTAGCATTGGGCGGTGAAGAGCGGTAGCAATTGCGGCTCATCTTGTATGTAACTATATGATGACTCGATGTGGGAGCAAACCGAAGCAGACGATTGCCAGGCATAAAACTCGGGGACAGACTCGTGGACAGACGGGGACAGACTCGGGGGTAGAGTCAAGTAACCCGTATTCTGAGAAAGTTGTCTAGAACACATCAAGTTCCTGCACCGTTCTTGCACCACCGAACAACAGTGATGCCGCTTTGGTGTGGGGTTGAGGTTTCGACCTCTATTCTGAATGTCCGCATTGTAGCATCTTCACCCTGCATTCCAAACGTGAGAAGAGTGTTCGTGTACAACCTTGAGGAGTTCACTGATAACATAAGGTTTGGTGACGACAGCATCAAACCCACACTCCTGTGCCTCCTTGACTTTCTCCATTTGTGCGTTGCCAGTCACGGCGAGGACCGGGATGTGCGCATGTAGCATGCCTTCCTGCTGAAGCTGTCGTATGCGGCGGACGCACGTCTTGCCGTCCATGATGGGCATCTCGATGTCAGACAATACCAAATCAAATCGTGGCTGGGCGGGTCGAGCAAGGGAACAATTCCACGCAGAGCCCATGATTATAGCTAATGCTTCTTCCCCATCATTCGCCACGGCCACCTCGTAACCATGTTTGATGAAAAGTTTTTCCAAGAGTCTTTGGTTAATGAGATTGTCCTCGACGATGAGCAATTTCTTGACAACCCTCTCCAAAATCAAAGATGGGGGCGGCAACAGCGGGTCCGCCTTCGCGAGCTGCTCGAGTTGCTCATGAATGGTGATGATCTCGAGCTGCCCATGTGATTCTAGTGGTGGGGTCGCGACCTTCAGGTGTTGGATGGGAGGGAGCGACATCTTGTCAAGTATCGGGATTTCGCTCGTTTGGCAGGAAACGTCGCGGCGCGTTTTGACGTGGAAACTGAAAATGCTGCCGTGACCCTGTTCCGTCGAGAGCCCGATTCGGCCCCCATGCATCTCTGTGAGCTCCCGCGAGATGAACAGGCCAAGGCCAGAACCGCCATATTTGGCGTGCGTGCGGGGCGACGCCTGTGAGAACTGTTTGAACAGTCGGCTAGCTTCCTGTTGCGTCATGCCCGGCCCCGTATCCTGTACGGAAAAGGACACATATAGAGGCTCGCCCGCTCCCCATTCGGCGTTGTTGGTGGGGTCGCAATAACCCGTCCTTGAGGGGACATAGCGCACATGAGGATCTTGCTCCTGTCCGACGAGAGACGCGTCCACACTAAGCCGGATGTGCCGCTGCGACTCGCTCTTGAGGAATTTGATTGCGTTGGACAGTAGATTCACCATCACCTGGGTGATGCGGTGCGGATCCAGCAATACTGTCTCGACGCCTAACCGCCGATAATCGTCTCCCAGATGGACCTCGAGGTCGATTTCGGACGTGCGGAGTTCCGAGGAGAATATTGCGACCACCTCGGTGACCAATTTCGCGGGGTTTGTGCTGATGGGGAAGATTTGTAAAAGGTTCGAGTCCAGCTTAGACAGCGTAAGTACATCGTCAAGTATTCGCTTCTGATGGTTGCCGCAGTAGATGATGGTTGTTGCCATCTCTATAAGATAGTCTATTTGAGAGGTGGCCTCAAGGGATACCAGAGGGCGAGTGCTGAGTTTGGTCAGCTGATCCACAAGCTCGCAGGCACTGTGAATAATTGCACTGAGGGGATTTCCTGCAACATCATCAGCTTCGGCGATCGACAGTCGATAAAATGAAACCCATCGATACTTACTTAGTTCATGTGATGTAACGTCGAAAAAGTTCTCTTGCTGCCGCCTGATCTCCAATGCCTCGGATAACCTTTCAGACTGAATGCTCTCGGCCCATTTCAGAGATGATACGTCTACCACGCACCCGATGACGCCGGTCACCTCTCCTTCCTCTGATATCTCGGGGTAGGAAGTGGCTAAACACCAGGTTCGGTCTAGTGACTCGTGCCTCCCACGAGGTGCCCACGGTCTCTTGAACTGAACATCAAAGCTTGGTGGGCAGTCGCTGTCGTCATTGACAACCTTCTCCCAAACAGAAATAACGCGATCCAAACAATCGGGATGAACCACATCTGTCCATCCCATCGGTCGTGCTATGGCTTCTTGTGACACGCCCGTGAGATCCTCAAATGCTTTGTTGTAATACGTCATGATCCCCTCTCGGTCGTATGTGTAAATTCCTATCGGTGCCTTCTCGCTGAAGTGCCAGAATCTCTTGTTCATCTTGGTGGCAAATTCATGTTCGAGACGAGCCTTTTCCTTGGCCATGTTCATGATGTTTGTGATGGAGCTTTCGAGCTGCCTTGCCAAGAGCTGAATGAACGACTGGAGATCTTCGTTGAACTTTCTCATGGGGTTGATGCCAGTGATCAGCACGGCCACTACAGCACCATCGAGGTTGCATCTCAATGCCTGGATGACAACCTCTCGACAGGGTCCTCGGACGCCGTGTTCTTGGAGGTAGGCGCGCAAGGCTTCGGACAAGCTGCCATCTGTCATCGACAACAGGGTGGTTACGCCAGTTGTCATGGTTCTGTGGATTGCTGCATCTAGCTCGGGGTGGCTTCCTAGCCTGTCGGCCATGCCATGTGTGATCTCAAGGTTCAACCGTGCTGATGCTGATGTGCCAACTGAGAGCTTTACCTCATATGCAGCTGCGAAATAGATGTCATCTTTACACTCGTCAAGTACAGCCATCAGTGATGTCCATATGTCCGATAGAGCTGTCGAATGCGCCAAACGGTTGCTCATGTCTGCCAAGTTCATGATTCTCTTCTCCAGAATGACTTGGCGAGTGGTCTCATGAACGTACACCCACAACCCCGCCACTGATTCGTTCTTGTCGAGGATCGGCAGGAAGGTCAGATTGGCGTAGATCTGTTCTGGATACCCACCGCGCGCCCAAATTCGCGAGATATTTTCGTGCTGAATTGGCTGACCCGTCTGCCTGGTAATCCAAAAGAGCTTTTTATAGACCGGGAAGACCTCTGGCCAGTTCTCGACCATTGGGCGTCCTAGGGCTTTCGGATGTCTGCCCTCGATCATGATCGAGTAGGGTTTGTTGTAGAGCATAGTATAGTCACTGCCCCACAACAGACAGGTAGGGTCGGGTGATGCAAGTGCTAGCTGATACGCTTGTCGAAGATCATCAGTCCATGTCTCGATTGGGCCACACGAGGTTGATGCCCAGTCGTGTCGGCGAACCCATTTCAAGTACTCGATATCACCAAGGTGGCCGTGAGGTCGGACAGACCCTAGCGATGTGTGCTTGTCTGGACCGATCCGACTTGTTTGCTCGGTCGTTTTGGACGGGTCGCCCATGGCTTCGATTGGTGGCAGAGTATCGAGGAGTTCGACCTCGTCGAGAACAGTCATTACGACCCATCGGCTTCCAACAACAATCGGGGACCATCGCATTCCACTATACAAGGTCGAATTGCCAACAGGCGGCCAGAGATCTTCATCACTATCTCCATTTCCATCGCCGGCCAGCCGGGCGAGGATTTCTGCAGGTACGGGGTGTTTCTGTCTGTGGCCATCTGTTACGCGCTTGTTTACGGAGGCATGATTTCGCAACGCCAGGTTGGCGTAGTCGAGCGTCAAGTCGGTCTTCGAATCGGAGAGATGCGATATGAATGAAGGGCGTGGATCGGCGTCGAGATACTCCGAGAGAAGCAACAAGGGAGATACGTCATTGCGCTCGGATTCCACCATTACTTCTCCGGGGGAAGCGCCTCTAGAGGGCGAAACGGGCGCACGTTATATGATCCTGCTGTCCTGCTGTCCTGGTGGTCCTGCGTTCGATCTTGAACAAAGGAAATGCGACGTCGAGAGACAACCCAAGCAACATTTCCACCAGGGTTTGCGGACTGACGAAAGACCGACGATAACAAAAACTGAGCTTGATTTCCCCAAAGTTTGGAGGAGTCTCAGAGTGCGCGCTCACCCGACGCTAAGGCAACGCCAGTCCCTTGTAATAATAATCTAGGTTAACCTACGCCTCGGGACGGCCACATGGTTCTGCATGGGTACTACCGGTGGCATGGTTACTGGTCGCATGGTAATTTGTGGTCAGCTTGGCAATCCGTGGTCGCATTTGGGATCATTTGTTTTCAACACCGTACGGCACGCTGCAGAGACCACTAAATAAGAGATGAGAAGTTGGTCTACGGAAGCACATACAGTCTGCCTGCACAACAATTTACCCTGATCGCCCTGCGAGGTCAACGAGTTCTCGGGGACTCAAGCTGTTTGACAAAGCTTGCCAGAGTTCTTCTCTGAGAACCGTTTTATGGCAAGCTTGCTGTCAGGAGCCAAGGCCACCCTCTACTCCAGTGGAGTTGTTGTGCAAAGTGTACGCCGCCGTCCATGTCCTCGCGCGTTTAATTCCATACCTTCTTGGGCAGACCGAGCAGCAGCAAAAAGAAGATGTTCAGCATGATTCTAGTCTTCCATAAACTCCTCGACCGAACCACTCCTGCGCATCTCCTCTCCTGCTCAAATGCTCGCGTTTCGGTTCGATTGCTTGTTTATTGAGGCCCGCGCCCCGGGCTTTAGCATAAGGTCCGCGTAGCCATTTGCGGGGAGGCTATTCGGGGGATGTCTTTGGCGGTCGTGATTTTGTGATTTATTAGACACGGCTTTTCGCGAAATGCTGTTCAGGGTGTCATCCTGACCATGATGATCATGATGGTCACCGACAGCGGGACTTTCTGGCGAGTCTGGCGGTGGTCTAGTCTCGGGAGTGGCAGATTGACAATGACAATTGATTGCAGAGTTCTGGCGTGTTAGCTAGGCAAGCTGTGGGGGATGCACGCCTCGGGAAGAATCTCTGACCACCCTTACAGCAGACTATGCCACTAATGGTCAGGCGTCAGGAACAGGCTTATAGCGCTGGGCCGATCTGCTCGGCCAGGTCCGCTGAGCACAATTGATTTTTGTGGTGAGTCAACTTATTTTAAGCCAGACGAAAGCGTACAGTGTCGATGCACTGGCGCAGTGCCGGCTGAGTCTACAATTCAAGCTCAAGCTTTCATTGCTTTGGCAGTCTTCAATAAAACTGCCTCGCCCACCGGACGCATCGTGCATGGAGTGAATGCTTACAGTGCGTTCATTGAGTTCAGCGCCCCAGTACTCCCCTCCCTGTATCATGCGCATCAGGCTGCCAAAGTCCGAAATACTCTTACAGCTACTGAATACAAGCCCTCTCCTCAACGTAGAATTCAACACGCTGGCCCATCTGTCCGACGTCCAATCCTTGACCACATCTCCAATACATGTCGTGTGCGCAACAGCATGATGGGCCACTGTAAATCCGTCCTTCCCGTTCTTCCCATCCAGAATAAGGGCGCCGAACGACGATGCTACAATCTACTCAGAGCTTTCGAAAGGGTGGCATGCCTCCAGAGATGGTCCCGTGCCATGGCTTCTATATAAAAAGTTAGTGGTTGGACATCAACCCATCATGTCCCCAAGACTTACTTTTTTTCAATCAAGATGAGCAGTCAATCTCATGCGGCCAGATCGTTCCGTGCTCACAGACTAGATTTCCTCCTTGCCATTTTCGATCAAAGTCTGGAAACACCATCCATGCGCCGAATGATAGGATGTCTGCGAAACCCATGGTCATACTAATGGTCCAGGACGGGGGACATCTGCAGAGGCACACGGACAGGGCCTTGATCCTTACACCACCTCGCCAGCCACTGTTTAGGTGTTGTCGGCAGGCCGTAAGGCTTCCTCTTTCGACCCGTGAGATCTCCTTTCGTTTGTATCCTCTTGCAACGATGGTGGCCGCTTCTCGTGCGGGATGGTGTGCCGAGGGTCTTTCTCTCAGTTCGGGAAGCAGGCCAGCTTCACTTAGTTCGACACCGTCCATAACGAAGCTCAACTCCATGTGCTCCAACAGGAATTGAGAGCCGAAATGCTTACATGCCGAGTCAAAGCGCTTACAGGTACACCCGTATTCGCCCCGAATGATTCCTAGTATTTTGAGCTTATATCCTCTGACGAAAGATATGTGAGTGATGTAGAAATACTGCGATACATCAGGACTCTTCGATATCGGACTGAAAACCCCTTGGAGAGGCCATGGCTCCCGGGCGCGTATTTCAAACATTGCAGAGCCGGCGAGGCGAGAACTGGAAGTGCAAAGTCCAGACCTCCAGTTCATGAGATCTGGCGACATGTGTCGGTTGCAGGGTCGAATCACGTGTTGGCCTTTTCTTCTTTTTCTCTTTTTTAGAATGCCATGATTCCGTCTTGTATTGTTTTCCTCAAGATTAGCTCCCGTATCGCAGACAGAATCATCCCAATCACCTTTCCTCCATCGGTCTGTATGGAACATAATGACACAGATAGGCGATCAGGCTGAAGCTCTTGAAATTTCCCCAACATGGATAATGCCGTTCTCACAAGGTTGCCGCTGATTGTCCCAGCGGCCTCGTCGGCCATACGCACGTCAAGGAGAATCATGATGTTCGTGTCCGAAAACCAAGGCGATTCTACCAAGTTTTTTGCCTCCTGCATGGTTTCGATCATCTGTCCTGCTTCGTGACACTCTTCGAGGTCGACGACGAAGACGATGAGTTGGGCAGCCTCAAACTGGTGCATCCATTTTCGGGTCTTCCCGGTCAGTCCGCCCACGTCCACGAGTGCCATGGCGAGATTTTGATCCAACACTTCGACTGTAGGAGTACCTCGTGTGTCGGAGTGGAAAGTTGTCAGGCGGAGGATGTCTAGGTCTGTCGGCACATATTCGGCTGCTGATATACGTGATAAAGAGTCAAAATAACTGTAGCAACCGTGTCAGCCTAGATCTGCGCATTTCTGTAGAGCAGCTATTCCCTTATCGTCTTAGATTCCCAGACTCTCAGATTGTCACCTCATACTTCCCGTCCTCAAGGGGCCAGGATAATACTTACTATTTGCCAGGTCCAGGCCAAACCCCAATGCGTCCGGGATAACACTGTCGTATCAGGTCCTGGACAAGTGGATCCTTCAGTATCGTCCGTAGACCCTCCACGAATCTCTTGTCCAGCTCTTCCGCTGCCCAATGGGGTTTCGAATCGCTGTTGCTGTGATAGGTCTCTATTGCGTCCACGTAACCCCACAGATATTGTGATTCCGAGCGCAGCTGAGCGTCGCGCATCTGCTCAACGAGTACCAGCGCGCACTCTTTCAGGTTTCTCAAAATCACATCTCTGTAGTCATCTAGTTCCTGAGCCGTGTGCGTCTTCTTGTCTTTCATGTGTGCAGCTGTCATTAGCTGAGACCTCGACTGGGACCCAAAGAGCAGGACCTTGGACTCGTACGGTTTCTTGCGTCTCTGCTCTTGCTTCAATACGTTATCAATAGCACGAGATCGTGTACGAAGGGTTCTATCCTCGTTCATTTCGGTCGTAAAACGCCGACGTCTCCATATGCTCTTACTTGACGAGTCATTGCTGCGCGTCCAGCTTAGAGTACTCGGGCTAGACACTGAAAGTGAGTCATTGGCTGTGGCGGAGTACAGGCTTCCGTCGGTCGGGCTGACGATGAATTTCTCCTTGGTCTCGACTGGGGTCATCCATTTTCCTTCTACAGGAATCTTCTCGATCACATCAGTCGGGTCCACTGTAAATTTTTCTTTCGTTTCGACGGGTATCTCGCTGGTGTCGTAAGCAACAAGCTTGTCATTTGTTATGATCGGTGGCAGTATGAAGAACTTTTCCCTGGTCTCGACCTGGTAACCATCTGCTGAAAACTTGTCCTCTGTGTTCACGTAGGGCGTGGCGGTGTTCAGAGCTTTCCGCTCCGTATCTTCTTCCCGCGACTGCCTTCTCAGAAAACTACGGGACCACTGCTGGTAAACCTGCGACACGAAGAGCTGCTGGTCGAAATCGAATTTCAACAGTCGCCTGGATGCGCCGCCAAAGGATGAGCCAGATGAGGAAGCTGACGATGACGATGATGACATGACGAGTGAGTCCGTGTCCCTGTGCATGAACAATGACGATGTGTTGTCCTCCATAGCCTCCAAGACGCGTCGTGTTTGTGGTGTTGCCAGTAGCGCCTCTTGTTGTGAAATTGCAGCACTTGATGAGGAACTGAGTTAGCCGAGTCCCATGCTCATAAACAAGGACATTGGTTTCACAGGCACTATCGGTCCCATCGCCATGAGCTTGCGAGGGGGTGCTAACTGGTTTGTGGAAAGCTTACGTATTGCAGGCCGTGAGTAAAAGTGTCAGCGCCGACGTCTGCTGCTGAATCATGAGCTGCAGCTTTTTCAGGTTTCTTGTCCTCAAGTTTCTCATCTTAGGGAATAATCTGGAGAAGCCCGGTTTATGTCCTGTAGTCGTCTGCTGGAGCTGGAGCATGTCAGCATCGACCTTTATGATGAGCAACCGGCAACAAGCGATACATCGGTCCAGGCCGAGCACCAGCTGGTGATGCATGTTGGGTAGCCCGAGCTGCGATGATAAAGATTGCTCAATCCAGACGTTGGTCTGGCTCATAGCTCCCCTTAACGTCAGCAGCTGATTTTCCAGTGCCAAGACCGTTAGATCATCGTCTCCCCATTGCCGTCGCAGCTCTGCCACGTTCAAAAGTGTCTTGCCAAGCGCCCTCAGCAGGTTTGACAGTGTGCCCGCTGTTTCCAGGATGGTGAGCGAGTTCATGTTAAGTTTCGCAAACAGAATTTCAACATTATCGGCGCGCTCATTGCGCTGGCAGGCCAAGATACTTTGGAGAGGATTGACAGGATTGCCAGAACTGCCAGTTTCTTGATAAGAGCGTTGGGGGCGGGGAAAGCCTGAATTGAACGCAGGGGCAATGCGTAACGTGCAGATATCGGCTTCGGTACCTGTTAAGGCCGCTGACACGTGGGTTTTAGCAGGGGGTATGATGATTGGCGAATTCGCGTGATACAACAAGTGATTTCTACCAAATATGGCGATATAGCGTTATGGCGTTGTGGCGATATGGCGATCCGACACTACACAACCATTGGCACAAGATGGCAGCTGCTTAGGCTTTTATTTCAGAGTTCATAAAGTTACATAGGATTTTGATTGCTGAGGCACTGGAGTTAGCACCCGAAAGTTCGCCACTTTTTGCGGCGCCCCAACTCCCTACAGTTGGAATGCTAGTCGATGGATGCCTTTTGCGGTGCAGTACAGTGGGGGCGCAAATGTACTCGGTCCAGCCACGCGACTTTTCGCGTTCCACGCATAGTGCGCAATCAACCCTTCCTTTTCATTCCGCTGTACAACCACCAAAATGGACTCTGAATTAGACAAAATTCTGGGGATATTGCTAGAAGGTCATGAGAAAGGTCAGGACTTCTCCCCGAAGAAGAAAGCCTTCGCGTTGGGATTGTATTATGGTGGTCAATCCCAACATCGCGTCGCGCGAAGATTCAAGACCGGGCGATCCAGTATACAACGCTGGGTAAAACAGCTATAAGACCACGGCTCTTTCGAAAAACGTCCGGGAAAAGGCAGGATAGGCTTTACCAAGCGTTAGAAGAGGTAAATGTACGCTGTTTGTAAAAGGAACCGACATTTGCCATGGCTAGCAGTCCTTAAAGCTATGCCATGGCCCGATTCTAAGCGTACGGTCAAGCGAGTCATCCAAGAGTACAAATTCGGTAAATAGAGGGCCTAGAAACGAATCCCTTTGACAAGTAAGGATGCGAAAGGCCGTATAAACTTTAGCAAGTGGGGTTTAACTCATTTAAACGAAGTGTTAACCGTACGTATCGTGGTAAAGTTAGACCCTCGTTGGCGCTATGTATAACCAATTCGAATAGATGGTATACTCCGATAAGTCTTCTTGCTAGAACTTAACTAACAGCCTAACCGCGTGGGTTTTTCGATTTCCGAGCGAGAAATATAATAAAGAATTTGTTAATCTTAAGAACCACGTTAAAGCAAGTATTATAATTATGGTATAGGGTGCTCTTTAGATAGAAAAGGTGGAAAGGGAGTAGGTAGTATGTCGAAGTCCATTAATAATAATAGAACGTAACCCTCGACCACTACGTCCTAGTCAAACCCGACGTGGTTATACTTCGTTAAGCTATATTAATACTTTAATAAAAGGCCTTTTACCTAAGTATAAAGATTAGTACGTTTTTTAACAAGATAACGCGCTAATATATACATCTAAAGAGATATGGGATTGGTTTATAAAAAGTGGAATCTGTATATTCGAAGACTAGCCACCTTATAGCCCCGACCTTAACCTAATCGAATATATACGGGTTGCTTTAAAACGTAATTTACGTAGGATATATCCTAACTTATGGGACCTTAAGCAAAACCAGCTCGATATCGCATATTTCAAGACTTACTTAGTCGCGGCGTGGAAGGCGATTCCCGACCAGTATATCGTAAAGATTATACTAAGTATGGAGAAACGGATGCACGCCGTACGTCGCGCACGGGGATACTATACCAGCTTTTAATTGCCATCTTCAGGACTTCAAAATGCATGTACTATTATATTAATTGTAATTAAATTGACTGCAAAACGTATAAGTGACGTTGTGTAAGCCCTAAAGGCCCTGTAGGAAATATCGGGGTGGACCGAGTAAATTTGCGCCATATCTGTAGCTGTTCGTTCACGAAGTTGCGCCAGCAATCAGCGAACAGCCCTCATTTAAGCTCGACAACACTAGATCCCTGGGAACACAATGCGACGAGCTGTAACATATGCACGCAAAGAGCGCAGGGTGGCGGATATGCCTTCCCTGTGAATTGGCTCGAGCCGAAAAAGAAAAGAAAAAACCCCCCGTTCGATTCAAGTACGCATATGATCGTTGGAATTGATACGTCGTTTTATCTGACTCTCCAGACTCTCAGCTTGGTCAGTACGCTTGAGCAACACGCTTAGACTAGAAATGGCAAAATTACCAGTGTATCATCTTCCTTAGACATCCCCATCCCCGTCCTCGCCTGTTGCTCGTAACTTCATCGAGCTTTCTCAATTGTACAAGAACTCCCAGAAGGCTAGCTACAACTATGCCTTCGAGCCTTAAGCTGTGCTCTGTATCTGGTAACAGCAGCACTCCTTCGCTATACGTGAGTGATAGAGACAGTTCCCAATGCTTGTGGTGGTAGATGGCGCAAATCGTTTTCCCTACAGTTTCGTCGATTCGATACAGTGTGTATCGCAGTATCCCATCTTTTGGATCTATCTGCCATTCCAACCTTACATATGGTACATGCTCCCCAGGCTTCTCCGTGGTTGTGTTCAATCCAGTCAGAGCGAAGTAAGGATGCTTGATAGACTTCCTGCCTCTGGTCGAGTTTGCGATAGGAAAAGAGGTGGACATTTTCATGGGCCCCTCTCCCGACTTGATGGTGACGGCGGATGTGTCATCGAAAGAGTTTGATGTCATGTTGCTGGCCATAATAGTTAGCAAAGCGCTTACAAAGGGGAGTAACGAAGATATTTGGTCCTACAGGTCGACATGTTCACCGCGCGACGCCAGTTCTCGTTTGCATAGGTGTATCTCTACGTCTTCTTCTTCTGATCTTCGTATATCAGCGAGGTATACTGCTTGGTCTTCCATGCGATCTCCATGAGGCGTCTCCATGGAGCCGAGCGTGGTCGTGTAGACAGTCGATCCAAGCAGACAACCCTGAACGGCATCGCGATAACGGTGCCCAACCTCGTAGATAGGCAGATGAACAGTGTTGTCGTAATGACGGGGAATATATAAAACGCGAGACAAGTGGGCTGGCGCTTGAGACGGCCTGCGGCCCATTTGATAATCAAAATATGCGGCGGTGCGATTTGATCTCTCGGGTTCGGACGACATGACGATGTAATACTGGTGGTGCTGTTGGGTAGAGACTACTTCTCATGCGGTAAAGTTTCAAGGAGAGGGCGACACTATATAAGTTGAGGTGAACGCAACAACAGTTATATGTGCCTTTAGCCGTCCAATTTTCTTGGCGTTCATACTGAATCGCAGACAGCACGAGCCAATAGCACGGCTTGGTTTTCCGACAAGCCGGTGGGAGTGAGGTGGTGTGACTCAAGGTTTCAATATCCACCGGCTGACTACGATGGACTCCTAGAACGTTTGGCAGACATGAGTACCGAGTTATTCGCGTGCTTCACTACGTAGTCGATCAACAAGTTGTCTCTTCCACGCGTGTGTTTGCCCGCAAATAGCCATGGCAGTCCAGCGTCTCCCCAGCATTCATCGGAAAAGTAACTTCTTCTAGGCTAGCGCTGTCAGACTCTATCTCTACTAGCGCCCCCCACCTAACAGGTCAGGTCAACTCACAGGATCCTGGCAGCCTAGCAGCGCTGGTGACACGGAAAATTGTGCACCTGGTCGTTGGGTAAACGTAGGGGGATAGACGTGGTACAGTGTACTATGGTAGGGGTGCGCAATCTTCCGTGTCACCATGCCTGGGTTGGGCATAAGGGATTGCCCACATAGCCTCTCAGGCTGTGCGCATGATTGTGACAAGACCGCCTGATAGGGAAACCTGCCAAATGGCGAGTATAACGGGTTTCACACTTTGATAATCTGTCAGGAACAAAAAGCGACGAAAACGCTGTCAACATCTCACAATATTCATGCGGGTCTAGTATAGAGTGGTACTCAGCACAAGGTCGTTCAAATATAAAGTGTGCTAAGTTCATCTTTTGAGGCTCACGGGAGTCGTCGGGAACCTTGCCGGATTAGGTTAGAATGCCGATAAATATCCTTGAGCTCCACTACTTCGCTGATGTAGGGAAACATGAATTGTCATTTTCGGATGACACCTCTAGGAATTCCAACCTTTGCACACGGCAGCGATCATGCCACAACGCCAATATACTCGACTCACAACTTGGTAGCACGTACGTGTCGATCATTTACGGTCACTACGTCGGTTCGGACTTTACACCCTACGTCATACGCATGTTTATGTTCATCTAAGCCTCTCCAGAATGGCTCGGAAAGACCCTAACAGTATGTGTGTTCCAGCCATGTCCCATCACAGGAGCCGCTAATAATGATATGTCCCCGTCTAGCATGGTATCCATACTCTTGGCCCTAAATCTTCAAGACGGACAACTAACGTCTGGACTGTAGTAACACGTGCAGGCGGCGAAAGGTCAAGTGTAGGGAGTTTCTCACAGAAATCACACCGATCCCCATCCGAGTTGACCTCGACTGAATTATAGACATTTATCCATCCACTCAACCAAGCTAATGATAGTATATACCTATGTAGGTGATGGTGTCACTCCTGAATGTGGAAATTGTGCCAAGCTGCAACTGCGTTGTGAACAGCCAACTGTTGATTATCGCTTCTTGATTCATACCAACAATGCCAACAATGCAAAAGGATACAGTCCGTGTAAGGGAATGGCCGAACTATCACGAGCATTTCAAGCCTGGGCGCTAATTACAGGAAAAGCATCAGTGGCCAGTCCCCGCCGAGAGCAAGCACTTTTTCCGCAAAGCCGTGGCGATCCTTCGGGTTCTACGGCTCTTCGACTCCGGCAAGCGGCCAACTTATCACGGCAGTCCCCGAGACTTTCTCTGGAGGAGCCGATCATCGCTCTGATATTCTCCCACTACATTAAGATCATCGCTCCATGGTACGACCTTACTGATGCGACCAACACTTTCAACGATGTAGTCACAGCGCGTGCTCTCGACTTTCCGATATTGTTTCGAGCCATCATTGCCATGTCTAGCAGTCACTGGTTCAAAACAACAGGTCATGCGCAGGAAATCGCCTTCGCATTCTATGCCGCATGTGTCGAGGATCTGCTACAAGCTCTAGCCAATTCTTCTAACTTCCAAGGAGAGTATCTAGCAGCGGCTTGCCTATTGCAGCTCTACGAGATCCTGAATGGTATGGTGTCATCTCCCATCTGCTCGTGTGTTCCTGTCGCGCGCGTTTGGTTCTTTATTTCTAACTGTGACTCTCTAGAGGACGACATGCCTAATCCTCACTGTCATCTTTCCGGTGCCTATTCATTCTCGACTGCTGTTGCCATCGACTTCTCGACCTGGGATCTATCACAAGCGGGTTTCTGGAACTACATGAGGGAAGAGATCACTGTTGGTTTAGCTTCAAGTCGCAACCGGATGGTGCGTATCGGCAAGGACTTCAGACAGCTGCGAGATATGATGACGAGTAAAGGCATTGGTGACGATATGCGGGCAAATTTGATTACCTATATCCTCGCCGAGGCTTTAAACTTGTACTGCGCGTTCGAGGAATACGAAGATGCAGAGGAGCAACCGGAACGAGGCGATGATCTAAATACTACATGGAAGAGACTCTCGTCGGATCTTGAACAATGGACTGAGAATCTACCAGCAACTTTCCAGCCCTATTCCACGGCTCCCAAGCCAGGCAATGTTTTTCCATCGGCATGGATGCAGAGGCCATGGCATGGTGAGCTCTCCCCCAGAGGTTCAACAACCGGATCGCTTCGCTCACTGAACATCTCTTCCACAGTTTGCGCATTGCAATATGCTGCAATAGCCAAGATTCTGCTTATTTTGTCTGCTCCGCAAGATGGGTTCGACGGTAATCGCCGACGGGAGGAGGAAATCCAATTCCTCACAACAAATGTTTGCGGGCTAGCATACACGACTGGAGACCTATCGGCGGCACTTAACAGCTTTGGTCCACTGATATTCTGTAAATCTTACTCCACTTGTCGTACATTTCGTGTAATTTCCGTGTCAAAGAACTGACTGATGCTAGGCGGTCAATTCCTCACGATGAAACACCACCGCGCTGCACTAGAGACGATGCTTAACAGCTATTCGCAATCCACTGGATATCCGATAAACTGTCGAGTCAAACAGCTTAGAGACCGGTGGGCTCGATAGGACCGAAGAGGAATTATAACATTATTAACTTCAAACTTATTTATCCACTTAGTAAATTATACTCAAGCTAGCTTTTCATTACTTTAAACTAAGTATAATATATTATAATTACTTTAAAAAGCTTTATATTTTTATTATTATATATTAAATTAAATGTTAATTGTTACTTTATATATATATTATAAATAACGTTATTATTTAAATAAATTAAATAAAAGTAATAAAAGATAAAGATTTTAAAAATAAAAATTTATATTTATTAAATAAAAATAATGTTTAAATATATATTATATTATTATTAATTACTTATTTCTTTAATTTAAATTATAACCTTTTATTATTATATTTTATTTATATATAAATATATCTTATATTAATAAGAATTAACTTAATTATAATTATATTAATTATAAACGTTAAATTAATAATTTTAATAATAATATATATATTTTATTTTAATTGTAATTTTTAATTAGTTAACTTATATATTTAACTCTTTAAAATAACCTTAATATATATTTTATAAACGCGGCGTATATATTATTTAAACCTTTCTTAATATTTAAATATATATATTTAACGTCCTCTAAGTTTAAACTGTATATAATTTATTTTTAATATAATTATACTTTTAAAATAAAATCTTTTAATAATTATTATATAATCTTAAATATATATTCAATATTTTTATTCTTATAAATTAAATATAATATTGTTGGAATATATTATTCGCGGACTCGTACGACGGTTGACTACGTAGTATAGGTAGTCACGCGGCGTGCTAGCAGTAAGCCACCACAGCCACGATGTGGCTGTCGGCAGCCAGCAGCCGTACGGGTGAACCCCTATCTATAGACCACGTACGAGGGGAAGAATCCCTTCTTCTCCTTCGTACGATAGCGCTGAATAGATCTATTTGTCGCCCAAACTGTACGGAAAGAATTGAATGGAGAAGCCATTCCATAAATATAATTATAAAGTTAAAATTTTAAATAAGATATGTATTTATAATTAATAATATATTAATAATTAACATTATTATTATTAAATACGCCGTAGGACTCTAAGTCCCTCGGTACCTCTCCGAATTATACCGTACGGTAAACCTTGCCTTAAGGGCTGGACAAAACCCGTACGCTTCGTGTGCTCTACGCTCTAATAGCGTCTACGTTATGGTGTCTATAATGCGACGTTAGTTCTCACCTAACCAATGTAACTACCCCTGAAAAGACTGGCTATCCCCTATATAGGATAGTCTCCCCGTTTGTAATAGCCACCGAACTAGAACCTTCGACACTTCCGGGATTAACGTAGCCGCGGCGAGGTCGCGGCGTGTATCAAGTCTTACCGGAGCTATAAAGCTCCTTAGGCGTGCTATTATGTTTCGATGAAAAAATTTGAAAAGAAGTCAAAAGAACGGTAACTCTACGAAATCGCGATTAATTAACACGCCGAGCACGGCAATCGAATCCTTACTATCGACTCCCGTTATTTACGTTTACGCATCTACGTCGCGACGTAGACGCAACGTGATGGCGGCGCCGATGGCAATTGACGAAGGGCGGGGCGGACTCGATCAGAGTTTTCACCACCCCCAAGCAAACGAGAGCACCCACGCCCCGACTAACGCGGGCGCAACGGAGAAACAGCGAAAAAGCAGCGAAGCGAACGCGGATGAGGCTACCGGTAGCGAACTACAACTTGTCGAATCAATGATAAACAGCTTGGTTACCCCCGAAAAGACTGGTGAATTAGCGGAGCTAATGGGCCGATGGTATTAGCTCCGCTCCCTCGAGGATGGGAGCCGTACGGCTAGCAAGGAAGATATGACTAAAGCTCTAGCCGGGCTATAACAAGTGATCTTACAATCCGTACAATCTGTACAAGTAGCTCTTACGGAGAAGAAGAACCCGACGGATACGACTTGGGCTAAAGTCGCAGCGGGTACGCAGCTAGGACACAACGGGGTCGACCCGTGGAAGCAAGCGGTAATCGTTCCGGCGAGCCGCGAAAGAGAGGTAGTAGTAAAAGGAATCCAAGGAGACCAGCTAAAGAACAGGTCTACTACCGAAGTCTTAAAGGTAGTAAATAAAGCCCGTGGCGTTAGCGATGCGATAGCGGTCCGCAAGTTATATAGCGGCGATACGGTAGTTACGTTTAAACATGGGACTATCCAAGCGGCTACTACTAACCAGCAATGGGTAAGCAGCGCCTTTAGAGAGAAGGCACTACTTACCCGCCGGGAGGTAGCAGTACTCGCGAAAGGCATACCAGCAATAATTATTAAGAAGTATAGAATTAAATTATAATATTAATTTTTTTTTACAGTTGATATATTTATGTTTATTAAAATAAAAAGTTAATTATATCAAGTTTAAGTTAATTATTACTTTAGAACTTTATATTATTAATAAAATACATATACCTTAAATAACTTATAATGTATAATTTTATACTTAATTAATATTATAACTAGTAAAGTAATATAACCAGCTATATAAGGCTAGAGTTTGCGATGTCTTTTTGAACAAGATTATAAAGAAATACACTGAATTTTGTCTTCTTTAATGCCCGGTTATGCTTTACCATCTGGATTGCACCCTCTAGATGTCTTTTAGTCGAAGTAATATCGCCGATCAAAATCTATGATCTATTAGTCGCCTGTCAAGTAAATCAAGAAATACGATTGTAATTACTTCGTCTTGCGCTAGGAATATAGCTAATGTAACGATTGAATCACTAATCGAAGATCGCATCCCCAAAGCTGATATGGCCTCTATTAATGACCGCGCACAAGAGACTTTATATTGAAGAGCAAGTTGAATAAAGTATAGCTCCTCGTGCGGTAGACATTGCGATAGGTGGCGGCATGTCACCAGGAAAAGACCATCTAGAGAGCTAGCATGGGTAGCGGCAAGTTGTACGAACTGTCTGTTGAGGTGCTGTGTATGATCTCCCGGATGGTTGATCTTACTGCGTTGTAGATCTGAACACGGTACAACATTTTGCATGTCCATGTTAGGTTAGTCGCTGAATACTTGCTTGTTGAGACGGTCATGAAAAGTCGTGGACTTGCGAGATGTATCGACTTATTCTGGCGGGGGAGGATGCTACTTACAGTAGTTGAGGAGAAAATCTTCCATCGGGTTGAGAGGCCTAGCGAAACTTGCGAAGGGATCTCTCCGATAGGACTCTAGGAGGCTAATAGGACTTGATATGACGGCTATCTCTACCTTAGTAGTCGCTTTGTTGAATGGTTGCCTTCCATCTTCCGAATTACTACTAGCTTTCAGGGCCTGGTAATTGACGAGTCTCTCTCGCCTCGCCTTGGCATGTGCTGTCCGGGCTGCATGCGAGTGAACACGGCGGTGCATTTCAGCCGATGCTACTCTAGGGAGTCCAAGGCGGGATGAATGGACGAACTGGATTTCACCTCTGTTGTCGGACATGGTGGTCGTGGTATAAGCGTCTGAATGATAACTATCCGCTAGGAATTTCATCACGAGTTGACGAGATGCAATCCCATATGAATCTTTAGCCATTGTACGAACGGTGTGGACGGACCTTAATAGAGCTGGGAAGGGTTTAGCATTTGTCAGCGGCGAAAGTTGCTGCCAAGACTTGCTCTTTCCAAATGCAGCGTCGGCTATTTCTTACCCTTGCGTAGGTATAGGTGGTTGGGTATCTAGTGGGTCCCTCCTACACGTATAAGACATATATAAAATGCTTTGCTTCTCGAGGAAATAGGAAGTTCCTAGATTGATCTCGTACCAAGTCAGACCCCCTTCGATTCAGCTTCATTCTAGCTACTTACACGTCCCTTCTTCGTCATGTCTGACCCCAAAACCGCAATTCCCAAGGGCTCTTGGGTCCTTGTTACCGGTATCACCGGTCATATAGCAGCACATACAACTAAATTGTTTCTCGAACGTGGCTTCAGAGTCCGCGGCACGGTGAGAAATGTAAAAAGCGCGGCATGGCTCACTCAAGATATCTTCAAGTCGTTCGCTGACCGTGGTGATCTCGAGCTCGTCCATGTCCCAGACCTCGGTGCCGAACATGCTTTTGACGAAGCGATCAAGGGGGTCTCTGCAATAGCTCATATTGCATCGGTCCTCTCCTGGTCTCACAACCCTAACGAAGTCATTCTACCAGTGGTCAACAGCGTAAATTCGATTCTCAAAGCTGCGCTAGACGAGCCCTCGGTAAAGTCAATCGTTTACACTAGTTCCATCGCCGCCGCAGTGGATATCACTCCAGGAGTGACTGCCCACGCGGGACCAGACACCTGGAACAACAGAGCCGTCGAAATTGCTTGGGCTCCGCCGCCATACACCCAGGAACGCTGGCACATGATCTATCAGGCTAGCAAAGTCGAGGCAGAGAAGGCCCTGTGGGCTTTCGCCAAAACGAACAAGTCTCACTTTACCGTCAACGTCGTCAGCCCTGCAACTATACTTGGCGAGGGTCTTACCAAGAGACACTTGGAACTCCCATACCCATGGATAAAAAATCTATACGACGGAAATGAAGAAATCGGGGCCTTGTTCCAGGCGAGTAAGTAGCCCCGGCAATGATTAATTTTGACGGCTGACAAGTAACGTCGACATGTGTAGTCATCCACATTGACGTCAAGGATGTCGCGCTACTTCACGTTGCCGCAGTGTTAGACCGTGAATGTGATGGCGCACGGTTACAAGCCTGGGCTGAATACTGCAATATGAACGATATTCTCGCCATTTTGCGCAGGCTGTATCCGCGGCGAAAGTTCATGGATGACTTCCCAAATCAGACAAAGCTTAGTATTACAACCGATTACGATCAACAACTCGCCTTGCTCAAGAAATGGGGTGGTCAGGATAGATGGACTTCGCTAGAGCAGAGTGTTATAGACGAGGTGAAAGGTGTTGTTAATTGGTTCCCTAAGCAATGAAAAGAACATGGCGCCCGTACTTCTAGTATATAGGAATATTTCACATATTAGAAGTATGCATTTATTAGTTAAAGATTTTCGCGTTTACTCTTCCTTTATTATATACTTTTATAACTTTAAGTTTAACTTTAGTATTACCGTTTCTTATATTATTATTTTATGGCTTACTTATTTAAAGTTAATAATAATAAAGTTTAATTAATAAAATAATGACAGTTTCTACAGTTGACATAGAGGACTGTTGTAGTGAAGGTTTGGTGTGATGCACTGAAAGGAAGAGCCTAAATCTACTAGAGCATAGGATAGTGAATACGGTGCTCGCCTGAGCATGGGATCGTAAGTGTAACGCTCTAAGCGTGAAATGATAGTATAGGTGCTGTCAAGTAGTATATATAAGTCTGAGTCTACAAAAGAGAATATCGGTGTACAGAAAATGGGCATATACCCACTGGCTTGGTCACGTGATCACCACTTCCCAAGTTCGGTGATCCACGAGCTCGTCGCCTTAGACGGAGTGCTCCCCGTACACTGTGGCCATCTATAGTCATCTATATTGCCACACTATGGATAAGTGTTTTGGAGTATTCCGTCGGTCGAGAGCTCGTGACAAAGCCTGCCATTTCCTTTGCGTTGCAGGCGATGACGTGAATGTTTGTAGCTAATTTTGATACACGAAATGAGAGATCCGAGTACCTTCTAAGAGCAGATCATAACGAATATAATTCCCTCGGAATTATTGGATATGATGCGAATGTGTTACAGATGGGTAAAAAGGTGAAAAGTGAGGGGGGATATTAGGTTTACGGTTCAACGTTATCTTTCGGATGGATTATGCCTTGCCCAGACAGGTCTACCTGAAGTTCTATTTGTGCAGTCATTTTGAGAATTGATTTGATTATCCTGGACTATATTATGTGAAAACGGTCTGTTCCGCTTGCTTGATTCACACCCGCTGTGGATTGAATGAAGATATGACCCCACCGAAACTGAGGTTTGACTGATTGTATTAAATAGTAGTATTGACCCACATCTTGCCCTAACACCTCTCTTTGTCTTGCGGCTCGTACCGATAGCGAGAGCGACATAAGCGGGGCGTTACATAGTCGTTGATTAATTAATTCATTGCAGGGGGCAAAGGGGACCCTTTCGGCACTGCCCTTCTGCAGTCTAGTGGGTTTTGTTGCCTTCTTTCTTCCTTCAAGGGTGCGGGTGCTGGTGCTAAGGGTCTGAAACTACTAGAGTCGTTGCGTCAGAGGCCGCGTACTCCCCGGATTAGACCGCCGGTATGTAGATACCCTACAAGAAGCTGCTGCTAAAAGTCGAGACGGGACACTAGCAAAGGCACTACTGCCATACGTAGCGCCGAACCCAAAATTGCCGATTGACCTAAATTAAACCTATCCTAACCTAGCAATGACTTTGTTGGAAACCCATCTGTCCTAGAGTTTCTTCTCGAAGAAAGATGGCCCTCCCCCACCAAAACTTTAACTCCGAGTGTAAAACACGGCCATCTCGGTCGGCTCTAAACTTCAGTCACAGTCTCGACAGACGGGACGCGTAATTTAGAGTGGCATGAGGCGGCCAACGGTATGCAGTGGGTATACTGGTTATGGCTCGTGTTGGTTGAAGCTTTACGGATAATGGTCTATATAGCTGCTATGGTATTTCTTTCTTGCTTACTATGATCATAATCACAACTGTTATTCACTCACTAACATTCACTACACTCATTCAACACATCCGTAATCGTTAACCATGGTTCACTCTACATGCTCCTTGCTGTCGCTAGCCGCCAGCGCCGCAATGGCTCATGCGGCGGCTCCCCTATACCAGTCGCCCGTCAACATCCCCGGCTGGGGCAGTGTGCAGGGTACGGCTGCGCTTAACAGCTCCGTCGCCGAATATGTCGTTAACTGGGCCAATATCTCCTTCTTCGGCGGTATCCCCTTCGGCGCCTCTACAGAGGGCGCCAACCGCTTCGCGCCGCCTCAGCCCGCGTCCCCTTGGAATACAACGCTCGACGCCACCAGCTTCGGGCCCATCTGTCCGACCTCCAACATGCAGCTCAAGCAGTACAGCATGAGCGAGGACTGCCTAAGTGTCAACATTTGGACGCCCGCTACGTCCGCCGATGAGAAGCTGCCCGTCGCTTTCTGGAGCTACGGTGATGGTACAGCCCCGCCCCAGACCGGGTTCAATGGCGCCGGCGTTGCCTCCAAAGGCATCATCTTCGTGTCTTACAACTACCGCAACGGTGTGCTTGGCTTTTTGGCCGACTCACGCCTGCCCGAGACCTCCGACAGCAACGCTACAGGTAACTGGGGCGTTCTGGATCAGTTCGCCGCCGTCAAGTGGGTCCATGAGAACATTGCTGCCTTCGGTGGTGACCCGGACCACATCACCGTTCTCGGACAGTCCTTCGGCTCGGCTGCTACTTACCACATTGTCAACAGCAACTTGACCACTGGACTGGGCATAGTCGGCGCCATCTCCGAGTCCGGCGTGCGCTCGCCCAACGATGTCATGACCAGTGAAATCGCCCTCTCGTACGACACCATGGAAGCTGCCGAGGCCATCGGTGCTGACGCGCTTGCGGCCATCAACGCGACCACCATCGAGGAGGCCCGCGCTGTCACATATGAGACCATTCTCGCCAACACCGGCAGCCAGGACCAGCAGATTAAGCCCGTCCTTGACTACTACGCCATCCCGGACAAGTACATTGTCACCATTCGTGACGGTGCCGCCAACAAGGTTCCTTACATCACGGGCAACAACGCCGACGAGTACGGTGTGACCGACACCTTTACCACGACCGTGGCCGACTTCACCTCCTACGTTCAGGGCAACACCGGAAACACATCTGCCGCCTTCCTCGCAGCCTACCCGGCCAACAATGATACCCAAGCCTCGCAATCCCAGATCGCCTTCGTACGAGATCAGAGCACCGTCAGCAGCTGGCAGGCCATGAGCGGATTCGGCGAATCGTCCGGCGAGCTCACCTACACCTACTTCTGGAACTACGCCCCTCCTAATGACGGTAGCGCGTCGCACGGCTCCGAGATCCCTTACGCTCTGGGTAACCTCTGGGCCCAGCCGGGTGTCAACTATACCTCTGAGGACTACTACATTGCCAACGTTCTGAGCAGCTACTGGGCCAACTTCATCAAGACCAGCGACCCTAACACCGGCAGCTCTTATAACAACGGCTCCCTTCCCGCCACCTGGAACGCCAACTCTCAAACCGAGAAGACTACATTCAAGGTTGGCGCCGAGTATAAGAACATTGGCGTTGCCGCCTCCGAGGCGAGAATCCAAGCTTTCCTAGAGTGGTTCGCTATCACCCCTGCTATCTAAGCGCTAACCTATTATTAAATGTACGATGAACTTTACTAAAGTTTTAATTTCGTACGATTAGTTATTAAAAAGATAAGGGGCATAGTTTATTAAAAATCCGCGAATTAACTTTTTTAACCTTTTTAAGTTTAATTTATATAATATATATATTAAACAAAAAGACTCTATTTTATTATTTTAAATATATTTTTAAAAGAGTTATATAATATGTAAATTTAAGCTCGTCCTGTCAGTGCATTATACCAGACCTTCACTACAACAGTGCTCTTTATCAACTTCCGAAACTGTCATAACCTACCATAACAAGAGACGCGTATTAGGGCTTTTTTGGGCCTGAAAATTCTTCTCATGAACGGGGAGTCTCGAATATCGCGTTAGACTGTATCACAAACCAATCTTGAACCAGGAAAGAGCATGGTCTGCCCGGAGCTCTGTCGCTTGGTCGCTTGCGCTCCTCGTTCTTGTAATTAACCACTTGTTCCCTATGCATTCTCCACTGGACAGCCGCCTATGTTGTCGATGGTCACCGAGGATGAGAAGCTGATCTGCCGGCTCTTTCCTGATTATCTGCGAAGCGAACGAACCATGGAAACAGGTTCCTGGGTCTAGGCTTTGGTCACGACCTCCAAAAGACACAAAGAAGCATTGTTACTCGACGATGGGTTTGCAAATCGTGTGTCAAGCAGATGCGTATTAAAGTAGGCGCGTACGAGTCTAATAGTATTAATAACATGAAAAATCATCTCTTCGAGGAGCATAAGATAAGAGCTCTAACTGTGAGAGTAAAGGTCCACTAGGGAGGAGAGCTGACGAGATCGAGGGCCGGAAGAATGGCCGTTCGCTGCTATCGAGATTATCTATACAAAAGTCTATTTAATAGGCCTTAGGGCTTGATGCGTCCAAAGACCGAGGACGCGACATTACGAACTGATTAATTAAGCGGTTTGACAAGCAAGTCTTATAGACACTCCTGGTTCAATAGATCACTAAGGAAACAAACCATTCGTAATGGCGGAAGGCGAAGAACTACGCCGCATATTCGATTACCTCAATCCAGCTATCAGAATCTAGCAACCTCACCTATCTGGTAGCTTAGTCCGCGCGAAGATCTATCATTTAGCAATATCAACAAAGCATGAGGAAAGAAGTAAATGTCCTCTAGGCATGCCCAGGTCTGATCCATATCTCGTTTAATGGCTGGACTGCTCGCAACCGTGTGCCGTTATATAGTATCGCGTGTTGCTTCCGGGACATACGGGGCAAACCAAAAAAGATCACGATTGGTGTTCCCGAGCTCGCTAATCGGCATACCGGCAAGTATATTACACAGGAAGGTTTACAGGTTAGTGGATCGTTTCCACTGGTTAAAGGGATGCCATTTTCAGCTACCAGGGGTCCCCATCTCAGCCCTCATTGAACCAAGACTCATGACTCTTGTACAAGTGTGGGCGCGTTATCCTGGAAAGCCTAAATATGGGATGTGTAGAGGGCGGAGGTGGGAGCCTCTAAACCAGGTAAAATGGTGCAGCGAGGGAACGGGTGCAATAATGTACGTCCTGAATTATGTAAACTTTGGGACGCTCAACCGGCCATGTTCATGCGGCCACAGCCAATTAACACCGGACACGCTAGGATTACCCCGCTTCTTTATTCAGATGGCCGCCGAGAACGGCCAACAGGCCCCGGGTTACACTAACACCAGTTGCTTGATCAAGGGTCGGCTACGCAATATCCGGCTGAAATAGCAACAATCTAGTCTAGACTAGAGGCTGGATTACCCCGCATAAATGCGAAGATAGCAGAGCGCAATTCATGGCGAGCGGTTACTATTAGATCCAAATAGTGATTAGGGACTAGACTACACATCTCTTTGAGAAGCGTCTTTATTTCAATCACGTTCAAGGGAAGCTAAAGAGCTAAAGTTCATTAGAATAAAATGCTTATTAAACCTAGCACGATCACTAGTGCTGTAGCGGGCCTTGCCATCCCATTCGGCAAATTTGAAGGTCAAACGCCACTTAGTTCGACGTCAATGAGCATGGGTGCAAAATTCAACATCACTAAACAAGATGAGAGCATCTGTGATGCTGGAAGTCGTCAATGGACTGGCTGGGTCCATATTTCTGACGAGAAAAGTCTCTTTTTCTGTATGGTTGAGTTACGCATTGCTACCTCGCCGTTGTTGACCATTTTAAAGGGTTCTTCGAGAGTCGCTCTAACCCGACGACGGATCCCGTTGTTTTATGGATGAATGGGTATGAGAAATTTCTCCTCGAGGCAGAAATCATTATAACTAACTTTTGCAGAGGACCTGGTGCTTCTTCGATGATAGGGCTCTTCGCAGAGATGGGTCCTTGCCAAACCAGCACGAGTACAACCGGAAACAATGGAACTTATCTCAACGATCACAGTTGGTCGAATTTTGCTAATCTTCTTTTTCTTGAGTGAGTATCACAAACATGTGGAGCATCTTGTAATTAACGAATTGCAGCCAACCTGCCGGTGTTGGCTTGTCATCAATCAATGGAAGCACGCTAGGTGGTCCTGATACTATCACGGAAGCAGCCGAAGACTTCAACGAGTTCCTCTCGACCTTCTTCGTGGAAATCTTTCCTCACTTTTCAAGCAACCCGTTTCATATCGCTGGGGAATCCTTCGGGGGAACGTATGTCCCAGCATTTGTCCACTACATCGGCATGCGGCAACACCTCGGTATTCCTGGAGTCTTCAAAACTCCAATTCAGTCCATCACGCTGGTCGATGCTGTTGTTGACTACATGGGATCTGGCCCTCTCGGCGAATATGATCACATGTGTCAATTTGACAAGGGTGGGAATAACCGACTGAAGCTAGGATTCAACGAGACGACTTGTCGCACCATCGAACTCGGGGTACCAGAATGCCAGAGACTCAACAATCAATGCATCGAAACTTACGATTTGAATATCTGCGAGGCAGCATTCGTCTATTGCTGGAAATTTATAGACTTGATAGAAGATGGTGGTCGTGTAATTTACGACGACCGTGCGCTTTGTAAAGGCGAATACCCTCTATGTGGTCTGGATGGCAACTTTTCAGAGTATCTCAATCGTCCACATTTCCAAAGAGCACTTGGACTAGAGAGATGGAACTTCACAGCCCTGAATTGGGATCTCAACGACCGGTGGGGTTTCAGCAAATATGTGTACATGCCTACCACACGCGAAATGACATGGATTCTTGACGAATCACCTATTCGTGTCTTGGTCATCAATGGCAACAACGATATCATCGTGTAAGCTTTTTACCAGAACTGGTCTGTTACTTCAAACTTATGGTGTGGCAGCAATACAGAAGGACAAAAGCGGGTGTATGATGCTCTTCCATGGAACCACCAAGCCAAGTATCGGATGCAGAAATTCGACGACTGGCATTGGCCAGACCAGTCTGGAAAGATGATAAAAGGAGGCCAATTCAAAACCGCGAATAAGATGTCATTTGCCTCAGTTAATGATGCTGGACATACGGCGCCAGGCGATCAGAAAGCAGCTGTCGCTTTCTTGATGGCATGTTGGTTGTCTGATGATAAGGTCGAAGCGTGCCCGTTCTAATCGTTTACTGCGATCAAAACACTCACCACTACAATGTAGCCCCTTGACCGAATCGAGAGCAGCAATGTAACTCAAGGTCGTGGTTTGAGAGCACGCTTGAATCAGTGGGGGCAGTGGTGAATCTATTAGAGCCAGGACCTTTCAGCACCCACCCTGTAGTTGTGCCTTGTTGCCCAACTTCTTGCAAGATGCTTCGCAATACAATTACGCGCGCTCTTCTGTTGAAGCGTGCATGCAATCAATGGATATTTTGATGCTAAAAGTAATCCAGCTGTGTCAATAGGCACAGAATGGCCGATATGCTAAGCCTACGACCAGCCATTGTAACCGCGCCGTCTAGGCGACATCTTCAGAGATGTAAGTACACTAATGCCCGCCATCGATGCGTGGTTAAAAAAAGCTATTGGCAGCCTTTCAGATATGACTTCCATAGATTTCACGGACATGTATCAATATGTTGCATTGACTTCAATTTGCAATGTTTCAACTGAGCTCTCTGCGTAATCGTGGTACATAGTTGTATTTCTCGTAGTCTTATAATCGTTGGGGTGCCAGCTCGGTTGCTGGCTTTGGTGATGGTGGTCTGCACTTCGTTGGGTACCACATCAAGCACCACTGGATACCACGGCCATCTGGATACAACCTAGTTTGTAGCGCGGATATAGTTCAAAAAGGTACTCCATTATATGTAAGCCATGGCCATACTTAGATCGTTTATACTCGATAAGATGAAACAGGAAAAAAAAAAAAAAGCTGCTTCTAACTCTCTTTATATGTGCGTTCTAATTACCTTACAAGTATACATTACGTCGCATGCCCTTTGCGGATTTAAATTAAATGACAGAAAACCAGCGCTAAGGATTAACCAGGGGTATGCGGATTTTCAAAGGATAGGTATACGGATTTACTAGGAAATTAATGTTCCCGTTATCGTAATAAGTTATAATTTTAATAAATAAGTAATCTAACTATTATAATTTCAAATTACTTGTTAAATTCCGGATTAGACTCGTAATTATAGAGATATTTTAATAAGAAGAGTTAAGGTATAAATGTAAATGTTTTATATTAAATGTTACGAACGAAGGCTAGGAACCAGGCCTGAAGTGGAGAAAGGAAGCATAAGGCAGCCAGTCACCACTGTTAAGATTTTATTAGACAAAAGACAGCACAGGACTCTGGGTCACGTGACTAAGGAGCGACACAAGGGATGGCGCTTCATACGACTCTAGGAGCGATAAAGGCGCCGCGCTCCTAGCGCTCTAGGAGCGATAAGAGCATTACGCTCTTAGCGCTCCACGAAATATTAGTGAAGGAATGAATAAATATAATAAGGATTGGGTTTCCTACTTTATATAAACAGTCATTACTTTAGTGATTAATTTAAGTATCTATCTTACCCATAGGTAAAGCTTACGCTTTAACGATTACACTTATAAATCCCTTTACTTAGTATATTTTAAAGGTTTATCTTTATAGTCTTTTATTCGAGGCTAGTATATCTTATTAATATAAACCCCTTTACATTATATTAAGTCCCTCATTGTTAGTTTAAGTAGACTAAAGCTATACCTGTTTAAAGAAGAAAAAAAGATTGAAGAACGGTAACTCTACGAAATCGCGTCTAATTAACACGCCGGGCACGGCAATCGAATCCTTACTATCGACTCCCGCTATTTACGATCGCGCACTTACGTCGAGACGTAGGCGCAACGCGATGGCGGCGCCGATGGCAATTGACGAAGGGCGGGGCGGACTCGATCAGAGTTTTCACCACCCCCAAGCAAACGAGAGCACCCACGCCCCGAATGGCGCGGGCGCAACGGAGAAACAGCGAAAAAGCAGCGAAGCGAATGCGAATGAGGCTACCGGCAGCGAACTACAACTTGTCGAATCGATGATAACCAGCTTAGTTACCCCCGAAAAGACTAGTGAATTAGCGGAGCTAATGGGCCGATGGTACCAGCTCCGCTCCCTCGAGGATGGGAGCCGCACGGCTAGCAAAGAGGATATGACCAAAGCTCTAGCCGGGCTACAACAAGCGATCTTACAGTCCGTACAATCGGTACAAGTGGCCCTCACGGAGAGGAAGAACACGACGGATACGACCTGGGCTAAAGTCGCAGCGGATACGCAGCTAGGACACAACGGGGTCGACCCGTAGAAGCAAGCGGTAATTGTACCGGCAAGCCGCGAGAGAGAGGTGGTAGTAAAAGGAATCCAAGGGGACCAGTTAAAGAATAGGTCTACTACCGAAGTATTAAAGGCAGTAAACAAAGCTCGTGGCGTTAACGATGCGATAGCAGTCCGCAAGCTATATAGCGGCGACACGGTAGTTACGTTTAAACACGGGGCTATCCAAACGGCCACTGCTAACCAACAGTGGGTAAGTAGCGCCTTCGGAGAAAAGGCACTACTTACTCGCCGGGAGGTAGCGGTACTAGCGAAAGGCATCCCAACAAAGCTATTACGGGTAGCCCACGATGAAACAAAGATCTTACGGGATATCCTCGAAGTCAACGAAGTGGATGACCACGTCACTAAAGCGAAGAGGAGCCTCCCAAAAGCCCCCCAGGCCTTGTACGGAGCTCTAATCCTCCACGTGGATAGCGTAGAGGCAGCGAAGAAGCTCTGCGACTACGGGCTAGTATGGGAAGCGTCAGTATTTAGCTGCGAACCATACGATGCAACGCTCCGGGTACGCCAGTGCTTCCGCTGCCATGAATACGACCATATCGCAAGGTTCTGCAAAAAGACACCACGATGTGGCATCTGCGCAGCCACGGCCCACCTAGACGGGGAAAAAGGGTGCCCCCAAAAGGGCGAAAAGGGAACAAAACGCTGTATCAACTGCACAGGGCCACACCCTGCGTGGGACCGCAGCTGTCCAGCCGCGATCAAGCAGCGTGAAAGAGCGGCGGAGGCGTATACCCACCGACCACGTCAGTTCGAGGTCCGTAGCTACACCGAGGGATCGCAAAGCAAAGGACGGCTTACCCCGCCTAACTCCCTACCTACAGCCGACCACACAAGCCAGCCAAGAAGCGAGGATGGCTTTACCGTAGTGTCATCGAAACGCGGACGCCCAGTAGGCGGGTCGAAGAAGCAAGCCGCCCAAAGGGAACAGTCCGCAGCTCGGCTCCGCCAGTGGACCACTACAGCAAAAGACAGCCGAATGCCACCACCCTCTATAACATAATGGGAATCACAACCCTCTATTAGAATACCGCAGGATCAAGGTCCAACGTGATACTAGCGTTAGACAAGGGAGGAGGTAGCGACTTCATTGCGCTCCAAGAACCATGGGTGAAAAACGGGATCATTTACTGCCCATCTTGGTCGAGCTACAAAGTAGTATATAGCAGCGGACGAGCAGCGCTCTACGTACACAAAAGATACGACATAACAACACTACACCCCCGGTCAGGCCACGACTGGGCATGTATTACACTTACAAAAGGCTTGGAACCAGTCACGATATGGTCTATTTACTCACCGAACCAAATAAGCAGCTGGGTTAGCCCTTTAACAGAGCTCCTAAGCGACGCTCCTAAAGGAAAGCACTTGCTCGTAGGGGATTTTAACACCCACCACCCGTTATGGGATATACACGGGCGAGAGTCAAGGCATAGTGAGAAAGTAACAACGTGGGCGCAACGGTGGCGACTTACGTTAATAACACCGTACGGGGAGGTAACAAGGAGCAGACACAACCAAAGGGACTTAACTATCGACCTAGCTTGGGCTACGGAAGGTACAGAGATCCTTTACGAAGGGGACCCAGGCTTAGAAGGTTCAGATCACCGGGCCCAAAGGGTACAAATCCTCAATAGCGGCGAAGCCGCAACTAAAGGACTACGTACGATAGAAGGCTGGAACTAGGCAGCAGCCGACAAAGAGCTTATCCTAGCCGAAGCGGCCAACAAATTCGAGAACTGGCTACCCGTCCAAACAGCCGATGAAATCGACCAAGCAGTGGACTGGCTAGTAAACGAATTACATGAAATCGCAGACTTAGCAGCGCCAAAACGGACGGTAAGCACTGGCCACGGGGTACCATGGTGGAGTCCACAAGTTAGCAAAGCCTGCGCAGATACAAAGCGACGCCGTAGGGACTACTTACAAGCGAAATCCCTTAACACATGGACTAAGTATACCACTGCTACGCAGCACCAAAAGGAAGAAATAGCAGACGCCCAAGAACGGAGCTGGCAAGAAAAGCTAGAAGCCACGGCAAGGGACCGTAACAGCTTATGGGCGCTACAACGGTGGGCTCGACTACGCAGTTAGAAACCCCAAGATCAACATAGTATACCAGACCTACAAAGCAACGACAACGGGACGGCCACGGCCACAGGGACTACCCATAGCATAAAGGCACAAATCCTAGCGGAAAGGTTCTTCCCGAGCCCGTACGCGGACCTATACGACCTCGCTATAACACCGCCACGAGCGAGCAACGTACTCGATATAGAACAAGAGGTATCTATAACAGATATCAGCATTACCGTATCAAAGATGGCGTCATGGAAAGCCCCGGGAGACGACTTAATCCCGGTAGGACTATTAAAGAGCTGCGGGGAACCACTCTATAAGATCCTAGCGGATATAACTACAACAAGCCTCGCTATTAGCTACTTCCCACGGCGCTTTCGCACCGCTAGAGTAGTAGTTATCCCTAAACCAAACAAGACAACAGCCCAAAGACGCACGGCAAGCGGGTGGCGACCAATAGCGCTACTTAGTACGATAGGGAAGGTTATCGAAGGGGTAATGGCCCGGAGAATCACAAAAGCAGCCGAGAAAGGGGGCGTCCTTCCTAACGGCCAGATGGGCAACCGTAAGGGCCGTTCTACGGAACTCGCTATACGTATCGTCGAAGACGTAGCGCATACAACTTGGCGGCGCGGAGGCATTGCCTCGCTACTACAACTAGACATAAAAGGAGCGTTCGATACAGTTAATCATACCAGGTTAATCGCGATCCTAGCCCAGAAGGGATTTCCGGAATGGGTCCGGGCATGGGTTACGAGCTACGTAGAGGATAGGACGGCTAGGCTACGCTTCGACGGCGAAGAGTCCACGCCCTTCTTACTAAACGCGGGCGTCCCCTAAGGCTCCCCACTATCACCTATATTATTCCTACTCTATATCTCTACCTTATACGAAGAGCTAGCAGCAAATCACCCATCGCTAATTATAGTAGGGTTCGCCGACGACACGAACCTACTTAGCGTCGGCCACGATGCAAAGACAACCTGTACACACTTAGAAGCAGCGTGGACGACGTGTAAGGCATGGGCAACTAGGCACGGCATGGACTTCGCGCCAGAAAAGTGCGAGCTTATACACTTTACAAGAGCCAGAGACCCGTTAACGTTAGGAGTTCGCCTCGGAAACGCAGCTATAACGCCGGTTGTATCAACACGGTTCCTTGGCGTCTGGTTCGATAGGAAACTGAATTGGCACGCCCATATAGAGAGAGTAAAATCGAAGTTCG